AAGGTTTGTGAACTTTCCGCAGTTTGCGAAAGTTCCAAATTTATTCTCCTCCCAGAGAGACAGAGAGAGAGAGAGAGAGAGAGAGAGAGAGAGAGAGAGAGAGACGTGACATAAAGCTGCTCTGAAAAATGATATTAGATGAGCAAAAAAGTTCTGAGCTTTAAATTTCATACAACCGAAACTACAATTTAAATTTTATTTATCTTTCCGCCCTTTTGCGGTTTTAAAGCGTTGACATTTGGCCTTTTAAAATGCCATGCTTGGTTTGATGATGACGTTTAGTGCACATAACCTCAGTAAATCAGTAGTGTTCACGATGGTAATAACAAAAGAGGAGATATTCGATTTTCCATCCACTTTGCGCGTTTCATCTGAAGAAAAATGCCGCTGAAGCCACTGAAATGATTTGTGCTGCATATGGAGAGATACGTGTAAAAGATGGTACAAAAGATTCCGCCAAGGAGAGTCTTCGGTCTTGAAGATGAGCCGCGTGCTGGACACCCCTCGAAAGATTGAAACGGACAAATTGCAAGCATTGCTGGATGCGAACTCTGCGCAAACTGAAAAAGCAACTGAGCTTGCGGAGCAGCTTGGCGTTGCGCGCGGCAAGCCATTTCCGTACGTTTACATGCAATGGGAAATTGAATTTTGCAAAAAGAAGCTCAGAAACTTTTTGCTCGCCTAATATTTGACACGCGTGTTACCGCACGGAACGCGGATGGAAAATCGCACTGACGCGTTACGTACAAACGAGAGAGAATCTCGGGATACATTTGCTGTCGGATGAGAACGATTAAGCAGAAATGAGAGAGAACGAGAGAATTATGATAACCGCTAGTCGTTACGGAATATTTCTTTGGAAGGTGACGTGAGTTGGAAACGCTCCGGTTATCGTATACGAGAGACGTTTTCTCTCGTGGGACTCGTAGATGCGAAATGAAACTTTAAACAATCGACACGTTTGCGCGCGCGCGCGCGCGCCTATGCCCTTGAAGCGACGACGCTCGTGTCATTTTTACCGTACGCGACACCGTTTACCGTATAAGTACCGTACTAATACCTCGCGATTCATCGATTACTGCTCACCTTAATTATTGCTTCGATACGTCTCATTCTATCCGACCGATTATCATCTCGTGTTGCGTATGCGTGTTGGTCATGTCACATTGATTGTACTTGTAATATTATCATTATTATTATTATTATTATTATTTACGTCAATCATCGGCGAGTCGCAACGCGACGATATACGCGCTGTACGATATATGGTACGATAATCGAAGTCGAAGCAAGGAGAATAAAAGCACCGCGCGGGTTCGAAAGCCGCGGATCGGAATTGTCTATTTTGCGGACGCGCCGGTGTTTGTACGTATAGCAGCAGCATAAAGAGCATGAAGAGTCACATTTGTCTTATAGCGCAAACAGTGTCCCTTTCATATATATCGAGTCGTGTACACATCTCACGCGTCACGCGGCGGCACGTGCCTGGGAACTGGGAAGTCGTCAGCGTCGGAGGATCCTGCGGGCATTACGAAATCTTGTCACGACTATGAATGCTAATGAACCCCCACACACACACACACACACACTCGGCTGATTCGCCGAGTGATTTCAATCCGATGCTAGTAAATATACTCGTTACCGGGGCCGTACACCGCGGCGATGTTCGCCGCGCAAAAGTCGAGCGGCTAGACGCTCTCGCGCGCGCGAGCGCGTTTCGGAGCGCGCTTTATTCGAGCGAGGAAAATTGCGCGACGGCGAGCGCGTAAACTCATTAAAATTTTACACAAATATAAATATACATATATTGAAATTTATTCATTTCTCTCATGAATAAATAAGCGGTATACGGGGTATACAACGGTGTAGCTCGGGACATTTTAAAGCCTCGGCTGCAGCTCGCGTCGTTACGCGAGCGCTCGGATACATACATATTTCATACGATATTACTCGAAAGGCACACCGAGTACATAATGTCGCTGCAAGATTATTGACTTATATTAGCCGGAGGAAGGGCGGAACGATGGGCAGGAAAAATTGCAAATTCAAATGATAGAGGGACGACGAGTCGCCGCTTCCCCGCTGGATATTTCTCACCGGCTATTCTCATGTATATATATATATATATATCTCGTTTCTGATGGACACTGCGCGACTGCGCGAATTCCGCGCATCTCCCTCCGAAGCCTCCTTATACGAGTGGCGGTTTATCGCAACCTCGCGGATAATCCGCCGCTGACGGTGCAACTCTTTTTGTGCGCGCTACGCCACTCTAGCGGTCACGTTGAAGAAGATCGATAAATGTCATTTGAAATCCGCGATCACTAGGTCATCCGGCATCTCTTCTTGCTCGTCCTTGGTGCACGTTTTCTGCCTCGAGTGGCAGCGACCGCAGAGCTACCGGTGCAGTAAGAGAAGTCGCGGCCAACCAGCAGCGACAGTTCTATATTCTGCTTCTTGACCTTGTCCCAGAGCGGCCTCGCGCGCGCGCGCGCGCGCGCTGCCTCGAGCACGCGGAATAGACTTCCGATAGACTCGTAATGTCGTTGAACTGTTATTTCAACACGGCTCACACAACAGAGCCGCTCGTCCGCACGTCGGTTTTATCATCCAGCCGGACGATAAAAGAAAAGAAAACAGAAAGAGAAGAGTCCTTAGGGCATATTGGGAGTGCAGCGAATGCGAATGCGAAGATGGGAGTCGGACGGTAGTCGCTGGCTGCGTACGTTTTCTCGAATCTCGTTTGCCGCGTTCGCGAAAGTTGTCACGTAAAAAACTTTGAAATGCATACGCGTATTGCGACACGGGAAAGGAAACATCCGCTCTCGCAGGGGTCCAATATCTGCCCGGCGCATCTAGTCGTTCTCGAACCGGCGGGGATCGCCGGTTCGCCGAGAAAGTTATCAAAGACGCGCATCCGTCCACGTGGGATTTCTACAGCCGCAATAGTTACGCAAGATACGACGCGCTCGATAAACTCGCGTATCCTAGAACCAGCGCGTCGATTCGACGCCAAGCGCTCCCGCCGCATGTTGCATCGAGCCCGGACGATACTTGGAAATCGAGCCGGAGCCGAGTAAAACGCGGACACGGAGATAATCTGACAAATAAATCTGCAGAAAAGTATCTCCCCCCCCCCCACCCCCACCCCTCTCGGGGGCCCTGTGAAAAACGGGGCGCTCCCCCTTCAAGCGGAGTTCGGCCACAGTGCGGCCATTGTGCGAGGGAATGCGAGGAATATTCAGAGCATGCCACGTCGATAGATAGAAGAGATAGTCCGAATGACGACGGGGCAATCCCGTCCCAGGATAATGGTGTCCTCGAGCGAACACTCGAAAGCGAGCGGCATCGGGCTGCATCGATGACCTGGAATGCGGGACCAGAATTCGGTTGACAAGTCGGCCCCCGGGCTAGCTTTTTTGCTCGTCGCGATGTGCGTCTTGGACGCGCACCTGTGTCGCGTTGCCATCGGGATGCCATCGGCGATGCCCGGCGGATCGTCGGCAGCGCCAACGATAGAGCGGAGACCAAGACACTTCTTCTCACGGCGGCGAGCAAATCCATGCCACGATGAATTCGCTAGGTTCTTATAGGAGGTTCGATCGAAGAGAGTAACGAGAATTTTTTATTTTCTCTTTTATTTAATCTTCAATGTTTATCCCATCTCCCTCAAAGTAGCCCCCCTGTGATATTATACACTTACGCCAACGTAGCTTCCAGTTCCAGAGAAACACTGGTGAAACGCCTCCTTAGGTATAGGTCTTGAACTGAATCCGCTGGACTTCGCCTTTTGATCTCATCTATTGTTGATAAACATGTTGTCCTTTGGAGTTTGGGAAATAGGAAAAAGTCACGGAGGGAGCCATGTCTGGAGAATAAGATGGTTTTGCGGCATCACAACACGGTGTAGTGTCTCGCCAAGAACTGTTGGATATGCAAAGTGCGGTGTACTCTCTGATCCAACATTTCTCCGCACAAAAAATCGCCAAACACAAATTAAGCGTCCTGCCTGAATATTGACACGTACGTCGCTGGTGGTGCTACCAACCGCAAAACAAAAGAATCAACTGAATAGACAAGATGCAGCGCGCGCAATTGCAAAATTCTCCTTACTTTTCGATGAAACCTCCGTACCTCCGAGTCGCTCTCAGCCGGCGTAAACGACGTCCGTTCGGACGAACATTTCGCGCGACATTGCCTAATGGGAATTCCCCATTGAATATGCAAATTGCGTCTCGATCCTCTCACTTTTACGTTTCGTCGCTCCGCGGCTTGCGTTTCAAGCAAATCCGCGCGACGCGGCTTATTTATAATGCACGTATGCTCGCGCGCGCGTTTAATATTCCACGAGTTATTCGCGGATAATAACATTATGTAAATCGAAGTCGCTCCAGAAGGCACTTTCAGGAATTATGACACTACCGTTTCCGCGAGATCGCCGCGAGATACGCACGTGACGTTTTTCACCGTTTTTATTCATAGTTCACTGGAGATACGAGAGGCGAACAGAACGTCGCACACGGGCCGAATGTGTGTGTGTGTGTGTGTGTGTGTGCGTGCGCGCGCGCGCATCTCGTTTGTCTTTGGAAAGATTAATAAGAAAGGCGTGCGTCAGCAACGGGAAAGTGAACTAGAAAGGGGCACACGCGCGCAGCAAACAATAGACAATGGACGCGACGAAAGAGCAAGCGTAGGGTACACCACTCGCGTGTTGCCGCGCGATAGCTTTTGATAGAATTGTAAAATTGAGCGGTCTATCGCTGGTAATCGCACGTTGAGTAGAGCGCGCAGCGAGCGGCTGACTCTCCGGCGAGAGAGGAGAATCCAGCTTCTTGCTGTGAATGAAAAAAGGCTAGCCCGAGCTAAAAGAGCCCCCCGTCGCTTGTGAGCGATCTCAGTCGCATCGGTCGGAAAGAAATACGTGCGACAATTGAGAGAGACTACTGCCATAAGCTCTCTCAGTCTCGACTCTCATGGAATAACGACGTTCTTGTTTTCAGGGATCAGGATGCGGTGGATCGGTTACGTGGCCACGATTCTCTGGTGGTCGGGCATCGCCAGGTCTTTCAGCACGCTGAATCGAGGTCACAGTCAGTAATATTCCTTTTGGTGATTTAAACGCACGTTTCGGTATCCGCGGCATCTCTCTGTACTGTGTGTGCGTGTGTTTGTGTGTGTGTATGTGTGTGTGTGTATGTGTGAGCGCGTTCATCTGTGCTTTCGGTCGCGCGGACGCCGCCGTGTCTCTTCCGCGTGTACTTTCGAGTGACCGTCGCAGCAGCTGCTGTCGTCCTCTCTCTCCTTCCTGTTCTTCATCTTCTCCCCCCGAGTTCTCTCTCTCTCTCTCTCTCTCTCTCTCTCTTCTGCCCTCCCTTTACGCGGCGTCTCTCTTTCTCTTCGGCCGAAGGTTCCCCTTGAATGTGTAACGCTTAATTGGAAGGAGAACTCGGTCAAGGTGCAGTCGGTCGTGCACGAGCGTGAGAAAAGAAAAGCGAAAGAAGACTACTACTTTCTTTTTGTTTCGGACGAAGGGAGAGAGAATGGGAGAGGAAAAGAGGAAGAAAGAACAAAAGAGGGGGAGAGGGAGGTTTTATCTAATACTTTTAACCGCTCCCAGATAATTGACGTGCGCAATAATGATCGGCTGTGATCTTTGCCGCGCGCGCGCGCGCGCGCGTTGCAAATCAGGCCATCCTCGCTCGCGATGACTTCGCAATCAGGATAATCGTCAACAAATTGGAATACAGCGGCATAACGTTAACGTGTGGCTTTCACAGTAGATCCGCGGTTGTTCCCGCAACGGGAGCCCGCGTATCTCCGCACGCGAAGTACGTATCGGGAGCGAAGCGTTTCCAGCGCTTTCCGCGATCGAATCGGCGCACAGTGAGGCCAGATGACATTTTTTGCTTCAAAATTCTCCAGAGACCTGAATTTTCAACCGATCCATCGACACCGATGGGTACGAGGTTGATCCTGAATAAATCCCAAAGAGATCTGTCCAGCCGAGATTGGGACAAAATTATCGGTTCAGGGTTTGTGTGAAAAGTTTCGAGGCTCGAACTTAATGTTTTACAGCTGAATATTCAACGTCGGGTATTATTAGGTTCTCGAGCTGTGGCTAGATCGGGCTCTTGGACTATTTGAGGCTCTTAATATATACGGCTTCATGCATCCACGAGCTAAAAAGTTCTCGGATTGATAGATTCCTAGGTCGATGGGCTTGAGACTCAAAACCTCCCGCCGGTTTTGTGCTTAACGGGTCTATATTTGATGCTTTTGTATTTTGGGCTTATGAATTTTGGGGAATAATGGGTTTCTGAGTCAAGATCGATAAATCTCGAGGTGTCTGCTGATTGATTTCATAGTTTCAATCCGTTGAGCACGCTATTAGAATAGAAATTATTTCACAAGTTTCTTGCGTTTAACGCGATAATTTTTCCTCTTTTGGGGCTGGTAATTCGAGAAAAAAATTTTTTTCTCTTTAATTTTGCCAAGACAGATATCTCTTCGGAATTTATTCAGGATCAAGCTCATCCATTGGTGTCGATGATCGGTCGGAAATACAGGTCTCAGGAATTTCCAACCAAAGAATGTCACCTGGTCCCACTGGTGCGGCGGACCAACGGCGCGTGCCAACTGCCGATATACTATAATTTCATTTTTCTTCTCTTCCTTTTTCTCTCCGCCTATCTATCCGTCTGTCTGTCTTTCTCGAAGCCGACTCAAGCGCTTCCCTTTATAACGTAACGCATCCGCGCGGTGCAAGCTGACACGATCGTGTTTCTAACGGAGAAAGCGACTACGCGGCGAAGCTACTACCGTCGTCGCCGCGGTCGTAATTCACGTTGGCCCGAGTCTTAGCATGACTCGGTTAATGACTCGGCCCAGGTCTACGTACTCCTCTCTTCCAGTAATTAAGTTTCATTTTTTTCTTTTCCTCTATACACGATATCTCACGCGCACCTCGGCAAGTAGTACACTTTCACCGAACTTGACGGCGAGATTGGACATGGAGCGTAACGTCTATGACAGTGTAATTGTCGATCACGACGTGACCTATCGTTCCCTTACTGTGCGACACGACGTCACGCAACGCGTTATCCTTTAATACATCCATCGGATTTAATGTGTATAATTTCGCCGGCCAAAGAGCTGCTTCGTTGCTTTCGTCCTTTCGAGAGAGAGAGAGAGAGAGAGAGAGAGAGAGAGAGAGAGAGAGAGATGCACATCAGAAACGTCAGTTTCCGAGGAATGACATGCCGTCGTTGAACATGCCGACGACGGTATGATCGGTGTATTCGCTCGCTTTCATCGCTTTCATCTAATACAATACACGATTCCCGCCGGCTTCTGGATTCTAGCGGCGAGCAACGTACACCTAGCGCGAAATTAGAATCGGACGATTACGTTTAGCAGTAAACGTAAATATGGAGCGACCGTTCATTATTCATCGGCTTTGACTTGCTCACATCGAGCAAGCCTTCAAGGCTCGAGCCGCGAACACGCGTTGCGCGCGTTTGCATTTGCATTCTTCCGGTCGGCCGTTGGAAACGCTAAACGCGCCGAATAATCGACGCCGAGTCGTGGTTGTCTGACCGCAGGTTACAAAATCAGTCCGAAGCCCTGCAAGGTGCCCGGTTCTGAGGGCAAGGAAGGCACGTGCATGTTCGTGTGGGAGTGCATCAAGTCCGAGGGCACGCACGTTGGCGTGTGCGTGGATACTTTCATGTTTGGCAGTTGCTGCATGCACAACACGACGGTAAACGCGATAAGCTCGTCGCAACAGCAGCAGCAGCGCCCGCATCATACTCATCATACTCATCCTCATCATCATCAGCAGCAGCAGCAGCACCATTCGTCGTCGAGTACGCTCAGGCCGAGCCTGCTCTCAGCGGAGTCAGTCGGGAACGAGTCGACCAGACTGACGTCAACTTCCCTCTCGAGCCCCTCTTCGTGGATAGCGTCGAGTACGGCTAGACCGAGTCTCCATCACTTCTCAGAATCTCACAGTCCCATCGGAGGCTCGACCAGACCGATGAAACCATTCGCGAACGGGCTCGCGCGACCCTTGCAGAAGAGGCCGCATGCCAAGCCGACGTCCGAGCACGACGTCGACAGGTCGCAGACTCCCGCGATACCCTCCGCGTCTTCGTCCTCGTGGGCCGGTGGGAGACCGCAGGAGACCAAGAGGCCCGCTCATCACCACGGCGCTCATCTGCACCAAAAGACCAGGCCGGGCGCGGTAACGGTCAGCGAGAAGCCTTCGTCTGGCCCGAGTCAAGCGGGCTTCAAGGATAAATTGGACGTTACTCACAATACGTTGGTGGTGCGTCTGCCGGGAAAAGAGCACGCGTCGGCGGAGGACGAAGAAGTCGCCGGATCGACTCCCAGCAAGCCGCCGAACAAGCCGAACAAGCCGGGGGGAAAGCCCAGCAATAATCAGAGGCCCTTCGAATCGAGACCGGATGACGGCAAGACCGAAGATGCCGATCTCACCGTGCAAGAAACGATACACCGGCCGAACGTTAATTCCGTCATGGAGAGCGTAAGGATAAAGATTGATTCTTTTGTCTCTTCGTGTTGCATACAAAAGTTTACGAGTTCGGCTCGAAGCGTCGTTAGACGGATGTCAATTTATATATTTTACAAATTATAACGCTGTTATATCACACGAGTACACAGGTACGGTAGCGAATGCGTCGAGAGGCATTCTTTAATTTGTCGCGACATTGTTTAGCTTATTATTTTCATACATTTCAGCGAGAGATGATGCTGATGACAAAACAATGTTCCGCGAAATAATATTTCTACATGCACCGTCTACGTGCACGACGTATAATGCACGACGGATAATAACGCCGTTACTTTCCGCTCGCGTCGCGAGCGGTTAGTTTAATGGAATATCGATCTTCTGCCAGGAAACGGCGAAGGAGCCTCCTCATCCGAGTTTGAATTTCATACACACCGAGCGACCGCACTGGGCGACCAAACCGGCGCAGTCGAAACCGACGACGGATTTCTCCAAGCCTTACTTCTCCATCAAAACGACCACCTACCGGCCAATCTCGATAAGCAGCCAAGCAGATCATCGGCCGAATTTCATCTCGAAACCGAATACTTGGTCACTGTCCACAAAAACGTCAACGACGACCGCTCGACCGACGTACATGAGGCAGCCTTCCACTAGGTATGAGATTTGCTTTCGAATCGTCTTATTCTGCGCACCGCGCAGATATGCAGTATTCAAATTTCAGGCTTTAAATTGCAGGCTTTAAATTATATGTAATATATACGCTTAACTACCATTTCTTAATCGTCTGCAAAAATAAAATAATATTTAAATTGCAATTTTTATACGACCTATCATCCACGTATCCATCCACGTATTGTGGTATTGTGGTATTGTGCGTCTCTCCTCTCCTCATATTATCGCGAGAAAGAAATAAGACTGCAGCGTCATATTGGCAAAATCGAGCGTCGGACTCGTATCGTTACGTATCGGACTCAACTTCAAATTTGTCTTTCATTCTAGCGCAGCCGGATCCATACCACAGACCTCCCATTGGCAAGTGACTACAGAACCTGCCTTCGTCACCAAGCAGAAACCGTTACCGTCGTCATCGTCATCGTCGTTCTCTTTGCCTTCGTCATCATCGTCATCATCGTCGTTATCGTCTTCGTCGACGCTGTTCTCCTTCTCTTCATCGCCGTCCTCATCGTCATCGTCATCGAAACCGATAACCACGATCACTGCATCAGAGACCGTAAGAGTACCGCCTTCAAGTACGAGCTCTCATTTCTGGTCGAACAGCTGGACACCACCTAGACCGTCCTTGAAACCACATTGGACGGACAATCCTGGTCTTCTTCAGAACGGCCCCGAGAACTTCCCGCTACGACCGAGCTTCAAGCCGACCGAGTCGTTGCAGGTACGTTCACATTGACACTTGCCTCCTTTGAACATAGACATTTATGTAATAAATCTCCTGGATATCTTCGTCTCAGAGAAACCGTCCAAGCTTCATCACCTCACGTGAAAGCAATGATGTTAATAGGCTGGCTTTCCGCATTAGCACGTTTCTCCTTCTGTTTTAGAGTACCGAGTACCAGAAACCTCTGGGCTCGGCGCACTACATAACGACGTCCCACTTGGAGACGTCAACTAGGCCGCGGCCGACGAAGAAAACCACAACGCTCAGTACCGCGTCTTCCACATTGACGTCCTCGACCACCACCACCACCACCACCACCATCACCACCACCAGTACCACCGCCCCGAGCAGCAGCGGCAGCGGCAGCGGCAGCGGCAGCAGCAGCAGCAGCAGCAGCAGCAGCAGCAGCACAGCCAACCCGATGACCGCGATGGCAACAATGACGACGACTACGACCAGCGCGAACACCGCGAGCGTCGCCACCACGACCCAAGGATCATCATCATCAAGCACCGGTGCCGAAGCACCGGCGGCGGCGGCGAGCGAGAAAACAGGTTCGGTGATGACAGTCGCGGCCGCTGACGAGAGCAAGGGCATGCAGTGCGGCGTGCCGCCGTTATTTCCTCGGCCGGAAACGAGGATCGTCGGCGGTAAGGACGCGCCGTTCGGCCGGTGGCCTTGGCAAGTGTCCGTGCGCCGCACCTCCTTCTTCGGTTTCTCGAGCACCCACCGATGCGGCGGCGCGGTGCTCAACGAGAATTGGATCGCCACGGCGGGTCATTGCGTCGACGAGTGAGTCTCCGCTTGCATTCTTCTCGGTGGAGGTGGACGAGGTAGACCGTTCCAAACATCCTTGTCCTCTTGCCCTTCTTGCGCAGCTTGCTGACGTCGCAAATCCGGATACGAGTCGGCGAGTACGACTTCTCGTCGGTGCAGGAGCGGCTGCCCTTCGTGGAGCGCGGCATCGCCAAGAAAGTCGTGCACCCCAAGTACAACTTCTTCACGTACGAGTACGATTTGGCGCTGGTGCGGCTCGAAAGTTCCTTGACCTTCGCGGCGCACATCTCGCCCATCTGCCTGCCGGCCACGGACGACCTCCTCATCGGCGAGAACGCAACGGTTACCGGCTGGGGAAGGCTGAGCGAGGGCGGCACGCTGCCCTCGGTATTGCAAGAGGTAATTGCACAGCTTGGACAGTCTGTTGTTGTTGAATCGCCCACGCTCGACGCTTGCTTGTACGATCGATCTCTCGACTCCGCCAGGTCTCCGTGCCGATAGTGAGTAACGACAGGTGCAAATCGATGTTCTTGAGGGCTGGCAGGCACGAGTTCATACCGGATATCTTCCTCTGTGCCGGTTATGAGACTGGTGGGCAAGACTCGTGCCAGGTATGGCGTGCAAACAGGATAGGAATCGCGCTCACTGCTGCGCGCGGAAACCAACTTCCGTTGGGAAGCGCTTGGGAGTCTCTGATGTTTCTCCGGTGTTCCGCAGGGCGACTCCGGTGGTCCTCTTCAGGTTCGCGGGAAAGACGGCAGATACTTCCTCGCTGGCATCATTTCCTGGGGTATCGGATGCGCGGAGGCCAACCTGCCTGGTGTCTGCACGCGGATCTCCAAGTTCGTACCGTGGATCTTGAAGAATGTCACCTGATCTGCTCTACCTAGACCGTAGAACAGTGGGGAAATCTGGCGAAGTTCATTCGCATGCGCAAGTAAGCGATTCGCTATGTGTCGGCACGTGAACGGCACGTGAACGTCAAAAGACGTCATCCTACTGCCTCTGATCGTAAATGTGAGCGCGTCTTACTGTATCATTTGCATTTATTTATTTGCATCTACACTGCCGCTCGCGAAGTAACCGCGTGGTCATACACATACATACACACACACACACACAGATATATTTCGCACTGGAGAGAGAGAGAGAGAGAGAGAGAGAGAGAGAGAGAGAGAGAGAGAGGGAGAGAGAGAGGGGGAGAGAGAGAGAAAGAGAGAGAGAGAGAGAGAGAGAGAGAGAGAGAGAGAGAGAGAGAGAGAGAGAGAGAAAACCTCGTCCGCTCATCATCGTCAAATTATCAGATAGTCGTTCCAGAGCGACGTATGCGAAATCCCGTGTGCATTGTAACAGCACACTGAACTGTATTTATATATAAATCTATAAATAAGGAAATAATATATTTGCTAGATTAAGTTAATAGTTAGGTAACCGAAGGAAGTCTGAGTTGTAATAAAGAGATCGAAGGAGTATGACCGATAGACTAAAGGGTACGTCGTTACCATTGTTGTCACTTTACTCCGAACACGAACGTTGCGACACACTTGCGCTTTTCCGGCGCAAAGCATCGAGTGAATCCACCAGCAATAGCTACAAAACTAACTCGTATTCTTGTTGAGAGACCAATTTCCAAGTCAGACGATATTGCGGGCTCGTTACAGGACTCGAGGACAAATTGACACGCTGGTCGAAGAATCGTCGAGGAAGAAACTGAGAAGAATCGCAAGAGATACGTCTGAACCTTTGTAATCACCATAATTTTGTAATTTTCATAATTTTTGCAGCAAACGCATGATAAACACCTGCCTGCTTTCTCATCTCCGTCAATTAGTCAAGGTGCGTTAAAATTCTTGCCCTTGCTCGCTCTGTGGCGTGAAGTAACTCGGAACGTTCTTCCAAATGCTCAATCCTGCACACTTCAGGTTACACACTGCCTCTCTTTCTTATCTTTATATTTCTTTATTTACAAATATAGGAATTTTGTACAGAGCACGTTATGTTAATTGCGTATGTTCGATAATAGTTGCGTGCGAGAAAGAGAGAGGAGTCTACATTATAAAGTATAGAACTATTTATAAGTATCGCCAAATAAACGAGTGTTTATTTAAAAACTTTCAAGCGCAAACCGTAGATACACGTCCCTACAGTATTCTCGAATTGAGCGGGTCGTCCACTCGACCGGCGATTAGACTCACCGAAGTCTCGGTATCGACGATGAAGTAAAGGAAAGGATGCATAGCCGTGAAAGGCACCGGCCCAGCTCTCTCGAACAGACCGTTTCCTGAAAAAGATTCGTGTCCATCTTACAGAACAGCCTGGCTATTTCCACCACGAATCATCATTCTGAATTTATTTCTTTTCTTTGTTCTTTTTCTTTTATAAGTGTTGCGCTTATCCCAGAGTACGTTATGTTCTACACACAACGGAAGATACTGGAATAACCAAACACACATGCACACATCAGAGCCGCATCGGCACATGTTCGGCATAAGAAAATTTCTCCGCAGAAAATTTCCTGTTAAGTATAGGAGAGTCATTTAGTTACAAGTATCTTTTTTCATCGGCACGTTTAGCCGATGCAGCCTTTCAGCCATGCGTAACACGAAGTGTCTATTTCTCGTGTTGTTCTACCACACACGGTGCGGAGGAATTAAGGAGATGCCTGAAGTGGTACGAGAGATCATCATCCAAGAGGTATGAACGTTAACGTACGGTTAATGTGGTTAGTTTCATTAATTTGAAAAAGAAAGATTAAACATTTCGAAACGATCGATCGGTGTGTTCTCTGTTTGCTGATTTTTAGACTCTTAGATCTTCGGACCATTAACTCTTATTGTCAGACAAAGCAGCACACTCTTCCTTTCACCGAGATGACAAAACTTTTTGTTCGAGAACAAGCGCTACGAGATTCGGTATCATTATCACAGCGAGTCCACAAGAAAAAAGAAAATAACAATATTCGGTACGGTGAAAAGATTATTCCATTTTTCCAAAGTAATTGCCTCTTCCAACTATACGTAAAACGAATAATTTCATTAATCAAGTTGAGAGATATCAATCGAACGGTATTTTACATATGACTCTGCTATTTTCTCGTTTTTTCTTTTTTCTTTTTTCTTTTTCTTTTTTTAATCTATCAATGCTATTATTATTTTTTTAACGCGCCGCTAAGATATAATATACGACAAAGATCAGATTATCGTGTCACACTTTTCGTGTAAATTGAACCGACAGTTCTCTCGCCCGAATTTTCTCTTACCGAATTTTGCCGTATTGTTGTACACCACTTTATTTGAGAGAAGGGGGTGCGCCAGGTAAAAAGTAGTGCAAAGGAAAAATTTCTCGGAAACGTTTGTAACGCCACAGCGATTCAGAAATCCTCGGTGAATGTAAAAAGAGATGGCGCAAGGTCTTTTTATTGACTTCCTTCGCGGGCTCAAGCAGGATATCAGCAATTAAATTCAGTGAACTGAACAACAATACTGAGAATATTCCCGACGGTAATCGATAGTCTTGCTCATTGGCGAGAAAATAGATTTTGCCCAGTTACGAACTAACAGCTCGAACTTGTGTACGTTATGGCATATTGGCGTTAATCGCACCGCGTCACAATTTTCAACGATATATTCTACAATTTGAAATTTAAATCTTTCGAACGAAAAATGTGTATTTTCGAAAAGACATACTCTTAGCTCTGTATTGTCATCTCTTCTTCTTCTTCTTCTGTTTCCTTCGAAACGTGTGCCGAGAAATTCCAATTATTATCGTAATATATGACTCTTTCAAAAAATAACATTCGATACTCGATACAGTACAAGTACAGACGAGTACAGAGAGTAGCTTGTCTAACGACCGCGTCTCTCTTTGGCAATGTCTCAATCGTAAATAAGAATAGGAAACGTTTTCGCGTATAATTGCGGAGACGCAGGAACGTTTTCGACGGCGCTTCAAAGCGCTGCGAAGTGGGTGCTTGCGTGCTGCTGTTAACAACAGCATTAAGCAATAACGATCTAGCGGAACACGAGAGAAGGAGGAGCGGCGGGAGGTGGATTCCGAGTGATAGCGGAGAAGAGAGAAGAGGAATGCAACGTGGAGGAAGGAAAGCAGGTACGGGCCAGGTAGGCGCCAATAGTAACGGCCGTCGTCGGGCACGTAGAGGAACGGTTTACAAATAATGCGCACGTTTCTGGAGAGCTCTCGAGCCGTGCGCGTGACATCGCAATTTCACTCCGGCTAATGCGTCCGGATATTGCGTCAACGTAATTATTTCTCCGAACATTATCTCCGACGCGATTCTACAGCGACTCCGAGGCGTCGCTCCGCTTTTCCGCTTGTTTCCTCTCCGGCGAGTCAGACAGAGAGCCGCGGGTCGCGCGCTCGCCTGTGAGCGAGTTTAATGTTCGATTATTTGAACACCCGGGACGTTTCCAGGTAGACCAAGAGTAGCAGGTAATTTCAGACGCTGTCTGAACACGTCAGCTCGATTGATAGACGGACGCCCGGCTCATGCTTAATGACAGTGCCACACCTATTTTATTTGCAAGCAAGAGGAAGCGATTCATAAGCGGCAAAAAGCGAGAAAAAATTGAGCATTTAGCTGGGGAAAAATAAAGCGAGCACACACAAGCGTAGCGCTGTGTACGGAATTATACTAATTGCGCTTTTAAGTCGAGGACGTACATATTAGGGAGCGATGGAAGCGATTACCGTTACCGCCGGGTAATTGAAAAGAGGAGTGCGATAGTGCATTAAAAGCATAATAGAGTAAAAGAACCTGGAGATCGATATCGATAATAGTCCCTTCGAGGTGGAACGATCGAGGGAGGTTCGACATTAGACGACTCACGAGAATGCGTTCGGTCAGGTTTCATATAATTCCTTATATTGACCCCTATACTCTGCTGCACGTCCCTGGCGTATACGCCGAGATCGGCTGTCATGGGTGATAAATCGGCCACCCTTGGCTCGAATACGTCCAGAATTCCCAACTGTGAAGGAAAGAACGAAAGAACGCAAGAAGCGAGCGTACGAAGATGGGCGTATGAGTTGCGACAAATATTGACGCGCGCATCTCTCTATCTTGACGTTATTTTTTTTCCTCAATCTCAACGTTTCTTAACTCACCAAAAATGTCTTCCTTTTGTGAACAAAATATATCCTCTCTGGGAGAATATTTTAAAAATAATAAAATGAAGATGCGTGTGGTGTTAAAAATTTTGCTCAGAGATGACGTTTTCCGACAATATCGCAGACAAAATTCTCTGGAATTCTTCCGCAACTCCTAGCAAGAGGCGTGATTTGCCTGGAAATCTTCGAAGCGGAAAGAAGGAAGTGAAAAAGTGTAAAAGCTACACAGGCTGCTGCGCGCGTGATTCGTCGGTCGTGACGACGCGACGCGTCCAACGTCTGTAACACGACATCGGCGGAGTACGTTGGCTACACTTACCCTCTGTAAAAATGACGTCAGTGTGACAAAACCGCGTAACATGAACGAAGGTATGGTGGCCCTGACCCAAGTAGGTTGTAATCGCTTCCTCAACAATCTCAACGACTTCCCGCTGAGATCTCTCGCCAGACGATGCGTGTCCGTTCTGTCCGTCGGCATTAGGAGTATGATATTGTATCGCGGATCCTCGAATATTAAGAGAACAACAAGGATTGTTGCGTGTCGCTCAGTTGTCTCGCCGCGCGGCAATTCGCAGGTATTTTTTCAATTAAATTTAATTCAAACTTTTAATTCCCCCTTGCAACTTTTAACTTTTGAAGCGACTGTGATCGCGCCCAAAATCTGACTCCGGCTGGCTGAAATATCATGTCTCCCGACTTCAGACGACGCGATTGCAAAAGTTCGAGCACTAAATCGAAGACAGTCCTGGTTTCGGATCCCAGGCAGATCGCGACGCGCCGAATCATTTTCGTTCGGTTAGACTTACGTCCAGAGGAAACTCGAGCGCGACAGCCTGCAACGACGGGAAGTACGCGAAAGGCAGCACGGCGGTGTATCTGGAGCCTGACACCGAATAAGCGTCGCAACCGTTCACCAGAAACGTTATTTCCGACGTCGAATCTTCGGGGGATTCCCTCGGGCTCATTGTGCTGTAGGATTTCCAGATGTCTAAGTCCTGCATCCAGATGCCTTCGTCTGAAAAACAACAAGTGCGAACCCCACCGATCCGGCGCTTTTATGGGAAAACTCTCTTTGACTCTGACTGATAATTGCGCTCACAAGTGATAATTTCGTCAAATGCTTCCGAATGCTTCCTCCCGGGCAACAGCAAATATTTACCCCGTGCATTCGACGTGATTCGAGATTCGTCGAGCACACATCATAGACGCATCATCAGAGAAAGATAGCCGATAATCGTTCATACCTGGATAACTGGAAAAATATCCGCGCGGACTTCTCGTTCTGCGTTTGCGATTATCGCGCGTCGATTCATCTTTAACGGTACTGTCGCTCGTTATATCCTCCATCTTCGATTTCAATTCGGTGACTTCGACCTCAATTGATTTCCTCCTTCGACCCATCGCGACGGTGTTCTCACCCGTGGGAGAAGGCGCGACCGTTTGATTACCAATCGACGTGGATGTCGCGATTGCGGAATTATCCGAATTCCCGGCGAGATCGTTCAGAGTCCCGTTGCTCGCTGCGACAGGTGATATCATCGTCGTCGTCGTTTCTGGGCTTCCCTCGGGGCTGATCGGTGCCGTGGTACCATCGGCATCGGCATCGGTCATCGACGCCGTCGTTAAACCGATCGTAGTAATAGTCACTCCCGAGGTATCCCCGGCCGGACCACTCGTGCTTGTCGGCTCGGCGTTCTGTTGCGGGACAATGCTGTTAGCCATCATCGTCCCAGTGACGGGATTCGGGATAGTCACGCTCGCGGTATCTGGAGTTATCGGTGTCACGGTGGCCGAAGAATTCGAGGTAGCGGTATCCGAGATCTCGCCGGTAACGGTCGCGTTCGCGGCCGTCGTGTCGGCGACAATCGCACCAGCGCCAGCTGTCGTCGCTTCGGTCCTCGTCTCTACAGTCGACGAGTCCGAGCTGCTCGCGTTCGTTACGACCGGCGTCGACTCGGCGGTGCTCGTACCGAACGTAGAAGGAACCTCAGTATCGGCACTCATCAGCCGCGTCGTAGCCGCGCTGGCCGGCGGTGCTTGAGTGCTCATCGTCGGCACGTCCGTCGCGATATCGCCGGCGTATACTGTTGTTGGCATCGGGGGTGTCTGACTGCCGGCGACCACGACCATGGTCACCGTGCTCGCGCTAGCTTGGCTGTCCATGGACGTCGAGGTCTGCCCGATGTTTAGCGGTGTAGTCGTAGTCATACTAGGTGGAGTCGCGACGCTGCCCGTAGCAGCGGACGGAGGTGGCTGGGCACCTCCTTCGTCGGGAACGACAGCGGTTGGAGAACTCGCGATAGGTGCGCCCGGAGGCGGTGTCGTTGGCACGTTGGCGACGGTTGCCGCTGCGGTCGACGGGGCGAGCGTCGTCTCCGCAGCAGCGACCGAAGAAGAGAGCGTCGCGACGGCACCCGTGACCGCTGACGTCGTCGTGTCCGTCGCACTCCCGGCGCTCGTCGTCTCGGCCGGCAGCTCGGTCGTAGTCGACCTGTCCTCCACGCTAACGGTTACGTTCGCCTCTTGTTCAATGCTCGACAGATCGAAGCCGTAAAACCTCAGAATGTCCTCGTATTCGGGCCGGAGCCTGGTGTTCTCCCGACTTAGCGTCAGCCCACCCAGAAATCCGTCGGCGTTCAGGTAGCTCTTGAAATTAACACGTCAACTTGTGAATGCAACAATTGATTACTCGCACAGCATCCTACCTCTCTGCACCCTCATCGAAATCTACAACAACAGTCGCGGATTCTTTCGGCAGGTAGGACCAAGGTCGTTTACGTTCGCGATCGTTACGACTCGCGAGTAACGTTAAATTCGCATGAGAAGAGTGACACGCGGCAAAGGTACAGGAGGGAGTTGTGTTCTTCGGGACAACCAACAGTCGTCTAAAGATTAAGGGGACTGGAAGGTCAGATTATTGAAAAATCGTGCCGGTTTTCGATAATATTTTATTTGACGAACTGAATAAATGTGCAAGAATGAAAATTTTACATATATTTACGCAACATATGAAGAGTAGGAAAATTTTGTTTATTAACAAATATTCATATAAATGTACGTCCACTTAAATTTTAAACGCGTTTCTCTCGAAATTCTATTGTTCAACTTTTTGCACCGATTTCTCCGAAACTGAGCTTCGTATCGATTTGAAATTTTAAAGCAATAATATTTTTGTTCATCCGGCTCTCGGATGAACCATGGACAATTACGCGAAAATATTTCATTTCGAGATATTAATTTTTTTATTGTAAAGGAACGGAAAAATGTGGATTTTTTCCTAATAATAGCTGCCATTTCGTTAATTTTGTTCGATTTCTTTTTCTAGTGGTTCACCGGACAATAATATCGGACCATCGAGAGCCGAGATATTAAAACGCAAAAACGACAACTTGAAAAAACAGGAGAGTATATTTCAACTATCTATATATCGTATATATATCTATTGTGAGTATTTGTTAATAAACAAAATTTCTCTACTCTTCAGATGTTGTATAAATATATCTAAAATTTTCATTCTTGCACATTTATTCGGTTCGTCACAAAATATTATGAAAAACAAGCACGATTTTTCAGCAGTTTCTGACTCTCCAGTCCCCTTAAGTCCGAAGACTAAGGACTAAGGTCTTCCGGTAAGGTATTCCTGTAGGATGCCTTAAACGTTCGTTTATTCGGGATCTTACTCTCAATCGTCGATGAATATCCCTGAAGCCGATCCTCGTGACGTCCCGGTCGGCTGGTAATCCCATGGCGTCGACGATCTGCTGGCTTCCTCTACCAGCGGACCCTTCGTAGAGCGCCGCCAACACGAAGGCAACCCCCGTGGGGGAGAACGCCACGTTCCCATGACTGGAATATCGCTGGAGAATCTTCACCCCGAGATCGTTGATGACGTCGGTGATCAAGTCGACCGGACGCCTCGTATCCCCGCGATACCAAGGCTCGTACGTATAAGCGAACGCGGACGACACTGCTGCAACATACAGCATCGGTGAACCTTCAAGATCAAGACATGCCGGGACCTTCTCTGGACCTTCTCGTTAACGAGTCGTTAAATTCGTCTGCGAATTGAAGCCTGCCTGGAGGTCCGACCGGCGGCGACCTTCAACTTTCTCCTCTTGGACTTTAACGCGGTCTCCTTTTAATCCTGCCACCGCGGCGGGACTCCCTCTTTGTGCGATCCATAATGAAGGAAAATTCCGGAGAGAACAGCACCTCCTGTTCGTCTGTTAACCTCGTTTAACCGCATTTTCGTCGTGAAAACAAATACGCTGCGTGAAATGTTGCCCGGCAACGGCAAAGGAAGGCAATTCAATTTTCAAGCTAGCCCAGCCTGACCGACCGTGATCTGATTGGACCAATACTAAAACACCGCGGTATGTCGCAAAGTAATCGAAACGGCCTTACGTACGCTGCAGTACCACGATCCAGTGCAACGGCTTGCCCATCGTTTCCGGTCGCTGCTTCCTCGCTGTCCGATCGTTGCGCCGAGCCGGAGTCCGGGACGCGATCTAGCCGGTTCTATTAGGATTAGCCTTAGTCGTTCGCGCTCTACGTCGGAACTGGCTCACGTTGGAACGCGCTAGGCCGGCAGCTCGCCGCCGAGGTTTGATTAAGACCCGCTCAAGGCCCGTCCGAGGCGCCCGCTGGAGGCCCGCTGGAGGCCCGCTTCGAAGCCCGCCGATTACTACCGCAACTTCTTAAGTGCTAAGGTCGTAATCCCCGTTAAATCGCGCACATAGCTTCCCTCCCCCGGCCGCCAGTCAATTCCTCTCTTCCCCGAGATTTTTGCATAATTTCACTCCCGAACACCGCCGAGCATGAGAGAGAGAGAGAGAGAGAGAGAGAGAGAGAGAGAGAGAGCGAGAGAGAGAGAGAGAGAGCGTGTTGGCTGCCTCGCGCGTGTCTCGCGCCTTAGCGCGATCGCATTTTCTTAGCGGGCATTCGCCGGTCAGGCCCGGGAATTTCCAAACTAGTCGTTGCACGCGCCTTGCTTGCGGGTGTTGTTGGCGGGTATTTAACGTTAAACGCGAAGAAAGAGTGGCGCGAGCTGAATCTCTGAGCGGGCGAGTCGCTCTTTCGTTTATGCAATCGCTGTGCGACAATGATAACAGATTCGTCGTAGCGTGCGCCCTGAATTTCGAGAAGAGACGAGGATGTATTCTTGCATTATCTTGTACGACAGTACGCAAGAAGGTATACGAAGGTGAGAGACACATCAGGTCCCCGGTCGAATTTCGCGATGGACCAGAGTGCAGCGTAGCGCGAATATTCTCAACGGAAAAACGGCATTCCACGCGCGCGCCGTTCTTCGACGCGCCCGTCCGCCCGTCGCGGGTTATTCCCCGGAACAGAACACAAATGTTATCCGAAGAAATGCGGATATCGCGCTCGATAACGGTAGTAGCGGAGCCAGGAGCTGCGGAGGAAGAGGCGCACCGCAGTGAAGAGAAGATGTTGCGCTTTCGACTGATCCGAGCGGGAGGATCTCCGCGAATAAAGCGTTACGTAATTCCGCGGCGACTTTTACCGCGCGGCGTCACCTCCGCCACCACCACCGCCATCTCCGTCGTCTCCGCTGCCTCCGATGACGATGACGACGATGACGACGACGACGACGACGACGACTTCGCCACGGACGGTTGCTACATGCAAAATCCAGGATAACACCGCCACTGTGCAACAATGAGCCGCGCGAAGTGCACCATTACGCCGGCAGAAAATCCGTGTACCCGCATCTCTCTCTTCTCGCTCTCGTCCTGTTCCGTGCCATTGCGCTCTGTTCTCGCCGCGGAACCGATTATTACCGATATACCGTGTATACACGGGCAGAGCCCGTTCGATCGGCTCGGCCGCGTATACTATCCTCTGGCTTCCTCGACGATACACACAGTGTCATTCACCGAGCGCATCTGAAACGCGCGCGGAACGATTTTGCGACAGGCTAATGATGATGATTGATGTTCGATTTGCTCGAGCGAGCACTGAACTATATCGACATCCGTTCGTGAGCGATACAAGTTGAAGCTATCAATTGGACGTAGTTACGGTAATAATGAGCCGACCGGCTCATTTTTTGGGGGCTTTTAGTCTCGCCTGCGCAGAGTCGACCGCGGTAAGCGTGTCTGTACGTCTGATAACACGTAATCTGTACGTACGTGAAATTAGAGCCAACGCAGGCGTAACGGCGGCACCGTAATGCATCACACTCGCACTCGTAATGAGAGAATCGAATTTTATTTCTAGTATTTCAGGGGAAACATTCAGAGAGCCAGGAAAGTATATTATCTTTATAATTGATCCTGTGTCGGCTTTGCCTCGAGCTTTGTCCAAGCTTGTGCGGTTCTTTCGGGTGAATAAAGGAGCCGTCTGAAATGTTCAGAGTAGTTGTCTCGCCGGTATACAATGAATGATCCTATCCATTACAAAAGAATAGGCTTCAAGATGAAGGAAATACATATCACACAGGCCTCTAATTAAAGCGTCGTTAAACGTAGCCGGGGAATCGCTGCGTTTATAACGGAGCGGTCCTCTTCAATAAATAACAGCGGATAAGCGATAATAAAATCTACTATAATTGCATAGGCAGAACTTTTGCTAACGACGCGTTTGTTTCAGGCGGCAACGTGTCCGATCTGTGTGTGTGCGTGTGTGTGTCTTGATCCTGAATCCTGAACTCAAGAGAGGAAAGGCTGAATTAGCTTGCTTCGCCTCGTTATTTGGCGTCGGTGCCAGTAGAACTCGCAGCACAGGAGAAATATGGACCCAACTACGCCTGGAAGAAGCAAAAGCATGAGGAGGATCCTCGCCGGTAAGGCGAGGTATTATTATTTCTCGGACGATTTATCCCTCGCAAAAACGTTACCCATGAAAAGCACGAAAAAGATGCCCTGCATGTCCAACACGTTTACTTTGCGCTCATCCACGCCTTGCTTGCCGGAACTGTCCGAGCATTTGTCTTTCATCGGTATTTGCTCCGTTATCCACTTGGTCATCAATCCGGACTCGTGCATGCGATGTAACCTGGATGACGAAGTTGATTCTTGCAAAACAGCAGGACGAAAGCGCGAAAGAGTTACAGTGGCGATCAAACTCCTCGCGTCGTCGCGATATTTATTGACGCAAGATTAGTATATTATCGAGATTACATCGCTCCGTTCGGTCGCAAAGTGACCGAACGGAGCGATGTACGCACGATGATAAAAATGTGTTGGAATAATGACGTTCCGGGGAATTAAGAATATCATGAACTGCTCTTCTGCTTTTGTTCCTTACACAAACCAATTGTGCGCGCCGAGCAATAATTGACTCTTACTCTGCGTTGATAATTTTCGTATAGGGGCTATCTTGCGAGATGATCATCGCTATGGGCTCGTCCATAAATTCATCGGTGCTCAGAGAAAAGGAACATCCGCCGGTTGATAACAGGTCGTTTCTCATCAAGAACCTGCTCGGGCGATATGTCATTATCGTCATTTTTGCCGGCCGAGCTAATTCGTGCTATGACGATATATACGTGACGAAACATCGAAATGAGAATGAGCCTGAATATCTCTCTTCCTTACGGAAGTACGTGGTACGATTTTTTTACACCCTTTCACTGCTTTGAATTAACTTCCCTTGAGAAAATTATTAAAATATTTGGTAGTCCTGTTTTGGGACGTTTTTTGGGTCGCTGATTACGAATCTAAAGTCAGATTTGCAAAATTCAAAATGGCGGACTCAATATGGCGATCATGATGTACAAAATTAATGAAAATTCCAATTATTACCGATGGTGTATGGATTTTTCGGATCGCTGATTACGAATCTGAAGTCGGATTTACCGAATTCAAAATGGCGGAATTTATGTGGGAAAATGTTCAATATTGCATATTTATGCTTGCCAGAGGTTAAACATTATTCATTTTAGAGTGAAATGAAAGTTTGAGATTTGAGATACAGAATGAAAAAACTAGGAAAATGGAGCTAAAAAGTGCAGAGAAATCAAATTTCAGCCGCTTTTGTAGAAATATTTTTTTGTAAAAAGAAATCTAACCTGCAAAAAAATATTGAAAAAAATATATGTTTTTGTACAACATCAGAAAAATATTTCGATGCGAAAATTTCAGACCTCTACGTTCAATATTCTCCGGGGAATCGATTTTTCCCTAAAAGAAAAAAAGCATTTTTTTTCCACTTTGATTTGTTATAAATAATTACAAATGAATAATTTGGTATAAAAACCTATTTACGAGTACGTTGAACGACTATTCAGTTATCTGGAAAACTCAAATCCCCGATTAGTTTTTCAAAATTATGTGATTTACAACGCAAAATTGAATCGAGAAAAGGTGGGAAGTCCAGGGACTTTCCACTAACAGTGAAAGGGTTAAGAGAACGTCACACAGTGCTGGATGAAAAACTGTGTTTATTCTAGTATCCGAGTATCGTTGCCTCTCTCTCTCTCTCTCTCTCTCTTTCTCTCTCTCTCTCTCTCTCTCTCTCTCTCTCTCTCTCTCTTTTCGACATTTTCTTCTCATACATATTCGTAAATGATAGAGGGGATAGCAGGCTGTTCTCGTTTAAATGGCCCGCTGCGTGCACATCGTGAGATTACCTCAAAGTGCTCCTCCAGTCGATTAACACGTGCTTGCCCGTCTTCACCTTTTCGATCACTTCCACCTCCTGTGTCGAATTGTAAATTTCGGAGCGTTCCCACATGATATGATATTTCTCTTCCTCTGCATTTTTCAGGTACTCCTCCAAAAAGCTGCCATTGGGAAAGCCCCAGGTTACTCTGCCTTTATGAGCGATAAGGTCGTCCACTGTCAGAATGGCAACGTCCATATTCGGGAATGTCAGAAATGCGACCAAACTTCCGGAGTAAGTCGCTACCAAGACCATAACGACCAACCACCAGACGCCGACCAGCAAGCGCGCGCTATCGCAACGGGGTAAGTACATTCCTCCTAAAATCATGCGCATACGACCTTGCAGTTTTCCCGCGAGAAATGCAGCATTTCTCTCGTATAATTCTCCTAAATATGCATCAACAAGAGGAGAATGAGCACAGAATGAGCCAAGTTTCTCTTGACGAAAACCAAAGGCAACCAATGAAGATGAAGGGCAAAACTGTTCCATAGTAGCAAAGCGTTTTATTATTGAAAGAGACAACCCGGTGACTTTCAAATAAACTCGTGGAAACTAAATGTAGCGATGTCAAAAACGAAAGATGCTACCTTGTTGAAGTAGAGCTCCGTAGACATACCATACGCATTGCCAGGACGAGTTGAGCCCTGACGTCTTCGTGCCTGGACTGTACTTGTGAATCAGGTACAAGATCGGGCCCATTATAATAATGGATGCTGCCAGGCAGGCCCACGTCTGGAAGCAAAACTAGCCCGCTTGAAGGCATGCATGTACAAACGCGTGAAATACATCTCACGTGAAATAGATCAAACATTGAGGGGAGAAAGAGAAAGGAAGAGAGGAAGAGAGAAGGAGAGAGGGAACAGTTGATAATGAAATATGCCGTCTGATAAATTCAATACCGAGTCAATTTCCACCTATTTTTATGCTGACGATCACTGTTCGAAAATGTCACCTCTTCGTCCGATCTCTCTCGCCGTTTCAGACTTTACATTTCATTTCGTTACGTTTTTTGTTCACTGGGCCCTTCAATCACACCGAAAGTGTAATGATAATCGTCACGGGACGTGTGTGTAAATTACCTCTTTGGCGAAGGGCGCCGTAAACAACAGCGCTCTAGAAAGTTGGTTAGGCTTTGCGGTCAAGAAGCTATACGTCTGAATAAAAATCGGTATGGTGAAATTGATCTTCCCTCTTCCGCGGTCATTCACGGTGTAGGCGCAGGCTGCGAGAAGGACCTTCTTCGTGTGAATCATGTCCATTATTTCCATCGGAATTTTCCTTGTGTTTGACGTTAACACCTTTTGGACGTTCGAAGCATTTTATAGTTTAAGGTCGCGTCAAAAGTACATATACAGGTATAATTTACTTCTAATCTAATCTAAATACAACAAATGCATTATTACAGACAGAGGAGCGAGCGAGAAGGAGAGAGCATCTTCTGTTTGCACGACGAAGTTAAAGTTAGCAAATGTAACATCCATCGTACTGATGTTTAGTACTTAATAAAACATTGTCGTATATACGTCTTACCACGTCGGCTTGAGTCTCGTTTTGCGTGAATTTTACAGTCCGATTGCTCGTCGGGCTGAGTACGGTGTATGTGAAGTTTAATTTTTTGCCTAAATATTTGATGACATCGAAGATCAGACCGCCGTATTCCTTTTCCCCGGAGTTCGTCAGCGAGATGCTCTGCCACGGTGGATTCTGCAAGGACGCGACTGACCCTTCGTGTGACTCACACAGAGAAGAGCGCACATTTTACGTACGTGGTACGTGGCGACTGGCAAACTGATCCCTCGGAATCCGTGAGAAATGTGCGGGAAGATGACATCGGTCAGATTCGCGCCGAGACTGGGAATCCACATCCCCGAATCTATCAGGTGCGCAATATTTTTGCCACGAAGAAAAAAATTGCCCCACGTTATGGCCGAGGCGAATCGCCAAAACAAGCACTTGCCGCAACCGCCGCCCGAAGCGAAAGTATCGTCGGTAAGCTTTATCTGCCGGAAATAGTTGTCGCGCGTGTACAGCTTCCGTCAAAAAAGGAACCTCGATAGCGACAGTAAAACGCGATACTCGGTGAGTTTCGAGCCGACTTTTCGGGTGAGATCAGGATCTCTTGTGCGATACAATATACATTATAACGTATAACACCGCACAGTCATGCACTGGACAACAAGCATGACCGTTGAAACAGACACGAATTGTCATCGAAAATATATGCAAACTAGAGATGTGCGAACTATTCGAATCTGAATCCCTATGATTCGAATCCGAGTAATTCGAAAATTTCGAATCGAAGATTCAATTACGAATCAAATATATTAGCGTGCATTATATTTGCATGCATCAAGTACAAAACGAGACATCTGGGCCTGTATGTTTGAACCCTTAACTTGTAATTAACTTAACTTATAATTAATAACTTAATTATAAATTACTTTAAATATTTAAATATACATATTTTACTTTAAGATGATATTACAATATCAATGTCCCCTTTCATATTAAAACCTTCCATCATTATGTGCATGTTTAATAGTCATGTTAAATTTTTTAATGATTCGATTCGATTCGAATTCGAATGAAATTTCATAGATTCGATTCGATTCGATTCGACATAAAAATTCTTGATTCGCACATCTCTAATGCAAACCCGATCTTTCTCGAAAAGTTTGCACCTTTGTAATTTTTGAAGAGGTTGCTTAGTTAAGTTACACTAGTCATCACTTTTGCACTACCGATTAAAATGCAAATACACAAAGATACAAACTTGGATGTTTTTGAGTATCTCCCGACGCCTCTCGCGTTTGTTCAGTCGAATGAATTCAAACTCCTCTTCGCTCACACGATTGTACAACTCAATCTCGATCATCAGCGACAATTTTAAAGCGTTAGCCAAGCTTCCAATTAACTCCTGGACACGGCACAGCAGTTTGGCCTGAAAGACAACTCACTCGATCTTTTTCCCAAAAAAAACACACAACGAAGAGAAAAGAGAGGTGCATAAGTATAATAGGTTTTTTCCTTTGCGAAAAAAATGCAACGATACAATCATTGAAATCGTGAGAGTGTCTCTCAGGAGATTAAAATCTGCGCGTAGTTAAACAAGGAACAGTTACATCGCAATACGTGTCGTTGTCAGTCGAGTTATAAGCGAAAGCCACATTTGCACCTTCCGACAAGTACTCGGTGAAACTGGTAATATTCGTAGCATTTCGTACCATACTGTCGGCGATTACGTACAACCATTGACTATCAGGCTGGACCATATTCAAATCTCTTGCCTTGAAGAACATACACACACACACACACACATATTAAATACTTCAAAAATGTTAAAAAGCAAATAAAATGTAAGAAAGCACTTGAACTCGAAGCGAAGGCAATGCAGAGTAAAAGGGAAGTTTATAATCAATTTACAAGACTCATTTCAGAGGAGATTAAAAATTTTCGAATCTTTACGTTTGCTTAAATTTTCAGAGTTCGTCTTTAAATTCTCTTACTCTAAGAACATTCTTAAAATTTATCTTCATTTTGGATCCTGCAGTCCTCCGCAGTCAATCCGTTGATTAAAATTTTGCATTTAAAGGAACTTTGTATTTTAGAAACAAGGCAAAGTTTTGTATCTCAGGCGAGTTTCCTATGAAAAATTGCGGACAATTACTTCATCTTTACTGTACTGTTCAACGCTTAATACATCTTCCGCACAAGTGCGTTTGAATAGCGAGCAAAACTTATCGGGATGTATTCCTTACAACTTCCATCACATCGAAAGCTACGTCTGTAGTGACGATCACGAGAAAGCATTTCCCCAATTGATCCACGTGAAATTTCTCAAGAATCTCTTTTATGTAGTATTTCTTGCTACGTTCAGAATTGGCATGTTTGAAAGCGAACAACGATCTAGAGACCATGTTGAATTTCTTGTTCGGCAAAGGGGTCGATACAGCCTTAGTGACTCTGCTGATCGTATCTCTATCTGCAATTCATAATATAATTCCGTTTCCTAAGGAAGACGAGCGAAAGCAAATTCAGGAGAGAAGATGTGAAAGCTAGGAAAGAGAAATGAACGATTATAAAATGCGGGATTAAATTGAGTCACCAAATGTGTCGTCGTGCAATATGTTGATATTGTTCCAATTCAAGACGTCGTAAGATCTTAGATCGTAGAAAATCTGAGACAGCTCCTGGCCCGCCACTACTAAAGGAATGCTCACACCATCCGTGTCCGGAAATCGCGGGCAATCTTGCTCTTCAAAATAAATATACTGTCAAAAATACTCATGTCAAGATGGAAATGGAGAAAGGACGAAGCAGTCAAATTAAATCTTGACTTATCTATTGGGAATTTCTTACTTCAAGAAAATACGATCTTACATTTTTTTTCGCTACACACACGCTTGTCTATCTCGAAACAGTTGAGATGTATCACACTGACGCAACGCGATCTCGCGAATGGCAACAGATAACAAAGCGGCAATAGATAACGATATTTGTAAGTAACACTTTGGTCGCTACTATGATGATCACAGGATTATAATTGCATCATTTGGAGCAACGACTCCGCACTCGCCTCGACGAATAGAAAATGAGGACTTCTAAATCTGCTTTTTGTTTGTCTCTTTATTGGATATCTCTTCGTATATGTACCTGTTATTGCTAAATGCACGAGGTCTTCTTTGTTCGCAGCTTCGTGCAGACTCCACGTTTGTTGGCACGTTGTCACCGATAACAGCATCGTGAAATCTTTACGCGCGTCGGACGTCCAAAAAGAAATATTATTTCGCTTCAATTACATTAACTGACACGCGATATTCTGAATATATTCTAAGTACACGACGTATAAATGTGACAGACGACGATGGTGATAGGGATGGTGCTGTGTAACGGTAAACGGTGTGACAATATTTAAAGGTCGACCTGGCGCATTGTTCTTACCTCGAAGATTATTAATTTTTGCATTACGAAAGACGCGCACATTTATATCACCCATATGCATCTCCTCCCTCGCGATGTTCGTGATGTATTCGTGAATCCTCTTCGTGACGTCGATATACTCGTGTTTCTTGTCGAAGAAGCTCTTATCGATGACAACCGCTGATTCAAAAAATGTGTTCTTTATTATTACGTCGTTGCAGCGTTGAGATCACTTCAACGTTGTAAAAATGTAATGATCGCGAATTTGTCCGTACCCATCGAGGCGTTGGCAGACATGAGCGACGGGAATTCATTGAAGGCATTACCGAAATTCAGGATCCACGCGAGAAAGAGGACGGAAATCATGTCCGGTCGTATTGAAACACGACGCGCGGACCGGTCGATATATAAGGGAGGACATTGCTTAATGATGAATGAGTTCATTACTTGGCTGATTCATTATTGTCGCATTAACCGGAACTTGGTCAAAGCTCGGTCGAAACGCAATCGCAGACTGAGCGCGTTGCGATTCTCACGAATTGAGGGAAAGGTCGATCTTTCAATAACTTATCAGGAACGATCGAATCTCATCGGAACTTGAATAGAATGAATCATTGGCCTAGATGAGCAAAACCATGGTCAGGTCGAGAAATTATTGCAAAACGCTAAAATATGACACTTTTATTGTTAGTCTGCGGTCAATTCGAAATTCGTCCTTCTCGAACGAGTCAGTGTTTTCAATTTTCTACTTCATGTCGATCAAATTCAAAAGTTCTCGCGATATTTATAGTAATCATTTTATTTCATTCGTCGTAACGTTAATATAATATTATACAACAGCAATTATTATTATTATTATATTAAAAATTATATTCACTATTGTGAAACATATAAAGTGCAGCGAATGAAACGTCACGTAAGCCACTTGACTTTGGGCTTATTTTTTTCTTATACTTGTACGTTTCATTATGTTGCTATAATTATTCGATATCTCATGACGGAAAGCGAAGACGGAACGGAAAAGTTACAAATGTGTTTGCGGTCTACCACTTCTCTCCGTCCGACTTAACATGCGATAAGGACATTACCCTTTCGCCGTAAATCCGTGCATACCGTAAATGAAAAATAAAAACGAGAGGGACTCCGAAAGTCGAGTGAGAGAGAGAGAGAGAGAGAGAGAGAGAGAGAGGCTTTTCCTCGCGGAAAGTCGAAAATCAATCTCCACTTTGGAAAATAATTTCAAAAGAGGTGCAACATCACGAAGCAGAGATTAAGAAGGCACGATTAACAAGATCAAAAGTTGGATTCGTTTCTCCGGAATCAGAGTAACCAGCAATTAATTAAATTTTAATTCTGGAAACTTGGAGATATATATATATATATATATATATACTGCGATATCTAAAGAAGAATGAATATTCATTGCCGAAGTCACTTGACATACGTGATAAACACTTGTCGCGAAGAAGCGGAACGTCTGTGCTTTCCTACGATGCAACAACAGCGATACGACGAATTTAATAACGAGATTACATTATCCCACCGATATATACATAACATTGACAAATAATCAATGTGACATTTAATAACGTGATATAATGAATTAATAACGAATCAATAATGAATAAATTTCCATGAGAATTTCAAAGCGCCGCTAACATGATTAGTGGTTGAGGCGCAGCTCGGCTCGGCTCGGCGCGGCGCGGCGCGATTCGAACGACATCGTGCGTGTGCGTATGCAGCTCGCTATCGCACTGGCAGTGTCCGGAGAGGCAGTGCGAGACGGTCGGCTGTGAACGTGTCGATGCGCATCGGAGTCGTGTAACTATGCACGAGTTTGATGTGGAAGAGCATATAAAGCGTACGTGCCTACATCGCGTCCATCTCGCGTCCCGTACCGCTCTCGTTTGCATTCGCGGCGGCTAGTGCGCGCGCGCGTTCATCCGCGGCCTCGTGTCCTCGTGAAATGTCAAGCGTTCTACGTTACCATGGGCTGAATACCGTCTCGGCTGTAGTAGACTCGGCTGTCAGATCACGCACGAGTGAGACAACACGTTACGGGACCCGGAGCGTACGAGAGAGCCAGGAAGCGAGGTAGACGGCACGGCCGACGAAAAGTCCGAGTGAAAGTGCGAGAATTGTCTGTTCTTTCTTTTTCTCTCTCTCTCTCTCTCTCTCTTTCTTTTTCTCTCCCTTCCCTGTGAGACAACGGCCGCGAGAACAAAGACGATAGGTTCGACGAGCCTCTGCGAGCACGAAGAGCGACTTCGCGACATCGCCGATGTTTAATCGGCCGCAATGGAGCCCGAGGAGCCTCTGATGCAAGGGATTCTCCTGCTGCCGCCGCAGGGAATGCTAGGCCAACTCAAGGTTGGTTTTGCATGGGAGATAACTCAGGATGCACTAAGTTGTCGCGATACGCGATAACGGGACAACGCATCATCTGCGAACGGCCCATCCTCTCCGCCTCCTCCTTCTCCCTCTTGTTTTTTTTTCTTTTTTTTTACACACTCCTTCGTTCCCTCTTCCGTTATGCCGCTCAATCTCCGACAACATGTGTACACGCACGACATATGAATTGTGTAGTATTTTTTACTTGCATCTGACGATTTTTCAAGCAGTCTTTGAAATATTTTTGAGGGAAAAATTTGTATCATGTATAGATACAGCGTTGTGTGTAAATTTTTTATATCATCAGCCATTATTTACATCACAGGGCAGTTTCAAAAGAACATACTTCTACTTGTATGTAAATACAAATTTGACAGTCCAATTAGTCGAAGGAATTTCTGAATGTTACTCGATCTCCATGTATGTTTGTTTCCAGAAAACATGGCACAAGAGATTCTGCCAGCTTTTCAGGACAAGTAATTATGGTATCAAACGTGTGGAAATCTATGATAATCAAGAGGAAGCAATAATGCAATCTCACTCCCCACGTATCATCACCCTAGACGCTTGTATAAAAATTGCTCCTAGCAATCAGTCACACGTCTTTACCGTACGTATCTGTTCTCTTCTTGCTTCTTTTTTTTTTTTACATCTCCGTTTATATTTGCCTTATTACTGTCATTATCTTTGAAAATGATTTAATCGTCGAGTTTGTCTTACACAGGTGGTAACTAAATCAGGAGTACATTATTTCGGCTGTTACTCAGAAATGGAGATGACTCAGTGGATCACAGCATTCCAGTTGGTCGCTTTCAAGGACAGTGTGTCGAATCAAACGATAGAAGAAAACAACGATCTGTATTGCACGAGTGGGGAAGGTGTATTTTCCGTTAAAGTCGTAGAAACGGACGCGTCTAAGCGCTGCGGACTGGAGACAAGAAATTATACGTTAGTGATTGCTGCGGTCGATATGAAATTGATGGACGGAGATATTGTTTTATTTACATGGCCATACAGGTATATCAGGAGATACGGATACAGGGATGGAAAGTTCATCTTCGAAGCTGGGAGAAAGTGCGAGTCCGGCGAAGGCTCCTTCCGTTTGGAACACGGCAGTCAACAGGAGATCTTCCGATGCATGTACTCTAAAATGAGATCTATGAAAAAGTTACTGAACGAGGAGAATAACCCGAGCATAGATTGCAACGACGCTCAATACCACGCAGCTTTGTCTATGGAGCCCGGCTCTAGAGCGGCCTTACCTCCCTCGCCGAACAATTCTAGCAATTTGATCGACATAGATTTCTCCTCTCCGCAAAATTCCCAGAAGCAAACGAGTTCGTCATCGAGCGTAGATTCCACTACCTCGTCGACCAGATCGATAAACAAGTCTAAACCCGCCAAACCACCGCGAAAGTACGTTTTCGGTAATCTGTTAGAGAAGAAGAATCTCGACACGGAATTTCTGGATTTACCCACATGCGGAGAGTATAGAACATTAAGTCAAGCTAATTCGCCGGAATTGTCTCACAAAGCCATCGATAGCGTCTCGTACGAAGATGACGAGAGACACTCGTACGATTTGGTAGAGATTAGGAATGACGCTTGGAAAACGCACGGTATTGATAGCGTGCACCATACGGAGAGGGTGAATTCGAGTTTGCCCATTGAGAGAGACAAGGAAAACGACAACGACGATTTCCAGTACGAGGTCATGATGCCCATCGCATCATTCCCAAATTCGTGCAAGAGCAAAGAGATCGTTACGCCATCAGCGATGCAAAATCTCGCGAAAGCAGAGGAGTCGGACTACGACAAATTAGAACATTTTGGATCCACGTCGAAACACAATCACAAGTACAAATATAATACAAACTCCTCGCAAAACATACATTCCAATGTCTCTCACGGAGAGAACGCCAATTGCAATCTCGTTAATCCGGCGTGGTCTAATTACGATATCGTTGAGGACATGTCTGCTGTTAGACTAGCTGACGACAGTCATCAAGGATATGGTATTATCAGGAAGAAGACAGATCTGCCTGAGAACACTTCTGTCGGTAATACCACAAGTGGCCCACAGCACAAAGTTTTTAATAACAGCGAATATGCAATTGTATCGAAACCAAAAAGGGTGTAAAACGCGCGCGCGCGCACACACACACACACACGTGCGTGAGTGCCAATGCAGAAGTATTAAAACTGAAATATCATTCGGTTTTATATTCTGGAGATATTTTCTTCTACCGTTTTCGTAATTAATTATAAGAATTATAGGAATACGAAAATATGCTAGTCTGCACTGCGTGGCTAGAATAACAAAAAAATTTCTTGCTTTAAAGAATATGTATGGTAAGATTATCGAAATATCGGAAAACATTAGAAACGGCACAGAGATAACTTTCGCGTATCGTCCAGTACTGCGATCTTGTTCGCTTTTTATATCTATTTATAAACACTAGCCTTATTAATTGCCGTTATGAATAATAATCATATCAATGATACATGAATAAATTATAACATTTTTAGCAAAGTTTCAACAAACAAGAAATTCCAAACGCATTTATCCACGATAGTTGTTTTTTTTATTAAAATTGCTTTACAAAACTCAAAAATGGTTAATAGATTGTTTATAAGTATATACATTTGACTGACTCACAGAAATGTGCCTTCTAAAGTGTCTTGTAGAAATATATATCTTAATTGACACCAAACTTATATTACATCACGTGAATGTTAAGTTTCTACTAATATTTAAACATATTGGTGTACTTAGAAATTTATCATGTTAGATATATTATCGTAACTTCATTACCACTAAAAACTATATATACATATTATTGTGCTATTTACTACTATACTACTATTTTTTCTGCTCTTATTATTCTGCAAAAAAACTGTTATTATGATATAGATAATCTATATATTATTATAATTATTGATTATAAATTTCAATTTTATAAAAACAGGTAAACGCAAGTCTACACAAGTATATGTATGTATTTTGTAAATAACTGCATATAGGAATACTTTATTAGACATGATATTAAGATCATCTTGATTGGATCAAACCCAGATCATCACAATTGGATAAACTTATAATTGTTTTATATTATGTGCGCTGTCACAATTTATTACATATATACAATGGATATATGTTTTTAATTTAACTCAGTTGCCTCAATGTTGGTTTTATTACTTGAAGATTCATTATACACTTCAAAACATTCTAACAGTACGTAATATCGATATAAACAGATTGCACTCTAAACATTTTTTAATATCATATGGATTGTATCCTAAAAATTGCTTTATTGAAGTATTATAATGCAAAGTAGTATTATAAACAGTAATTAAATTACATTTTATTCTTATTATTAATTACATATTTAGTGTGTAATTAATGTAAATCGTACACATCTACAGTGAAGCAATACTATAAATTCACCATTATTCATTGTACAAATTATTAAATATCAACATGGCATATAGCAATAACTCTTTATATATTTTTTATTCACAAAAGTGCCTTATTAGCTCAATTGCAAAATTGTACATAAAAGAAATACCGTAATCAATCTAAGAAAAATTTATTGTAATAAACCATTTTTGTAGTAATGTATCTTTGTGCCAAATGAATGGTCTGCCATCAATAGGGATGTTATTGATTATCCAAATAATATAGATGATTAGTAATAAGAACAATGTCGATTGAAGAGAATCCTGCAATATATTTTTAATTTAATATACACGATAAAAATATTTCTTGGAGAACAGATATTGTTAAGATATATTTTTAGCAAATTTTTAAAGATGCAATAGACACAACACATTGTAAAACAGTTCACACAAGTAAATACTTACATGTGTGATCTCTTATGTACTCCTGATTATAAATCTTAACACGAAAACATTGAGTGAGCAAACAAGATTTCTGTATTATATTTTATTAAAACATCTTATAATATATATATTTTGATCACATATTGCAATAGTATTTGTATCTGAATATAAATAATTATTAGGCTTTTTAATACTCCTATAATATCAAAGTGATTTATGTAAACTTTTGATTATATCTAATAATTAAGTTTGTTATATATAGATATATATGTATTATATATAGATATATATGTATGTTATATATACATATATATATATATACATGCACAAAGTATATAATAAATTTATAATGAAATACTTATAAATACATATATTCTTACCTGTGTGTATATATCTTTTTATATTCTTGATTAAAATATATCTCAAGTACAATATCAGCTTTGTTTTGTTACTTTAGTTTCTTCAGTTTTAACAGAGCATTTATCATTGTTGGAATCTTCTATTCTTGCTTTTGCATTAGAATCCTTATGGAGTACTTTAGATTCTTCTGTTTTTGCATTACAGTTTCCAGGTGTTGCATTAAATTCTTCCTTTGCAATAGCTTCATAGTAGCCATCTACATCATTTATTATTTTTCTCACAGTTTCTCCCTTCAACATCATAATTTTCTCAATATTTATTCTTGAATTTATCTCTGAAAACCATCCTAGATTATCAGCGATGAGATGATTGTTCATGCAACCATCACACCTTACTATTATTACTCCTTTATTATACGCCAACTTTGATATTAGTTTGCTATTCCTCGTGCTGCATTTTTTACATGTAAAGATTAATTTCATTTTTCCCTCTAGTTTACCCAGTTCCTTGCGATCAGCATTAGCTTCCTCATGAACGAGACGACTGTGTCGGAATACGAATATACCATTTGGTTTGCATATATTCGGAATACAACGATGGTATACAGAATAATGAGCACACGCTAAACATGTGCCATAACGTAACACTTGTCGAATGCAAAACATATTAAATTTATATCTTCGACACCACTAGAATAACTAATTATCAACCGATATATAGCAAAAATAGCGAGATAAATGCAGAACTAACATGTATTAATATCTTCATTTAAAATCATACTAATTCCGCAGTCTTTATAGACAACAATGAACGATGCAGGTTATGCCGGTTATGTCAAGATCGTGTGTACAGTCAGCTGCAAAGAAACGGTACGGAAATGACACAATTTCATTGAATTTAACTGTACTAGAGATTCGAGTCTCGACTAAAATGAACAAAGTAAATAATGGTTCGAGTATCGGATAAATTGATACACGCTATGCGTATCTGGTGATATGAATCTTTGCTAAATTTATGCATTAACAAAGCAGAGAGAAGAAGGAGAGGGGTTACCAGCCGCTTTTAGCCGAGCCCGAGTGTGAGGCGCCCTCTGTACAACAGTGCACATGAACTACGATGCCAATGGCCGAGTTCAGTAGAACAAAGTGATCAGAGAGCGCTTAGTGATTATTGTTTGTGATTGGAGCATTCTTTTAGATTCTTCGCAGACCCAGAAGTATTGACCAATCAGGAGCGAGATTCAATGGAAAATCTAGTAATGTTGTCCAACTTGTTGAGTCTACTGAACGCGGTCAATGGCTGCATTCAGCAGACTCAACAAGTTAGACAACATTACTAGATTTTCCATTGAATCTCGCTCCTGATTGGTCAATACTTCTGGGTCTGCGAAGAATCTAAAAGAATGCTCCAATCACAGACAATAATCACTAAGCGCTCTTTGATCACTTTGTTCTACTGAACGCGGCTTTTGTCTCGATGAGCGCTACCGAATACAATTCTAAAAATTTACAAAAAGCGCCTGATTTAGATTTTCATTTTCATGGGTCTATGAAATTAATCGAAATCTAAACTAGGCGTCTTTTGTGAACTTTTAGAGTTGCATTCGTTAGTACTCGTCAAGATAAAGGAAATGACACCTCACCGGACTTTCTACAACCACCGGAAATGTGAGAAAATTTACATTTTTTGAAAGATAAAGTATAATATAAAATTTTTTGCAACACTAAGAAAAATTTGTTTCCAATTTATGTTTATTGTATATATTACATTAATATTTATTTTGATGTACATACACATTTATTATATTAGAATATATATGATATACATATATAGCAATATACATATACATATATATAGCGATTTTTAGAACTCGTAGTATAGTATACATGTTTGATCAGAATAATTGATAATAAAGTGCAAATAATAATAAATGTTCCGTAAAACGTATAAGATACAACGAAGCAAATACGATTCAAAATACCCACATTTTTCATAAAACATTAGTTATTGTTTGCAGAAGACAAGACTTAAAGAATATTTACTAGAACTAAAGAGTATAACTAGATTGTATTTGACAAAAAGAAAAGAAATAAATGATAAATGCATAAGGAGACGCGTATATTATATATAATTACTGTATAAATACTGTATACAGTAAAATATGTATGTAAAATGTTAAATTATTAAAATCTGATTTTTTGAATCTATCTTCATATCATTAGAATATTAGGTACGAGACTGATATAAATCTAAAATCTAAAACAAATATTAGACTGTAAGGTCATAATATCACCCGTTGTGCAGGAAGCATATTTATTCTAAATTAGTTCCATTCCAGTGAGAAATAAAAAAAAAAATATAAATTTGTTTAAATAATGATTCATCCGCATTTATAAACTTTAGACCATATCATCTCTTATTTTGAATTATAGTCTCTTATTTCTCCTTAGATATCGTCTCATCTATTGCTTCTAATCGCTCGACGACGGATGGATGTGAATGATACCAACTGGAATACAACTTATCATATAAAGGGAATTGTAAATTGTCTTCCTGCAATTTTAACAGAGATGTCTTTAAATACTGGCCATGGCCCAATGACGTGGCGAATTTATCTGCTTGGAATTCAAATTTTCGCTGGATCACCACATTAATGAAACAAAGGATCTAGAAATGAGATGGAAAATTTAAATAAGTGTTTGCAAAGAATTATTTAAAATATTACAGAATAACCGGAGAGAATATATTAGACACTGTACTTACTGTGTTCAATGGAATCATAATATATGCTATCACTATAATAAAGCCAATTAAGGTAGGCTGGTGGTCGGTAAATCCAAATGCCCTATACATCGGACCATATCGCCCAAGTTTTGCAAACATTAGAATATTGACTGCACCAAATACCTGAAAATTATTAAAATTATAAGATTATTAAAATATTTCACATTTTGGAACCATTTCCGAAATAAATATGCTTATTAAGACACATGATACACACACGTTATTTAAATGACTCACATAACTGGTAAATGTTTTACAATGATATTCTAAATAGCGACTGCAAAATATTACTAAATAACTACAAGATAGAGAAACATATAAACACAAATAGAATTAAAAATTATTTTTATGCGATTATACCTGTCCAAATATAAATTTTAGCAAGGTGTGATTGTGTTTCCAGTGACCCAATTCGTGTGCCAATATTGCAAGTATTTCATTTATGTCACAACCCTTATCCTTATCCTTATCCTTATCCTTATCAGCATCATCATTCTTTTTGCAATATCCCTTAATGAGTGTATCAAAGAGAACAATTCTTTTGTATTTGTGAAAGCCATACATATAGGCATTACTGTGAGTCGATCTCACAGAACCCTCAACTATAAACAGTTTTTGCAAAGGAAACTTTAAAGAGGCTGCTAATTCCTCGATCTTTTGTTTCAACTCGCCATCAGGTAGTGGTGTATACTTGTCGAATAATGGCGCGATCACTTCTGGATATATGATCATGACAAGTAATATAAACATCATTAAGAATATCCACAAGTATAGATAAAAGTAATCGCCACTGTTTTTAATGATCCAAAGTATAGAGTATCCAAGAGGAAATAAAATCAGATCAATTACAATGAACTGTTTAATAGTGTCCTTAGTGAAAAACCAGACTGTCTGAAAAAAATATTAGTACTTATTATTTATAGAGACATTCTCAATAAAATTTTTTTGCAATAAATAAAAAGGTATAATAGACTAAACACAACAATTTACACAGAGGTACTCACCTGCTTATTAAAACCATACTTCTCTTCCAAAACAAAAATATAATATACTGTAAGTGGAAGATTAAGAACTTCAAGGGATAAATTTATAATACACATATATATAGGACTTATTAATGTTTCTCTTTCATGATTAATACCACAATATTTGGCTATACCAACGCTCCATTGCCAAATAATATAAGGTCCATAAGTCAGTAAAATTATCTGTTAAAATATAAAAGAAAAAAGAATATATATACACACACACACACACACATACACAAATATCAATTAGAGAATAATAGCCACTCAAAATTTCCTTGTTTTATATAAATAAAAAATAACTTGTTATATATATACTTACCACATTAATGATATCAGAATGTAAGTTTGCAACAATATTAAAATTCATCTTATCTAATGCATATGCTCGAGCTTTATCATATGTATCTTTGGTTATTATACCTTCGACTGACTTTGGAAAATCAACAGACTGCTGTATTAGTGTTCTCTGCAACATTTTAAAAAGTTGACAGTAAAATTTACAAAATCAATCTCGATTATTTTTTATTATCCATTTATGTTCTTCTATAATTACCGTACAAAACATTAAGAATGAAAATGATATATATATATATATATAATATCAATATACATACGCCATCCATACGCAGGACACATACATACATGCATGCACAGACCTCCACACACACATTAAAGAATGATATATAATACATTATAATTTTTTATCAATTTTACAAACTATATTGTAACCTGCGTAATAAGTTTTATCATTGCAAATAGAAAAAATGAAAATAGCTGTGACTTACCTGACGCCAGAGTAAATAATAATTCCATGACTGCAATATACACATCATACCCAAAATCGTTCCAAGAAAATGTTCTTCAATAAAATTCACAAGCACCTCCATATTTCGACAGTGATTTTAACACAATATTGTTCTTATTATGCTACTAAATTAAACTCGCTGACTACCGCCAGTTATTATCGTTATATCGTATATATAATAGAAGCTAGTCTAACAGCCACACCATGCCAATTGATGTACAAATTTCTTGCGCAACACTTCACTTGGCGATCGCGTTGACGAGCCCTCTGAGGGGACAGACGACGTTCAATCCTCCCGAACTCTCTAGTTCGGAACTTTCATCGGTAAATGTAGGCCACCTATAATCCACCTACAAAGAACGAAACGTTTTAATGCACCTTCCAGTGTCGGTAAAGCGGTTAGGAAAGCTGTGGTAAGCTGATGTAAACAAGAATTTAATTTGAATATCGTTGTGTAACGTAAATGATCGTAATTGTCATCAGAGAGAAACATAGTGTTTAATAGAATAAACGTTATCATCGCTCACTGTAGAAAAGCACGAAGGAATAAAGCATAATTCTACGACTGTTATGCTCCTGTTATGCGTTGAGCGTCAAGTATCGCGTATCCACGACGTAACCTAACGAGCTCCCGTCATAAATAATAGGCGACGCTCGAGCAATCGTGAACATTACAGAGACATAAATATATCTGAATCGCCGACTGATCGTTGTCCATTGTGTCAGCCGAGCGGTGAGAATTGACGAAACGACTAAGAACACGAGTGAGACTCGACGATCGAAAATCTTAAAGGATGCTCGACGGACAGCGAGTATGGAATACGATTCGGAATCCAGCTGCGAGGGCCGTTGCTTGAGAGAGTTCGAAGATGCGAATGGTGCGAATGAGTCGGCGCATTCGACGCAGACACACGAGAAATGCGATCGACGCAACCGCGTCCTGTGCCAAACGTCTGCTTTGCAGACTATGTCGGAGCAATCGAGATTCGAGTTGAATCCAGCGAGTAAGAGTCTCTCGTCGCAGGTAATGGAATATTATCACAAGTACTCCCGAAACTCTAAACTGGATCAGTATTTCTCGCTACCGAATGCTCCACAGGAGGCTGTCAAATATTATTACAGTGTATACGAATTAAGCGCTAAAGTAGGTTCATCCAATAGGCAAGACTGCATCGGAGAGGAATACAATTTAAAGTCCTATGTCCCAAGAGAAAGACGTAGGTGGGTAAGACCTCCGTTGATTGGGCAGTCTTCCAACACGGATACTTCATCCAGGTATGTTCAACCATTGACAGATCTTCAAACACCTTCACCTGATCTCAAGCATGATACACCTGAAACAATACACGAGGAAAAAACTGAGAGCCCGGAGAAGCTACCAGAAGTTTCCGACAGAAAGCTGTCCTCCCCAACCTCCAGCGTAGCATCTTACAAGCCACTGGAATGGGACAGCGGCGCGGACGTTGGTTACTTCAATTCGCATTCTCAAAACAAGCACAACGACAAAAGATTGAGCACCATAGAACGTATGGCATTGGCACGAGGATGCTCAGCTGCTTTACGGTTAGATCCGGAAGGTACTACTGAATCCGGTATGCATTCCGGGAAGATCACAACGGCGCAAAGCGGTCCGAAATTATCGTCAATTCCTGACGCGAATTCCACGCCGTTGGTCGGAACTGCCTCGGGATCAGAGAGCGAAATAGAGATAACGCCCATCGTGAAGAACCATTTATCAGGTATTATCACGGGCGACGACATCAAGTCACAGGAGAGACGCGTTCCCAACGATGTCGTGCAGCAGGAAGCTGCAACGAAGTCCTCGAAGCACGAGACACGCTATTGCGACACGCCCACGTCGTCTACGTCTGTGTTCAAGATGCCGTTGGCGAAATATTCGACGGCAGAGAGAATGATGAGCAAACGTAAGGAGATCACGCGCCTGCCAAGCTCGCCGTTGAAAAAGAGCATCTCGATGAACGTGTTACCCGCATCATCGGCCAAGTCCTCTTTGAAGAGAAGCCAGAGCGACGAGAATCTAAACGCTAAGGAGAAGAAAGTTATACTGCCTTTGATATTCAACTCTTCGTCGTCTATCGCCACCGTGGTGAACAAGCCTGCGACTTGCGATAAAGTGATACAAACGAGTCCGGAAATATGTACTCAGGAGTCTATCGGCGTCCAAGTTTCGGACCTCGACGAGGGTAAGCTACCGTTAGCGGAGGGTGACCCCATTTCTCAAACGATGATACATTCCATTTTGAAGAAGTCCAAAGGTACATACAGAATAAAAGGTTCCAGGAAATGCGAAGACTCACGTCCGGTAGCCAATCCACCGGACACCAGCGCGGCTACGAAGGAAAATCAGACACAGCAGAGCAGTTCCGGAGAATTGTCGCAGAACGCGTCCACCTCGATAACACCACAGCCCGACGAGACGGAGGACGTGTCCGGGCGGGCCAACAGTTTCGAATACTTCCCGGGGCACACCTACGCGAACGTCCCACACGGAGGAGACGGCCACGTCTCTTCCGACACGGGTAGATCGAACTCCACGCTACCGAACAGCAGTTCCAGCATCAACGAGAAACTGTGGGGAGACTCGGACAGTTTGGTCCGCGACTTGGAGAGGAGCGTGAACATCTTGAAGAGTCTCGTCGACGCCAACAAGTGCGACAAGCAAGTGAAGAAGAGACTGATACAGCACGTGATCAAGCGGTTGGTCACCGCCAAATACACGGACGACAGGATCGAGCATAATCTGGAGGACAACGTTCCTTGGAACCCGGACGACGCCAGGAACAAGGTCTATCGAACCGAGCTGCTTCAGGCATTGGCGAAGAAGCACAGCACCACTGAGTCGTCCACGGACGAGTGGAACTTACGGAAAAAAGACACGTCTACGCAGAAGTCTGTCGGCACCACTAGCGACGTCATCAAGGAGGTAGCGTTGGAGAGTAGCAACAGCGACAAATTCGACCGGCACACGGACAGGACGGAGATGGACGGCAGGAAGGCGCGACTGGGACTGAGGACGGACGACTGTCAGCAGAACAGCAACACCACGACGGATCGTGATAAGAGCGAGAGCTCCGAGTGCTTCGTGCCGCAGCGAAATCACAAGAACGCCAAGGTGAACGATATTTTCTGTTATAAGGAAAGTTGCAAGCTGCCACACAGGGAGTCCACCACAACGAACAGCATACCACCTGCCGATCACAATAGGATTTTATTGGACGCCGTCGTGAATAACAGAAGAACGTCCGTCGAATCCAATAATAACACGGACAACAACACGGACTGGCGACTGCCGACCACATCGTCGGAGAGGCAATTCGAGCTGAAGAAGTGCAGCATGTCCGAGTCTGGCGACTCGAAGCTCGTCAATTACGCCGAAATGGAGAAGAGGAATCAGCTCATCTGGATCACGAACGAGATCAGTCACCTCTGCAACTTGAAGAAGTGCGTCTCGTATTATTTATTTCTTTTCTTTCTACTGTCCCCTGCCCCCGTTTATATAATCTCTCCATTTGAAAACAATTATCGCGAACAAATGATCATATCTGCCCTTTCTGCGAGAAACGAAGACATTTAACACCTCATTCCTCGAAGTGACTTGTAACTTATATTCCAGATTATTAGAACAGCCCAGAAGATTGGAAAGGTCGAAGTCTTCGCCGAGGAAGAATAAATCGGCGAATTTCAAATCGAAGCAGACGACGGCGCTCGCTTGTAGGCGGGAGCAAAGTGCAGGCACTGTGCACAGGTAGAGCGAAACTTATTCTCGCGTGATGTACGCTATTCACATTGTTATCGTATTGTCTGTCGCGTATCATATTATCAACCATTCAATTGCGTTCACCTGTGTTTTCAGAAACCGATCCGACTTGCTCGATGATCCCGTCAACGAGCCCTGGTCGTCGCACTGCAACTTAGCAACGTGCGAAGCTGCGAACGACAGCGCGATTCAGAGAATTATGAAGCGCAACAGTTGCACGCAAACAGCGTCAGACGTGTCCGACGCGTATTCGAAGACCGGCGGCGAGATCGTGTCCGCCTGTCGAACACAGTGCTCGACGATGAAACGCGTCGCTATTGGCGTCGGCGTGCAAACGTCGTCGCGGGAGATGCTGCTGGCGCCAACGGCGCCGACGACGCAGTCGGACGTACGCGACACGAAGTACACAAACTCGCAGCATCCCCTGTGCGCGCATTCCCAAGATAATAATTCCAAGTGCAGAGATCAGATCTGCCAAAAGCACACCGCCCAGATCGCGCAGCGTGCGTGCGCGCGGTGCGCGAATCAGAGCTCGAGCGATGCGACTAGACCGCGGAGGAGCTACCAAGGGGAGCAGCAGACGATCGTCTCGCAGCAGACGCAGACGAATTACACGAGCGACGACAGCGCGGCCGTGACGGAGGCCGCTCGTCGTCGCGCGGTACAGAGCATCGGCGTCCAGCAGAAACAGAAAGAGGCTAAGAATCAAATGAACAATGCTTCGAAGTCGAGATGCAGCTGCGTCCGCGTTGCGCACTCGCCCGTCAACGACAACAAGTGCGGAGCGAGCGTGGTCGAGGCCAAAGGTCGGGCAGAGTGTCACAAGAAAACGATGTTCACGGTATGCCCGTTGTGTTCCAAGCAGAAGCCCGTTGTGGAGGGCCACAACGGCGTCTGTAACTGCGGCGTATGCCAGAAGAGTGCCTCGTGCGTGCGCGAGAACAATCCGGGAAACGGCAAGGCGTATGGTCATGCGAGCGAGTGCGACGGCGCCTCGACGGATGTTAACGATGTGGACAGGAGAATCGTCATCGGCAGGTCCCGGCAGAACTGCAACGCGGACGGTCAAGGTAGACGCGCGCCGAGCTTCAATGAGCAGAACGGCATCGGGAACGCTTGCGATTGCAACGCGTGCCAGAGTCCGGAGACCACGGCGGAAACGTTGTGCGAGTGCCGTTCGAGCGGCCAGATCGACGACAGCGGATTGTGTCGGTTCGAGTGTCGCTTGAAAATCGCAGGGCGCCAATCGCTGACGCAGATGTATTCCGATAGCTCACAGGACAGCGACGTGATCGCGCTACCGCGTAAAGTACAAAGTAGCTTAAGATGCAACTGCGACGAGGCTTGCTCCTGCGTGAATAATCCAGTGAGGGATCTCACGCGGGCTAGAGCGCGCGGAAGCTACGCGTCGAAACCAAATCTCGTAGATGACAGCAATGTCAACAGGACGGAGAGAACAGGACGCAAATATTGTCGCGCGTGTGGTGCCATGTATCAGAATACCAGGAAATGCGACTGCCGCCAAACGTACCCTAGAGCGGTCGCGTACGAGTTGTCGTTCACAAAAGAGAGCACTATGAGAAACGAAACGTCCAATGTTGTTCAAATAACGCCGAAAGTTCCGTTCGCCAAACAACCACCGAATCCTGCGAAATCCGATACTTGCCCTTGCGACGTTATGAAAAGGAACGGCTCGAATAGGAATCTTCATCAAGCAAGCACGCTGCAGGTAAAAGTCCGAGTGAAATCTCGAACGAGCGAGATATTCAGTTTACATTCAGTTGTCCGAAGTAACTTTACTTCTACTATATTTTACTTGTCGAGTACAACGTTCCAGAGAGAAATTCAAAGATCAAGGAGAGTTCAAAAAGAGGTTCAAAGAAGTTTCGTCCAGCGTATAGCGCATACATTTTGTGACATTGTCTAATTTGAATTAATAGCTATTTAATTCATAATTATGTTTATTTTAGGATTATCTGTCTAAAAACAATCCCGAGTTTGTGGGCAATGCAGAAACACGTCGACAATACCTGTCAGAGATATGTCAATTACGAGAATTGAGAAAAGAAAAACGTATACAATTATTAGCAATGGCTAGTACGTCTAATATCATTAAATCTGCACATATATCGAAGCCAACAGGTAAGATTATCACACATACGGACACATACAGTCACATACACATGTCTGTTAAATTAATAAATTATTCTAATATACTCAAAGATACGAACCACGAATCATAGTGTTATATGCAATATATCTTAATTTCTTTAACCGGTACCTTTCAATACATTCGTAGTTTGCATGCAGAAAAAGATTAGCGACCAGGAAATGAAAGAGCGATTGCGTAAGCGATATCTCCGGCTGAACGAAGTGCGATTCAAACGACGACAGCAGGAAAGACAAGAAGAAGCACGTCGAAATAAACTCATGGCGAAAATTTTCTGCAAGAAGCTGCAGCAAAAGGTTTTGAGGGGCCAAGTAGATCTGTCTCAAAGCGTTAGCGTTATATCCAACTTATAGAGTCATTAGCACCTACTCGTGCAAAGTGCTTTCTTATCTTCGCAAATATCCAGAATGAGAGGTATTTTATCTTTTTATAAAAATCTCTTTCTTTCATTCGTTCATTAATTCGTTCATTCTTTCATTAATTCTATTATTCTTTCATTCTTTCATTCTCCTTCTTTTCTCCCTCTGCTTAGGCGAACAGTAGAAAAGATTTTAAAATGCATCGTTTCTTCAATAAAATAGAATCGATCGTATTATCTTTCTCAGGTAGTTGCGTTAAAATTTTTATTACGGTACTGTGTGTCCACGATCAGGTTACACTTGAATTCATGACTTATTTATGATTATCGAATATATCGCAGGTGGTGTAACCTGATCTATTAATTGACATACTAAAGTTATACATGCGTGATTTTATAATCGAATTTATTTTTACGTATGTAAACGATACACTTATAACCAGTACAAAATGATATCAACTCTTTTTATAAAAACATTTTGTTATAAACACTATATTTTTTTTATATACATATATATAAATGGAAACACATCTTTCAGAAATGTGGCCTCAATTTATCATTTATTATACTTAGAACTATATGAGAAAAACATGTATGTTCTGACTTGATCCTAAACGTAAGCACCATAGGATCATTTTAACGTAGAATCTAAAATATTAGCAGTAAAAGTTACAGTTACATAGCAAAACATATCACTTGCATATACCACCGATCAAAAGAGAAATGCTTTAAAATAGGAAGCATAATTATTACGTAGTACCTGAATCTCGTAGTGAGACTATAGCCATAGGAGAAGCCATAGAAGGAGGCATTGTTTTTTTCTATAAATCTGAAAGACATAGTAAATTGTAAGTATATAATATGATAAGATCAAAATGAAAATTTTATGAAATATTTGCTATATTGTTATCCGTTTTAACATTTTTACCATCCTTGTATCTCTGTGGCTATAGGTCCGTCTAGTATAGTATACCATAATACTTTTTTTATTATCGTATAAAGTAAAATCTGCTAATAAATTTTTTAAATACATATAATTTCAAAAAGATTTCGTTAGGAACTTGCAATTTATTTATTTATTTATTTTCTTTTATTCCCTTTTCTATCCTTTCTTAAGTCTACAAAACACATTTCGATATATTATTTTTTTCACCATCTAGTATCTATAAACATCTTAAAAAATATATTCTGTAAGAAGGTTCACTCTTTATATTGTTATTACTTTGTGAAACGTATGCACTTGCAAATAGTTATACAAATCAAATTATATAAACTGCCGATGAAATATCCGTTAATTTGCAAAAATATATCTCTAAGAAACAGCAATAATTATTTTATATAAAGTGATATTTTTGATAAACATAATAACATAAAAGTATCTTGCTACTCTATTGTCGATGCTATTCTCTCTTTAGCATTCTTTAAATCTAGTTTTCTATAACTACGCCTCTCTACATATTCTTGTAGTGATTCTTTTTTCCCTTTCACTCCAAACACCGTCTAAATATTCCGTTTTAAAGCACAAGAAACATAACGCAAGCGAAAAGGACAGCGTTTTCCATTTTTTGTTACTTCAAAATTCGGACGGTTGTAAATTGACGGTGAAATTCAAAACAATTGGAAGAAGGTGTCATTCGCAAGAGCATCTTGGAATATCTTAAAAGGAAAATATTCGAAAAGAAAGTGAACATATACTTGGGACTAGGATATTGCTCAAGATATACCGCCAGCGTTTTGTCATCCAGTGGCCAATCATTATTGGGAAATCCAAAATATGACTAACTGTTGGAGGAACATCTGATTCTCGCGACGAACTGGATTCCAGCGACGCGACAATGACCGCGACTGGTCGCGGAGTCGTCTTAACGTCGAATGGTTCGCCTATGGTACCGCACGAGCGAGCATGTACTTTCTCTTCGAGAATGTGTAGTCGTGGTGGTTGTGCATTAATCGCACGCCACGAAGGCCAATTTGGCTTTCTATTCGCGTTTCCGCTCGCTTCCGCTGCGAGGGACGACGATGCGTCTCGGAGTACAGCGGAGAACTCGCAAGTGAACGAGTTCACAGTAACAGAGAGCGAAGAAAGGAGTCGATAGCCGAAGACACAGGAGACCACCGTTACACGCCATTGTCACCATTACCGTATGCGCGAAATCACGTTCACGGATCAAGACCGACTCACCTAATTATGAGCGCTAAATCGTGACGGTTCTTCACAATCTACGATAGATCTCGTTCGTTCTTCGCTGTTTGCGTTCTAGTCGTCTTGTCGTGCGTCACGAAGCTCTTAGAGGAAAGATGAAGCGATGGCAGGTGTCATGAGAACTAGAAGAGCGAGTGTTCTTGCGACGTTTCTAGGATGTTTGCTGTTTCCTTGCGGTAATTATTTAGTAAGCGATCTCGCCGCGTGAAGATGACTTGCGACTTCGTGAGCAAGAGAGGGAAATCTGTGAAAAACATGAAATTGGATCGGTCGAAAGCGTTGCTTCATCCAGCATCGATGTCTCCGACGAATGCGTCAGCCTCCATATGAACGAGAGAAATTTAAAGAGCTCGACTTTCAAATATATTTTAGCGAATTCATTTTTAAAAGCTATATGTATCGAAATTATATTTTTAAATATCTGAAGGTTTAAATTAAATTTACTTACGTTACACTTGATATATAATCGACAGGATATTTAACAAATATGTTTATTAACTTCGATAAATATATGAAACAATGTTAACAGCTTATACGCAAGAAGATAATGGAGAATATAAAGGGAAATATCTAGGAAAATTGAATCCATATCATCATCAAGTCTCCGGTGACGTCTGGGCTGTGGACCAGTACACCTTGTTGCTAACTTCTTTCAATTACGATGGCAATGGAGCTGACACGTTTTTCTGGGCAGGAGGGTCCAACAGACCGGGGCCTCAAGGATTTATCGTTCCCGATGAGTGGGGCAAGTAAGCTGCGTTTCTTTTTACAATTTTCTCGCAAATCCATGCAAATCAAGTACTAAATTTCGACCAATCTCACGCTCGACATTAATAGTCGTTTATTTTCTTTTTCTTTTCAGGACGAATATCTTATTGCGATACTTCAACAAGGATTTTACGTTGACTTTGCCTGATAATAAAAAAATTACGGATATCAAATGGTTTGCAGTGTATGACCTATCGAGTCAGGTAACGTAAACCTTGTATTACGATGTAATTACTGAAGACAATGTCATAGTTGACATACTAAATGTATTCACGGATGATCTTGTAAGACAGTCAACATATGAATAGCTTTGAATAGTTGTCCAAAATATTTCTTTTACTTTAGAATACTTTCGGTGATGTGTACATCCCAGAAGAATTTGATCCACCTGCACCTCAGAAGATATCGCAGTTGAGTAGAAGATCTCATAACGTCTCGTCAGAGTCCATCGTAATTTTAGACTCAAAAACCATCAGCATACCGCAGTTTATCTACGATGGACAAGGTGCGGACACGTATTTTTGGGTCGGTCTTGGCCCACAACCGTCCAGCAAGGGCCAGAAAGTGCCCGATGAATACGGATAGTAAGAGAAATAACAATTGCAATTGTTGTGTGCAAGAAATTCTAGCTACTAAATTTAAAAATCGATTTTTCCTTTTCAGCATGAATCCTCTTAGAGCATATAATAACGAAGACGTTACATTGGAATTGCCTGGCGATATGACTGTTTTCAACATAGATTGGCTAAGCGTCTTCGACTTGAAAACTAAATCGAACTACGGTTCCGTCATCATACCGGATGGACTCAATGTACCGCCATCGTTGATCAAAGTCATTAAGCAAACGCAGTCTCTTCCGAATTGCGTTCAGCTGCACAAACGCTACCAAGTCGCCTGGGAGATCTTTGGTCCACAAATCACTATCCAATTGACAGGTCAGGTCGGTACGTATACTCAATGAACTACATCCCATTGATACGCAAGGTAATTCTAAGATTTTATCTTAGTTAAACGTCGATTTTTACGTTTGTCGAGTTTAACAACTCGAATTTCTGCGTTGTGCTATGATTATTTTAATTAATACATGTCTCAATGTTTCTAGATGAAGACGAGTACATGGCATTCGGTTTGTCGGGTTCGGAAGATTCCAGCCGCATGGAAGGTGCGGACATAGCCGTCGCGTATATGGACGGCACCTGTGGATACGCAACGGATTATAACATTACAGCAAAAGCGCCAGTACGTACGACATCATTATTCGAGTAACTCTTGTATGAAATCTAATTTATGATTATGGCGATAGTGTGGGAAAGTTCTCGGCCAGTACAAAGGCGTTTGCAGAGACGAGCTTCTTGGCGGTTTGGACAGCAATCAGCTGTACACCGCAGTGAGAGAAAATGGTATCAACACTATCACGTACAGACGTACACTCATTCCATGTGAGTAACATAGTCGCGTTGATACGTTCATATGGGACATACGAATCGTGCTCGTAAACGTATAGTGTCCAAATTTCCATCTTCGCATAGCCGATCCCGGAGACAAGGAATTCCCTACGGATAAACCAGTCTATGTAGTTTGGGCCTTGGGTAGACTCGATAAAACCAACAACGAGCCCAGCTTTCATGATTTATATCCGACGAGTGATGTAATATTAGAGTTGAATCGCAAAGAGCCGGAGAACAGTTGCATCGATTTCACAGAGAGTAGCAATAAGTTCTATCAGAGGTACATGGAAAATTGATATTTCGTGCTTCCATAGAATCGTAAACTTGCTTCTGATTTCGTCTCCCACAACTGACCATAACATATCTTTTTCTTCGCAGAGAACCTTGGCAGAAGGCGGAGATATTCGACAGAAGCGTTAGAACCTTCAAAGCGACCATTGGACCTTCCGGAGGCAAAAGAGGATATCAGGGGATCACGGGTATGTAAATCCCAACATTTCTAACTCCAACGGTTATTTCTCCGTTTTTTTCTTCTTTTCACAACGCATTATCGCGCAGTGAACCCAACGAAATTAATTTCATAGGTGCACCGTCGGTCGGTCTTGCATGGTACATCGAGGGTATGTTAATACCTGAATTATATTTACGTCGAGGTTTGACCTACAGTTTTCGCGTTCACGGTGGCAATAATCCGCACAGTGCAGAGCTATATCATCCGTTAATAATAACGGATGAGTCTCACGGTGGATATGATACGCTCAGCGATCTCGCGCAAAGCAAGATCAGAGTATTGGCTGGTGTTGAACTGACTAGAAGAGGTCGACCACGACCCACCGCAGGTTCGTGTAGAATCAGGTTTATATATTTAAGCGTTCTTCTACATAAAGTTCTACGTCATGTCATAGATCGATATAATGTTCGACACTTCGTTTCTCGTTTCATTCTGTCTTCATTATTTTTTTCAGTCGGGCCACTTTGTTTAAGTAAACATAACGGTCGAGACAGAAGACTGGACGACAATTTCCCATCGTTCAAAAAATTCAATCGGACCCTCGTGCAAACTTGTGAGCCAGGTAAAATTATTCCTCAATTCGGCCAAACATCTGTCGACTTGTTAAATGAATAACGCGAACATGATTTCTAAATTTCAAATATATATTTCACATTGAAAGCCTGAACTGCTTTCCTTCTTTTATATATAGGAGAAGGCGGCACATTAGTAATAAGTCCAAACTCATCATGGCCCGACCTGGTTTACTATCACTCGTTCACACACGCAAATATGGGATGGAAGATTCATGTAGTCGATTCTTATACGAGAAATGGTGCGATCATACATAAATCGTCATTCCTCATTGCAATCGTGACTGTGTTTTTCCGTCCACTATAAAATTAGATATAAAATACAAAGAAATATATGCTCCATATATTTTCTTAATCGTAAAAATTCGTTACACTATGTGCATATCTCGATGACAAAAATTATAAATCACTGTATCGTTTTTTATATCGTTTGGAATATCGAGAAATATTAGCATGACAGATTCCTTTAAATTATGTATGTTACAAATTTTTATTATTTAGTAATCAAATCGTAACGAATAATTTCTCATTGCAATTAAGAATATATTTTTTGCGTTTTCAATTGCTATGAAGTGTTTAATTCTATTTCATATATATAAAAAAATGTATAGGTAGATTTCATTTTATATATAAAAGAAACAGTCAAATGAATAACAAAATATAATATCAGACATTATTACGTCATTGCAATATCTTTTTATTTCATATATCATTAAATGGCCTAATGTAGAATAATGTGAGCATAAAAAAAGGTACATTAGATATGTGGTATACGCTGTATTTGTTATTGAACAGTGAGAAAAATTGATGTATATGTATTCATAGCGTTTATATACTTAAGTAAAAAGCATTTACTTAAGTATAACGTGATGTAATAATAATTTTAAACCAATAAAATTTTTACAATTGTAAACTGTTGCTTTAGGAATTGTAAATTTCTACACGCAGATCATATTGAGATATACAATAATGTATCATCTGCTTCACCTATATTATATGTTCATATCATGTGGCATTTTTATCAAATAGCGTTTTAACCAATTCATATTACTAACCATAAACGATACAAATGTGTACAATAAATGATAGTGTTTTACATACGTTCGATAGAAAACATGTGCTTTATCAGTATAATTAGAATTTATGAATCCTTATACAAAATTTATATCAGCGAGTTTCGCTATTCATTCTTATTAACATCAATTAGAAATCTCATTTACATTTTTAAGTAATTTATATTTCTAAGCGCTGAGTGAGAGGAGAATACGAAAAAAGCAAGTAAACTTTTATTATAATCCACACGATTTCTATATAAAGGTCTGCTGTATATTATTTTATTTTTTAGATTATTAGAATCCTTTTCTTTTTAATAGCACCGCAATAGTTTCAACATTGCATTTTTCAAAACCAGCATTGTGTGATTCATTAGTAATTTCAATAATATGCATATATTAATATTGATAAAAAATGCGCGAAATAACTATAAAAATACACTTATAAATATATAGACCAGATAGATAAAATTAAGATACAAAAATAAATTAATTAGCAAAACTAATAATTCTTAATATTACACTAAACTTTACATCCTCTCGCACGATAGTTATATATATTTCTCTTCTCTTCTGTCTGAAACAGATAATCTCACATTGCTGGTTATGGCAATGTTCAAACACGAATTGTCTTTAGCGTCTAAAACGAATAATATTCTTCAAATTTTGCTCGTTAAACATCGGACAATCTTTTACCTCGTTGCTTAATAATATTTTAATAACTGTACACGCTTCATATTTTCCATTTATCGCCTATTTAACATTCATTTAACAAGCAAAAACGGATTGTCCTATAATAAGCATATCAAAATGCAATGTATAGCACTTGAAGAAGCGAAGGAAGACGCGAATATCTTTCACATGTCCAGTTATTGCTGTCAACGTTCATTTTTTCTTTTATTTTTTGTAGTGTGCGTAGCTCTACATTAATCAAATCACGTGAATTACTGTACAGAGGTATTAATTTAAAACGATATTTTACATAACAGAGTATCTAACTGAGAAAGTTCACAGAAGAAGAATCTTTTTTCGTTCAGTCTTTTCAGTTTGATACTTTAAAACCTGCCGCCTGCATTTACAACTTAGATTGTACTTAATATATATAGGAGTTAGCATTCTAAAAATAGTACTTTCTTTAATTGAAATTCCGATATTAGTATAAATCTCACTATTTTACGTATATTTCACCTATGACTCGCTTACAATTAATATTAATCAATTATGAATATTAATAATTATCATAACATACATCATCACTATACATTCATAATTCCTTTGATATTGTCACACATACATTTTGGGATTACGATAAATTGTACGGTTGTTCTCAATGCGCACCAAAATGTTTGTATTTGAAAATATATTTTATTATTATTACTATTATATTATTACGATTATTATCAACGTCATTCCTTGTGGAGCTCTAGAAAATGGTGTAACGTAACAGGCAAATCCGTGACGCGAATGCCATATTTACAAATAGCTTGTGCGGCGTGACACTGAAGGCTAATATAGTTCACCAGATTCACTCTATTCAAAGGGTTGCAAGATAATAATCGTGCTGGGGTATCACCTGCTCTATTTGGTGTATCTAAATGCGCGCCATAATCCAATAACAATTTTACGAGCTGTTGTAAAGAAATTCTTGACGTGAGTTTCAGATGCTCGATAAAAGCATCGAATTCTAGAAAATATATAAATAAAACTGTACTTACTTGGTTATCGAAGTTGCAGCCTCTACTCGCTATATGTAAGGGGGTCGAACGTAGGATATTTTTCGCATCGACATACGCTCCACATTCTAAAAGCAATTTAGCAACATCCATGCGTGGAAAGATTGTCTGAAAATATTCAATGTATATTATTACACATTGTTATATGAAATTGAAATATCTTCACACCACCTTTTATACATGGATTAAGTTGGAATTTGCCCCTCCCCCCCTTCTCCTGCCGTCGTGGCAAAAATATCGAAATTTTTATAAATCGAGGAAAAATAATTTTAAAATTGATATATCCAAAATGAATAAAAAGTGGCACGACAGATGTATGTATGTATGTATGTATGTATGTATGTATGTATGTATGTATGTATGTATGCATGTATGTATGTATGCATGCATGTACGTATGTATGAATATATGTATGTATGTGTGTGTGCATGCGTGCGATACAATGATTTATAGTACATCACGTAACACGTAGTACATCACGTAACATAAGTGAAAATTTTAACTTACATGTACATCGTCTGCAGGATTAAAATAATTGGAATTAACCGTATTTAAACTAGAAACACACAAGTGAAGCAGCGTATCGCCCGTATAAACAGATCTTGGATTTTTCTTTACTAAGTCACGGACTAATTGGTGCATCAGATCTTTCTCATCTTCGGATCTTGCTGTTTCTACTAATAAGTAAATAAGATGCGTCACACACTTCAGGATGCGTTCGTAACAATCTTTTTGCCTTTTATGTACGGGACGTTTCTGTAATATTGACATTTGTGTAATTAAAACAATCGATAACACGCATCAGTTGGACACATTAAGGGGTTTACCTAGTGTGACAGTTTGAAAAAATCGAATTTTTTTTTGCATTTTTTGACAGTTTAACCACTGTAGAATAATATCCTGAAGTGTTATGGTCGTATCTGAAATATTTTAGAAACGGCAGGTATGAAACGACAACGCGGCTGGTCGGGCCATAAACTCGATCCTCGCCGGCGAGACGGGACGCCGGGCAGCTGCGATAGTTCTTAAGCTCTGATATAATCGTTTATACTTCAAAGATAGGAAAGAGAGCCTGGTAGTTCCAAGGACTACCTTCCTAAAAACAACGTCCGACTAAAAACAATAGAACTGGCCAATTTCTTTGCTGTTGCAATTTTTAATGAAGGTTTCCAAGCTATTTTGAAAGCATTTGAAACAATGGGAGTGATTATTGGGCCCTCTGCCAAAGATTATGCAGAAAAACGAGACATGAGACGAATGATGGTAGCAGAAAAACGGCACCGCGAGGCTTCAAAGGAGGCTCGGACAGCTCGCAGGACAGCTGCAGCGGCCCAGCAACAATTTTTCGAACAAGAGGAAGGCGAATTATATGGGCCTGGAATAGCTGAAAAGCTGTAAGTATGATAAATTTTCTTTTATAACAAAAAATCAATAGTTAAAACTTTAAACGCGTTTTTCTCGAAATGTTTTCGAAATTTGCTGCAGTCATAACTCGCGAACAAATTAATGAATCAACTTCAAATTTGATAGGCATACTCAGTACATGTTTCGTCATACAGTAAACTAGGATTTTTTCAATCTGTCAACAAATGTCAATTTGCCACGCAAAAAACAGGCACTTTTTTTTGCTAAATTCGAACTTTTTTTTTACAAAACCGTAATTTTTTTAATTTTCAATATTTTTTCATAATCCTAGTTCACTGTATAGGAAAACTTATCTAGTTTAACGCCTTTTTTGTCTTTTTTTATTTCAGGCACTCTGACGTCACTTATCTCTGCAGCAGTTGGGCTACTTTTTTTTTTTACCTCCGAGAAATTACTAATATTTCCAATATATGTCAGTATTTTTTCGTAATATAATTTTTATAACTTCTTCAAATGTTACTTAATATAGCCTCAAACTTTTAAAATATATGGCAGAATAGTTTTTTTTTAATCCTCGAAAATCGCCCTCATTTTCATGTGGTCACACTAGGTAAGCCCCTTAATTTTTTGCAAATTAATCAAATGTATATAATTTATATCAACTCACTTCTAACAGTTCTCTAGCTTCCGTCAATTGACTAGAGAGCAATTTAAAGATCGCTACTACATCGCGAAATCTTGGTTCCTGCGTATCTTGATTACGATCCATTACTTCCAATGTCTTTTCGTTTAGATCTACCATCAGCCTTAAAAGAACTTGCGCGGCGAAGCAAGTATCGGTGTACAAAATCTGTATAGAATATTATCTTAAATTAGATATTTTAGCGTGAAAAAACATCTAATTACACGTGTATGCACATATACAAATATTTAATACACTTTACATACCGAATCTTTCTCAACTCTAATCTCTAATGCTCGATACCACAAATCTATGCAGTTTTGATACCTAAAAAACGAATAGATGAAATAAGTGAAATATATTTTGAAGATTGCTGTTTCCAGATATTTACCTGAGCGCGTCTGCATACGATGCACCCCGAAACATCAGACGAAAAAGTGTATCCTTGTGATGTGGGCCTAATATCCTCTCACATATAAGTAAACTTTGTATTCTAATCGCATCTAAGTCGAGTGCAACAGCATTCAATTCTTCCAGAGTCGCGAATTCCCTGGCGTTTCTATAAGCTTCACATTTCGGTAGTACAGGCGTTTTCGGCAAAGCTATTCCGTCGACCGAGTGGGCCATTCTGATGGCCATCGCTGTCCGCCAATATCGCAATGCCGTATGCGTATCATTATGATCGTCAAAAAATGTAGATCCCATCAATTCATTTGCGTCTGCCAATTTTTCAGGTGAATACGCTACCGTATCCACTAAAAATCCCAATACCATTTGTCGTGATTAATAATAGAAAAACAAAAAAAAAAGAACGTACATAAATGGATCTTGTATCTTTTATCACAGAAAATAAAGGAAAACTAAAGCTACATGTTGTACCTTTAAGAGAATTATCCTCACCTAAATATTCAAATATATGAATGGCTCCTTTAAGGCAGGCAGTCTGGAGAGCATCATCATTATATCTAGATTTCAAATGTGGATCCGCATTGTGTTCTAAAAGGAGTTTAGTAGTTTGTAATCTATGTTCTTGAATGGCGTAATGTAAGGCAGTTTTGTTTTGAATATCCGTTGCATTCACATCAGCGCCATGTTGCAAGAGATAGGTACACAACTCTACACTTTGTACAGAATTTATCAAACATGTCCCACCATTGTAATTTGCTTTTAATATATCAGCACCATGTTCTACTAAATAAGAAACAATATCTGGAAAATATTATACATAGTTTCAATTATTTCAATAATCATCCTTAAAACACATTGTACTTCAATTTATACATTTATATTGGTGAATTATAACTATTAAACTTAAATATTTGACAAGTACACATCTTTTCCAAATTAATGTCAGTTATTTTCTAAATCATTAACGAATAAAAATTGTGATAATAAGTAATATCACAAATGATCTTATCTGTGATAGCTGTTAAACATTAGAAAAGAATATACGATGGCGTAATTAAATCTTGGCACAAAGATCTGACCTAGACCTACATATGGTATATATTCTGTTGTTCTGATTTAATCTAATCATATTATAATTTTATCATAAAGCGATCTTATACTTAATCTTATTTTTATTGCAGAAATTATTTTGCTGCAATATTTTATCTTAATAATATTTTAAAGAATATATAGTTTATTACCCAAATGTGTCATGAAGCATGCAGATCTAACAGGAGTAGATCCAGAATCAGAGACTGCATTAATTTCAGCTCCATGAGATATAAGGCATTTTATAACCAAGAGTTTTCCAGAAACAGCAGCACACCACAGTGGTGTGACACAATGAACCGACCTTTCATCGGGTACTTCATACTTTCCTCTTTGTTCAATGTCAGCACCACATACAGTAATAAGATACTCAACAATCTCCACATTGCCCTTCTTACAAGCAATAAATAAGGGAGCACATCCTTCTTTTGTACGAGACACAATTTCTCTTCGTACATCCTTCTTATATTTTTCTAAGCGATTTCTGAGAGAGTAAGTCAGCCGTGCCCCAGGTGCCACATATTTACATTCATGTATGAGATCATAAAATATTTGATCCATGGAATTTTCTCTATAAGCACTGATCCACATTGCCTATTGTCCAAGATGATTCACACTCAAGTACCGTACTCTCTAGTTCATAAAACTGGAAAGAAATTCACCTCTAATATGATACAATGCAAAGACACTCAAACTGGTGTTGCCTTAACTCATAATAATAAAGCTGCTTTTAAAATAATAAGTACATTTGTATGCAAAATATGACAATAGAATAAGAAAAAACAGCTAACATTCCAACACACCTGTCACTGACAATAAATAATACAAGAAACTAAAGAAGAATGAAGTAGTACAGACAAAAGATTATACATTAAGTGTTATATACATATATATATATATATACATATATGTATATATATATATCAAAGAAGTATACATACACACGAAGTCGGATTTGACATTTATGGCATCCTTATTCCTTCAATCTCTTCGAAGAAACTTATACTGTAAAACTTTTATGAACACTCAAGGATAAAAGAGAGATCACATCATACACATAACACACATATACACACGCGTGTATGTCAAATACTCACGTACAGGCCACAGGCTCGTAGTGCATATGTCCAATACTCGACACGTCTACACGATACGCGTATCAAGCAGAAACAGTGTATTATTAGCGTATACAGCACAGCTTGAGGATAAAATATAACCTCTAAATGCTTTTCGCACACGATTGCTCGTGTGTAACGGTTATGTCCATTTGCGGAAACTACGTGCACTTCGCGGCCAAATGTATTAGAACTTACTCACGGCACGAGCAGGTATTCATGAGCAAAACAAAAGCAAATACGCATATGCATTAGTAATTTTCAGTGCATTGTAAATGACAGACGGCAATCAATAAACCACGTGATTTATATGGTCACGTGAGACTACGCACATATGCACGACACTACTTTTAATTCAATTCCCGATTTACGAACAAATATTTTGCATTTCGCGCGTTAGTTGTGTAATTTTGGAAGGACAATGACCGTGTAATTAATTGAAAAGAAAATAAAAATAAAAAAAAACATAATGGAAACATAACGCAAAGGCTTTGCTCGGCTTTTCTTCTCGTAAAAACACATTAGAGATATATTATATGTTTCTTGACACGCGACGCGTTATAATGTCCATATTTAAAATAAAATAAGTGTCTTTTAGGAACTTGACATAAAAAAAGAGTACATTTATAAAGAAATAAAGAAAGTGCAGTGCAAATAGAACAAACATACAGAGGGTGCATTCCGATATTCACTGCCATTGCTGCAAATATATAGTTTGTGTCACATATATTGTAGATTTTCAGCGCTGGCAGTGAATATCGGAACGCAGCCTAGAAATGCTAAGTTCTAATTGGTACATGTACATTTCTAATATGTCATCAAAGCTACGTTCCGATATCCACTGCCAGTACTGAAAACCTATAGCTCGTGTCACGTATATTATAGAGCTTCAGTACTGACAGTGAATATTGGAACGCAGCACAAATCTTATTACTAGATCCAGCAACACAAAAACAAGCATCGTGTGTTTAACTTTTGACTTTGACAGTACTTTTATATCCGTATGAAAATTCGTCGTAATCCATAATTCAGAATATTCAGACATTCCACTAATCAGACATGTGTTCCTTTCAGATATAGACGTAGATTTGTGAATCTCAGGTCTGTTCATTTTCAAAGAACTTACAAACGTATTGCACTTTAGTTCAGAAGTTCTTCCAAAACAAATAGACCTACCGATTTAAATCCCAACTAGATTTGAAGTTGAATTTGAATTTGAATTTAAATTTAACTAAATTCAAATATTTTGACATGTGTTTTAAACTGCCTCACCACGTGTTCGATCGAATACGACTCTAATCGATTTTTATAACAGAACCTATTCCTAATCAGAACCTATTCCTAATCAGAACCTATTCCTTCAGAACCTATTATTAACAGACGCTATTCCGTATTCAGGTTATGAAGAAATATGCCATGGTGCTACGCTTCGCGTATATTTCAAAACAAAACTTAAAACCGATAATATTGTGGTAATACATTTACATTTCACTCATTGCATTATTGTTTAGTATTACTTTATTAAACTGAAGGTAACGTCTCAATGCAATGCAACTGAAATCAACATATATCGACTTGCGATAAGAATGCAGACAACAACTTTCTCCGATAGTGAAACTTCTAACGGCGAGAAAGTCAATAAGAATTAACGTAATAATTTTAATGCGGAAAATGCACTTTGCATTTTACACGCTGCATGACTCTAATTTTTCCTTCTAACCTTTTGTTTTAATATAAAATTGGCGCTAAATGTTCTTTAACGTGTTTTTCTTTAATATGTGTGACTATTATTTGTAATCATGCTTATTTGCAATTGCACTGACAAATTCTGTTGAAATCCATATTTAAATATTATATTATCTCAAAATGGATAATAAGATTTAATTATATTTGATATTTATAATGTCATATTTGTAATCGTGATTTATAATTGTTGTCCTCAATTACAGCTTAGATACTGTTTCTGTCAATTTAAGTAAAGTTCTAATATGTACATATCAACGTTGCAAATATATGGATTGATTTACACAGGTGAGAAAGTTATTATTTATTTAAATGAATTATTTACATATACGATAGCTTTTTACACATAATATATACGATAGCCTTTTACACATAACATATATGATAGTTTTTTACAGATAACAGTTTTTTATATCAATATTTAGTAGCGTTTAGTGACGCGGGTAAATTTACCGGTTCGCGATTACGAAAGCGAGAAAGTTATCGGAAATACAGGACAAGACCAGTGAAAAGCGCCTAACAATTTGCCGATCTATCATAGAATTCAAAGAAAGGAGAGTCATTTCTCGTCAAGTCGCGCTCGTAGCAACATCTCCTAGGCAAGCACGTATCTACTTTCTATTTGCGCTGCATTTGCGTCTCAATTTTTTATCAGTTATAATTATAATCGTATAATCAAATCAGTATCAAGTAAGTATCGAACTATTGAAATCCCAGTCAACGTATTTAGTTACTGTTATATAACTCATAGAAGTAACAAGTATATAACAAATATGTTATAACATTTATATTACAGTTTTATAATTTTATTATGTTACAATTATATTAGAATTATGTATTTTATCTTTTCGAGCATAACTGCATAATTTAGTTACTGCTATATAATTTGGATATATAAAAAAATTATATAACAAATATATTATAACGTCATATAACAATATAAGTTATATAACAAATGTAATATAACAGTTAAAGTTACATAATTTTATCATCTTTATAACATTTATGAAATATAAAGTCACATATTTAACATATGTATTACATTACTTGTACTTTTGAAAAAGGGCGAAATTTTTATATAACAAAAATTACTTTCACGCTATATAACATGTGATGAAGAAAAATATAGATGTTATATATCGACTACATTATAATGTCGAATGAGGTGTTATCCAGTATTTTTCATACACGCCGTTTCTTGTCTTTCAACCGCAAAACTCATTATATCGGTTTCTCCTTATAGTGGATAAAGAACTATTTATGTTCACGTACTTGGAGGATAAAACGGCAGAGAAGTTAGATGAGATGTACGGATTCAAGCCTTCTTTCCTCAAGGTACAACCTAGCCAATGCTTATTGCCAGTGCAATTTGTCTTCTACGCGCAAAAGATACGCAACCTAAAGGTGTACGAAGACGATATTTGGATGGTCTCATTTCCGCGAACTGGTAAATGTTGAAAATGCTTTTCCCTTAAAAAGATACAGCTGTATAGTATATAAAATTAAACTTAAGAAATAAAACTAGAACATCGCCATGTAATAATCTCACCATATATAATTTTATATTGCGTAATTACGTTTAAATTGTTTCTAAAAATTGTTGCTTTTTTATTTAATTCGAGGAGATTTTCTCCTTAGGAAGTCATTGGATGCAGGAAATGATATGGTGTATCGGAAATAACTTCGATTACGAAAAAAGTCGCGTATCTTTTTTAGAACGATGTCCTCTACTCGAGTAAGTTTCAATTAACTTTGCAACTTATTAATTTAATAATAAAATGAATTAATACATTTAGCAATGCGTTATCCTTTTTCTTTATTTTGGCAGAACTTCATCTGTCTTAATTGGCAAGCAGTTCAATGATCTAACAAATATGGGTGACCTATTTGAATTCGTGGTAAAAATGCCAAGACCGCGATATATTAAAACGCATTTGCCTTGGGAGTTATTGCCAAAAGAACTTAGGGAGAAGAAGCCAAAGGTGAAAATATAATATTGTGTAAATAGGGAAGGCACCTATTGTGTGTACGTCTCTTTCTTTCTACATATTTACACCTCTTTCTAACATGTCGACGTTTTACAGATAATTTACAATACGAGAAATCCAAAAGACACATGCGTTAGTTTTTACCACTATTGCAGAACGTTTCACAACATGCAAGGAAACTTCGAGGAATTTGCGGAATTAATGTTACAAGATAACAGTACGTTAAATGATACCATTGTTGTTCTGACAGAAAATCATCGCAAATTTGTCGTTTTTTTTCAGTTTTTGACGGGATTGACATTTTTTATAAAATACTCATATTGCTTATATTTCCATTATATTAATTTTCTAATATATTTTTGAGAAAGTTTTAATATATCTTATGACAATCTTTTTGTATAAATTGACATTACTTAACAAATATCAAATTTTAAATCAATTAAAATTAAATTTACGAAATAATATATTGTTCAGTTCCCATAGCCCCCTTCTGGAAGCATATTTTACCATTTTGGAAGATAAAGGATCAAGAAAACATATTATTCCTTACTTACGAAGAAATGAAACAGGTAAGATGAAAAGTATATTTGTCTTTTGTATCACAATAGGTATCCGTGAAAAACAGTTAAATATGTTTTAAATATGTTTCATATTTGTCCTATGTATGGAACAAGTTAAACTCAAATAAAAATTAAATGTTAAATTAAAAAGTAATTTAATTCAAATATGTTTTTAATATGCATCCGTATGCATTGAATTTAAATCTTGCTATTAGATTAACTTTGTCCAGACGCATATATAGATCGTATATGCCTATAATTTTGCTATTAGATTAACTTTATTCAGACGCATATCCAGATCATATTAATATTTAATATGCATCTAACTAAAATTGAATGTAAATTTAATTTTATATTTGGAATAAATGAAATCTTAATTAACATTTAACTTGGTTTTTACTTGAATTTAACTTAGTCTATATAAAGGACAAATATGATGCTACATTTAAAACATATTTAACTGTTTTTTTGCGGATATCTTTGTCTTATATCTTTGATATTTTTATTTGATATGTACTGAAATGTATATTATACTTTGCAGGATCAAGTTGCGGTAATTAAGAAAACCGCAACATTTTTAGATAAGAACGTGACGGATGAACAAATCGTTGAATTGTGTGAACACTTGAAATTTTCTAAAATGACTGCAAATCCGTCGGTAAATATGGAAATGATGTTGGATAAAACACGACAGAATGATCCAAATCATAAGTTTATAAGGAAAGGCAAAATTGGAGATTGGGTAAACTATATGTCGAAGGATCTGTCGCAACGTTTTGATAAATGGACCGAGGAGCATCTGCGTGGAACTGGTCTGCAACTTCAAATGGATGTTGTAGATGAAGAATAAACAATTATGCAATATACTGCAATACTACAAATATACTAAATGCTAAAATGCACTTCAGCTGCATGATGACCGCGAGTTGTTGCAGTAATTTTTAAATCAAATGTATATACGTGCGTATATATATAGAGAGTAATAATGCATTTGTCAAATAATGGTATCTTGTTAGTTATATCCTGTTGGTAATATCTGTTACATCTGTTGGATAATCGAAATTAATAATATTCTTATATCATTTATTATACCATATAGTTATTCTGCATAAATATAAATATTTTTAGTTCCAATATCGTTAATCCGATAATACACAATTGTTATTTTTATACTCAATTTTCCTCAAGTACATTATAACCGAAAGATAATATAAGAACAATAGAACTATATAAAACATTTAATAAAAAGGAATAACGACAGCGAAATAGGCTGTTTCTGAAAAGATTTGTACTTAATATTAGATACAATCCAATTATGTTTTATATATTTACACGACTAATCAGTGTGTGTGTGTGTGTGTGTGTGTATTTGTGTGTCGTATAATTTTATAACGATAGATTCTCCTCAACAAATTCGCAGAGTTGACATTTCTTTAATAAAAAATTCCCTTCTTATTTCACATTCGGTACTTCCGTACTTTCTCGCATATTCCCGAATGCGCGTGCGAAAACGTTGTTCCTGCGTGCGTACGCACGACTATTCACTTGCATTTATTGCGACGGCGATGCAACGTGAGAGAATGCCGAAATGTCCAATGATGATAGAGATCCAAAAGATCTGCAAAGATGGCGCTGATTTATGTTGTGTCAGATTTTTAAAATTGATTTGAACCTTATCGAGTTTTGACACGACGTGGGAATCGGCTCGTAAGTCACCACTTTTGTAAATGCAATAATCGTGTCGGGACCTAACAAGTCGTACTGTGGCGGAGGAGCGCACCAATAGTCACGTGTAATGTCGTGCACAGGTAGCGTTCTGCACTTAACCTAGTCATGTTGAACCTTGAACCGTCATCGCGTATATGAAGTTCACGGAACTCCGTGAGATATTACGAGAGGTAGGAGAGAATCCTCGTTAAAACTGACTGAACGAAGGATTACTAATAAAGCCACGTCGGTACAGAAAGATATCGAGCAGCGGAACGTGCAAACGAATAAAAGTCCGACGCTGACTAGTAGTTTATCGCTTGGACTTTCCCATCGTTCGCAAACTGGTGACAACGAGGTTCGATTGGATGCAGATAAAATTCACACCTGGCTGAAATGCCGAAAATAAGGATCAAGCAAACACCAAACAGCCTTTGGTTAAGGCAACGTGAGTTAGGTGTCAAGTTTCCTCTTGGTCACAGTGACCATTTTCACAAGACTCTTTACTCTTCTATGCAACCCGTAACCTCATGGGATCACGGAGATAACTTAACTGCTGCGAGGCACGGTGGTGTATTTAATTTGGAATATTCACCTGATGGGTTAGCAAAAAAAAAAAAGAGTATCTATGTTAGTGCATATCCCTAATAAACTTATACTCTACATGGGACATGCATTATCCATGAATATCTTTAAATATCATGATTTATGTGTGATTAATATTATAGGTCTCTCTTGCTAGCAGCATGTGAGAAGAAAAGTATTTTAATGTTTGATCCATTATGCAGGAGATTGATTCATGCTATAGACAATGCTCATAATGACTGTGTCAATTGTGTAAGGTTTGTAAGACGGGTCTTATCAGGATTTCTTTGTATGAAACAATTAGATATCTAATGTAACATTGCCAATAATATCAGGTTCCTGGATCAACGTATGTTTGCAACCTGTTCGGATGATAGTACAGTAGCTTTATGGGATGCTAGGAACTTGAAACAAAGGATAAGAACTCTTCAGGGACATTCTAATTGGGTGAAAAATATAGAATATAGTCCAAAGGATAGCCTATTATTGACCAGTGGATTCGATGGTAGCATATATACTTGGGACATTAATAGGTTAGTACTATTCGGATACTATTGCGGCATGGTAGATTCTCTTTCTATGACTGTGATTGTTTAATTATTTTACCTTGCAACATGCCCTACAGCTTTACAGAGAATAACTTTGTGTACAATCGTGTATTTCATACAAATGGACTAATGCGAACAAGACTTAGTCCTGATGCCAGTAAAATGTTGATATGCACTACTTCGGGATATCTCATTATAATACATAATCTTAAGCTCAGTACATTGACTCAGGACTTGGCAGGATTTAAGGTGTGTAGCTGGCAAATTTAATATAATTATTGTTTATAAACTCAAATTTGTTTAAATATTCTAAATTTATACAATAATATAATAAAAATAAATTTCATTTAATTCTTGCAGCCAAATATGTATAGGCTGATGCAGTTGTCTCAAACTACCATACCAGTTGCCGCGAGTTTTACTCATCTGTTTGCTCACTCCCGTCCTCACAATAGAGTCGAGTTCCTCACTGATTTTCCTGTAGGTGACGACGCCGAAGTGATATCAAGTCTTCAAGTTCACCCACAAGGATGGTGCGCGTTGTCCAGAAACGTTAGCAATGGAGAGAAATCTGAGGTTTGATTCCGCACGTTGCATCGCGAAGTCTCATTATCACCAACTTTTCCTCCTTTATGGTCAAATTTCCTACAAACACTACTTTTCCTCATTTCACAGTGGACCTGCATCCACGATATACAAGAACGTGACGTAATCAATAATTTGGAACAAACCAAGGAAAGCGAAGAGGCTGCTCCGCAATTCAACGAATTAACCGTGGAGGAATTTGAGGACTTTCAACAGCCACAGCCATCGCGTTCGGGTATCACGTCTTCCTTCGTGATAGAAAGTGTGAATCGTGCCAGAGTAGTACATACGGTATCGGATGTAAGGTCGAATTCATTCATATCCACGGATGCCGCGCCGTCGGTCAGGCCGTCGGCTCAATCGAGGGCGAACTGGCAGGTAACGCCTCGTAGAAATCTACGTTCACAATCGAGGAGTCCGCGACCAGACAGGAACGTGATGCGAACGAATTTCGACGTGGTCGAAGTGAATTCGAGCGCCGGTACTGCCGACGCGAGAGTAAACGCAATTCATAACGAAGACAGGGCAGAGGATCAGTACATGGACGATAATAATGAGAATCCAGGGCACGATGCGTCGTCGCCTGACGAGAGAGATCGAGAGTACAGATCCCCGAGACCGAATTCCCAGCTCAACGACCTGCGGCGACGTAACGTGATCGACAATTTTGCTAGCGGTAATGTCGAGTTGCACGTTAGCACGACCGACGTGTGGGAAGCGCTCGTTGCGATCAGAGAAGCCAGACTTCGGAGGGAACGCGAAAGGGAATTCTATCCCACCGCCGACAGGAGGGACTGGCTCCCTAGAGCAAACAACGGCGTGAGCGTGAATATCCCGCGATCTTCCCACACGGTTGTGATAATCGGCGACAGGACCCGGGTGCAGAATCAAAATAGGCAGAATCTGCAGACTATGTACGCCATACCGAGAAACCACAAGATACATCAGAACACACCTAGATTAACGCATTATATCGAGGAGCCGAACGTTGGTTCCGGCTATATCAAGGAATTGTGCTTTTCGGCCGATGGTAGATTGATATGCTCGCCGTTCGGCTACGGGGTACGATTGCTAGCATTTTCAAGCGATTGTGCCGAGTTATCAAACTGCGTTCCATCCGCCAACGAGTCCATACAGCTTCACGAGTTAGCAACCAGCATTAGTCATTCCGATATTGTGGTTAGCACGAAATTCTCCCCCAGACATTGCTTGCTCGTGTCCGGTTGCCTCAGCGGCAAGATTGTTTGGCATCAGCCGGTGGTTTAGCTAAATTGATATAATTTACTATAGGCATTGTTATATATTTTTTATCGATCGGTCTCTTAATAGATAGCTAGACATGTTTTGCCGCTTTGTGCAAGAACAAATCATTGTAGAGAGTTACGCTGACTATACAGAGTATCTTCTTTTTTTCTTTTCTTTTTCTTTCTGATAATTGTCATTTTTACTTGATGCATGCCTTTTTAATGAATGTTATTCGATACATCATCTCTGTACGGTTCCACATTTTCTACTGTCATATACTTGCTATGATGATAATGCGGATAACGGATGAAATTCCACAAGATTTAATTTACATTTGCGCGCACCTCTGAGGGAAAGATGAGAATTATTAAGAAAACCGTTATGTCTCTCGATTGCACACCAACGTTTTGCGACACATTGTTCTGCAATATGATATACACTTACACGCACGTGATATAATTAATTAAACGATTAAAATGATATTTCATATTATTACCTTTTCGCCAATTAATATGAACTAAACAATCGAGAATGGTATCGATGACAATCGACAAAAACGCGCCATCATAAATGTATTAATAATGTAATCAATTCTATGCTATTGTTTTTATATTGTACATTTTTATTTCAAGCAAGATTTTTTATAATTTATTTTCGAATTATTATATATATGTATGTATATATATATATATAAATTCAACTATTATCAATCTTATAAAGAAATAAAAATATTTATTTTCGATAAAGACGATTGTGTTTTTTCAGATAAAATATTGTTGAAGTATAATGGGGAATAGCAATTGCATTGTAATGCATATTCCATATCGCGCGCGCGCGTAGGTACAAATGAAATGAACGTTCAATTAGTTCAATTAAATGGTCAGGTTCAGCATAACATTCGCCATGCACTATTGAGCGCAATGTGTCACACATACGTATCGATGTTGATCCGTTTTTTGATTTATATGAAAAATATTAATTATATATATTTTGGATTAATTATGACTTTAATGAATATTATTAATCCTTTTTATATGGTATTTTATATATCGTTAATATCATAACAATAAGATCTCTTGCTGTCGAAGTATGTGTCTCTCTCTCTCTCTCTCTCTCTCTCTCTCTCTCTCATTTACAAATTTTTTAAATCAATTAAAAAATAAAAAACTTAGATTTATAAAATAAACGATGAATTAAAAGTTATGTGAATTGTTTTTAGTTTAGACTAAATCTTTTATTTAGTAGAAATGTTAAGGGGATGAAGTTCTCTTATCTATTCTCATTATTGGAAAGTATTTCGTCGATATTTTATTTCTCCACATTTTTGTTACGGAAAGATACTTCTTGTTTTTTATGAGAAATATTACAAAAGATGCACCAAATATTATATGCCCCTCTCATCTTCTGTATACACACGTATATTAGATTAATCCATACAAAATACTGTTGATGGCTAATTATTTTGTAGATATTGTGTCTCGTATTGTACATATATATATATATATATATATATATATATACATATGTATGGATGTATAAAATTTTTTATTTTTAATGATATTTTTGTTTTTCATGTTAAGATTATGGTTCTCTCTCTTTCTCGTCAGAGATGTTTCTTGTTATCATAAAATTTCAGTTCAATTAATAAGATTATTATTAATATTAGAAAATGCGGAACACATTGCCTCTGTTGCTTGAGAGATACTTGCTCATATATCTGCCGAACATTTTCTTTTGGGAACACACATGCGCGTTTCGAAAATAGATTTAATATATTTCCGATAAAAATTGCCAACTATATTGTACGCGTTATATATGATAATTTATTGACGTATAACGTATATGATATTATCACGCTATAATAGAAACGTTTTTACTATGAACAAATCTGAAATCGGTTATCAAATAATCGAGTTCGAAGTTACATTGTAACTCTCATTAAAAGTGACGAAACTAAAGGAACTAAAGGAATCATTTTTTTTTTTACTAACATATTGTAACTTTCAAACGTGTTTCAGTTCTCAGCTATATGACTTTATTCATGTAAAATTCGTCAATCGGAAAAACACGATTAATTTCTTCCGATAATCTTCGTAATTCGAGTCATTCTTTGTGCTATTCGAGCTTTCGAATGCAAAGAAGTAATAATGCGAGTGATTTTTGAGATCTGTCACTTTTATGAAGGATATACAATATATCTCACAAACGTATCAGTAGCTAATATGTTGCAAAGAAATCTAATCGAAACATATACAATATATATTGGATAAAATTGGAAATTAATGAATCGGTTCGTATACATAATAGTGCAATTAACAGTAATACTATGTAGAAGAGCTATTGTGACAATTATAGAATTCAATTTTACCATCGAGAAAGAATATAACTGGACGTGACAAAACCTGTATATTATTTAAAAATAGAAATAATGAACCGAGTGTTCAAGTCGGTCATTATATTTGTATAATTAATAAGAGATGTCATTCTCTGTAATATATATATATGTAAATACGTTGTGTGTTATAGTATGTTAAGGACAGTAATCTCCGCATTCAAAGTGTTCTATCGTTTAGGTGTTCGATATTTCGATATGTTTAGGTATTCTATCTAAGTATACATACCTTTAAAGTTCTGGATCAATCACCGATGGTGTTGTATCAGAGAGATAATCCCGTAACTTTTTTGGTATATACGTCGAAATGAAGGAGCTTTTTTATACACTATCATCCCGTTTGATATGGCAGATTTCTATGTATATGCCTCTAGAAAATATTCTCTTTTTGTAGATAAATTATATATTATAGCTTAATCTGTAAATGTGTCTTTACTTTACACCCTGTGCATTTTAATGTGAATCAGCTCTATTTTTTCATATATTTGTTAAACAGAAAAGGAGCAGATATTTCGGTCGCTAAATATTTTGTAATAAGTTGTATAGGAAACCCGTATTTTCAGAAGGTGTTAATTAATATTGATATGTGAGGTAGTTTGTGAAAATGTCTCTTCTTTAGCGCTTAAGATAAGAAATTGTTTGTCTACAGATAGCCAATTTTAAATCGGCTGTTCATTGATTTCTGTGGGCTGTGGGCTTCAGCTGTTTTGTTATAAATCTACAAGTTGAAAAGAGACTTTGAAATATATTCTAATGTGCTGTATTGAACGCAATGTGATAGATAGGTGCGAGGAAAGCTCACTTATTTCGATGCGAAACGTATACAGAACCATTGCACGTGATGTCTGGCTTTTAACATCGTATTATAGAATGCCGTAGTATATCTGGATCAGAGACTTTAATTAGCGGAGATTATATTATAATTTTGAATCATACTTCCATGTAATAATATCGACGCGAAGATGGTCGTCGAGATGTGATTCAAAATTGTGAAGTCTCATGTCACGTGTAAAAACAACAGTATATATCCGCAAAAAATCTGCAGCACATATGTACGTATGGATGCGTGCGGTCGTGAGTGTGTTCTATATACGTGTGTATGTGGCGCGCGCGTGTGCGTGTGTTTTATGCTTATATTTTTGCAGCGCGGTTGATAAGATTTTGGAGGATAATTTTTATATAGATAGGATTTTTCTATCGTTTCTTTTTTGATAGGTACTTAAAAGGACGGGATCCACGTATGATACTTGGTGAATGCACGAGTGCGAGTTTCCTTTTGATAATGACTAGTGACAAATGGCTCTATCTCGTTTTTCTCACATACTGTTACAACATGTTTAACAACGTGTATGTTAGTTGCGTGTTGATTGTTTTTGTATAAGATTGGTTTTTTTTTATTCTACACAATAAAACATCGCTTAATGTCGCATTCGTGTGTGCATTCGTGTGTGTATATATATATTGTTTTTGCTACTGAGTTCTAATTATTGATGAGGCCCAGTCGTACGAATGTTTTGAGTTCCATATACTTTCGTCGCATTTTCATCTCTCTCTGTACTTTGCTGTACAGAATTTAATTTATTTAATTAATTAACTCAGAATTTAATTCTGAAAATTAAAAATAGAATCATACACATGACAGATCAGAAGATATCTATGTCTATATCAAGATTACCTTTATTAACAAATTACTTTATTCTATTTACAAATATGCCAGCAAAATTCAACAAATACCTGTCGCTGCAAACGCCTCCAGTGCCAGTTATAATAAATCCAGAAGACATTGCAAGAGAGGACCACCTGAAATCTGACGTCTTTTGCACTTTTATATTATTCATGTCCGCGACTAAAATTCGTCTGTGTGAATTCCAGCTGGTTGTTGCGTAAAAAACACGATCGAGAAAATGAATCGAAAGCGAAAATACCAGACACGAGACACGAGCTTGACAGGCAGATAGTACTACATGTAGGAAACCAATGCCTCCCCCTCTCTCTCTCTCTCTCTCTCTCTCTCTCTCTCTCTCTCTCTCTCTCTCTCTCTCTCTCTCTCTCTCTCTTCTCATGGTTAGTAAAATTCCTTCTCCCCGTGTTAACGCAGTTGGAATATATTGTCCAATAATTTCCGGACGCGATTCTACCTCGCTAGTGAGCCACGTGAGCCATGCGCATTCGGACTATCAACGTCTCGTGAGAGCGCTTTCATTCGACATGCTTTCCGTCGACGATACGATGTACCTTCATTGGCCGCTTCTCCTCAGATTACGAAGTATGCCGCGGCCATAATCAGAATGGTACATCCGAGATTGCTGAGCCGTGCCTCCTCGCCACTAATCGCCCTGACTTGATCGTGTTCTCGACGTTCGCGGTTCTCGTTCGATTCGTCCCGTTGAAAGTCCACGCTCGACATGGTGCGGCCCTCGAGCGTGGATCTCTTCGATCTTCCCACCAACGTCAGCCGTGTGTTCGTCTTCGAGAAGAGACCAGAGGGTATCGACAAGTCGATGGCCGAAAAATGAGGAACCTTTCTCTCGTACGAGGAGCTGTTCGCACGAACTTCCCCAGGAATCAGCGGCGGTAGTTCACCCTGAAATTTGCCGAATTGCGGCGTTCTGCTAAGAAGCGCTGAAGTCAATTTGCCCTTGTTACGATGCTCGATATCAGAGATGGATCTGGCCAAGCCGGTGGAATCCTTGAGCTTCTTGCCGTCATAAGTGATAAGAATGCCTGAAGACGGCAACTCCTCTGTTCTGGCGCTTGTAACTGGCGGCAGGTAATACGCATCTAATCGATCCGCCGCCATCTCCATGTCGTCGAGCTCTTCGAAGCGCGGCGAGAAGCGCACAGGAGACGTCTTCTTCTTTCGTTTCCTGCTGTTGTCGATCGAAGACGTCATCACCGGTAACGATGGCACGAAGACAGGCGAGAACTCATCGATCGTTCGATAATCCGTACCTTTCCTCAACATTTCCTCCTGCCAAGGCGTGGTACCCGAGGCTCTCTTTTGCGCGATGTCAGACGTTCTGTCAACGACCTTTCGAGTGATCGGTTTGAAGCCGCCCTCGATGACGATGGAGTCGGGATCAAAGCCGGTGTTGCGAGCCGGCTTGAGGAGCTTCGCGGGGCCCATAAGATTGTCCGTGATGTCCACGGGCGCCGCCTCCGACACTTTCGCTTCGAGTTTCAAACGTTGTTTCGTGTCGATCTTGACGAGTTTCTCGAGCGGAAGATTAGCCGCACCGACGATGGACGACGGCGACGCTTTGTTGTTGGACGTCGTTTTTAGGGCCAACGGATTGCCGGTGATGGGCAATCGGTAAACGGACTTTTTCCGCTCGATCAAGATTGGCCGCGGTGGCAACGACAACGGCAACGGTAACGGTAATGGCAACGGCAACGACAGCGTGCCCGTCGAGATCACACCGGTGGTCTGTAGCGTCTGCAACATCGGACGACGCGTTAGTGTCGGGCGTCGGATGATCATCAGTTGGGTCCTTTGTTCGGGTTGATGATGATAACGATGAGGCGGAAGCTGATGGCGCACGTAGTGATGGTAATTGCTCGCGTAATGATGCGGCGCTCGGGTGTACGGTAGCTGCTGCATGCTGGCCGCCGCGTAAGGCAGCTTTGATCCTTGACTCAATGGTCGTTGGTGATCTGCAACGAGGTTAGACAATTGCTGGTTAGTGGATTGCTGCTGGCTCTCCGGCACGAGCTCCGTGAATCGCGGGTGACCGGTGTGAAGGTGTGATGATTGTTCATGAGTACTTGTTGCTGTCAGTCGCTGCTGCTGCAGAGTTTCCTCGTCAACGTGATGCGCGTCCTTCAGACGTGCCTCGTACGAGGGATGAGGAGGCGCGATTACATTAGCCGCGTCGCCACCGTATGTAATCTCGGACGATGATGATTGCAAGCGATCGTAATTGTTATTGTTCGTTAGTAGTTGCGGATGGTGCGAGGCGCTTAGCTTGCTGGCGGGGTTAGTCGTCGAATGATGGGCGTAACGATGGCCATGATCATGGTGAGAATGATGTACATGATGTTGATGAAGGAACTCCGCCGTTGGCGTTACCTTGCTCGCTACGGCTATACTGGCGCTGTACTCTAGATCCTGATCCTTCGCCGGCCTCTGATCCTGCGGTATCGCGTAAACCTCATGCTTCTCGCTGCCTGCCGACGCCTCGTCGACGTCACAGCTATCGTGAACGTTGATTTTCCAGCCTAAATAACGATGCGTGAAGCACTGGAAAGACACGCGTTTGATTGTGAAGCCTGCTTGCAAGTGTCCTGAGACAGTTTCTATAATGTTTCTTTTCCTAGGGTTGTCAGACTTAAACACCTACAAATCTAGATAGACTTTCAACAAAAAGGAAACTGGAAATGTAATATGTAAAAATATATTTTTGTCAAGGATATACCAATGGACAAGAAATAATTAATATAATCTAACTCTTTTTTTTTTATATTAGCTAAACGAAGTTGGAAAGTGATTGTAAAATCTGAACTGTCCAGATGAAATCTAGATGTCTGGCAACTTTATTTTCTCCTACTAACGGTGTTCTCAAAATTTTTGTATTAATATGCAGCATAACATCGCACTGAGCGACTGAACGATTTTACCTGATAATATACCGTGTCGGGCGTATTTTCATCTGGTATCCATTCAACAATTCCAGGTTCACCATGATCGCATTCGAGAACTAAAGTACGCTGATAAGCTCCGAAGGAAGCGAATTCGTCCGCGTGTGGTTGATTTTGGTCTGGTAACCAATTACAAAGACGCCCTACTCCCGTAGGACGAACTGTGCCGCGTTGTCGGCGCACGCCGGCAAATATCTTTACTTTCTGTTAAATACAATGAGGAGAATCGTATTAGAAATCATTAATTCACGTTTAACCACTTAACCAGTGCATCTGTTGAGTTGTTAATCTAAGTTAAGTTCTCGTGTATATGTCTACCAACAATACTTATCTAAGAATCATAATAGTAAATAATGAGGAAATACAAGAGAAGCCGTACGGTAACGTGGAAAACTTATATCGGTTACTTTAACTAGTATTTGTTTAATTTAGTTTAGTTTTTAATTTAGCAGACTTTGAAATTCTGTTTATATATTTCGAGAATATTCGATGAACAATATGGTTTTACCGCTTTCTCCTCGGGCGTTTTATGCTGGTAGCCGCCCACTGGGTCATCCGTGATATAGAACGGGTGATAACGCGCTGGCGTGTCAGGATCTGAGCCAGCTTCTACGACGAAAGTGTATTTCTTGCCGCGCACCACGTTAATCTCGGGTATCAGCAGTCCGTTAATGTACCAGGAGATTCCCCAGCCGACGTGTCCTGGAGAAAGTAAAGCGGAGACCGGTTTGTATCAATGCGGATGCGATGCGACGTTTTTGCAATTCGCTTGAGGACTTTCTCGATGAATTGGCTTCTTCGTGCGCGCCTGACAGATTGGACGCCGCGCGAATTTCAATCAATCTTGCCGAAGCATAACTAAATCGTTAAACGTCTATAGTTACGGATGTAAACATCAGATAACGAATAAGATTTATGCGCGACTTTCCATATCGAGAAGAAAGCGCCGAAAAAGTTTGAAATGCTTATGAAAGCTTAATAGCGTTTCTAGACTTAAGTTACAGCTTACCCGCGCAATATCATCTAAATGTAATTTTGTATCGAAAGAGATTTTATCCGCGCTGTGAGTGAGTGATACTCTTTCTCGGCACGGATTTCTCTTTTTACTATTTATTCTACGATATATAAATAATTTATATAAACGCGCAGCCAAGCATATAGCGAGAAGCGGAACACTTTTACATTCTTCACATTCCTGGAACGAAATGGAGAGATTGCCGCAAACTTCTTTAGCGTTATAGCATCAGTGAGCATGTATTTCTTTACCAGTAATGGCTGGGTAACCGTGTTTTCCTCCGGTGGGTCCCATCTGTGCATAAAATATGCCGTCTTCAGGCTCATAACACTGAATCGGTGGTATTTCCCAAGCATCGTTCGTAGGCGCCGGTGCAGGAGTCGCCGGTACACGTTGAGGTCTTCTTGTAGTAATAGTCAACTGCTGCTTCAACACACCATTTTTCATGAAATAAAGTAACACCCAAGTAATTTATCCGATGTCGATTTCCTTGAAGTCAGATATCAGAGGAAAGGAACTGATGATGACTTATTTGATTGTTATTTACCGTTCCATTAATGTCACCATAAGATAAAGCTTGATCCTGCTCAGGCATAGGGCAATTCCACGCGGGTGGTCTCCCGAACTCAATGAACTGATCGGTCTTCAAATAAGCGGTGTGATGAAAACTGACCTCCTGCCTCTCGTTTAATGGCCCGATGGCCCAGATCACCGCTTGCGATCTATTCGTCAGTATCGGGAGATCCAATTCGTCGCTCGCTTTCAGCGGTCTCTGATACATAACAATGCTGTAGCCATTCACTATCGCAGCATTCAGCAATCGCACCGATTGTGTGTTTTCCTGAAAGAATCACGAATCACTTTGTTATTACAGCCAATTCTGTGTTCTTAATGTATGAAACAAGATATTTTAAAATCTAATTCTAAAACATTGAATTCTTTTGAAATGCGTCATTTACAATCTTATATTCTGAAGTATAAAATAAAATTGTTATTTATTATTAGTGTGTACCTGAATACGCGTATCTGGGCAGCTACCACGACGTCCTGAGCACTGAGATTTTCCTTCTAAGAAATAATCTATGGCGTACCCTTGTAATGTTTGCTTGTCAACCCAGGCTACGGCGACGTCGCCGCCGATCATTACGCTCTTTTCCTTGTTTGTGGATAATCCGAAAGACATGTATTGTCCAGCGTCTACCGTAAATAAATTCAACCTTGTAATCATGCACCAGAAAAATGTAATTTAACATACATTGACATAAATGGTATATACTTACCGAGTTTTGCTACGAGCTGAATAACTATGCTATCTCCGGCCACTGCCCATCGTACCTCAAAAGCTAAGCTGTCCTCGAGAACTTCGCAGTTCAGTTTCGACTGAAATCACACCGTTGAGCATTTATTTTAATAATAAATAACTCGCGCAAAACTGAGTTCGCTCATTCATCAAATCTGCAACGTTAACTCAACATTAGAAATTTTCGTAGAAAAAAAGCTAATGCTTAAAACAGTGTGATTGAGAATACATGCAAAGCTTCAATCGTAAAAAATATATTTATTTAATGTATAATACACAATATTTATATATAGAAAATGAATACAAAAATATATCAAAAATATAGTCTACAATACGCGCATAAACGGATATATATGTGTGTATATGTACATATATGTTATATGTGTACATGTTATATATATATATATATATATCACATACACGCGTACATATATATACATACACGAATGTAAAAATTTAATTCCCCAGTTAAAGTAGAGGCCTTCTTAGATGAAATATTAATTAAAGCATATTTTTTAATGGGCATTTAAGAAATTCCTAATTATTACCACGATTATTAAAAACTTTGTATGCGAACTTAGACGACGCATACAAGCAACTGCTGTAGTAATTTTCATCATAAGATAAAATTAACAACGACTTATCAGCCTGTTGATGCAAATTTTTCGCATTTATATATAATCAAATAAATTTTTAAATTCTTCGTTTTTAATATTTGTTATTCAATACCTTTTCCTTCCCTCCTCGTCCCTCCCAAACAACAACGTGAGAACAACAGTTTCTAAACAAATGCTTGGCAAATTCGAAATTTAAATCATATTCTTAACAGAATGGTGCGGAATAAGCGAAGGATTTATGTGTTCACATAGAGTATATGTACTCGCCGAGGAAAAATCGCGTTGACGCGTCATCGCTTGATCATCGCGATCAATAACGCACGAACGAGTCGACTCTCCTATCACCTTGGAAGTGCAAGAACCTAGCGTACGAATTTTGCTGCGGCTCGATACGCGTGCGCGAGCGCGACAACGGTTGGCGATACGAGGACGTCGACGACGCACCGTCAGTCGTGCCATAATGTCCCTGATACTGATTCGCGAGATCGGCGGAGGCCGTATAAGCCGGCAATTGCGCCTGATGAAGTTGCACGACGTGCGAATCCTCCGGCTGCGGAGGGGTCTTGGGTATTAGAGGCTCCACGGCTTGGACTACTTGGATCTGATCGTCCCGGCGGAGGAGCGGCCGATAAGTCGTTGGACGTTGGTGTTGCGAGAGCGAGCTCGCGAATGAGATAGCGAGGGGGGAAGGCGACGAGGAAGCGAAAGAAGAGATCTCATATGCACTTAGCGCTCCCAACTGTCCCTGCCCTCCGCGATGCACGTTCTGCAACACAAGGACAGAGACAGGGTTTTATCCATATCAGTCACAGTGCAAGAATGAGGATCCGTTCACTCGGAAAACGAACGGGATGGATAAGCATCGACGTTTTATGATGAAATTGTAGGAGGGAATTAGCCTGAAATGTTCAGAGAAGCAACGCGAGTTCGTGTTGAGGAACCGTGAAACCGAGCTTATATTTTTGTCGAAGGTTTCGTCGATATTACTTTTAAATTATCTTCTGTTTATTGCCGAGCTCTTTAATAGTACGATGATTGGATTCAGGAAGAAAATAAAAATACGGAAGGTAAATTTTGCATACACGTATCGATCTTAATTATCTACCTACTCTTGCCTATGTAAAAGCTATTAATTAAACATAAGATTGAGAAATTATACCGTTTGCCGTTACAAAAGTCGTAACGATACATATATTGAAACTCAAAATTCTTTTGAAAGCAGATTTGATAATCACTAACATATAGTTTGTCGAAAAATTAAATATTACTTGAAATCAAACGATCCTGTATAAAGGAGAAGGAAACAAAAGAGAATAAACGTCTCCATCGCGAACAATTGATCGACATCAGTCGTAATAACTGTTCGATAAATAGATATAAATACGATGCACAGTGCACTATAAGCTATATGTTAAAACATTTCTTCACCCCATTCTACTTCTATGAGATACGTGTGTAATATATTTTATAAAATTTATATCATACTTGCGGCGAAACCCCCAGCATTTTGAGAGAAGGCGGCACGTTCAGGTTCTGCGGAATTTGTATGTGGCCAAAGTCCACCGCGAAGGCTTCGCACCATACACCGAAATGGCCGAGCTGATGGACGGTTAAGTCACCCGGCAATGTCAGGACTATCGTTTTGCGATCATAACGACGCATCGGCTGCTCCTTCCCGTTCTCATCGGGTACTCGGATGCCTTGCGAGGTAGGTGACGGACCGGGACCCACCCAGAACTTGGCATCTGTAGGACAATTTCATACTTATCAATTCTAACATCTTGTGTATGTGTGTATGCATGAGAGAAAGACAGAGAAAAAGAGAGATGTGATATAATAATTGTATAATCGAAATTATATTATAATTTTCACATAATATAAATGGCAAAGTTACTTGCCAGGAGCTTCTCCATCGTAGCTGAAACTAGGTATCAGAAGGGTTTGAGCATCTACGATAACAATAGGTTCTGAACTGACACCATGTATGCCATTTAACGCCTTTAACTTTTGCGATTTTGGGTAATCGAAGCCTTGTGGTATTTTGACATCACCAAAGTTTACCTAAACAGAAGTTATTTCTTATGAGATGAATATATCTCACGTAATAGTATAAAATACGAAAATGTTTGTAATATTCGTATTTATATATGAAAATTCAAAACGAATTCAAGTAACTGTAAAAATAGTTTTCTAAAAATAACTTTTATGCATTTATATAATACCATATGATAACACCTAATTTTTTATTCACTAAATCTCATTATAATTCATTTAATTTTACTATAAAATTCTACTGCGAACATTAATCGAATAAATGGGAAGAAATGCTTGGCCCAACTAAACAAGTCAATTTCAGCACTTGTGAATGACGAAAATTTTGAATTGCGAATATCACGAGATCTTATCGACAATTATACAAACGAGCCCCTTGCTAATTTCGAATGTATGCCGAAGCCATTACGATCGCGTGGCGTTTCATCGAGTTATGTATGCCGTATTCCATTCACTTGACACGCGGATTCAAGCGGCTGTTAAGTACGAGGGTGAAAGTTGTACTTCGAGAAAATGATACCGGTTTCGCGTGACGAGCAAGTACAACCGATATCACACGCACCAAGGTCATGAGCGCATATCTGTTACTTACTGAGAATTCGTCGCACCAGACCGAAAACCATTTGATGTTGTTCAAGGTTTTGCCGTCCGGTAAGGTCAGTGTGATATCCTTCTTCCGGTAGCGCTTAAGGACGTTCGTGCTATTGGACAAAGGGACAAATTAACACTCCGAACAAAAAACGGTAACACCGAGATTAATATTAGACATATTTTCATGTCGGTTTTACTTACGTTCCGTGCTCATCTCGAACTCGGAATCCATTGCTGTTTGGACTCTTGCTACTTCCGGCATAAAAGAAGGCAGCTGGAAGAACGATGTTCTCGTTATTAATATTATCTTTACGATTTTCGTTTACTTCAATTTTCGTTTACTTGTAGAGAGGTAGCGTATCTTTAAGTGCAGAAAGATTATTGAAGTAAATTAAAATAGAAAAAATTCCGACGCATATTTCTTAAATGTCCTTCATCATTTTTAGTTCTAATTGAGAAATTTCCCTTGATCTAACAAGCTACGAGCTTTATTTTTACGTAAGGCAATCCTACATCAAGTTCCTTTTATCAATGAACAAGTTGGCTCAAACAGGTAGATGGTAGGGAACGTGCTGCACGGTTTTAGATTGTGAAGCTCTACTAAGCATCTAGATATCTCATTAATCGGGAACGAACATCTCGAGCAGTCAGTGGAGTTGTTAGTACGTCACGAATACGCGTGCCAGAGAGATTCGGGAAAGTTTTTCCGGCACAGAAATCGATTGCGGTCAGCCTATCAGGCCGAGGGAAAGTTTCCCCGCAATTTTTTTGCATCTTTCCAGGATTTAATGAGTGGAAAAACAAATGCAAAGTATTTGCATAAAATCAATCGCTGAAATATTTCCGCGTGAAACAATTTTCGTTCATGCGCACGGCACGGGTGCCACGGCTAATATACACTGTTGATTTTGGGATCACTTAGTAATTTCTCACGGATAATATCAAAGATCAAAATTAAATATGAATTGTTACAACTATCGTCAATTATAAATGAATATTTAAAAGTACCGTTGATTGACAATTGCAAGTGTTTTTCTTGGTAATCGAATTAAATAAAATGACAAAAAAATGTTGTCGTTATCACGACACGATGCACTTACCGGGACCTTCACCATCGTAAGTGAAATCCTTGATATACAATGTCCTTGTATCGACAGCATAGACTTCGCCACTCACGCCATGATGAAGTTCAGACAGTTTACCGATCAGTTTGCCATAATACGCTCCGCTACATATTTCTGCAAAGAAAAAAAATACATACTCATTAATAACCGTTAAATAAAGCAATCCAAACTATGCATATGATATATAAAAAACGATTAATACAAACGGAGTACAAATACCGATGAAATACCCGAAGAATCGGGCGGTGGAGGATAATAATTAATTTACACAGAGTGAAAAACAAAATAAATACATCATGATACAGAGCGTAATATGTAAATAGAAATTGTCTTTAGTTAGCAAACTTGTCGAACGTTTTTTTACTACTCTTTTTGCATCTATACTCTACATATACATAACTATTTAAAAGCAGCCAATGATAAATCATTACAGAATTAGCATAATTATGTTGAGATTAACAACAAATAAGATACGATGTTACAAGTGTATAACCGATTATCTACTTATCAACTATTTACATAACATTATGTTGATTGTCGAGAATAAAACAAAATACTAGAAAAAGCGTATACGCGAGCGTGCACCGTACTAAAACCCATGAAATCCATGAATCTACTCTTTATACAGTAAGAGGATATGACATTCACATGCACCTCCGCATACCATTTAGTCGCGTTATCGTCCGACAGACGATGGTTACACGAACGGTTACAGGAACTCGCTGAAGAACCGGTATTGCACGTAATAATGCGTGTATGCGAGCTCATCGAGTTTGTTAGAATAATGTATTCCACTTGTGTCTCTTCCTCGTCACAGACCGCTGATAGACGTCCTCGTCCAAGTACGGCAGCCGGCGGGTAACGGTAACGGATACTTTATCTTTCAGAATCGACTAACGAAACTAACTCGTATGTTTGCGTTACACGTACCACATGTATTAAAATAAGTATCGCGCTTCGAAACGAAGGCCGCACGTTGACAGAACGTAGGATCGGATACATTGGTTACGTTCTATTGGCTACCTCGTTAAATCGAACCCTTTGCTTGCCCGTGTACCGTTAGAATTCCGTAGAAGGACGGCTATCATCCATCCAGAAACGTCAGGATAGCAAAGATTGGTATGCTTCGCGCATTAATCAAGGTCGCACAGTTGCATGCGTTTCCGCGAGAGATTCGTCGAATACGGATAGTAGAATGTTACTGACGCAGCGACAGTGCGTTCTAGATGTTAGGAATGATAGAAAGAGGAATGTTGCATTGTATAATCATAAAACTAATGCTGCTCAACGACTGAGGGGTTCGGTGCAACAATATTGATAGTGTAATTCACTTTTCTAAGAATCTGTGATTAGATTAATTTGAATGTTGAAAAACAAATTAAATTGAGAAATTGTAAAAATTAACTTTTGCAAGACAACCTAAATCCACTTAACGTAGATCAGTCAATATTATGTGTAAAATCAAGGAATTATATCGTCTATAACGCATCTCATGAATAATTAAATAAACAAGGTCAATCAATAAAAATTTAATTTATGGATTTTTAGTTTGATAAGGAATTCATTCTGTGCTAATATGATTCATGAGATTTCAATAATGTTACTAGTCTTCTACGTGAATCATAAATTTACAATCTTTTGAATTTTTGCGATGATGTCACCATGTCAAAATATTCAACTATTTACAAACAGATAAAAAATATTCCACATGGTACTCTTTAGTGTATGTCTGAGTTTTCACATAATTATAGAAGATGCTTGTACTGAATTGTCGATTTAGAGCGTGAGAAGTGAATTAATTGCTAGATTGAAGAGATTTACAGGATCTTGTGAATTTTCCTATTTATAGAAAATTCGTGCTTGTAAAAATTTCAATTTACAAACAATAGAGCATAATTATGCAACATTGTGAGATAAGACAGCATCTCGCAAGACAAGCGGGACTTGCGAGATTAAATGTGAAATATTATTTTCGATCGGTATTCGAGTGACGCGCCGCGTCGCGATCGACATTATCGCGCATCTCAAATATTTTGGACTAACAACCGACTATCCTCATATATGCATGATTGCGACGTTGCGGACTCGGAACTTGTATTATACACGGATGGCCAATTACGGTTATCCGCCTCCCGCTTTCACCTCCTGCTGGAAGCCTGGAAATGTCAGGAGGTCCGCCGACGCGATGTTATCGCCCTTTCGTTTTCATCCGTTGTCTTCTTCGCGTACAGACTCGTGCGTTCGCGATAGATTTCCATATTCATTTTTATCCGAGTTCCTCCACTTTTCCATATACAAGATATAAATTTAACATAAGGGAAATACAGCAGGCACTTAAAATTTGTCATTTAAAGATGATGAAATAAGTTTGTATAGTCAGATTATACGTCAGATTTGGCCCTCTTTCCGAATTATAGAGTTTTATGTGATGCAGTTGATAAATTTAAGTATTATAATATAATTTCACTTGCTTCGTTATTATTTATAAATAATGTTTGATATCTCACATGTGCTCATCAAATTTATCTCTGAAATGTCTCTCGTATTTTAAGTTACATCCTATATACCGCATCAGTACACGTACACGACTTTATAACGTGTTTATAACGTTAATAGATCATCCGGGACACTGGACTCTAACTTTCGCTTGAAAATGTCTCATCGCAATGATGATGATGATGATGATTATCCAAATTCACGAAGTAAATGTCACATATAAATGCGAGCATTTTAATTTTTTATCGCAAAAGAAACATCCGAAGAATTTATCCCTAAAAGAAGAAATTCTACTTTTTTCTAAATTTTCTATGTGACTGACTTATCTTTTTTCTATTACGAAACACGAGGCTGGCAAGCGGACATTAGTTTTTAGATTAAGCGTTTGCTAATTGCATGTTAGTATCGTATAATTTCTCGTTGCTTTCTAAAGTATGCGTTAAAATTGGTGCGCGCAAAAACACGAAGCGTGAAATCGTCCCAGCATGCGAAGCCGCAAGTTAGCGGTAAGTAGAGTAGACAACGAAACAGCCTGCTGCGAAATCGCGGATATCTTAATTAGCCTGAATAAATGATATGATGAAAATACTTTTATAAGTAAATTATCTCAAGTCAAAATTCGCTTGAAAAGTCGCCAAATGATTTGAATCGATTTATATAGATTATGAATGCAAAGACTGAATTTATAGATCAATATCACGTCCATAATATAAGTTTGTTGGCATCCTGCAACTTTGTGTATGTTACGACGAAGATAACATCTCGACGATAACTCTATACCATTACAATACCATGGAGTCTTTAATCCCCTCACTTTTCATCAAGGACGTCACTTAATATACCAAGAAAGTCTCGATCGCGAGCGTGAGACTTCGGTTCTATGTAACAATTATTGTTTATTATAATCAATACACGATCTTTTAATGATATCCTAAATTGGAGAATTTAAGATAAATGAAAAAACCGTAAAGTTGGCCGTGAAATATTTTTTAGTTGATTATACTTCACTACGTCACGTTGTAATAGCTGTATATAAATCTATGATTCAAAAATACTTTAACCAATCGAATGCATGACTCAAGTTCTTGTCATCATATCATTGAGACAGAGTATCGTTCTGCGTCCCTTGCGAAGGTGCAAGGGGTAAAAGATGATTCTTCTTCTATCATATCCAAAATTGTTTAAATCAAAGTTGGAAAAACTTACGTGCTGCCACAATAAGAAGAAGCGCGGCGATTAGACCGATAGCCGACGGTCGCGTTGGGGACGATGCGAGTGATCGTGTCGTCATGGTGTCTTGATGGTTACTGCCGAGAAAAGTATCTGTTGTCGATCCAGGTAACTTTGTTGATCCCACTACGCGATCACCGGCTCGCCTTGCTTCACCGTTCCCGTTCCTTTCTCTCTATCTTTCTCTCATGGGAAAGACTTTTCAGCTTTTCGCGCCTAGGTAAAAGTCTTATCGCCGCGTCTCACCTGCAATTCCCGATTGTCAAATTTCATATGATTCGGCGATTAATTTTTCATACATTGTTACTGAAAAATAATATTTCTGTAGATGAGTAATTATATAGAGAATGTACATTGCACATTTGGATTAAAGATAGTTAGGCTATTACGTTATAGAAAATTAACTCTAAGAAGAGGAGCAAGGTAAGAAGGGTGCAAGCTTTGGATTACCAGACGTTGCGTCCGAAGGTGGCGTAATTACGTGACAAATTTGACTACATTACGTATAATCATGACGTTGTCACGACGACGTGCATTACCCCATCACGCTTTGTACGACTCTTATCTAGGCTTGGTGAATATTTCCCGAGTGAGTACATCGTTTGAAGTTGCTTCTAACACGTCGCTCGGACATGTTGCAACATGTGATTATTTTTATGCCCGGAATTAGCATTCTAGATCTATATGAACACCCTGCTGATAACACGGATTCATATCTTTCTCATTAATTAAGATTCGAGCAATAATTAATGAAAATGAGAACGAGTCGATCCTCTCTGTGATCGTGCAAAAACCTGACGATTACAACAAAATGATATATAATAATATGGTTTTAGACGATGTAATGCAGTTGTCGTCGAGTCGAGATATTCATTTTGCAACACGGCACAATGAGATGCAATTAGACGGTATCTCAATGAGCACCTTCTTCTTCTTCTTCCTTTTCTTTTCCTGACCCTCTTTCCCTCTCCTTTTTTTATCTTTTTCATTATTGTAAATATAGATATGACTTTCCATTAATAATTTACTAACTGTTAATTCAATATTGAATTCAAAAAAGGATAGAATTTTGTCAGAGATTATTAAAAAATATAGAAAATTATAATTGTCTTACCTTATTGCTCCTAACGTCAAAATATTATATTCGAAATTTTTTTTCGCTCTATATCCATGTACAGAGCGAAAACTAGCAAATGGCACAGCTTAACCTATTTGCTTAAATGTTGCGGTTTAAATTGTTTTTATCAGCATTTGAAATATTCTGCGGATTACGCTTTCCACTTTTTCATGGATGGACTGGTATGCGGGCTGGTATTGCGCTTGTACAGAAGCTAAGAAGTTTCGATCCAACCTAAAAACCGTCTTATTCATTTTTACCTCGTCTCGTCTCGCCTTTCGCATCTCACCTCATTATCATTACACCGCCAGATGAGAGAGAGCGGGAAACAGAGAGACAAAGAGAGAAAAAGAGTGAGAGAGGGAGATGAGATAGATAGATAGATAGATAGATAGATAGATAGAGAGAGAGAGAGAGAGAGAGAGAGAGAGAGAGAGAGAGAGAGAGACCGAGTGAGTGTGAAATAACTTCATCACATGTTTATCCTGAAACAAAGGTCATCGTATAAAAACTTAAAGTCATCGGAGGTATTTTCAAGAATTGCTGCCGCTTCGTTTTCGTCTTGCATCCGGAAATGATATGATTCGTAACTGGTAGCACAATATCTGCACGAGATATGTTTTTGCTACGCTGAAAGTTGATTGAACAAGAAAAATGACAAATGTACTTTTTAAAAGAAGCTTGAGTACGAGCGCTTGAATTTATGTCCAGAAGCATACAGTCAGTTACCAAACGAGCGAAAGTCCTCTTCCTTCTTCGCATAGGTGCTGGCAGGCACTTAGTAGTTCTTACAGAATAACCAGCTGTCTAGTCCCATACACACTTTCGCACTACGCGTCACCGATGAATATACTGATGAATATATAATTCATTCGAATGCGTAATGATACGAACGGCATTGCACTACGTTGTAACGATTCACGATAACGTAAACACTTTAAACATTCACAACAGATTTAACGAGGATGTTTATGTAATCAATTTAAAAATATTATAATATACCTCCTGTGTCGCTACATTTTACGATAAGCTTTACAATATCTTTGTTCCTTAAAAACACAGACCGATATCAAATTTTACCCGAAGACAATAGAACTGCTATTTTAGAATTTAACGAACTTCTGGGAAAAGAAAGACATTCAGCGAAAACGCACGTGTACGATTTGTCATCGGGTTTCAAGAGCGATCAGGCTTACCTGAGAAGACGAAGATTATAGATGACTATCCACTAGCATAATGAGATGAGAATAGTGAAAGTTCGTCATATAGGTAAATTGCGGATTGCTGAAGCCAAATCATGATTACTGATCCATAAGTGGTAGTCTGCCTGCATGGATCAAGTTCCATACTATTTCTTGATTGCTTTATCTTGGAAGATTGTAACGGTCTGGAATAATAAAGAAATTACTGTTGCATTATACTGCATGTTTGACTTGTTGAAAAATTATTGCAGACTCGAGAAAGTTGTACATATATGTATATATCGTGCACACTTTAGGAAGTAATTGATGTTGTAGAAACAATGACGGAAGACAGTTATCGTCTTGTTTGTGAAATGTAAAAATAAAGCGTTCGCACGCATGTTAATGCCTATTTCTCCAGATGAATGCTATGAACAACGCATAATTAAAATAATTAGAGTCGTTAAACACACGCGTGTTAAGCGGGTGAAGTAAGTGCAAAGAGAAGAGAGCGCGTTGTATCGTTGTTATTAATTAAAATGATTACTTAAAAGAGCAATCATTCATTTCAAATATAAAATCAAGCAAAAATCATTCTTTAAACGATAAAAATATTGTCCTCGCGTAGTAATATCGCTTAATATTAATTAAAAATTCATAAGAATGAGAGTTACGCGGAAAATTTAAAAAAATACATACAGGAAATGAAACATCTTTCTCTATCCCATGGGACAATGAATATTGATTTATGTAATTCAAAAGATCGAACTTTAAACTATTAAATAAGTCGGACCGGCGCGTCGTTGCAAAAACAGCGTTTCTTTACGCAATAACGTCGCTCTTCTCTTGCCGCAATATCGAGAAAGGATAGATGTGAGAATGAGGTTTCTGCAGAAAGTGCAACAGGTACAACTGGATTATTCAAGTTCTTATCCTAAATTACTTTAGAGACGAAAAATCAGGATCTCTGTTTATAGAAGTCGCGAATCAAAATATTGGCTACTTACTTAGTTTCGAAAAACAATATTCGACGACACAGTTGCGAGAATTATACATATATGTTAATATTATAAAAATAAATATAAGCGCAGAATAATCCGCGCGCGAGAATCAAGTATATGTTAAATGTGCGCATATACGATGTGTAACTTCGCACATTAAGATATCTCAGGAAATAATTACGCGATAAAAGGAAATTGTTACAGTTATCAGATGCGTAGAGAAAGATAATATCATGTTGTACCTCTGCATAATCGTATGTTTGGCGCAATAATTCTATACAAACGTCCGCCCAGCTTCTTATAGAAGATTTATTCAGTGGTTGCTGATATTTCGTACTTTCACTCGAACACCTTGACCTGCACACAATCGCATCACAATGCATAGATCTGCGTATAGCGAAGTACACATATGTGCTCCGTTTATTAATTTAGCATTAAATTTTGACATTTAACTATTATATTATATAATGAATACAAAAAAAAGGAAAAACATAATTTGCGACTTTAAATAAGAAAAACCGTACAGTTTACATAACAATTGAAAGATTAAAAAAAAAATCTTGTTTCAGTTTTTGATACACAAAAATTATTATTAAAAATCAATTCTTATATATATGGAAAGATATTCTATTCCTAAAATTAATTATTATTTTAAAATCTATTGTAGGAAAATTATAACATAACTTGTTGTAGCATTATTTTTCATATATTGGAGAACAAGGAAAATATGAAAAAAATATACGAGAAGAAAGAATAAAAGAAACAATAAGGACGAGAGAGAGAGAGAGAGAGGGGGGAGGGGGAGGGGAGAGAGGGGGAGAGGGGGGGGAGAGAGAGAGAGAGAGAGAGAGAGAGAGAGAGAGAGAGAGAGAGAGAGAGATCACGACATAAAAAGAATAAAATACGTATAAGAATAAACTATGGAAGATTATCGATCTGTATTTTTTGCATGTGCAAAAAGACGTTACTTTCAAAGTCCAAAAATGATACGAATTTAAAACGATATAAATATAACATACATGTATGTACATATGCATGTAACAGTATATGCGTATATTTTAATTCAATATAATTTCATCTTTCATTTTGATATTTACAATTATTTCAATATTTTATACATCATAGATACGTGTACACCCACCTAACACGCAATAACATTCTTCATTTCTGCGAAATTGCATCTCTTCCTATACTCCATATTTATTTCATCTTATCGTTCGCAAACGCAACGTTTGCTAGAGAGGCGCTAGTACACGGTAAAGATTTCTCAGTGCATTGCAAACTAGCGACATCAACGAAGTTTTTAACTGATCGATTACCAAAAGAGCCAGTAGTCAAGAAAAGTGTCGTGACATTACCGACCATCTTCAACCATCCCTACTGAGCCTAACCTCGAAAATACAGTCATTGGCAAATTGTGATGAGGTTACATGTTTAAGGTTTTTAACTATTGAAAAATGGCTACTATAAAATTCGGAAAGCATTTGAAAGAGTTGAGAATCCTTCTGTGCCAAACGTCTAAATCTAGTCAAGGCGTTAGGTAAAATGTCATAAACGACGACAGAAGCGTTTGAAGTGATTCATTCTTATTGCAATCTTGTCATTTTTATATATGCATCTTGCAGAGATTTCATCGAGCAACAGTATGTATCGTTGAAGAAAAATAACCCAACATTTCCCATTTTAATTAGAGAATGCTCATCGATTGAACCAAAACTGTATGCGCGTTATGGTACGTAAAATTATATTGATGCCATCATAATTTAAGAAACTATACTCTATTTTTATTCAAATTTTGTCACTTGTAATGCTAATTTATTAATTTTAAAATAATACTGAATTTGCAGAATATGGTGCAGAACGTTGCGCATCTTTGTCGAATCTAAAATCTGATGATGTATTTGGGATAGTTCGACAATTAGCATCTCAGAAATAGATATAAATTGTATTGATAAATATGTATCATGCTATATATGCATAGTATTTTAATAAAATAGTCAGTTGAATCAATTAAAAGGTTCATTTTTAAGATATAAAAGTTATTTCTTAAAAAAAATGTGTACCTTTCATGCATACATGCTAGGTATTCATGGATTATATAAGATGATAAGCCATTAAATTATACTGAGTGGTTATTCTGTTTTTGTTAAAAAATATTTATTTTCTTTTGTAATTTATATGTCTGTGCAATATTTTAAAGTTCAGTTCAATGGTTATAAGAAATATTAAAATAAATCTTATGGAAGTAGTAACTCAATGTATCTAATGAATATAAATGGACTTAATATTCAATAAAGATATGAAGGAGATCTTATAACTTATATAAATATTATATAAGCCGTATAGGTTCCATTATTTCTTCTATGTCAGGCAGTGACAATTCTTTTTATCTATGTATGAAAATATGTATCTCGAGATGTAACACATTCTTATGGTTTTTCTGAAATAAATCTATGTACATCAATCAGATCTCCTTGGCAATAAGGAGAACCTGCCAGCAGGCTTCTATTTTATATTCCTTGCTTGTATGATAATTTTCTTAAGTTACATCCATTCCTTAAGTTGTATTTAAATCATCTAATGTTTTTTTCATGAATTAAGTTGAATAATTTCATGCTATAATTGGGGGTAATCCAAAGCTCTCTGGTTTAAAGTCTTCTAGGCTTTTTAAAACCAGTGTAGCATCTTTCATGAGTTGTTTAGGAAGTTGAGGGTCTGGCACCATCACCACTTGCATCTTAGCAGCGATAGCAGCTTGTACTCCATTTGGTGAATCTTCAAAGACTAAGCACTGCAATACATGAATAGATAGATAAATTTGATTTAATGAATGCACATTAAACTCTGAAACAAACCTTTGAAGGATCAGGATTGTCAGGGAAACGTCTTGCAGCAATTAAAAATATATCTGGACTTGGTTTTCCTTGCGGAACTTCAGGATCAGAACCACCATATACCTTATGATCGAAATAGTCAAATATATGCTTCCATCTCTGGGTCTTCAGGTCACTGCTTTCTTGACTTGAACTTGTAGCTAGTGCAATAGGTATATTGTTTTCTTTGAGATGTCGTAGGAGTCTCTCCACACCTATGTAATTACATTGTCACAAAAATCAGTTATAATATGATGCTAAATTTCAACTTTATTGTGATAACTTTTAATTACCTGGCATAAGATTACATTGAGGAAATAGTTCTTGGTACAAAGTAGTAAGCTTGTCCTCAAATTCTTGCACCATGATTGGTAGTTCTAATATGTCTATTATAGTTTGTACAGCATCAGTGCTCTTAAATCCCATAATTTTTGCCTTATGTTGCCAAGTATATGTTTTTCCAAATTCTTGAGTCACACGATTGTATGCCACTGTGTACAATGTTTCTGTATCTGTATAGATACAAGAAAAAATCATCAATCATTTTTCTATGACAAAAAAGAACTCTTGATTTCTGAATGAAAGATAAAAAATATTGTGATATCTGTTACAGAAGGTAGAGTAAAATTTCAGGTAATGCAAGAGTCATTTTTTGTTAAATAACATAAAAATCACCTATAAATGAAAAACTTCCTTACCCAGTAACAAACCATCCATATCGAAAATGCAATGAGTAACTTTCTTGAAATCCATCACAAATTTCGTTAATTATTCTCCTTAAATTATCCACGAATGTCAAATTTGTTGAAATTTTATAGAAAGTTCTTAGAAAATCTGTCAAGTTATCCAGAAAATACAAATATATCTGGAACTACTTTGGAAACGTCACTGACACTATTAATATCTCATGATAAGACGGCTAAAATATAACCTTTGCGATACGATGTCGTCATGTGCAGATACGATATTGAACGATACTAGATGTCTCTCTGCGACCTCGATTCCTGATATTCCCAAGCACGAATCTTTTTAACCCTTTAAGGGCCTATAGAAGGGTCTACCGAGACCTCTCGATGAAATTGAGAGAAACTGATGAAATAAGCAGACTTTTCAACCAAAATATACTGAGAATTACGTTATAATTATAATATTTATAAAAAAACAAATTATTCACAGATGCGTTTTTTTCTGAAAAATGCTTGAAATAAAAACTGTTTAACTTACTAGAATAAGTATTGAGACCATTAATCAGTCAATATGACTGATTTGCTCTTAGCTACTAAACTCATATTCAATTTGGTTTTCATTTTTAGCTAATATTAGGGACTTGAAAGTTAAGTTCTCGCTGTTTCCCGACAGATGGATAGCGCGGGCCCCTTCATGAACCCTATGATGCGCTTTATTGCCGTCATTGGCATATGTTTTCGTAGAGCTACGTCATCTCACGCATGCGCTGTAGCGTTGCAATATATTGCATCTAGCAACACTGCATTAGGCTCGAAGTGACAGTATATGTTATTCCGCCGAAGTGTAAATATATTTTTTCATAGCATTAAACATGTCGAATTTCGTGCCAAAAAAAAGAGTATTTGCGAGAAATTTTACTGCATTACTTTTTTTAAAAAAATTCCGCAGCTGAAGCACATAGAATTCTTGTGGAGACTTAAGGCGACCATGCTCTGTCGGAAACAACATGCAGAGATTGGTTTAAACGCTTTAAAAATAATGATTTTGATGTTGAAGATAAAAAACGTTCTGGCGCACCGAAAAAGTTTGAAGACGAAGAATTGGAAGCATTACTCGATGAAGACTCATGTCAGACGCAAAATGAACTTGCAGAATCATTAGGGGTTGATCACACAACAATTGCCAAACGTTTAAAAGCATTAGGAATGATTCAAAAGCAAGGAAATTGGGTGCCGTACAAATTGAAGCCGAGAGACGTCGAATGGCGTTTTTTCACGTGTGAACAGCTGCTCGAACGACAGAAAAGAAAAGGTTTTTTAGATTGTATCGTGACTGGCTGTGAAAAGTGGATACACTACGATAACCCGAATATCCATGGTTCCAAGCTCATGCTCTGTATTTGGTGGGATCAGTTGGGTGTAGTATATTATGAGCTCTTCAAACCCAACGAAACCATCACAGGAGATCGCTATCGACTACAATTGATGCGTTTGAGCCGAGCATTGAAGGAAAAACGGCTGCGATACGAGGAGAGACACGACAAAGTAATTTTGCAGCATGACAACGCTCGGCCGCATGTTGCAAAACCGGTCAAAACCTATTTGGAAACGCTCAAATGGGAAGTCCTATCCCACCTGCCGTATTCACCGGACATTGCACCTTCCAATTACCACTTGTTCCGATCGATGACTCATGACCTGGCTGAGCAGCACTTCTATTCTTATGAAGATACCAAAAAATGGGTCGATTCGTGGATAACCTCAAAAGATGAGTCGTTCTTTCGACATGGTATTCGTATGCTGCTAGAAAGATGGGAGAAAGTAGTGGCTAGCGATGAACAATACTTTCAATGACATGTTCTTTACTAATTATTTTTTAAATAAAGCATTCATTTTCACGAAAAAACAGCGAGAACTTATTCAAATCCCTAATAGAATTCATAATTTGACATTTTTAAAAGTTTTCATAATGTAATCCATATAAATTAATTATAATATTAATAATAATATCGATATAGAATATTTAATATGTTTATATTGTGCATATTATCTATAAACTTTAAAATAAAAACAATGTTTTAGATATATATCACACATATATAATAAAAGGAAGATTTCTTCAGTCATATCATGTATATGGGTAACATGTGTATGCAGAGCACATAAATTAAAATTACCTTATATATTTTTATTACAATCAAAAATCTCTGCATTTATGAAATGTATTTTATAATAAATGTAGCTAAACAGTATATGTATGTACAGTTCATATATAATATTACTAATGATATATATATATATATAAAACGTTATATATCGTTTATATATATACTTAATTTATGGCTTTGTTCTATACAAGAGATTGATATTAATCGTACAACAAATTCTTTACGTTTTTCTAATGCCTATGTGTTTGTGCCAATATTTCATCTTTTGTTCAACGAGATATTTACAAAATTTATCATTTTAAAACAAAGAAAAATTAACTTTACAAAATAATTGACTAAACGTAATAGACAAATATCTATATTATTATAACTTCTGTACCAGTTCCATAAATATATTTTTTTTCTACCAAATCCATGTTTTTTTTTTTTAGTAACATAATTATCAAGCACGAATAATTTTCAATCTTTTTGTTTTTTATTAATCAGCACAAAGACATAGTTGTCTTTATGTAAGCTCAGTTTGAGCAAATAATTTTATCTATGCTGCATTAAGTCGTTTTCTGTAACATTAGAAATGCTATAGAAGTTATATTGTAGGTTCGTTGGCAGAAAATTTTGCAATGCGGTTGGCATTGCGTTGAAATATGTCGTATTTCGGTTCCTAAACACCGCTTCTTGAACGGTACCAGTGACATCACTTTGAAAAGTTTGAATAGTGGTTGTTGGAATAGCTTGAATGACTATCGGCTGCGATGCCGAAGCGTGAGGAACTGCTTGTATCACCTGAGAAAGTAATAATCATTAAAATTTTGTTCTCCTATTGAATATATATAAACTATTATTTGAAACAACTTAAATCTATCTCTCATGTGATATTTTAAATTAGATTATATAGAAAAAAAGATTATATTTTTAAATATATTGTGATAATCTTATCTTTTTAAGATCTTTAGTTAAACAAGATAATTTTAACACATACTTCTTTCTATGATTAATAAATTTGAAGAGTCTGATGTTAAGTCAAAACTAGCTTGATTTATGTTTCTACGATTAAATTTATAATATATCGACTTTTTATATACTATTTTATGCTTCATATATTAAATTTATGACTGTCTTAATAATTCTTAATCTGTTTTATGGACTCATACTGACTCGAATTTCAATCTCTTATTGCCAATAAAAGAACATTTATATCTACTTGTACTGTAGTTGATTCCCCTTGAGGTACAGAGAGTGAATTTTCTGCGGAAGGCTGCTGTATTTGAGGTTGTTGCGTTTGTGCTGTTGATTGTTGCTGTTGCAATTGCTGCTGATTATTAGCTAAATGCTTGGTGTGAGAAGTATTAATTCCATGACGACGCTTCATATGCTTGTTGTAGTTTGGCCAATTTGTGAAGTGATGTTGACATTCTAAACAACTGTAGGGGCGTTCTCCGGTGTGTTGTCGCCTGTGGGTCTATAACGAAACAATTGTCTTAAATTTAGAAAAAACATGAAGCGATTAAAAGCGATAACTATAAACTTACAGTTAATATTCCTTTAAAACGAAAACACTTTCCGCAAAACTCGCAGGTAAATGGCATCGCACCAGTATGAATTCTGTGATGCTCTCTTAAAGTCCCTTTCTCCCTGAAGGTTCTTCCACAAACAGCACATTGATGTGGCTTTGCACCAGTGTGCACTGTTGCATGTTTTTTTAATTGCAATTGCGTTTTGAATCTGTAATTTTATTATAATTTTATTGATGGCAAATTATGTAATATTAGATTATACTTTTGATTTATCGACTCACGCTTTTGGACACTGAGTGCAACTAAACGGCTTGTCTGCCGAATGGGTCAAGAAATGAGCTTCCAAATTTCCTTTCTGTATAAAACTCTTGCCACATTGATCACACGTGAAATTCCGCACGCCGGAATGAATACGCTTGTGCGTAACAAGATTAGGTTTCGTAGAAAACCTAAAAATTAATTTTGCTAATCAGTACAAAGGCATTTGGTGAAATAAAATCATCTTGGAAGAAATATTTTATGCAACCTCTTATCGCATTGATCGCACGGATATCTATTTTTCACAGTATCGGGTAAATGGCAACGATTATGAATATACAGAGCACTTTGTTGTCTGAAAGCTTTTCCACAGGTTTGGCATACATATGGTCGTTCTTCACTATGTATTGTTTTATGAGAGTCCAAAACCTTTTTATGTACAAATGACTTTCCGCAATCTTCACAACTAGATGTAAATAAGTATTATTAATAAGTACAATTAATATTAATTTTATTAATAAGTACAATTATATATGACTGTCTTATATAACAATATTGGATGAATAACTCATACCTAAACTTTGCTTTATTCTTGTGCCTCTTGACATGAGTGAGAAACCCATAATATTTATCATAGACTTTACAACATTGTACACACATGTACTTAGCTTGTTGATTGTGCACAGTTTCATGGTGCTCCTCTAGCGCTTCTAAGCTCGGCAATTTATCATCACAATCTGTACATAGCCAAGGATATCTTTCTAAACCTTCTGTCTTTTTCTTTTGTTTTGTTGTTTCCACTGTTCGTGTTTCTATCACTTCTAATTTTGATTCTGTGTCTGTATTAAAATTATGTTAAAAATATTAAATGTTATATTAGATTTGCAAATAATCTATATAATTGTTAATTATAACATTCATAATTTTAATGAAACCGCAAAAAGCAATATAAAACAAATATAAAGTAAAATTATATATTATTCATGTCCTTTATACATACATATATATATATGTATATACATATATCTTACTATTATATATATATATATATATACACAATTCTTACCAGGTATATAATTATCAACAATTTTCAAATTATTTGTCATAGTTGCATCATTTTGTTTTTTTCCTATCCTAGAAGATATATGATGTTCGGTCTCCTCCATCTTTTGCATTTGGTTCTTCTTTTTTAATCTTTTTTTAGTTTGTTTAGGAGAGCTCTTCTTTATCTGTATCTTACACTTTTTCTGTTTTGTGTTGTCTTGTGCTTCCTGTGTTTCGTTTTGGGGGTTTTCGTCCTTATATTCCTTATATTCGTCCTTATATTCCTCAATGAAGTAAGAAGCATTTGAGGTATTAACTGTCTCATTGATGTAATTGCCAGGCAATTGACATTCAACTATCTCTTCTCTATTATTGCCCTCATCCTTTGGAAACTCCACAGTTTCCTCCACATAATCTATATTTGGTTCTATTGGTTGGGACTCAGACTTTGTATCTATCAGCAGTTGTCTCAGCGATATTTGAGCTTGATTGGTTTTCTCAAAGAAATCACTGCACTGATTCAACAGAACACAGCAATCTATACAAACTGTGAGTGGCAAACCATCCGTTATTAGAACCTATGCACAATCATAATAATCATTATCATTATCAATCAGTTGACAATAATCAGTTGACAATAATCCAAATGTATCGGATATATATCCACATAATAATAAAATCGAGCTTTTCAGAGCAGCAGTTGCAGCAATTTTATCTTTACCTGTATTTGCAGGCACTTGGCAATCTTAGCCTCGATCGCGAGCTTTTGGCCCTCAGCGTCATAGATCCCGATAAGATTCTCCTTGGTCTCGGCGCATAGCCGGCAGAGTTCCGGCTCCGTCATCGTTCAATGCACGTGCGAAATGATCGTACGCGCGAGATCGTACGCCGCCGTCACGCGACGCATCGCGTTGCTCCTTTACACTGCCGGACGCCGCAATCGCGCACGTATCATCGCATCGTGCCGTTTTTAAACAAAAGAACTCCACGGATGACGCCAACCTGGACAGCGGACATGTTGTGTTCCTCTTGCTTGCTCCTTTGCTCCGCTCGTTCGCTCGCTGATTCGTTCGTTCGTTTGCTCGTCGTCGTCGAAGGAATCGAGCGCTGAAATGTAACGAGAAAAGGCTTACTGTTTCGCAGAACACTGATCAATTGACGACTGTATCACTGACAACGACTGTTCCTTTCACTCTGTAGCACTGTAAAAGACGCGCGTACTCGGATATCTTTTGGGGTTCCAACGAAAACATGAATATTCGTCGTCGCGTTTGTTTGGAGAAAAAAAACAGCACATTCCGCGAGCATACAGGACGCATGCGCGCTACTATAGATGCATCGCTTGGTATCGTGGTTGCACTTATTTATCGACGAGTATTGTCGAACGTAGTTACAAAAATTGCCGCTTGAGAATCAAACATGGCCGTCTTAAATTGGAGCAACAATGTTTACAATATATAAATTTTTGCTACCATTTCGCAAGAAATAGGCGAACTGCTGAATCAAATGGCTTTTAGTAAGAATTTATAATCTTTATTAAGACAATAGTAAGAATGTTTTTTGTAGATGTAAGTCAATCAAAAGAATTTGCTCAGACGCAGTTTCACATGCAAATTTTTCGGTTACTTTAACTTGGATAAGAAAACAGTTAAAATAATTATTTAATATTAAATCAGAACAACCAATCGTTTCATTATCTTCTTTAAAAAATTATTACCTTATTCTTGAAAACAAATATTTGGTAACAAAGGCTAAATGCTTGATTTTGTTAAAAACGAAATCTAGCTAGTCGAATTCTTATAAAACGAGGAATTGATAATACGATATTTTAAAAATGAAACATTTCTAGGATTCAAGAATACAAAGACTATATTTTTACGAACATATTGGCTTACATTTGTTTCACAAAGAAGTGAAAAAGTCCGGAACTACATGGTTTATTTAACATTCCGTCAGCGTGTGTTAGCGAAAGTCTGCATTTTTTCACTGTGTCAAATGCAGTTGACTAACCGTCTTAAACAAATATATACACACACACATATTTGTCTTGACGCGCCGCTAATTTATCTCGCATATATACGAGTATTACGGGATATACGTTTTCCACGAATTTTTGACACATCGTTATTTCGATTTCTGTATTTTCATGTATATTCTCCTTTCACTTACGTCAACACAAAGAATTAGATCTTGGCATTTCCCATAATACACCTAAGATGTCGAGTTTTACATAACTAAAAATTATTCTTTCAAAATCTGAAAAACTACAAACGAAAAATCGATAAATTTACGTATACGAAGCTTGTTTACAGATATAATTGTATATATAATTTCAACGATGAAAACCCAACGGACTTTACGATGATTACATCAAACTCATTGTCAATACGAAATACCATTTTCGAAATCCTAGAAAGTCTTTGCAATGCTGTGGAATATTGGAGACCTACTAGAGTAAATTTAATCAGTCATATGGGAGAAAATCGAAAGCAGCTTTCGGCGGAATGAATCTGTTTAGAAAATGTTGCAAGACACGAAAAGTCTCGAAAATAATGCAACACTCAGCCACGTCGAATCTTTTGCCATCCTAGTTCTCTTTTTGTAACCACAAATAATCGCTTTGTTTCATTACAATCTTGATCATATATATGTAAAAGATGCCTAACGACCGATATATCAGCGGCGTATGGCAAACACGACAAAGTTTTTCTAATGTCGTTCAATAAAATTGCAGGATATGGAAAGACGTCCCGTATTTTTTAGAGCAAAGATACGCGTACGATTTTTAAATGTTAGCATCGAGTGTCATCGTGAAACGATTTCATGTCCGAGGATGGCGTCTGTCGCACACAAAAGGGGAAGGGAACGTCTGCACGAAACGAACGACGGATGTCGACGTCTTCAAGCTCGGGCGGGTGCCCGTCGAAAATGCCGACTATCAAGTGGTAAAAGTATTGACACGACATGTCCTCGTTGTGTATATATAGGGGTGCCTGCCAAGAAGGCATTGCAGTTCTTTAGCGAACGTCTGCAAGACGGTGTCGCAGCTTATAGCTATTCTTTCAAAGTTTTTTCTCTGGAGATCTTGCCGATTACAATCGGGGAAGCACTCTGCTGTGTTTTGCTGATTGATTAGGTAAACAATTGAATGTGGCTAATGTGTAGCTAAATTAAGACTCGTTCGAAAGAAGGATTACGTTTATTAGAAAAGTTCTTGGTAATTCATATGGTTAAAATTGCATTTGTAGCATTGCTTATAAGAAATATTAATTGATTACAATATCTTTAATTTCCCACGATTCAGATTTCTTTCTACAGATAACATCTGCGATACAGAATCAATGAAAAAGAAAAAAAACAACATTTTATAAGCGTTCCTTTTCGTCATATCGCGGTTGAGAGATCATATCGTAATATTATTTATGACAAATATGTGACAAAGTACAGAAAAACTTGTCATTTGTAAAGTACGGCTGAGAGTAGGGTACCACCCTGTATAACGCTGAAATCGCGAAACCGGTTTGAGTTATTTTTCTCCTTTTTTTTACGAGTTCGGGTATTTAAACATATACACACATGACAAAGAGGAACGCTAACGGGTAATCAGAATCGGAAAAGAAACGAACTTTTCCGAATTAAAGCAAATCTAGTATGATGCTAATCTTGTATTTCTCTTTTTTACTCAGAGTAGTGTGAAAAGAAAAAAAGAAAATGATAGCGCTCATGATTTTGGGTACTCTCGTGGCACTGTCTTCTGCCCAATTTCAACCGCAACCCAGTGGACGGATTCTGGAATCTCCGGTACCGGCACTTTGCGCACAGAGTAAGTCTTACTTTCTTCATTCTTTCTGTACCATCATTTTTATCATTACAATTACGCGAAAGTTTTCAAGAAAATGCTAAGTTATCTAAAGTCGTTTTAAATATTTACATTGTAACTTATACATATTTTTTGAATACTGCGTATCTTATATGCAAAGGAAGGTCTAAGTTCGTATAACAAAGTGGAGAAATTCAACCAGGCGAAAATTCAACAAAGAGAAATGGTATTTTGTCGCGACCGAAATGTTCTTTTGACATGGGTTTAAAACTCGTTTGAGATAACTGGGAATATTTGACTGAATGGAAATCTCCCTGCAGAAACTTTTTTGCTCCTACATCCGAGTTTTTCGTTTAATCTCCAGACAATAGAAAATCAATTACACGAACACACGAGTTTCTTTTCGCGTGATGAGAACATTTTTATCGCATAAAATTGCTTTGTTATTGATGTCAAGAAATTCAAGTACAAGCTATTCTAAGCATAAACAGTGAGTCGCTCGAATAAGCGGCGTTAATAGCTTTTCCATTGACAAGTAAAAACTGTCATTGTTAGAGCTATCACTGTTAGAGCGTTCCTACAGAGCAATCAGTCGTGACAATATTGTCGCTATTTTTACTAAAAATTTTCTCGTCGAATAGGTCTTTCATCTGGAACAAAGTGGGCGTTCCCAATGTCTCTGAAAACACACCACGGAGAGAGTCTTCTTATTTTCCTCGACAATCAAACATTCGACGGATCCATGAACTAGAGAAAGTAGTCTCCAATATTTGTGATTAGAGGCGTCGCGAGCCTCCATTTATCTCCCTGTTTCCTGCTCCTCCTTCTTTTATACGGAGAAAGAATCTCAATTTATATAATGGAATGGAGATCAGACAAGAATCCATTAACAAGAAATTAGATAGCACGAAACATCCTAAGATTCTAGAAATGTTCGGGATGTACTAGGACATTCTTCAAGTTCGACCGTTGTCATTGTCGACCGTTGACAAACTCGATGACTCGGCATGTGCCCCAAGCTACTATACCCTTTGTCTACTTATTGCATCTTCGACTTTGATACCGTCACTGATTGTACGTGACCGCCGTCACATCCGTACACCTCGCGCATCTTTTTTGACGACGCGCTCGTTATAGAAAGTGTGACGATGACACCGACGAGTGTAACTCGAACGCAATTTGAATTGGAAATAGCCCGGTCGTCGTCGTAAGTAGTACAGAATGTCGAGTCGCACTTTCATATTTATCATTTTTGGCTAATCCAGATACCGCTTGCCTAAGTGGTGATAACACGTAACCGTTAGAGTCGTTAGCAGTTGAGAAATGTCACCCCTAAATTTTCCTAGGCAATGTCTGAGGTTCTAAAGAAGCTTTATCAGCAAATAAACTCCTGAGTGAAACGTTTATCGATTCGATCTTAGTATTTCTAAGGGCTACTTCACAGTTACCGCAGGATTGGATTAACAAGTCATTTTTTGGAATACTTTTCTTCTTCGTTGAAATATATTAATGAGAAAGAATTTATTGTTTCCGTTAAGCTCCTTTTTATTTATAACGAAAAAAATGGTAAAAAATCCTGATGAAAGGAGAACCAAAGAATGTTTTTCGAGTATCAAGTGACAAGAAAAATCAATGTGAAATTCGATGACCAAGATGTTGATAAGCTTCCAAACGTTAGAAGTAGTGTAACGTGCACGGGAAACTGATAAGTAACTGATTATCCATTCGTTATGTGTAATCCGTCGACACGTTTTGTGCACGCCTCTCTCGTAGAGAACTTTCTTTTTCTTTATTTGGAAAGTGACGCTATATAATCAGCATATAGCATGGGTGCCAATGTCTAGGTCGTGACTGTGGTCGCTCTGAGGTCGTTCGCGACTGACACTAATTTTGCAACTTTCACTTTGTGTCCGTCTCGCAGATTCTTCCCGGATAATTTCCCGCACCCAAAGATATTCACAAAGAAACTACCGTTACTCGGCCATACGTCCGGCTTCTCGTCGCATCATGCATCTCTTCGATTTTATCCTCTAATTCTGATTCTTCGCAGGGACAATCCATCAACGATTCAATGGGAAGGGCTATTATTTCTCGTGGGCCGACCCGAGGACAAGCGGACAAGAGTTGGACTGGTTGACTGGCAGAAACTTTTGCAGACAACGCTGCATGGATCTAGTTTCCCTGGAAACTTCCGACGAAAACGAATTCATCAAGAGCCGTATCGTTCAAAGTATACTTCGTTCTGCGTATGCGATTAATCCTATGTATGAAGAAAGGAAACAAAGAATGCTAATGAAATGTTTCACTTGCAGACAAGGTGAAATACATCTGGACTTCTGGCCGCCTCTGTGACTTCAAGGGCTGCGATCGACCAGATTTGCAGCCTCTTCACATCAATGGCTGGTTCTGGACCGCCGAATTGCAGAAGCTCGCACCGACTAACAATCGCAGTCAAAACGACTGGTCTGAGAGCGGCGGGTAAGCTGTATTGTTTAGTAGTACTCATAGCACATTCAGAGAATACGCCGGCCTGTAATTACGCGTGCATACATAATACTAGTTAATACTAGTGTATAGAGATAGGTAAATCGAAGTCACCTTCTTTACTGAGTCACACGAGTATCTCCTTCCTTTTGGGATCAAGGATATCGAAACGCTGTGATTAAATTTTTCTTTACCCGATCACTGACTTCTATTGCTTTCTGCTCTGTAATCAACGACTGCTGTTCACACAGCTATTGTCAATAGTCAAGGTCTGAAATTTTTTCAAATACATATTAGACTTACATGTTGACGTGAGACAAAGCAACGAAGACAATGCCGATGCACGCATTGATTCATTTTAATAACAGATGTAAGAGTTGTTTCTTTAAAGAACAATATGTGTATTTTCGTCCAGCATCGGCAAACCACAACCAGACAATCGCGAAGCCATTCAGGGTGGTGCACCTGAGAATTGCCTGGCGATCCTCAATCAATTTTACAATGACGGAGTGAACTGGCACGACGTGGCATGCCATCATAAGAAGCCATGGGTTTGCGAGGAAAATGAATCTCTGTTGAAACATATTCGTTATAATTATCCTAACATTCGTGTATAAGAAAAAGAAATTTCAGGAAATGAAATGATAGCCCCATTTCCAGTCGAACGATTTACACAGTTACAAAGCTACATGAGAACAATTAAAAGCGTATCTATGTGATGCACCAGAGAAGCGACTGAGTAGTATATAGTGTGTATATACACACATACACACACACATACACACTCTATACATCCCTTATTTATTATTGTAACATTATTAATACCTCAATATCCATTCGATTAAAATGATTCCATGTGAATAATTTAATGGTTCTTAAACATAGATTCTACATATTTCTTGATATTGAAAAACATCACTATTTATATTTATGGATTTAATCATAGACAAATGGAAAATTATATTGTAACCCAGGATTTTTTTAGAGACTGCTATATAGTTTATAAACAATTATTATTTAAAATTATATATATATCTATAAAAAAAATATATATATATATTCATAAAGTAACTATACTAATTGTACATTCCAGATAGTAATAAATTTGTTAATGAATATCTATCGATTTTCTTACTTAACAAAAAATTCACATTATATGGAGCAAAAAAAATCATATATGAAGCAACTCTCTATAAATGAAAGTTTGTAAGATATAAAACATGTTTATCATTCGTATATATATAAGTGTAATTATTATAGATGTTAAACAAACCATTATCTAAATGATATGTATTTATATATATTTATTTAATTATATATATTTATTTATTTATTTTTATATATATTTATTTAATCAAATATGAATGACTGTTTTACAAAAGTATTACAAAATTCTGTTCCTTAAAGGAAATTATTTTTTACTTTCCACCATTATAATATGATACCCAAACTTTGTTTTTACTGGTGGATCTGTATAAACTGGTGATGCTAGACTAGAAATAGGTAGTGCAAAAGCAGCATCTTGGAAAGGTCCTACCATGGAACCCCGAGTCATCCAACCAAGATCACCCTTCAACCAAATATATAGAATGATATACAGAATGATAAACAATAAATGCAGTTATTTATTAATAAAATATTTTTAATATATCTATATTACCCCAGATCTAGCTTTGTCTTCACTGTATGTTGCTGCAACTTCATTGAATTTCTGACCAGCTTTCAATTTTTCCAATGCTTCCAATATTTTTGATTGCTTTTCACATAAAATATGTCTGACCTATGGAAAATTGAATAGTATAGAATAATATGCAAATATTTAACTTAAAAATATTACCTTAAATTTTGATAAAAACAGCATATATTTTTTACATATGGTTTTACACATTTCCAGATAGGACAAAACATGCTGAGATTATTTTGATTATACTCAGGATTTCTACGATAAGATATCCTAGACCTGTTTAGATTGATTCTACGATATCTTGTAAAAAATTAATATTAACATGACAGATTTCCTAACCTTCAACACATTATTTTTTCTTTGCTTAACATTTTCTTAGTGACAAGTAACAATTTTAACTTTCGGAAACTTCTGTCACGTATGAAAACGAATTGGTTGAATATACTTTTATTAAATTCCAAAAAGTTTATAGTGAGAGACCTTTAACCTAAACTCAAATCAACGCTGAGATCATTAAATTTTTACTACGAAACATGCAGTTCTTATCTTTCTTGTAGTTTCTTACTTTGACTGAAGATCCTCCTTTCTTTTCTGCTTTTCCACCACTATCCTCCAAGGATTTACCTTTATTAGATTTTGCGGCACCCGTATTCTTTTTCGGCGGCATACTCGTGTATATAACTTTATGTATAGGTTATATTTTTGTGTTTATAAAGTTAGACTTCTGTATGAAGAAAATTCGAAGTCCTGTTCGAATGCAAAATTTGCTGATATATTTAACATCTCACAGCTTTCGCGCACGGGAACAAATATAAATTTTAATTTATGATAATAATTATAATGATATAACATATATAATATATAAATTATATATAATTATAATAATATAAATTTATTAATATATTTGTTAAATATAAAAATAAAAATATTTAAAAAGAAGCCGGTATAAGAATCAAATATCAAGAAATATTTGTGTAAAACATATTAAAAAAAAAATCTTTTTTTACGAATTTAATGCTTCATTATAATTCATTCAACACGCATGCGCGCGTGCGCGCATATAAAAACATCTCTTTAGCATACAGTGAGAAAAGCATCAGTTTGCTTATCTGCGAACTTTGATATCGACTTGAATAGTTGCGACCAGCTACTTGTGATAAATCCATCTGTCAGGAAGACCTTTCGTTCGCTTCCGTGGCGGTTAGATGTGGTTTTTGTAACTACATGCATTTTTTTGATCGTGGGGACTGCGTACGCGTTGTCCCTGTTTTTCTTTTATCTTCATAATCGTTGACTGGCGTAGGGGATAGAGTGTAACAATTCTGCCCAAAGCCATTTATTGAATCAGAACCAGGAGATCAGTTGCGACCAGCTGTGAGACACGTTGTCATTGTGCATTGCAGGTTTCATATATTTATTTTCCCTTACCTTATTATTTTATTATATCTCAAATCTGATTTCTTGTAATAAAAGTGCTTTTATGCACAATAAAAATCGACAATCCAAAAAAAAAATATATATATATAAAGAATGTTATATATTTTTTAAATTCAATCTTTGACTTAAGCATTTTAATTCAATTGTTTTGATTATTAAAAGTACAGAAAAATTGCAAGAAACGTATTTATTTAGTAAATTAAAAGTTTATATGCGTACTGTATCCATTTATTATTATTATTATTATTTCAGAGCCTTGCCTTTAATTATTTGATTATTTATATTTAAATATTTTATTGTTTATTACAACTAGGGATTACTCAAGTGACGATAGAAAAAAACTTGCAACAATCAATATGTCATTACCAAATAGATCATCTAAGTGCACATGGAAAGTTAATGAAGTAAATTCACCACATACGAAAAGAACAGAGTAAGTTTATTATAACTGTTGAAGATTTACATACATATAGTAAAATTTCTCATTATATATTCCTGTTATTTTTTTACACAACATGTGTATTTAGTACTAGTATCATCTATTAAATATTGGGTAAGTTCTTGAATCTAATTGGTAAAGTAAAAGATTTTATCATAACCCAAAAATATTAATTAATCTGATCCAAAAAAATTATTGAATATTTAACCAATAGATACATTCCAATAATCTCTGCATGTATCGTTGTAGATAGACAATTATTTGATCATTTAATGCTCTAATATGAAAGTTTATCAGAGAAGTACATGTTGCTAAACTTGTTTTCTCATTTATCACTGTTATGTTATCACTTTAGCAACAATGTTGTGAAAAACAGAAGAAATAAAATATATTGCACAATATAGATATTGGCACAAACTATAATACTACTGAATGCGCATTCATCTAAATAAGTATGAAACTGATATCAGTTATCGTAGAGTGTTCTTATCACTAACACACTATAGTCACATGTTTGCTTTAATAGTTCTTGAGCTCTGCCATACATTTATATTTAAAATTATATGCAAATATAATATGTATGATTGTACAATTTCTTTCAATCTCATATATTTCTTTATTTTTAGGGTACCAGACTGTAAGAAGATATTATCAAATGTTTTAGATACAATAGGACAGACACCTCTTATTCGACTTAACCGCATTCCTAAATCCTATGGAATCAAGTGTGAAATGTGTTAGTAATGAAGTTTTTGTTTTTATATTGTATACATTTTATAAATGAAAAATTGGCCAAACTTTATCAATTCCTTTTTTTACATACAGATGTAAAGTGTGAATTTTTTAATCCTGGAGGATCTGTGAAAGATCGAATAGCACATAGAATGATTCAGGATGCTGAAGAAAAAGGGTTAATAAAGCCAGGATATACACTTATTGAACCAACTAGTGGTAATACTGGAATCGGCTTAGCAATGGCTGCAGCAGTCAAAGGCTACAAATGCATCATTGTGATGCCAAGGAAAATGTCTAATGAGAAAATTTCTGTATTACACGCTCTTGGTGCAGAAATAGTCAGAACACCAACCGAAGCACATTGGAGTAGTAGTGAGAGTCATATCAATGTTGCTCAAAAATTATGTAAAGAGACACCTAATAGTATCATCTTGGATCAGGTAGTACACTTTCTTTTAATTTGGATACTTTTTCCTGAGCACAATCAGTCCTAAAATTGATATTTTTGTTATTATAAATATAGTACACCAACGCTGGCAATCCTTTGGCTCATTATGATGGAACTGCAACAGAAATCTTTGAGCAATGTGATGGAAAGGTAGACTATGTTGTAGTTAGTGCAGGTACCGGTGGGACAATAACTGGAATTGGGCGCAAATTAAAAGAATTATTGCCTGATGTAAGGATCATTGGTGTAGATCCTAAAGGCAGTATTTTAGCACTTCCATCTGAATTAAATAAGGAAGGTGTAGGTTTCTATGAAGTAGAAGGGATTGGGTAGGTATTTCTATTAAATTTGTATCGTATATATATAACGAAATAAAATGGTTTACGGAGTTATCATTTTATTTCACAGCATTTCCATATTCAATGTAAATTTCATATTCATTTCATACTCTAATGTAGATACATTACATCAAGAAAATTATCAACTTATACAAATATATACCTATATATGTATTAAAAAGTTGTCTGGTATAACTTGAAATTAAAATTCAACTGACAATAAAGTTGTATTCTTCTTTTTAGATATGACTTTATACCCACGGTCTTAAATCACGATGTAATCGACAAATGGATGAAATCAGAAGACCACGAATCATTAAACATGGCACGGGATTTAATCAGCAAGGAAGGATTGTTGTGCGGCGGTAGTAGCGGTGCAGCACTTTCAGCAGCTTTGAAAATCGCCAAAGATTTACCCGCAAATAAACGGATGGTCGTCCTCTTACCTGATGGAATACGTAATTACATCACAAAATTTGTATCAAATCAGTGGATGGAAGAAAGAGACTTTTTGGTAAAACGACATTAATTATATTAAGATATTTGTTATTACAATTGCTACACACGCTACATATTACTAAATTATAATTTTTCCTTCAGCCACCAAAACCTTCTTCAACAGAGCACAAATGGTGGTGGAATTTACCAATATCGAAATTAACGTTAACTAAAGTTGTGCTTCCAAGGGAAATAACATGCCATAAGGCTACAGAGGTTTTTGCACGGTATAAAATACAACAAATGTTGGTAACTCGTGACGAAATGCAGAGGCACGTAGTAGGTGTTGTCTCATCGGATGTACTTATGTCCAAGTTGATCTCAGGCGAGGCACATCAGACAGATCTCGCCAAAACGGTTATGGACAAAGAATTTACAAAAATCTCAACTTCATCCACTCTGGGCAAACTGTTTCGAACTCTCGAGAATAAACCTTATGTAGTTGTAATAAACAACGACAGTGTATTAGTAGGACTTGCCATCCTAAATGACATTTATAAATATATAACTAGCTTAGATAACTGCAAGATGGAAACAGATAAAAAATGATATTATGTAAAATATATCCATCATGCTATATCTGGTAAAAGAAAGATGTGTATGTGTATATGTATACATATTTCTATATGAAGAAAATCAAATATATACTATTTTACCATTTTATACATACTATTATTTTATATGCTCATAAAGTTAGATCACTAATTTTAATTTATACAATTAAGTGTACCAAAGGAATAATACAATGATTTTAATTGTTTTATAGCGCATAATGATTTTTCCTAATGTTTCTTACAGCGGAGATATCGAAGTTTAAAGTTTTCCAGCATTTCTCCGTCGATATCCAGCCTTCCTCCGTCGATATCTCCGCTTCTACTGGAAGTAGAGAGTCGTCCATGTAGTCCAAAATGTAGGGTTTTGAAAGGGCTTTAATTTGGTACCTGTCCGAAGCCTGTATCTCTAACCGTTTAGGAAATATCGAAGGTTAAAGTTTTCCAACCTTTCTCCGTCGATATCTCCGCTTCTACTGGGAGTAGAGAGTCGTCCATGTAGTGCAAAATGTAGGGTTTTGAAAGGGCTTTAATTTGGTACCTGTCCGAAGCCTGTATCTCTAACCGTTTAGGAGATATCGAAGGTTAAAGTTTTCCAACCTTTCTCCGTCGATATCCAGTCTTCATCCGTCGATATCTCCACTTCTACTGGGAGTAGAGAGTCGTCCATGTAGTCCAAAATGTAGGGTTTTGAAAGGGCTTTAATTTGGTACCTGTCCGAAGCCTGTATCTCTAACCGTTTAGGAGATATCGAAGGTTAAAGTTTTCCAACCTTTCTCCGTCGATATCTCCGCTTCTACTGGGAGTAGATAGTCGTCCATGTAGTGCAAAATGTAGGGTTTTGAAAGGGCTTTAATTTGGTACCTGTCCGAAGCCTGTATCTCTAACCGTTTAGGAGATATCGAAGGTTAAAGTTTTCCAACCTTTCTCCGTCGATATCTCCGCTTCTACTGGGAGCAGAGAGTCGTCCATGTAGTCCAAAATGTAGGGTTTTGAAAGGGCTTTAATTTGGTACCTGTCCGAAGCCTGTATCTCTAACCGTTTAGGAGATATCGAAGGTTAAAGTTTTCCAACCTTTCTCCGTCGATATCCATCCTTCATCCGTCGATATCTCCGCTTCTACTGGGAGTAGAGGGTCGTCCATGTAGTCCAAAATGTAGGGTTTTGAAAGGGCTTTAATTTGGCACCTGTCCGAAGCCTGTATCTCTAACCGTTTAGGAGATATCGAAGGTTAAAGTTTTCCAACCTTTCTCCGTCGATATCTCCGCTTCTACTGGGAGTAGAGAGTCGTCCATGTAGTGCAAAATGTAGGGTTTTGAAAGGGCTTTAATTTGGTACCTGTCCGAAGCCTGTATCTCTAACCGTTTAGGAGATATCGAAGGTTAAAGTTTTCCAACCTTTCTCCGTCGATATCTCAGCTTCTACTGGGTGTAGAGAGTCGTCCATGTAGTGCAAAATGTAGGGTTTTGAAAGGGCTTTAATTTGGTACCTGTCCGAAGCCTGTATCTCTAACCGTTTAGGAGATATCGAAGGTTAAAGTTTTCCAACCTTTCTCCGTCGATATCCATCCTTCATCCGTCGATATCTCCGCTTCTACTGGGAGTAGAGGGTCGTCCATGTAGTCCAAAATGTAGGGTTTTGAAAGGGCTTTAATTTGGCACCTGTCCGAAGCCTGTATCTCTAACCGTTTAGGAGATATCGAAGGTTAAAGTTTTCCAACCTTTCTCCGTCGATATCTCCGCTTCTACTGGGAGTAGAGAGTGGTCCATGTAGTGCAAAATGTAGGGTTTTGAAAGGGCTTTAATTTGGTACCTGTCCGAAGCCTGTATCTCTAACCGTTTAGGAGATATCGAAGGTTAAAGTTTTCCAACCTTTCTCCGTCGATATCTCCGCTTCTACTGGGAGTAGAGAGTCGTCCATGTAGTGCAAAATGTAGGGTTTTGAAAGGGCTTTAATTTGGTACCTGTCCGAAGCCTGTATCTCTAACCGTTTAGGAGATATCGAAGGTTAAAGTTTTCCAAACTTTCTCCGTCGATATCCATCCTTCATCCGTCGATATTTCCGCTTCTACTGGGAGTAGAGGGTCGTCCATGTAGTCCAAAATGTAGGGTTTTGAAAGGGCTTTAATTTGGCACCTGTCCGAAGCCTGTATCTCTACCCGTTTAGGAGATATCGAAGGTTAAAGTTTTCCAACCTTTCTCCGTCGATATCCAGCCTTCATCCGTCGATATCTCCGCTTCTACTGGGAGTAGAGGGTCGTCCATGTAGTCCAAAATGTAGGGTTTTGAAAGGGCTTTAATTTGATACCTGTCCGAAGCCTGTATCTCTAACCGTTTGGGAGATATCGAAGGTTAAAGATTTCCAACATTTCTCCGTCGATATCCAGTCTTCATCCGTCGAAATCTCCGCTTCTACTGGGAGTAGAGGGTCGTCCATGTAGTCCAAAATGTAGGGTTTTGAAAGGGCTTTAATTTGGTACCTGTCCTAAGCCTGTATCTCTAACCGTTTAGGAGATATGGAAGGTTAAAGTTTTCCAACCTTTCTCCGTCGATATCCATCCTTCATCCGTCGATATCTCCGCTTCTACTGGGAGTAGAGGGTCGTCCATGTAGTCCAAAATGTAGGGTTTTGAAAGGGCTTTAATTTGGTACCTGTCCGAAGCCTGTATCTCTAACCGTTTAGGAGATATCGAAGGTTAAAGTTTTCCAACCTTTCTCCGTCGATATCTCCGCTTCTACTGGGAGTAGAGAGTCGTCCATGTAGTCCAAAATGTAGGGTTTTGAAAGGGCTTTAATTTGGTACCTGTCCGAAGCCTGTATCTCTAACCGTTTAGGAGATATGGAAGGTTAAAGTTTTCCAACCTTTCTCCGTCGATATCTCCGCTTCTACTGGGAGTAGAGAGTCGTCCATGTAGTGCAAAATGTAGGGTTTTGAAAGGGCTTTAATTTGGTACTTGTCCGAAGCCTGTATCTCTAACCGTTTAGGAGATATCGAAGTTTAAAGTTTTCCAACCTTTCTCCGTCGATATCCATCCTTCATCCGTCGATATCTCCGCTTCTACTGGGAGTAGAGGGTCGTCCATGTAGTCCAAAATGTAGGGTTTTGAAAGGGCTTTAATTTGGTACCTGTCCGAAGCCTGTATCTCTAACCGTTTAGGAGATATGGAAGGTTAAAGTTTTCCAACCTTTCTCCGTCGATATCTCCGCTTCTACTGGGAGTAGAGAGTCGTCCATGTAGTGCAAAATGTAGGGTTTTGAAAGGGCTTTAATTTGGTACCTGTCCGAAGCCTGTATCTCTAACCGTTTAGGAGATATCGAAGGTTAAAGTTTTCCAACCTTTCTCCGTCGATATCTCCGCTTCTACTGGGAGTAGAGAGTAGTCCATGTAGTGCAAAATGTAGGGTTTTGAAAGGGCTTTAATTTGGTACCTGTCCGAAGCCTGTATCTCTAACCGTTTAGGAGATATCGAAGGTTAAAATTTTCCAACTTTTCTCCGTCGATATCTCCGCTTCTAATGTGAGTAGAGAGTCGTCCATGTAGTGCAAAATGTAGGGTTTTGAAAGGGCTTTAATTTGGTACCTGTCCGAAGCCTGTATCTCTAACCGTTTAGGAGATATCGAAGGTTAAAGTTTTCCAACCTTTCTCCGTCGATATCCAGTCTTCATCCGTCGATATCTCCGCTTCTACTGGGAGTAGAGAGTCGTCCATGTAGTCCAAAATGTAGGGTTTTGAAAGGGCTTTAATTTGGTACCTGTCCGAAGCCTGTATCTCTAACCGTTTAGGAGATATCGAAGGTTAAAGATTTCCTACCTTTCTCCGTCGATATCCAGTCTTCATCCGTCGATATCTCCGCTTCTACTGGGAGTAGAGAGTCGTCCATGTAGTCCAAAATGTAGGGTTTTGAAAGGGCTTTAATTTGGTACCTGTCCGAAGCCTGTATCTCTAACCGTTTAGGAGATATGGAAGGTTAAAGTTTTCCAACCTTTCTCCGTCGATATCTCCGCTTCTACTGGGAGTAGAGAGTCGTCCATGTAGTGCAAAATGTAGGGTTTTGAAAGGGCTTTAATTTGGTACCTGTCCGAAGCCTGTATCTCTAACCGTTTAGGAGATATCGAAGGTTAAAGTTTTCCAACCTTTCTCCGTCGATATCCATCCTTCATCCGTCGATATCTCCGCTTCTACTGGGAGTAGAGGGTCGTCCATGTAGTCCAAAATGTAGGGTTTTGAAAGGGCTTTAATTTGGTACCTGTCCGAAGCCTGTATCTCTAACCGTTTAGGAGATATCGAAGGTTAAAGTTTTCCAACCTTTCTCCGTCGATATCTCCGCTTCTACTGGGATAGAGGTCGTCCATGTAGTCAAATGTAGGGTTTTGAAAGGGCTTTAATTTGGTACCTGTCCGAAGCCTGTATCTCTAACCGTTTGGAGATATCGAAGGTTAAAGTTTTCCAACCTTTCTCCGTCGATATCTCCGCTTCTACTGGGAGTAGAGAGTCGTCCATGTAGTCCAAAATGTAGGGTTTTGAAAGGGCTTTAATTTGGTACCTGTCCGAAGCCTGTATCTCTAACCGTTTAGGAGATATCGAAGGTTAAAGTTTTCCAACCTTTCTCCGTCGATATCTCCGCTTCTACTGGGAGTAGAGAGTCGTCCATGTAGTGCAAAATGTAGGGTTTTGAAAGGGCTTTAATTTGGTACCTGTCCGAAGCCTGTATCTCTAACCGTTTAGGAGATATCGAAGGTTAAAGTTTTCCAACTTTCTCCGTCGATATCCATCTTCATCCGTCGATATCTCCGCTTCTACTGGGAGTAGAGGTCGTCCATGTAGTCCAAAATGTAGGGTTTTGAAAGGGCTTTAATTTGGTACCTGTCCGAAGCCTGTATCTCTAACCGTTTAGGAGATATCGAAGGTTAAAGTTTTCCAACCTTTCTCCGTCGATATCTCCGCTTCTACTGGGAGTAGAGAGTCGTCCATGTAGTGCAAAATGTAGGGTTTTGAAAGGGCTTTAATTTGGTACCTGTCCGAAGCCTGTATCTCTAACCGTTTAGGAGATATCGAAGGTTAAAGTTTTCCAACTTTCTCCGTCGATATCCATCTTCATCCGTCGATATTCCGCTTCTACTGGGAGTAGAGGGTCGTCCATGTAGTCCAAAATGTAGGGTTTTGAAAGGGCTTTAATTTGGACCTGTCCGAAGCCTGTATCTCTAACCGTTTAGGAGATATCGAAGGTTAAAGTTTTCCAACCTTTCTCCGTCGATCATCCGTCGATATCTCCGCTTCTATTGGGAGTAGAGGTCGTCCATGTAGTCCAAAATGTAGGGTTTTGAAAGGGCTTTAATTTGGTACCTGTCCGAAGCCTGTATCTCTAACCGTTTAGGAGATATCGAAGGTTAAAGTTTTCCAACTTTCTCCGTCGATATCCATCTTCATCCGTCGATATCTCCGCTTCTACTGGGAGTAGAGGGTCGTCATTGTAGTCCAAAATGTAGGGTTTTGAAAGGGCTTTAATTTGGTACCTGTCCGAAGCCTGTATCTCTAACCGTTTAGGAGATATCGAAGGTTAAAGTTTTCCAACCTTTCTCCGTCGATATCCATCCTTCATCCGTCGATATCTCCGCTTCTACTGGGAGTAGAGGGTCGTCCATGTAGTCCAAAATGTAGGGTTTTGAAAGGGCTTTAATTTGGTACCTGTCCGAAGCCTGTATCTCTAACCGTTTAGGAGATATCGAAGGTTAAATTTTTCCCAACCTTTCTCCGTCGATATCTCCGCTTCTACTGGGAGTAGAGGTCGTCCATGTAGTGCAAAATGTAGGGTTTTGAAAGGGCTTTAATTTGGTACCTGTCCGAAGCCTGTATCTCTAACCGTTTAGGAGATATCGAAGGTTAAAGTTTTCCAACCTTTCTCCGTCGATATCCATCCTTCATCCGTCGATATCTCCGCTTCTACTGGGAGTAGAGGGTCGTCCATGTAGTCCAAAATGTAGGGTTTTGAAAGGGCTTTAATTTGGTACCTGTCCGAAGCCTGTATCTCTAACCGTTTAGGAGATATCGAAGGTTAAAGTTTTCCAACCTTTCTCCGTCGATATCTCCGCTTCTACTGGGAGTAGAGGTCGTCCATGTAGTCCAAAATGTAGGGTTTTGAAAGGGCTTTAATTTGGTACCTGTCCGAAGCCTGTATCTCTAACCGTTTAGGAGATATCGAAGGTTAAAGTTTTCCAACCTTTCTCCGTCGATATCCATCTTCATCCGTCGATATCTCCGCTTCTACTGGGAGTAGAGGGTCGTCCATGTAGTCCAAAATGTAGGGTTTTGAAAGGGCTTTAATTTGGTACCTGTCCGAAGCCTGTATCTCTAACCGTTTAGGAGATATCGAAGGTTAAAGTTTTCCAACCTTTCTCCGTCGATATCTCATCCGTCGATATCTCCTTCTACTGGGAGTAGAGGTCGTCCATGTAGTCAAAATGTAGGGTTTTGAAAGGGCTTTAATTTGGTACCTGTCCGAAGCCTGTATCTCTAACCGTTTAGGAGATATCGAAGGTTAAAGTTTTCCAACCTTTCTCCGTCGATATCTCCGCTTCTACTGGGAGTAGAGAGTCGTCCATGTAGTGCAAAATGTAGGGTTTTGAAAGGGCTTTAATTTGGTACCTGTCCGAAGCCTGTATCTCTAACCGTTTAGGAGATATCGAAGGTTAAAGTTTTCCAACCTTTCTCCGTCGATATCCTCATCCGTCGATATCTCCGCTTCTACTGGGAGTAGAGGGTCGTCCATGTAGTCCAAAATGTAGGGTTTTGAAAGGGCTTTAATTTGGTACCTGTCCGAAGCCTGTATCTCTAACCGTTTAGGAGATATCGAAGGTTAAAGTTTTCCAACCTTTCTCCGTCGATATCCCCTTCATCCGTCGATATCTCCGCTTCTACTGGGAGTAGAGAGTCGTCCATGTAGTCCAAAATGTAGGGTTTTGAAAGGGCTTTAATTTGGTACCTGTCCGAAGCCTGTATCTCTAACCGTTTAGGGAGATATCGAAGGTTAAAGTTTTCCAACCTTTCTCCGTCGATATCCAGTCTTCATCCGTCGATATCTCCGCTTCTACTGGGAGTAGAGAGTCGTCCATGTAGTCCAAAATGTAGGGTTTTGAAAGGGCTTTAATTTGGTACCTGTCCGAAGCCTGTATCTCTAACCGTTTAGGAGATATCGAAGGTTAAAGTTTTCCAACCTTTCTCCGTCGATATCTCCGCTTCTACTGGGAGTAGAGAGTCGTCCATGTAGTCCAAAATGTAGGGTTTTGAAAGGGCTTTAATTTGGTACCTGTCCGAAGCCTGTATCTCTAACCGTTTAGGAGATATCGAAGGTTAAAGTTTTCCAACCTTTCTCCGTCGATATCCAGCTTCATCCGTCGATATCTCCGCTTCTACTGGGAGTAGAGGGTCGTCCATGTAGTCCAAAATGTAGGGTTTTGAAAGGGCTTTAATTTGGTACCTGTCCGAAGCCTGTATCTCTAACCGTTTAGGAGATATCGAAGGTTAAAGTTTTCCAACCTTTTCTCCGTCGATATCTCCGCTTCTACTGGGAGTAGAGAGTCGTCCATGTAGTGCAAAATGTAGGGTTTTGAAAGGGCTTTAATTTGGTACCTGTCCGAAGCCTGTATCTCTAACCGTTTAGGAGATATCGAAGGTTAAAGTTTTCCAACCTTTCTCCGTCGATATCCAGTCTTCATCCGTCGATATCTCCGCTTCTACTGGGAGTAGAGAGTCGTCCATGTAGTGCAAAATGTAGGGTTTTGAAAGGGCTTTAATTTGGTACCTGTCCGAAGCCTGTATCTCTAACCGTTAGGAGATATCGAAGGTTAAAGTTTTCCAACCTTTCTCCGTCGATATCTCCTCGATATCTCCGCTTCTACTGGGAGTAGAGAGTCGTCCATGTAGTGCAAAATGTAGGGTTTTGAAAGGGCTTTAATTTGGTACCTGTCCGAAGCCTGTATCTCTAACCGTTTAGGAGATATCGAAGGTTAAAGTTTTCCAACCTTTCTCCGTCGATATCCATCCCTTCTCCGCTTCTACTGGGAGTAGAGGGTCGTCCATGTAGTCCAAAATGTAGGGTTTTGAAAGGGCTTTAATTTGGACCTGTCCGAAGCCTGTATCTCTAACCGTTTAGGAGATATCGAAGGTTAAAGTTTTCCAACCTTTCTCCGTCGATATCTCCGCTTCTACTGGGAGTAGAGAGTCGTCCATGTAGTGCCAAAATGTAGGGTTTTGAAAGGGCTTTAATTTGGTACCTGTCCGAAGCCTGTATCTCTAACCGTTTAGGAGATATCGAAGGTTAAAGTTTTCCAACTTTCTCCGTCGATATCCATCCTTCATCCGTCGATATCTCCGCTTCTACTGGGAGTAGAGGGTCGTCCATGTAGTCCAAAATGTAGGGTTTTGAAAGGGCTTTAATTTGGCACCTGTCCGAAGCCTGTATCTCTAACCGTTTAGGAGATATCGAAGGTTAAGTTTTCCAACCTTTCTCCGTCGATATCTCCGCTTCTACTGGGAGTAGAGAGTCGTCCATGTAGTGCAAAATGTAGGGTTTTGAAAGGGCTTTAATTTGGTACCTGTCCGAAGCCTGTATCTCTAACCGTTTAGGAGATATCGAAGGTTAAAGTTTTCCAACCTTTCTCCGTCGATATCCATCCTTCATCCGTCGATATCTCCGCTTCTACTGGGAGTAGAGGGTCGTCCATGTAGTCCAAAATGTAGGGTTTTGAAAGGGCTTTAATTTGGTACCTGTCCGAAGCCTGTATCTCTAACCGTTTAGGAGATATCGAAGGTTAAAGTTTTCCAACCTTTCTCCGTCGATATCCAGTCTTCATTCGTCGATATCTCCGCTTCTACTGGGAGTAGAGAGTCGTACATGTAGTCCAAAATGTAGGGTTTTGAAAGGGCTTTAATTTGGTACCTGTCCGAAGCCTGTATCTCTAACCGTTTAGGAGATATGGAAGGTTAAAGTTTTCCAACCTTTCTCCGTCGATATCTCCGCTTCTACTGGGAGTAGAGAGTCGTCCATGTAGTGCAAAATGTAGGGTTTTGAAAGGGCTTTAATTTGGTACCTGTCCGAAGCCTGTATCTCTAACCGTTTAGGAGATATCGAAGGTTAAAGTTTTCCAACCTTTCTCCGTCGATATCCATCCTTCATGCGTCGATATCTCCGCTTCTACTGGGAGTAGAGAGTCGTCCATGTAGTGCAAAATGTAGGGTTTTGAAAGGGCTTTAATTTGGTACCTGTCCGAAGCCTGTATCTCTAACCGTTTAGGAGATATCGAAGGTTAAAGTTTTCCAACCTTTCTCCGTCGATATCCAGCCTTCATCCGTCGATATCTCCGCTTCTACTGCGAGTAGAGGGACGTCCATGTAGTCCAAAATGTAGGGTTTTGAAAGGGCTTTAATTTGGTACCTTTCCGAAGCCTGTATCTCTAACCGTTTAGGAGATATCGAAGGTTAAAGTTTTCCAACCTTTCTCCGTCGATATCCAGTCTTCATCCGTCGATATCTCCGCTTCTACTGGGAGTAGAGAGTCGTCCATGTAGTCCAAAATGTAGGGTTTTTAAGGACTTTAATTTGGTGCCAGAACCAGGCCTGTATCTCTAACCGTTTAGGAGATATCGAAGGTTAAAGTTTTCCAACCTTTCTGCGTTGATATCTCCGCTTCTACTGGGAGTAGAGAGTCGTCACTTACGGCAAAATGTAGGGTTTTGAGAGGACTTTAATTTGGTGCCAGAACCAGGCCTGTATCTCTAACCGTTTAGGAGATATATATTTTAATTATAACTTTTATATTTTTACTATATTTTAACTATATAATATTTTACAATAGTAAATGAGAGAGAGAGAGAGAGAGAGAGAGAGAGAGAGAAAGAGAGAGAGAGAGATGAGTTTTAGATAAAATCACACCTGAGATGTAACTATATATATTTTTTTTTGTCTATATATATATAGATAAAAAATTTTTATAGATTATAATAGGTACAAAATATATAAGATTATTATGAAATTGTTCTATGTGTGTGTCTTGTAAAGTAATATTCTATTTTCCTCAAACTAAAGTGGCAAAAAATATAAATATCTATACATAATATATTTTATTATATTCCTTTATACAAATTAAAATTGTTACATACAATTTTAATATATGTATTTTTTGTATCTATACACTAAGTTATATTAAAATTCAACATAAATATTAAATCCTTTGAACTTGAACATGAAATTTACAACTTGGTAATGTAGTAATCTCTGCGGTAACAGTACTAATAATACCAAGATTCGCTAAACTTCCTCTGAGAAGACCGCAAGTGAAAGCTAATAAACGAGGACTCTCCTTAAGATATTGTTTACTATTAGTTGTGCCAATTTTATCTAATAACCTAAAAGCATTATCTTGCAACACATATACTCCATGATGATTAGTTCTGAGATTATCAATTTGCTTATGATACAGGCTGGACCAGAAATCTGTGCAGATAAACTTAATCATGTCTAGTTCATCCTTAAATCTGCTCCATTCTCTCGTTAATCGCTCAATGATCCGATACCCAACACTAAATCCCATCCATTCTAACCGAGATAGTTCTTCCTCACCTTCCTGTAATAATATGTGACCTTTAACTGAGAAATTTTTCATGATAAATAAAGTGATATATCATATTCAACATAAAGTTATTAATTTTTAGCAATATATCCAAAAATTTATTAGGTAAATATGCATATACTACTTACTGTAGTATTAGATGATTTGCCCAGAACATAATTTACCAGCTCGGCGTGTAAATACTCAAAAAGACACTCGTCAGCTTCCCCAGTTGCAGAATTTGTTTTGGAATCAATTATCTGTTGCTTCATTTTCTCAACTAATGTTTATATAACTGATGGTTATAACAAGATGTTCACTGTTCTATCAGATAGTGTATAGTCTGCTATATATTTGTTTCCTAAGTAAATTTTTCTTCTTCACCCTTAATGCCCTGCCTAAATAAATTCGTGTAACTCGTAATATACATTTATATTTACCTGATAAAGTATGTCAAGAAGTGTCAATAACCAACTTTGTTATAATTAAAACAGTTTTACATTAATTTGTTAATGCTCTTCCATTTAATTGAAAAACCATACATCACAAATTATTATATGTTATGATGTACCGTATGACAATAAATGACATCTGTGACACAGCTAGACATTTGCTTGCACATGCGCCGCAACTAGCGTGATTATGTGATAATACAGTGTACTACATTGGTAACTATGGAAACTGTAAAGCACGCTTATTCATGGTATAAACCTCAATAGTTATAAGTTAATAATAAGTATGTATGAAATAAAGAAAAGATTTTGTAGCTTTTACCTTTTATAAAAAACTTTATATGTATGTAAGAACACATATAATCAATAACATTTTTATCAACTATTTTATAGAATTTGTAATATAAATAAATAATTAATGTATATAATGCGTATGTTTATAATATTTATAGAATATAAATATCTATGGTAAACATGGATAAATACGTTATCAACGGACAGATCGGTGAAGGAGCGCAAGGTCTGGTTTTGAAGGCACACGATACAATCAAGGATCGAGAAGTAGCTCTAAAGAAAATTTTAGTCAAAAAAATTGAAGACGGTATACCCGTGTCCATTATACGTGAAGTCAAAAGTTTACAGCAGTTAAAACATCCCTACGTAAGTCTTTTAATGTTCTCGTCTTTTGAGTAAACGAAAACTTGTTTGTTGTATGTAAAATATTTCTTATTTCATTTATTTTTTCGAATAATTTAATAAGATTCATATAACGTTGTTACCTGCAGGTCGTTGAATTGTTAGATGCCTTTCCAAGTGGCTTAGACTTCGTGATGGTTTTTGAATATATGCCAACAGGCTTATGGGAAGTACTGAAAGACACCGATGTTACATTGACGTTATCGCAAATCAAAACTTATATGAAAATGTTGCTGGAGGGTATAGCATATATACACGGGAAGAATATAATACATAGGGTATAATATATAATTATTCTTATCTTCTTAGAGGGTTTAATAAGAACACGAACTCATTTTTAAACCAGTTGTATTTTAAAAATATCAATAATTTTATAAAAGGAAGATGAGTTTGTTCTTTACGTTCTTATACAATCTTAATTTCTTGAAAAAGTATGAATTCGAGTTAATTTTTTGAAAGTAAGCTTTCCAATTTTTCTTTCAATATATCTTGTCAGCAATCAGAGAGTTTGGATAATATTTTAGGACTTGAAGCCGGCGAATTTGCTAATCAATGACAAAGGCATTTTGAAGATTGCGGATTTCGGTTTGAGCAGACTAATGTGGCACGACGGTACGAAGCCGTATTCACATCAGGTTGCTACACGATGGTACCGAGCACCAGAGTTACTCTACGGTGCACGATATTATACGTCTGCGATCGATATATGGTCAATCGGTTGTATATTCGGCGAACTGTTGAACACTTCTCCGTTATTTCCGGTATAGATATTCTGTTTAACTAAAATCTGGAGGTATTAAATTTTATACTCATATATATTGTTTTGTAATATTATTAAAGGGTGAAACTGATATCGAGCAATTGGCTATAGTTTTGAAATATTTAGGCTCTCCCACGTCAGAATCTTGGCCGGAATTAACTACATTACCGGATTACAACAAAATTACATTTCCTTATGCCAAGGGGACAACGTGGGAAAGTATCATCCAGGACGCGCAACCGGAAGCTATCGATCTAATCAGACAGATTTTAATTTATAATTCGTCGAAACGTCTCACGGCTGATCAGGTTGTGTATGATTATCTTTTTCGTTATCTTATATATATAAATTATGTGGAAAAACAGAATTCTCTCTCTTTTTCTACAAGATTTATAACTTATTATTCTTAATTTGTCACGCAGGCATTATGTCACGTATACTTTTACTCGAAACCTTATCCATCACTGAAAAATTTGATAAAACCACCGCAAGATCATCGTCTACGTGTGAAACCAAAAGAAATCAACCCGAACGTACAAGCTAGTACACTCTTTGAGAACTTTCTAAGTATTGTCTAATTGTGCATTTGTCGCGATATGTCAATGGTATGCAGGAAATGTTATTTTCATTAAAAAAAAAATAGACAATTGGTTTTTTAATTTTCAAACTATATATATATATATATATATAGTGTACAGAAAAGATAAAGAAGCAAGTCTATAATTTTATTTAAATTGACAGATATTTTCATGCTTTGTCACTTGAACTACCGTTCCTATAAAACGCGAGTATTCTCCTGAATACTTCCGGATTGTAATCTTCAATTACCGGTCTTCCGTTATCATACTGAGCTTGCCGAAAGAGCCTCAAAGGTGGCAAAGTGCACCAGAAATTTTTCGTACTGTTATCGTTTGTGTCCAATGAATTAAGTTGATATATGAAAAAGTGATAGTGTTTTCCATCTGTATGAATGCACTGTACAGTGACAGGCTCCGGCAATTTCTTTACGAATAGTCCGAATCTTTGACGTGCACAAGATACTGCCACAGTGTACGACTTCAGCATGGCACGACCAAAAATCTGATCCTCCCTCACAGCCAACTCCGTCAAATTTTTAACTTCTTCTGGATCATAATGCACGAAGATGGTATGAATGTTTATCCAAGGTGATGTTGTGCTGACAGCTGTTATAATTAATATTATAAAATGAATATCTCTAATATTATATCTAATTATTATATAGTGATATAATAAAAATTTATCATTACAATGATTACATATAACTAAATTACATATATATATATATATATATGCAAAGTACATTTAACTTACGATATATGTCCCCAATTTTATAGAAGTTTGTTTCATCAAAACTGACAGTGTGGTGCATAGGATAGATATTTGGGAGATCAATCTTTATGTTGTCGATAGAACTTTCAATTGGTTTCAAAGAGTTTAGTGACATGATCATCACATCAGATCTTAAAGTAAATTGAAACAAATCCGATTCCTTATCTGCAAAATATTTTCATATTCAAGTAGTTAATTATGTAATATAACATATGAATATTTCACAATATACAAATGAGTTACCCCAGTCTATCTTTGTAACTGCATCATACAATACACATCGTTTCTGTGCAATATCTGTGCCAGATAAAGACTCACAAAGTTGTACAAATTTTCTAGACATATTTTGCCTGAAAAAAAAAAAAAAAAAAAAAAAATATATAAATTTATACATTACTTTTTAGAAATACACATTTAATTCTATTATGTTACTAACATTTTCCGTGCATTGGTTATGCCATAATCTCTGGGAAATACCCATGCAGGTCTATTAGGATCTTTCCTCTTTGGTAATTTCTCTTGATGAGCATCAAATATATTTGAAGCATAAACTGCCCTGTAAAGACCAGGAAAAATATGAAATGCAATTTTAATTAAATTTAAAGGTTTTATATATATATATATATAATGCTTAATATACCTTTTTTAAATTTAAAAGTTTTATATATATATATGATGCTTAATATACCTTTTTTAAATTTAAAGGTTTTATATATATATATATAATGCTTAATATACCTTTTTACTATATCATCTATATTTTCTGGAAGGTCAGGAAGCAAATTTGCAATATGACTTGAAGAACTCTCTGACAAACACACAGTGTTTGTTAATATCTGTGCTTGAGAAAGTCCTTGTTGCAGAACATTGTGGTCTTTAAATGTAAGACATGCCTTAACTTTCCAATCAGGATGTGTCTCATTAAATATAACATTCAGAGGAGGTAATTCATGTTGTGGAATCCTAATATATAATTTTGTGTTAAATACACATGATACATATTTTGTAAGAAGCACAATTTAGCATACAATACCTTGGAAATATTTGCTTTGGTTTCACTATTTCTAAAGGATCTTTCACTTTAAACCCCAATGTTGACAAGTATTCTTCTGCATTTAAAATCCTAATATTACGATTTCGTTTCACATGCCATATCCTTTTAAACATTCTGTCTAAGTGTTGTTTAAACAAAATTTGCGTAAACTTCATTGTGTATGTATGTTATCTAAAAAATGAATAAATAATAACATAAAATATAAAATGGAAAACAATTTAAAGTTATATTTTCTACTAAGGATGTTCTCTTAATATCCATTAAATTTATTAAATAATATAATAACTTAAATAACATTATTAGACATAACATATGCAACTTACAGCAGGAAATATTCAATAATCAAGTAAAAAGATCTCTCATTTAATTTTACAACACCTCTTCTATGTATATGAAGCATAACCTCTCTAACCGAATTTTATGGAGGCTGATAAATTGTGGTTTAAGTCTTGACTAAATAATAGCTGATTTTAATCAAAACTCAAACCATAATTTACCGACTTCTATAAAATTTAGTCAAGACTCGAACCATAACTTAGCATTTTTAGGAAGTATAATAATTTTAGCGTTACTAAATTTATAATTATGAATCTGTAGTTTATATAATAATAATTATAAACTTTTAATTTATGTAACGGAGTACATAGATTCTTAGATCCGTTATCTTAACAAATCAGTTTAAGGGCCAGTTGTTCCAACTTCTTGGTAAGTTAACTGATAGTTAAATTATGTTTATCTTTGTTTTTCCTTCAATTTAGACAAAGACAGACACATGATTTAACTATCAGTTAATTTATCAAGAAGTTGAAACAACCTGTCGTTAAACTGCCAACTTTGACTTCACTCTGTGGACAGAATGCTTGATCTAAGTATATACGTCATTGCTTAGGCCAGAGCTCGGCAAAAAATGCACGCGACGGCCGATTTTCGACTATCTCCGCCCACCGCTGTTCCCTTTACCTCGCCACTCCGCATGCTGCCTACAAGCCGCTCGAGCCTCAGGAGCGTGTTTCCAACAGTTTTCCACGTCACCCATGAGGTACTATTGTTGACGCGTTTTTTTTTAAGTGGTATCCCCAGTAGGCCTAATCCACTGATGACTGTAACAACCCGTAACTAATTGAACAGAAGCGAAATAAAATATGTTAAATGAAGAATATTTAATTCGATTTTCGGCGTCTTTTATTAGTAAGAGCGGAAACGTCAATTTGCATATTACATGTAGCGAGCCGCATAAGACGTGGTAAGGAATCGTCGTTTAAAGAAGAACGCTTCTCATTTTTTATAAACTTCATCTTCAAAAATTATAGATTATAGATTATAGAATTATAGGTTAGGCCTACTGGGGATACCACTTAAAAAAAAAACGCGTCAACAATAGTACCTCATGGGTGACGTGGAAAACTGTTGGAAACACGCTCCTGAGGCTCGAGCGGCTTGTAGGCAGCATGCGGAGTGGCGAGGTAAAGGGAACAGCGGTGGGCGGAGATAGTCGAAAATCGGCCGTCGCGTGCATTTTTTGCCGAGCTCTGGCTTAGGCACTTCGGCACTGTACTTTTTCATATATTTATTGATGAGTAACAAAAATAAAGTCGTGACACGACCCAATAAGGAAGTCGATACAATAGAGTTTCATTTTTCAAATAGTTCCACTCAACTAGTGAAACATCCTTTATTCTATATCTTTTTCGATAAGTTTTTTTTTAAACAAAAATGAAATATTTGAATCAAAAAATTTGATTATGTACTTAGCTTTACATATTGTAATTAATAAAAACAAATAAATTAGAAAGGATAAAGAATTATATAATAACATATAAAATAACTCACCATCCCATATATGTATATGTAAAGTCCATTATTACAAATATATAATAAAATACTTTTGTCTTATATATTTTTGTTAATATTATTTTGAGAAGATATCAGGAAAAGATGGACAATGGAAGAAATTTACACGCTAATGGGCTTTCTTCATTGCATCACTGGGATTTAGCATTTTACGCCTTTGCGCAAGCATATGCATATAAAGCTGAGGGAAAACTGGAAAAAATATAGTACACAATTAATAAGTAACTTACTATCTAACTAATGACTTACCATCTTTTCTATATAGATATATTTATATACTTACTTGGAATATACGATAACATAACTCCTATCAACAGATATAAATAGCTAAATGTAAAATTCCATGTGTTTGGTAGAATATAACTCCATGCATTAGAATAAGCACTAGCATATTCTACAGCAGCATAGAGACACAATAATTCACCAGTTATCCCAATTGGATATAATATGATAAATGTAGTATATCTGAAAAGTTTCCAGATTATATCTTTATCGATAATTTTGTATAGTTAAAGTTGGAATAGCACAATATTGTTCAAAATTGCAAATTTTACAAAAAAACATTTTAATCATAATAAATAATGTATTACCTCAGCCATATCACTGGGTATAGTACAATAGCATAAAGATTCAAAAAGTAATAGAAGTATCTAATTATCTCTGTAATAGACCATGCTATGAGAGATAGCTGAAGTCCTAAAGATGCAGCTGCATACGTATAAGGAGTAGCTAAGATAACTCCAACTACAAGAAAAACACGACTCAATATTTGAGATGTTGTAATTATCAAATTTGATGATACTAGTCCTATTGCTGCATGTATTATCTGAAAATATACAACTTCTATGATAAACCAAATAATTATGTGATAAAAAAATATAAATCATATTCGACCAAATTAAATTTTGCTATAAAAATATACATGGAAACATTATTAAAATTTAATTTTAAAACTGTTAAGAAATCAAATATAATATTATTTGGATATATTTCCTAAAATGTTTGAAGTAAAAAAGAATTCATTTTTTTAGTTAGTTTATATAAAAAATATTAAAAATATTATCAAGCTTTAATAAATTTCTATTCATCTTCAATTATATTTCATTTTTTTATAGAACTTAATGATATAATTAATTTCAATGCTACATACTTCTAAAATAGCTGCATTCTGGAAAATAACTATAGATAATTCTGTTTTATTCCATAAGGTACTACCTGAAGGACTGATGTAATGTTGTATAATTTGATACATTATATAACTCCATCTAAAATAAATATTTAAAAATTAATTAAAACATATGCAAAAAAGCACATAAAACTTTAGAAAATAAAAAAAAATATATTTTATACAAGATATGTCAAAAATTGGAAGCTATCTTAAAAAAAGCAATGGATTTTCAAATTTTGTCATTCTGCAAATATAACAGAAAAAATTAATTTACCCCAAAGTTTGCCCAAGATTATACAACGCCAGATAAAGTTTTGCGAGAGTACCAAGTTTTCTAGATTTCGTTCCAGCCATATTTATATATATAAATCTTTCAAACTAAACTTCAGAGCACGATTTACAGCACAACTGAATGCACAACTGAACTGAGTTGCAGTATTAACAATGATATAATAAAGATGTAACTGGAATGACTATCAAGAAAGTGTCACGATCATAAATATGCATGTTTATTCATATTGTGAGTTGTATGAATACATGAATGTTTCCTGTAGGTATTGCCACTTAATTATTAATCAATAACAGACGTATTACGAGATATCACTTTGCGACAGAATCGAATAACAGTCCAATCAGCGAAACTTCTGATTGGCCTTGATATGAAAATCAACAAGGAGAGTTTTTTGAAGAACTTTTATTTTAACGAAACACTCAATCGTTGTGCAACAATTGGTCTGTTCTTTGTAGCTGCACTGTTGAACTGGTGCAATAAGTTAAAGAGAGATAAATATACGTTTTCTCGCTCTAGTTTATTGCACCAGTTCAGCAGTGCAGCTACATAGAACAGACCAAAAGGCTGCGTTCCGATATTCACTGTCAGCACTGAAAATCTATAGCATACGTGACATAAACTATGTATTTTCAATACTGGCAGTGAATTTCGAAAGGCAGTCAGTAAATTTCCAGACGTTTGGTAATTTTCTTAAGAAGATTAAAGGTCATTCTACAATACGTGTTGTAAGTTGTAAACCATAAGAACTGATCAATTATAGCCGATTATTTTTCTAAAGCCAGCAGCACACGGTGCTTGTTTTCGTGCTGGATTGCTGTTGGATGAAAATACTGCGTTTTGATTGGTACATTTCCGAAGATGGATGGAAATGCACCAATCAGAACGCAGTATTTTCATCCAGCAAGCAAACCAGCACGAAAACAAGCACCGTGTGCTGCTGGCTTAATAATCGACTGTGATTCGCCAATTCTTACAGCTTACAACTTACGACACGTATTATAGAATGACCTTAAAAATTCTCTATCTACTGAAGCTTCTCTGTACCAATCCGAACATTATACAAATTTGCTCTGAAAGTCGAATAAGATATTATTTGTTGAGTTTCTGTTCTACAAAATTTTTGTTTAAGTAGTTTTTTATTAAGAGCTTGTAGCTTTATGGTTATATCGGCATCTTTCAAGTTAATGATATATTCATATTATTCTGTTAACATTGATATTAACAATAATAATTGTCGTTAAAATGAGTCATCTTTGTAAAATATATAATTATATGAGATATCTAAATAAATCAATAAAAATTCACAAGAAACTTTTTACACAAGTAATCTGTGATGGGACTGCACCATGCAGTAATGTACATTACATTAATGTGTCAGTTTGGAATTACACAATTTGTAAACGATTTTACTGTCAAACTGTTATTCAGAATGACAACATTTTGTCGAATTCTAATAATCAGAATATTAACGAGCAGCAAAAACTCGATGAGTTTCTATCCAATCCTGATAACAAAAAAATATTTCAAATATTAGAATTAGAAGTAGATGTTTTACGACATAATGCTGAACAAGTTCCTGAAAATATAAAACCAATGCATTGGTTGGAACTGTTAGATATATCAAGCAAATCAGGAAGAAAGTAAGTATTTGTATTCATTATAAAATACTCTTAAGTACTTTTTTCTTTGATTTATATCATATGTTTTGCACGATACTTTATAGGAAGTATCTTCGTTATTTATTTACTAATGAAAAATCAAGGGAAAAGAAAAAAGCAAAGATGCTGCAGCAAAAAACTGAAAAACAAGCAATAAAGGAAGAAGAAGAGGAAGAAGAAGATACAAAAGAGATAAAATATGGTCTTGCATATAATTCAATGTTTCTGCGTATATATCGACAAACTATGCATAACTACTATAATTCTAAATTAATTTGGGCTATGATGTTCGAACCTAAAATTGTGTTTGATTGTGGCTATGAAAATTTTATGACTAATATTGAAAATCACAATTGCGCCAAGCAACTGACTCTTGCATTTGCTGCCAATCGTATTCATGATAATCCTATGTTTCTTTACTATTGTAATCTAAATGAAGGATCACTCAGAAATTATTTTCTTCGCAATATGCCCAATTTATTGGACAAAGATTTTCCAGCTGTTGTAACATCTCAATCTTACTTGGATTTGTTTCCAAAGGACCAATTAGTGTATCTTACTCCACATTGTAAAACAAATTTGGTCGAATATGATTCTGATATGGTATACATTATAGGTGCAATGGTAGATAAAGTAAGTTGTTACTCAGATGCTTTATATATTGTTAATCTTCATATTTGTTTAATATTTTCAATGGTTTTTCTATCTATCTAGTCAAAACCACAACCTTTATCTTTGGCAAAAGCTAAGAAAGAAGACATTCGTATGGCAAGACTGCCGATAGAGAAATATCTCGATTGGGGCTCTGGTTCAACAAAGAATTTTACAGTTAATCAAATACTTTCTATAATATTAGATTTGAGACACACGAGAAGTTGGGAGCAAGCATTTCGGCATGTGCCAGTTAGAAAATTGAAAGAGACCAGAGAATATTTGTTAAAGAGGAAAATATATTTGCAGTCCAAATTCTTGGAAAAAATTAAAAACAAAGAACAAACAGATGAGAATCAAGCTCTAATGAGATCACCTAATGCAACAAATTTCACATTTTCCGTCAGGAAGAAAATATAAAGATGCAAGATAGAAGGTATTTGTCAATTGCTGTATGTATCAAAAATATATTTAAAAATATAATAATACACAGATGAAAAGACTTATTAATTACTCCCTGTGATCATTATATATCTTCTACAAAAAATTGGAATAAATCTTAGAGAGAAAAAACGATAACTTTTATTTGATTATATAAATAAAACTTATACAAAGTTGTACTTAGATTATATTTATTAAGATGGTTTTTGATACATGAAAATTCACTTAATTCATACCAACTATTATCATTATAATCATGTTTCTATTATCTATCTCTATTAACTATTATCATTATTATAGATATTTTATATTATATTCCAAATCAATCTTTTCCTTTTGTTTATAATTATTTTTTATTTTCAAATAATTTTTTGAAATGTAAAGCATCTTTAATATGATTGATCACTCGCGCCCTCTAGAGCATCTCATTATTACTATTACTATACATTGAAAAAAAGATCACAGATTTCTATATATGTATATTACTAGATTGCTAACTTCAACCAAAATACATGGCTGCGTAAAGCACGTACCAGTACGTACGTACAGGGTTTAAACACAGGTTTAAACACATGTGTCGTATAAATAGTACGACATTAATGTTTGATTAGTCAAATTTCAACCAATAACGTATACATATTTAATCCTTTCTAACATTCTTCTTGAGTTATGAGTATAAGCATCGGCCATATCACATAATCAACATCTCTTCTGTACTACTTACGTTACGCATGCACAGATGCTCACTTCTCATGTGTAATACATATTTTTCGAGATCCATTTCTCGATGCAGTATATAAGAGTGTTAGCAGTTAGTTTATAATATAAATGTCTGTGTTGGAAGTACACAAATAGGAAGAATGATGGAAACGATTGTCAGTTTTGACGAAGATTATTGTACTTGTTTGAATAGTTTACCGTTTTATAACAACGTGAGTTTTATAACCTAAATACAACGTGATGTTATTAGACAATTATTATATTTATTGTTAACATTGCAGCTATGTTATTGTGATGCAGCAGTATAATACATATTAGATGTTCATATATATACAAATATGTGTATGAACAATTATTATTTTTAATATATTATATATATTTCCTTGTAAATGACATGATATCTCATGAGGAGATTAAATTTGAGGCAATATCTATCAACAAAGAAACGACTACCGGCAAGAGAGAATCTATCACCTTTATTGAACAGTTTGTCAAAGATGTTTGTGACTTTAGTTCCCAGTATGGCAGCAATATCAGCATATCGTATACTGCTTACAACATAGCTGGTAATCCTAGCAAGTTTCCGGACTATGGAGATTTTCCGCAAGCATTTGTTATGGTATTTTATGACTACTATTTTTGCTTATTATCTATATATAACTATTCTACAACTAAATATAATTGTAATTTAGCTTAATGTTATAATCCTAACAAAACAGATAGATTTAATATTATTTTGCCTTATTTTTCAATATACTTTTAGAGAACTTATGGACCATGGTGGGACAAAGCACCTTCAAAACCAATAGATTATATGCCTCAGAATAACGAAAATATAGTGAGTCAGGATTATATCGGTATGCAATATTGATAACATAAATAAAGACTTTCATAAAGAAAACAATTTCCTTGTTAAGATTATAGTGATAATTATTATTATAATTTCTAATTTAAAGATATTGAATATTACCAAGAAGTATATCCAGTCAGAGTTTCTGTATATGAAACATATAATCCTGGGAGTGTAATTGCAATTTGGGCACAAGACTGTTATGGCCAATGGTTTCAGTTATGGAGTGGACCATCTCAGATTGTCCCTCACAAACCACGAATATTTTCTCCACATTTACAACTGTGTAACTTCAAGACCAAAATGTTAAGACTGGAGTTCAACCATAGCCTATTAGACTACTATACAGAATTAGATGCTGTGTTGCTTATTGGTACATCTGAATTGATCATTCCTAATGATCGACAGCATAATCAGAATTTAAATAATCTATTGCAAGAACTAAGCTGCATTGATCTACACAATGAAGATGTTCATAATCTAACACCAGATTACTTAAATGCAAACCAGGATTTAGTCATTCTAAAAAAAACACTACATACGCATTGTACAGTGTATAAAAGGTATTGCTATAATAATAATTAAAATCATATATTAAACTTTTATCTGCATAATGATAATGAAATGTAACATTATTTACAGCAAAATAATAGAAAATTTCCCTAAGAGCAAGTTAATATCAAAATTAGGACAACATTATCGTTGTGTACCGCCTGTTGAAGAGGCATTCAATAGTCTGCAACAATTTTTGCAAGAAGAATTTCCGAAGCTTATAAAAGACATTTATCTTTCCTCATCAACCTCTTTATATGGATCGAAATTATTGCCTATTAAAAGTTCGTCGTCAACTCTGAACGAATCTGAAGAACCACCATGTGGCAGTTTTTCTGCACTTCCTGTAAGCATACACTAAGAAATCCATCTTATGCAATTAATAATACATAATGTAATTTATTCCGTTGGTAAATTTTACAGGATGAGACGGTGCTAAAGATATTGAAAAATTTAGACTTGAGATCGCTGTGTCGCTTGTGCAGAGTGAACAAGCATTTTAACAATATAGCGAGGGATGCTTTACTCTACACATGTTTGAACTTAAAGCCGTATTGGTACTGTCTCGATACGCAAGCATTGAACAATTTGGCACCTAGATGTCAATATCTACGACAGTTGGATCTCTCATGGTGTGGTAACTACAATATGTTTAAATATCAAAATATCGTAAACTTTCTTAACACATGCGGTAGTCTTTTGACGCATTTACGGTTAAATTGCTGCCACATCGTTAACGATATCGTTATCTCTGAAGTGTCAAAGATATGTAAAAATTTAAAAGGTACGTGCCAGTTTGCTACAGTGCAATTCGCTGCATAATAATTTCCGTAATATAATTAATACATACATTTCAGAATTGTGCTTGCGTAATTGTTTGGAAATAACGAATGAAGGTTTTTCCAAGCTTGAGAATTTAGAATTCCTCGAGCGTTTGGAACTTTACAGAACAACTATTGAAACTTCGACACTGTGCTCAATATTGCGAAAGAACCCTCGGATGCGACATTTGAATGTAGCGGGAACACACGAGCGTTTGAACGTGGACGAGATCGCGGTGGAATTAGGAAATTCATGTCCATATTTGGAAAGTGTGGATTTTTGGAAAGCGCAGACTTTTACACCGCACGGTCTTCGTGCTCTCGCTCGTTGTAAGAATTTGCGGGAAGTGGATTTTGGTTGGTGGTATGCATTATTTTATCGATAATATCCACCTATTGTCTATTTTTTGTTATTAAGTTTGTGTATTTTTTTTGTATACAAATAACCCTGTCTTATTTCTGTTTGCAATTAAAAAATGATGATTGTAATAACTTATAATTATACGATAGAAATTATAATAAATATAATAGAAAAGGAACAATGTAGAATTTCTTTTCTATTTTATAGTGGTGGTATGGGTGCTCCTGGAGATTCTTTGCGCGCACTGTTATCTTCGTGCCAACACTTGGAGAAAGTCTTCCTGGCCGCTCTTCGAGGACTCACGGATCGCGATTTGGAACCGTTATTACTATGCCAATACTTGCAACAATTAGACCTATTGGGTGCTCGATCTTTAACACCAGATATTTGTTACGGATTCTTGTTGTGTTGTCCTAAATTAGAAATGATCGATCTGAGTTTCTGCGAAAGTATCAGCGACTCCAAAATTCATGAATGGCGACAACAATACCCGCATGTATCCATCAAAAGAAGCTTTCAAGCAATTGAACCAATTTAGCATATAAAAGTTAGTTGTAAAAATCAGCACATGAAACGGTTTCAAAGATTAAATGAAGATGGAACTAAAATGTGATATCATGATAAGACTTGTATTGTAATTAAAATAACAAATTTGCCTTTTGATATATATTGATGATATTATGTTGACAGATACTTATGTAACAACATTGTATTAATAGGCACACCAAAAAAAGTAAATCTTTCTAAGTTTTATACACGCATATATATATATATATATATATAGTAGAAAGATTGTACTTATTATATTTTTTAAACTGGCTAAAAAATATTTTGTGTCTTCAAGAATTAGCGATTTACAAGAATTCATTGTTTACAACATATAAATCTATTATAAAATTTTACTAGTCTTTAACGATTTTTTTTCCTGAATGTGATATCATAGTACACTTTGATTTATACGTTATCTCCAATTCATATTCTGAAAGTATAACATTCTCTTTTACTAATATCTCTGACATTTGAAAATTGATTTTATCGAATATAGAGTTTTTAATTTCCTTTTTCATTAGATTCGTTCGAATCCGCCTAGTTTTGGGAACATATACTAGGTGCGCTCTCTCCGACCATTGTCGTACACAATTTTGAGCAGAGACTAATTCTGATTAGTCCGTACAGACTGACAAGTATGTTCCTTTCAATTGCACCACGTTGCACCTCTTACACTACTTGAAACAAGACAGGTATATATCCAAGACCCTGTAGAAAGGAGTGGGAACGAGAAAAATTGAAAGGAAGTGCCGGAAGTGCTCGGCTTAAAAGAACAGGCTTATGAACGACGAGCGGTTGTAGGCGTCCGGCGAAAGGGTCGGCGAGTACCGTACATAATTTTCACGCCATTTTTCGAAGGAGCGCGACACTGGCGTCGCAGCGGCGACCATCGTGTGCGTGTGTCGTCGATGTACGGACGAATAGACGGACGGACGTGAGGAAGCAGTGTGAAAGAGACCAGAGAGCAGCAGTAGTGGCAGCAGGAGCAGCAGCTTCAACAGCAAGAGCAGCAGCAGCAGCAGCAGCAGCAGTAATAGCAGAAGAGGAGGAAGAGTGCATGTCCGGTGTGGCGTCGTCGCGACAACGATACGTTCGAGTACGTTTTACGAAAGCACTCGAGGATCCCGCGGATCGGAAAAACGGACGCAATACGTACGCGAGTCGTAGTTTCTCCATGGAATTAGGTTACCGTCGTCGGTCAACTACATACTATCGGATGGACGGTCGTTACGACGGGGCAATGTGAAACGTACACGGAAATGTGTGCCGTCACAATCGCCGCGAAGGAAGCAAGTGTCTCGTGAGTCTCGTTTTACGGTTTTTCCTTCTCCTTTTTTTGTCTCTTTAATATCGCGTCGCGCGCGGATTTTCGACCGTGCCCGCGTTCGATGTTGCATTTCGCTCTCTTAAGTGTCTCCCTTGTCCTCTCTCTCTCTCTCTCTCTCTCTCTCTCTCTCTCTCTCTCTCTCTCTCTCTCTCTCTCTCTCTCTCTCTCTCGCTCTCTCTCTCTCTCTCTCTCTCTCTCTCTCTCTCTCTCTCTCTTTCCCTCCCTCCCTCCCCTCTCCTCCCTTCTCTTCCCCCTCCCTTCATCTCTCTCTTTCTCATTCTGTACGTGTAGGTATGTATGTGTGTGTGTATGTGGGAGTGCGTGGCTGTTTCTCGATATCTCTCGTTGCACGAAGGTAGCAATAGAACGACGACTATCGAAGGGCCGTCGTGTTGTGTCAACGTAACCCACGGCAGCGGCGGCGGCGGTAGCAGCAGCAGCAGCAGCAGCACCAGCACCAGCACCACCAGCACCAGCACCAGCACCAGCACCACCGACGCCTCTTCAGTAATTAACCAAACAAAATGGACACCGAGATAACGATTGAGCGAACATTCGTATGGTAGTCTCTCCCTCCCTCTCTCGTTCGTTATATTACTCCGTGTGTTCGTGTGTGTCTACGTGTCCGTGGGATATTTCTTTTTTTATTGTTTCCTTTAGATGGCACTTTGGTAACGATGGAATCGCCGTTCGTGCATAACTGTAAGTCTCACCTCATCGATCATTATCGAAAATAAATCGCCGGACGACACTCACCTGCCCGTGTCTGCGAGTGTCTGTGTGATATGTACGCGCGCCGACGATCGCGTCTGTCGGGATGCCGATGTTCCTCTAGGTCGTGCTTCCTCGGGCTCTTTCTTGCGACCTGTCTCTCGTCTCTTCCGAAATATGTGCGTTCAGTGAAAATTTCGAGAGTACGCCAAGTGCAAAGTAACAGCGTAACCGAGGGGAACAGGGACCTTCCGAGAGATATCTCTCGGCGGACGATCGGCGTGACGCGATTTGTTTCTTTTGTCTAGTATACGGGTCATCCAGCACGACCAGTCTTCTGCATGGCTTATTGTTTCCCGCTAACTCATATCGGTTGCGCGAATCTTGTCAATCGCGACTCCTCTTTCGTCGATTTCGACCGTGTGTGCATTTTGCGGTGCCTGCCTGCGCGATTGTTACGTTGTGTATACACAGTGTGATACAGACTCAGGATCAGTGTAACATTACGTGTGTGTATCTTTCTCGAAACAATCGTGCAAGATGGTTGATGATACAGCAGAAGATCGCTTAAGTATAATTGCATAGCATTTGCACATTGTACGTGTACGTATCTCCGCAAAAACACGGTCGCATGATTTTCTACGAGCGCGTTTCGAGTATCTCGAGTTTTTCTTTTTTTTTTTTTTTCCAGAAACTTTTTCAAATAAGACTTCACGAGCGAGATTATCTCGCGGGAATAATGCCGTGTGAAACTTTTAGTTACGCGCACGAAAAATTGGAATCTCCACTCCGCGGACGAATGTAACGATCGTTTCAAACGAGGTGCAGCTTTCATTAGGGAAAAAATCTTAAAGAACCGCGATCAAGCGTGACGAGGGAATTGCTCGTTTCACACGAAAGTTCGTTAGCCTTGAAATAACGAAGGACACGCTCTCCGCTGGGTCTCCTGACAGTTCTCCGGTTTGAGCGCATCAGGACGACAGCCGTGCATAATTTCGGTCGTCGTATGATTCTTTCGCACTCGTCGTATTCGGCTGCCATTTGAGCCGTGGTATCGAAAGATGTATTCGAATCGATACCTGCGGAATACGATTGGTTAATCGAATATCCTACGACAGCTATCGGACTTTATAAGCTAAAATCTGATTGGTCCTCTTTCTGGTGTAATTTCGACTCCTGTCTTGTCGCTACCAATTGCGCGGTGCGCCTTTACCGCGATATTGAATACTCGATGCGTTGCCAGTGTGATTCGTCCGTAACGTTGTTCTCCTCGCCGTGTCTGTCTCTCCCTCTCCCTCTTTCTCTCTCTCTCTCTCTCTCTCTCTCTCTCTCTCTCTCTCTCGCACCGTTATTGCCTATCCTTTCACTAAATTCGCACGACTCCGTGCACATACATTGACACGTACACATACTATACGCGCGACACGCTCGCCCGTAAATTTGTCCATCGTAAAGAGAGTTTGAGCACTTCGCGAGCCTTGCTCCATTTTTCCTTACATCGCCGACGAGCGACGTATTACCGTAATTAGAATTTCATACGTACATCAATAGGAGCCTTATAACAATCACAAATTCTTTTTTATCGTCTTGTTAATGTCATCATATTTATTATGCCACGTTTCGATTACCATATTTCTTTTGCTCTTTTTTCTTTTTTATTGCAATAATCGACACTCTGAGCGGAACATTGTTTGGTGTGTAACGTGTTACGAAAAAAAAAAAAAAGTAAACATAGAAACAGTCAGATACGGTAGATAACGTAAATAGCCTAGGAATGGTAAATAGTCAGGGATCGAGTCGACGTTACAATTTGACTCCAATATGTTTCACTTAGTCTTTCGAAGTAATTGTTTAATTTACAATCTTATCTGCAACAGGCAGTAGGATGAAATTTACTTAACCGAAGTTTCTTAGGAGTTAACGGTCCTGCTAGAAATGAGGAACTATACAACAAAAACGATTTTCGGGACGATCGTTTCTCCAAATTGCGATGAAAAATATGATGCTTCTTCGCATGCAGTTTCGCATTTGTTAAACGAATTTTTATTATCAGATTCGTCGGTGTTCATCGCGCTCGCGTTTATGCTATCAGCATCTTCGGCGTGAACGATAACAAAACTACGAAAAAGGAACAGTGAGCTTATTCTTTTATTAGTCATTAGTCCCGTGTTACGTTGCGTACGATCGCGCGCAATCATTATTTACATTCAATTCCGGTTTAGTCATTTTCATGTCGGAAGCGCTTTATATCTAAATATTCGTGTGACATGGCCTAGCGTGTTCTAATGCGTTCCAAGCGTTTAAGATGCATATATGCGCAAAATGAAATGTAAAGTTGAGAGATAAGTAACAGATTATGCAATTTTAATTCAATCAGTCTTCTCCTTTTTGCAATTTGTAGATTTTTGCACATGCACACAATTATACTCGTTCTAAGTATATTTATACATATAGTTTTGGATTCTTGATCCTCGACTTTATTAAGACGCATTAATATTTAAATAATATGGCCTGATACATTGCAACTGAATGGGACATACGTCCAAAGTTACACATTACAAGTTACTATAACGACAGCGTGCGTAATATGTCACTTCTTGCATTCTAAGTGCAACAACATGTACAATCGGATGAAGAGTAGATAGGGGATAGAGGAGGGAATGACAAAAGCCGAAAGGAAATTTGAACAAGAAAAAGCAAAAAACGAATGTACAATTTTCCAACGCGCTTTCCTCTCCCATTACCTTGCAACATCTGGAATTTGTACATGCCTATATCGTTTCGGAATTCTGCCAAAAAGAAGTATAAAAGAGCGTGAATAATGTGAACGACGATGATGTCAACAACGAACAATAGTTTGTCCGTACTCTCTTTTAACCGTACTCTCTTCGTACTTTGGATCTTTTCTCTCGCAACTTCTATAAATTGTCCCTTTAGTCCTTTTACCTGTTCTGAATTCGGAATTTCGGGTCTTCTGTAATAGACCTTTCAGCTTCAGTTCCACTCTATCGCCGAGTCTGCCTATCCGACACACTGGAAACGCTTGATTGGTTACATAAATTTCATAGAAGCGACTACATTTTAATCATGCTCTCCGATATTTAAACGATGCGGCCCAACGAACGGTACACTTGGAGTTAACACATTTTTTTTCTTATTGCCTGAGGAGCGTACGCACATTGATCTCACTTAAAATGCAATGTCTGTGAGAAAGAAGCGCAGGTAAAGCTGGCGGAACGAATACTCGTTCACTGGTCTCTGTTCTCTTCACTCGCAGTTACGTTACATTTTCTGCAAAATTAAAAACACGCACGTACCCTTTGTACAATGAAAGCATTTAACATTTTTTCCTTGGCGTTGCCATCACGGGGATAAGGAAGAGGAGGAGGAGGAGGAGGAGGAGGAGGAGGAGAAGAAGGTGGTGGTGGTGGTGGTCGTCGTCGTGGTGAAGAAAGCACGCGTTTGAGGTGTACGACGAGGAGAGAAAATAGAAGCTCACATGAGGTAGTACGGAAAACGCAGATAAACAGAGCAGAGGATCTCAGAAGCGAATAGTACGTTCCTGCGGCCGCCGCACACCTTCCGAAAGCGCTCGGCCGCTTACTACATAACACGCACACACGTGCACACGGCACAGCGGCCGGCACGAAGGAACGAACGTACGACGAGATCGCACGCCGCGCATACAGCTGCACGGAGCAACGCGCTCGCGCGAGAGAGGTCGGGAGATGCGCACGCCGCCAGGTGGTGCGTCGAGCGAGCGTGTGCGGTCGCCGTCGCCGCAGCCGCGCGCGCGTGTGCCCTGGCTGCGCACGCGAGAAGTGCTCACTCTCTCGGCAGCCGTAACATACCGGCGATACTCCGGAAAGAGCGTACTCGTTTGTGTCAGTGGTGGTGACGGCTCTCCTGCGTGTAGACGTGAACGAGATAGGACAGGACAGGACAGGGTAAGCGAAGAACAGAGAAGAATAGTCCTCGACGGTGTGTGAAGAGGGAGAAAGAAGACGTTGCGAGAGAGATAGAAATATGTGAGCGCGCGCGCGCACGCGCGCGCGTGTGTGTGTGTATGTGTGCGTGCGTGGTATGTGTATGCGCGCGTAGAATGATCGAGTCTACACGGACTAGCTTGCATCTCGACCGCGGTTTTCGTGCCGCCGTCAAAGTCGCCGCCAGTGAAAAGTATGAACGCGCGCGCTAACAAGGATTTTCCTGAGGAAACGCAACGGCGCGTCCTTTAGCTGCGAGCAACGCGACTGTCGTCCTGTCGGACGAGAGCTGAAGCGACGGTGCTCTCTCTCTCTCTCTCTCTCTGTCTCTCTCTCTCTCTCTCTGTCTGTCTCTCTCTCTCTCTCTCTGTCTCTTCATCTATCCATCCATCTGCCTGCCTGCCTGCTTGCTTTTGCTTGCTTGCTTGCTTGCCTGCCTGCTTGCCTACTTGCTCGTCCGCCTGCCTGCTTGCCTGGGCGCCGTAAGAAAGTGCCACCGCTGGAAAGAGTGCTCCACGGACAGAATCGGTCGGCCGATGAAGCGGAGTGACGCGCTACCCACCCGATGTCGGAATATCGAGCGTCGTGGTGGCCGCGCGACAGCGAATTCTCTTTCGCGGTGGCCCCGAACGGAAATCTCTCTCTTTTTCTCTCTCTCTCTCTCTCTCTCCCCTCTGCGTCGCACTTTCCTCTCTCTCTCTCTCTCTCTCTCTCTTTCTCGCGATAATGGCGTACTTTCCGTCGTAGTCGGCCTGTCGTTTTTTCTCACTCCATCTTTCACCCGTTCTTTCACCCGTTCGTTGTCATCGTCGTTCCTCTCATCGACGCGAATGATCAGACGACGCTCATGCGAGAGACTTGCCGTCGATTTCAGCGTATGCCATAACCCCACGACAAGCAGGCCGCCGCAGCGGCTTCCACTTTACGGCGGTAAAGACGCGACCGATGAAATACGGTCGAGCGTCGCGAACCGCTGCAGGGAGAGGGAGAGAGAGAGAAAGAGAGAGAGAGAGAGAGAGAGAGAGAGAGAGCGGTACCTCCTTTTTCCTTTTTTCTCGCCGCCGTTCGTTCGGTGCAGTTTCGACCGTTCATTCGTTCGTTCACTTACTCGCACTTGCTGTCTCGCTCGCCTGCAACGAGTAAATGTATTTTCGTTCATTTTACGTGAGACAGGAGAATAGGGATGGAATTGAGTACATTTCAAGTAATATCAACATCCGTATTATACTTGAATCTTTCATAGATAGAATCCTTCAAAACATGAGTGTGGAAAGGTTCGAGCATATTTCATACAATTATGATTATATTATATCGTTACGTTTCAAGGTACACGCAAAAGATCTCGATATGTTACAGATGATGTATCATTCGCGTCACTGTCGTTCGTTATGATCTTATTGTATTAGGTTCTTTACGAGTATGTGAAATGCATCCACGATTTTTCAAAGTACTATTATCGATTTCAGTGAAACGATACCTTGATATTGAATTGACTGAGATTCATGAGTACATATTGAACTTCGTCCCATCCCTACGCTAGGACATTCTCCTTTTTCTCTCTCTCCCTCCCTCCCTCTCTCTCTTCTTTCCTCCCTCTCTCCCTCCCTGCCTTTCCTCTTTCCCGTTCTCTGTCGTGCGTCGCGCTTTATTTGTCAGTGTGTATCAAGTTCGTGTGTCGCTTCAATTTTTTGGTTTTATTTGTTTTGTTCTTTTCTCTCTTTTTTCGGACTCGAGCTTCGTCCGCTTCCTTCGGTTCGACATTGTGTATCGATCGACGATGCCGCGTTGATTTTCGCCTGTCGTACCTGAAAAAAAGTTATGTTATTTGTGTTAGCATTCTACACTAAAATCCGTCGTCATTTTGAAAAGTTGGGCATGGCGATACCTTACGACAATCAGATCTTACCTTCGTCTTTGAAAGATTGTCTTTTCATACTATATTCTACTTATTTTGGGAATCAATTTAATTACGCAGAAAATGATATTTTCTTCTTAACTTTTTTCACGCAGAAATCTAAATTTTTCACTTGTAACTTTCTTTAGAATAACTTGTCCGTCAAGAATTAAAAATGTAAGAGAATATACCTAACTTTGTAATATATAGACAGTTTTATTAATACGTCTTAATGTATCATTCTTATTTAATGTGCGTTAATGTAGTTTACCAATCGTTTATACTATAAAAATATTATAAAATAGGATAAAACAAACAAAGTAAGATAGCTTTGTATGAAAAACGACATAAAATAATTATGATGCCTTAACTCGTTAGGTTAATTGTGTCCTTCATTTTTGTAATTATTTTTATCTATAGAACTTATCTACAGATAAGTTTCCAGACATCATCATATAAATATAGTTTGCTTTTAGTTTCTACTTCTTTATTGTTAACGTTCTGTATTGCTTTTTATTTTTCATAGAATTTTTTTAACATTTTTTGCTATCTATACGAATTACAATAACTCAATTATAAAATATGTATACATGTGAAAAAATATGGCAGGGGAATATTTTTTTATAAACTGAGATGTATTCCGAGGGGGAGAAGTTATTGCGATTATGAACAATTAAACCATAAGCGTATAGCTTTTCCCCTTTGGCGTATGTCACCTCAACGAAAAGTATCTAGTATTGTAAGCAATTTTTATTGTATCGCAAATTTACTCGCTGACATTTTTAGTTCGACGGAGCGTCTATATCGTAAATTTCTGATTGTTTCAGAGGGCAAAAGCTTGGATTTACCATGGGCGCGTTACTGGCTATAGAAAAGATCGTACAGTATTCTCTTAAGCCTGAAATGGAGGCGAAGAGTCCTTTAGCGTAGACAATGGACTCGTACGATCTGTTTGGTGAAGATGGCAGTGGCTCGGTGCTCGACACTCTTCCTGATCTCGGAGGGAATGATCATTTCGATCCTGCGCCTGCGAATAATTCCGTAACGGTGTCCAGGGACGGTTTGAATTCTGGCCCTAATGGAGGAGGAGGGAGTTACATTAACCAATCATACAATATTTCCCAAGAATCTCCACTTCAAAAATTAACTTCATTCGGCGGATCTGAATTTGGTGGTTCCAGTCAGTTGCAAAATCCGTCGCAACGCAGTATGTTTAACCAAAATCTCGGAACGTTCGATAGCAGCACGCCGCAGCGTGCTATGGTGCCGGGTGCCTTTCAGAATCAGGCCCGTAATATTGCACCACAGCATAGGGGACCTCATCCGGGTAGTAGTGGTCAGTATCCTAGCTATAACGACAATATGTACTCCATGGAGCAGCAGCACTCAATGGCTAGAGCCAATATGAGCATAGATCCTAGCCAGCAAGGTTGGCCAGGTAATGGCAGTGCTTACCCTCAAATGCAGAGGCATTACAACCAGATGGGTGCGCAGCCAGGCGCATACAGGCAACATATGCCACCGCAGTATTCTCATCAGCAGGATCAGGCTGGCGTTATTAATCAAAAGATGCAGCAGCAACAGCAGCAGCAGCATTTTAGTAGTCAACAAGGAATGATAGGAAACATGGGTGTGCTGCATCAGCCGATGCAAGCAGGCGCGACTAGTGGCGTCTACCAACACATGGTCGGACAACAGCAGCATTACCAGCAAGGTAATTCAGTGGCGATGTATCAGGCATCTCCCGGTTATCCTGGTTTCCCATCCGCGATTCATCAGCAACAGCAAACTCAGCAAGCACCTCAGCGGATGCCGCATCATCTCCCGCAGCATCCGACTCATCAACCGCATCCGTCTCACCCGCAACAATATCCTCAGCACGCTCAGCATCCGAACGCGCAGCAACAGCCGACGATGGACCCTCAGTATCCTCATCATGCAACGTCGATGTTCAATCAGCCGCAGCATTCGGCGCCTCCGCAGCAATTCGGCACGACCAAGCATGCCACCAGTCCACAGTATCGGGCTACGTTCCCGCAATTATCGCCGCAAATGTCGCCGAGGCCGCAGATGTCTCCGCGTCCGCCAGCGGTGCAACAACAGATGTCACCTAGACCCATAATGTCACCCGCGAAATCCACTACATTGTCACCACATCCGCACGTTCAGCTGCCTCATCAGCAGGGCAATCAATCGAACGCGATGTCTGTATCGCCCTGCCCGCCCACGTCCATACAGATAAATCCGTCGTCGCAGCAGAGCACCCTACAGGCTCTGGAGCAAATGGTGATGCCGGGAGTTGCCGTGCCCAACTCTGTGCCTGCCTCAGCTACGGACCAATACAATCAATTCCAGACGCGTCCGCCGATGTCGCAAACGCCGAATGTGATGCCGCAGTCGACGGCGCAGAGTCCTATGCCTCCAACGGTCACCGGGCCCCGAGTGCCGATGCCTGGTCCTCAGTGGTCGCATCCGCAGCAGCAACAGCCACAACCGCAACAGCAACAGCAGCAGCAATCCCAGATCAGGCCGAGCATTGGTGTCAGCGAGGATAGAGGAGGAGGAGGTGGTGGTGGTGTGGTGGAATCCCAGCAGCAGGCACCTGTAGCGTCCGAACAGAGCGCCCCTTCGATATTTCCTCCCGTCACCGGATCAGAGGCTGTCCACAGCGTCGCGGAAACGGTGACAACGACAAACACAACGACTACGAGAGACCCGACGACAGCAGCGACGACGATTACGACAACAACAACGGAGAACCCAACGGTGCAGAATCCGATTGAAACCCCGAAGCAACAGGAGACCGAGTCTTTGCATCAGAGCGCTCCGAGTCAGCAGTCGGACGCCGCGCTTGTACCACCACAAGCGGACACCTCGGCGCAAAGTAACTCACAAAACAGTTTACCTTTGGATCATACACCCACGTCGTCAAGTATACCTCAGGTGGAAACGGTGCAGTCACTTCCAGCGTCGAGTACAAGCGGAAACTTAGAGTGCACAAACGTGGCTGCGCCGTTGCAGCCGCAACAGCAGCAGCAGCAGCAGCAGCAGGCGGTTCCTACACCGATGCAGAATCCCGTTCCAAATATCGAAAGTCAGAACACGTGCGAGACGAAGCCTCAGGAGCAAAGTATGGAAGTCGGTGTTGTGCATCAGCAACCGTTGAGTAGTTCGACTCTTCCGCAACCAGCTATGGGACAATCGCAGACGCAACAACAGCAACAACCTATTAATTGTCCTCCGCAGCAACCAGTGCAACAAGCGGTGCAACAGCCAGTGCAGCAGCTTCATATGCCTCAGTCGCAGATAGTCCCAGCGCAGGCGACGATACCGCCAGCTCAGCCTTTGCAATCGCCGCAACAATCACAGATAGATCAGCCGCCGTCTGCTTCTCAGATTAATCAGCAGCTGCAGCCGCAGCAGCCAATATCTCAACAGCAGCAGCAACAACAACAACAACAACAACAACAACAAATGCAACAGATAGCCTCGAGTCAGCAACCACAAATTCCGCAAGCTCAACAACCGGTACTGAGTCAAACTCAGGCAGTGCAACCTCAACAGATCCCGCCAGCGCCGCAGCCTAATCTAGGACAACCGCAGCCGCAATTGGGACAATCTCAATTGGGAGGACAACCGCAACCTCAATTGGGAGGACAACCGCAGCCTCAATTGGGCCAGCCGCAGCCTCAACTGGCGCAAGCACAGCCTCAGTTGGGACAGCCGACGGCTCAGCAAGGTCCTGCTTGCGTTACGCAGCAGGCACAACCGACAACACCGCAGACATCGTCTCATATGCCACAGCAGGTTGGCATGATGCCGCAAAACGCCGCAATGATTCCTCCTCAAATTCCTCAGTTACAAGTGCCGCCGATGCAAAATCCGGTGCCTCCTATGCAGAATCCAAGTGCACCGGTCCCGGCGACGCATTTGAACGCTCAACAGATACCTACGGTTAGTCAAACCGCCGGTATGGTACTGCCAACGCATCAACCTGCTGTTCCTGTGCCAAATTCGCAAACACCACATCAGGTATTGTTCAAATGTTTGCAGTCGCACAGAACGTCCGGAAGGATTACATTAATATATTCGCGCATCTTGTAATACTGAAAACAGAACTTCAAGCGATTTTTTGTGACACGATACATGTTTTCTTGTTGTTGTCTTGATTCCAGTATCATCCCGGAGGCGACATGGTAACTGGTAATACCATGCCAAACATGTACAGTATGCCGGCTAATCCGACGCAAGCACCGGTTGCGGCGAGTGGTTTCGGCACATCCTGCGCACCAGTTACACATCATCAGGAGAGAGCCGCGTTGCAGCAGCAACTGCAAGAACTGTTCTGCATGCCTCCTACCCCGGAGAATCAGGAAAAAATAGTTTCCTTGCAAGAAAAGTTGCAGGCGCTGCAGCAACACGAGACGAATGACCAGTGTAATGGCGGCCCACAGTGTATACTGCAGACGCCAATGTTTACAGCTGCTGTAGTCGATAGTCCACAGGTTGGAGGATATGCTTTTCTTAGACTTTGAAAAAAGGTGTACTTATTTTTTTTTTATTTTTTATTAAATATTATGTTACTTGAAATAGGTCTCCAGTACTACCGGGCGTGGTCGCAGCAAGGGTACACCGCGCGCTAAGAAAAGCCGGAAAAAAGCCGATAAAGAAGCGTCCGCACCTACGACCATCACTCAGCAGCCTGAACAACCCTTGTCAGACAATAAAGTTACTCCGGGCGATAGTAGTAACGTCGTGGACAGTGTTGCGGATTCGGAAGACATGAAACCATCATCCGGAGATATGGAGGAGGAATGGAATAAGAGTAGGAAATCACGATCGCCCCGAAAGCCACGTAAACCGAAGGAACCGAAGGAGCCGAAAGAGCCGAAACCCAAGAAAGAACCAAAACCGCCAAAAGAACCTAAATCGCCGAAGGTGGCGAGGAAGAGGAATAAGGACAAGGATTCCACGAAACGTAATAGGAAGTGAGTATGGTATATAGAGTAAGATATAAAACAACATTGCATTTAAATTATTATTGCTATTACTATTATACTATTGCTATTATTCTTACAGAAAAACTAATCCATCCGAATCCGCCGATGATGAAGTCGTACGTGAGACCGAAGAAACTGCTGTTTCAGACTCCAGTGCTGTTAAAGACACCGAGACGAAAGTCTGTGAACCGTCCATTCAAGGTGATCAGGAACAGGTAGACTCTTCTACTAATGAACCTCTGTTAACTGAGGTGAAGGAAGAGGGAAAAGAAAAAACAGGGACGGAAGATGTCCCAGAAGAAGAAAAGAAAGACGATAATTCGGAAGCAACTACTGCGCCTGCTGAAAATACGACTTCCAATAAAAAGAAACCCGCAGCTAGAAAACGATCGAATACTGGTAAAGTTTCCTCAGGGAAATCTCCCAGAAGCTCTAAGTAAGTGAAGTGTGGCAGTATTTTTAATTATAACGCATGCATGTATATATGTGTGTGTATATATATATATGACTGAGGATTTAATGAAACGTCATAGATATAACTTTGTAATTTGCGATATTTTTGCAGGAAACGTAAGAGCCGTATCGCGCCTGATTCTGATGGGGAAGAGTTAGCAGCGACTCCTCCGCCGTCACCGGAGGCTGGCGACGACGTTAACAAACGACGTTCTGCGAGAAATACTCACCGCAAGAAGTATGTGGACGATGTGATGTTACGATTTTCAGACGATGACGTTCCCATGCAAGAAGCTCAACTTTCGAAGAAGGTGGAGGGTGCGAACACTTCGAAACCTACTACTGCCAAAAAAGAGAACGAGGGTAGCGAGATCGGACCGAACAAACCTAACTTCGTATATATTGTATGCACTTCTGAGATTGGCGTATTTTTTTAAAGATTGGTTTATAATACAATGATAATTTTGGTTTTTCATCTTGTAGAATACTACCGATGAGGATTCTATGGTTGTGCAACATATTTTGTGCTCTCGAATGGGAAAGAGAGAAGTTAAGCCAGTGGTACCTGTTACACCGAAAACAGAAACACCCACGGAAAAGGACACGGACAAAGAAGAGTCGGCTGAAGATAAGGATACAGCGACCGAGGATCCTGTAAAAGAGGAAGAAGAAGGCGCAGTATCCGAAACGACTGAGAAAGAAATAAAGGCTGAGAATGCAATAGAGGAGGAAGAAGAAGAAGAGGAGAAGAAGAATGAGACCGATGAGGTGAAAAAGGAGGATTCGAAAAAGCAGGAAGAACCTCCTGTGGATTCTAAATCAACTGAGACAACTACCGTGGTCGATGTAAAGCCGCAAATGATCGAAGTCGAAGAATATTTTGTTAAATATCGGAATTTTTCGTATCTGCATTGCGAATGGAGGACAGAAGAGGAACTATACAAAGGAGATAAGCGTATTCAAGCGAAATTGAAGAGATTCAAGCAGAAGCAACAACAGAACACGAACATCTTTGAAAATGTACTTGAGAGAAAAGTTTATTATTTAAAAACTTATATAATATGTAACAGTTATAATAAAAGTTTGCAGATTAATAAGAATTTAGAATACCATATATTCTATGAGAAATATTGTTATGCTTTTCGTTCTTTTTTCAGACTGAGGATGATCCTTTCAATCCAGACTTTGTCGAAGTCGATCGAGTATTAGATGAAGCAACTCATACTGATCCGACTACCGGGGAAACAGTCCGGCATTATTTGGTCAAGTGGCGATCACTTCAATATGAAGATTCTACTTGGGAATTAGAGGAGGATGTTGATCCTGAAAAAATAGCACAATTTGCAAGATTTAATAAAGTGCCACCTAAGGACCAGTGGAAGGTAAAAAATATATATTAATACTTGTATTTTATAATATTTAGAATTACACACATATTTGCAGTAGTTTCATTTCACTTCTACATTGCCCATCTAAAACAATATACGATTCTTCGCAATTTTCTTTCAGCCGAAGAAGAAACCTAATGCTGCAGCGTGGGTGAAATTAGAAGAATCGCCAATTTACAAGAGCAATAATAGTTTAAGACCGTATCAATTAGAGGGATTAAACTGGCTATTATTCTCGTGGTATAACGGACACAATTGCATTCTCGCCGATGAGATGGGTTTAGGAAAGACGATTCAATCTCTGACGTTTGTGGACGCGGTTTATAAATACGGAATTCGTGGACCGTTCTTGATCATAGCTCCATTGTCGACCATTCCAAATTGGCAGCGGGAGTTTGAAAGCTGGACCGACATGAATGTTGTAGTGTATCACGGATCGTAAGTACATACCTATATATATATCGATGTAGCCTCGTGTAATGTGTATCTGTAAGCGTTAACCGAACTCTCATTGGCACGCGTTTGAATTGCAGCGCGGCAAGTCGCACCATGCTTCAGGAGTACGAGGTTTATTACAAGAACGAGAAAGGACAGCAAATCAAAGATTTGGTTAAATTTAACGTATTAATCACAACGTTTGAGATTATTATAACTGACTTTAACGAATTACGCGGATACAATTGGAGGCTCTGTGTCATAGATGAAGCTCATCGATTAAAAAACCGAAACTGCAAGCTCTTAGAAGGTCTCAGGCAATTGAACTTGGAGCACAGAGTACTTCTGTCGGGTACGCCGCTGCAAAATAATGTCAATGAGCTGTTCTCTTTGCTGAACTTCCTCGAACCGGTGCAGTTCTCGAGTAGCGAGGCGTTCCTTAAGGAATTTGGTAATCTAAGCAGTGAGGGCGAAGTGCACAAGTTGCAACTTCTCCTAAAACCGATGATGTTACGTCGTCTGAAAGAAGATGTGGAAAAATCGTTAGCTCCGAAAGAGGAAACTGTCGTCGAGGTGGAATTGACGAATATACAAAAGAAGTATTATCGCGGTATACTGGAGAGAAATTTCTCTTTTCTTGCGAAGGGTACTACGTCGGCTAACATTCCGAATCTCATGAACACTATGATGGAATTGCGAAAATGTTGCATTCATCCATTCTTGCTTAACGGCGCTGAAGATCAAATCCAGTTGGACTATAAAACCGGCGAGAAGGAGGACTCCGAGGCGTATTATCACGCATTGGTGAACAGCTCTGGCAAGATGGTACTGATCGACAAGTTATTACCGAAACTGAAGGCCAGTGGCCACCGAGTCTTAATCTTCAGCCAGATGGTGAAGTGTTTGGATCTGTTGGAGGATTATTTGTTGTATAAGAAATATCCATACGAGAGAATCGACGGTCGGATCCGTGGTAATTTGCGACAGGCTGCTATTGATCGTTACAGCAAACCCGACTCGGATCGCTTCGTTTTCTTGCTCTGCACGAAAGCAGGCGGTCTAGGTATCAATCTGACTGCAGCCGATACCGTCATCATCTACGACAGCGACTGGAATCCGCAGAACGATTTGCAAGCGCAGGCTCGTTGCCATCGAATCGGCCAGCAGAAGATGGTCAAGGTGTACCGTTTGCTTTGTCGTAACACATACGAGAGGGAAATGTTCGACAAAGCTTCTCTAAAGTTGGGACTCGACAAAGCGATTCTACAATCCATGAATACTAGCCAAGGTGGGAAAGATCCTAGTAACAAACAGCTGACGAAGAAGGAGATAGAGGATCTCCTGAAAAAAGGCGCATATGGTGCTATCATGGACGATGACAACGCCGGCGACAAGTTCTGCGAGGAGGACATCGAGCAGATACTCGAGCGAAGAACGCAAGTCATCACTATCGAGGCGGAGAAAGGCTCGACATTCTCTAAAGCGAGTTTCGCGTGCTCCTCGAATCGATCGGACATCAACATCGACGATCCCGACTTTTGGAAGAAATGGGCGAAGAAAGCGGAGATCGACACGACGGAGAAGAAAGAGGAGGACGAGCTAGTGATATCCGAACCCCGACGTAGGACACAGATCAAGCGTTACGGCCACGACGAGTCTGTGGTTGACATGTCAGAACTGGACAGTTCAGACGAGAATAGCGATGACGACACGGGCATCGGCTTGTCCGGCAGAGGTAAGAAGCGTCGTGACAAGTTCAACAAGAAGACGCGCAAGTTCTACGACGAGTACGTGCCGCGCGAAGGAGAGGTGGTGTACGGCAGCTGGGCGCGAAGCGAATGCTTCAAGGTGGAGCGAGGACTGCTGACATTTGGCTGGGGCCGTTGGGAGGAGATACTGCAGCACAGTCAATTTAGACGCGGTTGGCGCGAGGTCGATGTTGAGGATTGCGCGCGCGTTATCTTGCTGTATTGTCTACGTTATTACCGCGGCGACGAGAAGATCCGTAGCTTCATCTGGGATCTCATCACGCCCGTGGAGAACGGCGAGAAGGTGAAAAACATATCGATGAACACCGGCGGCAGGAACAGCAGGCAGAAGAAAAAGGGTCGCGTGCGCGAAGGCAGGGAGACTCGAGGATCGGTCGTCAACGGGGGGCCGAGCGATCCGAATCACTGGAGTAACGCCGAGAAGTTCGACGGTGACATCTTCCTCGAGAGCAACTACAGGAAACACCTGAGCCGTCATGCTAATAAGTACGTATGAGATAAATATAGATGATCGGATTCTCCTGAGCGATCTCTCATCGGCCTCGAACAGTCGACTGACGGATTTACCTTTTGTAGAGTACTGTTGCGCGTGCGGATGCTGTATTACATTAAACATGAGATCATCGGTGATCTGGTGCAGCATATTTCCGACGGCGTTCACGTGAGGTGAGTAGTGCGTAGCTTTTCTTCTCACGCTTCTTCGTACCATAAACCTCCGTTACATTCTTCGCCCGAAACCATCTATCACGGACTCGTGTATACTCACATATGTGCTTACCACGGAGCTTTCATAGTTGCATGTGCAAGATGTATTTGTTGATCCTGGGAGCTGTACATGTATGAGGAATGCTCATAGAGCCGAGTCACGTTGATCTATACGTAGCTCTGTAAAACGACTAGCAAAAATCCGTTTGCTACCCTACGCTACTAATATAAAATCGTTTTTCCCATGTCCTGTTTTTTCATACACGCACATACACGTATGATGTATCACATATATATATATAGTCGCGCGCTCACGAATTGGGCAGCGAGACACTTGCACGCGGGTAAAACGGTCGCGAGGATGGTCAAATCTGCAACAGAGAGAGAAGAAAGAGAGAGAGAAAGAGAGAGAGAGAGAGAGAGAGGAGAGAGAGAGAGAGAGAGAGAGAGAGAGAGAGAGAGAGAGAGAGAGAGAGAGAGAGAAAGAGAGAGTGGTAAGGCGTAGGGATTTGTCGTTAAGCAGTGCACTGTAATCAAAAGAAAAAAAGAAACAGTGATAGACGAAACGTACGGTTTTAAGATCCGAGAGTCCGGACGTTTTTGTGTGTCACGGGTGATGATGTATCTTTGTCAAATTTTCCGTGAAAAAGAACAAGCGCACCGTAACACTGCGCGTATTGCCGCGGAAAAAGAGAGAAAGAGAGATCCTGAATGAGATCTAATGATTTTATAAATTTTTTTCAAATTATCAATACACACTGATCGGCACGCAAGTAAATTGGCAAATTTGTAAATGAAACCGCCCTACAGTGCGTTGCCGATAGACCCTCCACAATTGACGGATCGACCGGCGAAATGGTGGGATTCGACAGCAGATAAATCCTTAATAGTTGGCTGCTACAAACACGGCTATGAGAATTACGACCAGATGAGGACTGACCCCGCGCTTTCTTTCATTACAAGCTGTCCTCCCCCTTCCCAGTCTCAGAGAAAGAGTGTCGAGTGAGTATCTTAGTATTTTTTTTCTCTCTCTTTATACGTCATTTGTTTATTTCTTTTTTCCCTCTCTCGCTCTCTTTCTCTTCTCTTTCTGTCTTTTTCTCTCTTTTTCTCTCTCTCTCTCTCTCTCTCTCTATTTCTCTCCCTATCTATTTCTCTATATATCGTCTCCTTATGCGCTGCTAACTGTCCTAACATACGCCGCTTGCATCGCTTTCTATATATACGCTTATACGGTCACAGCTTTTATTTTCAGCAGCATAATGGCGCGTATATAATGTTCATTTTACATGCATACTAGCTATACCTATAACGTCTTTCGATATCTTCGCGAAATATCAGCAGGAATTAAGAGAAAGGACTTTTAACCAGACTTTAAACGCAGACTATCCATTGGGAACACGGCATTACTCTTTTATACATCTTCAAGCTCCTCTGTTGGATATTTTATCGCATACGCGAAAAAGCTTGTGCGCGCGTTAAAATAGATCACCTGACTTCGCCGTCTTGCTATTTATAATTGACATTGCGAAACCTCAAGAAATGAAACGAACGGATACGACTTTTTTTTTTTTTTCTTTTTCTTCTCTAGTTCTCTTCAAATCGCGCAACGTGGGTTGTTCGCAGAAAATATCGTTTGAAATAGTAATGAATTTACCTACGCGGTAAAAAAAGGAGTGTCTTGTTTATCTCGTTGGGAAAGAATATACGAGATTATATTCGTCACTTCTTTATGATTGTCATTAGCGATACAGTATTTCCTATTTCCGCAATTGCAGCAGCAGCAGTCGGGACGATAATAGCTTAGAGAACGACGTGGAAGATGGCGAGTCCGCCGGTATGACAAAAGATTCAAAGGATTCTGATAAGTTCAGCCGAGAAACGCCAGCGGATTCTCCCGCCATCTCCAGCAAGGCGGATACGCCGATACCAGAAGCTAGCAGCAGTCATGATGGGAACGACGGTCTTCTTCCGGATGATGAGAAGACCTGGCCGTCCGTGGTGGATCTCAATACGCGTTTACGCCGCGTGATATCTTCCTACCAACGAAGCGTCAGCAAGAAAGAAGACATTAAAGTCATCTCGAAAACCGGCAAGATGGGTGTGGAAAGTGAGACCACTCCCATCAATCATACCGGCACGATACACGAGCCGCCTCTGAACATGCAAGGATGGGATCTGCAACAATTGGCGATGTACCTTCTGGTCGGTATAATCATCAATATTTATCTCGCGTATCGTTCCTTTTAATAATATATCACATTACAGTAGAAGAAGAATACCTTGTATTACTCGCTATTGATGTCAGAAAATTTGTCTACAGAAAATGGAGAGAAGAGAGAAAATGGAGGCCATGGTGAAGGAACGAGAACGCACACGTATCGAGGAGCAGAAAGCAAAGTGGACACGACGCGAGGAAAGTGAGTTCCTGCGGGTGGTGTCTACATACGGCGTCAATTACGATAGGAAAAAGGCCCAGTACGATTGGACCAAGTTCAAGAGCATCGCCAGATTCGACAAGAAGACGGACAACGATCTTACGGATTATTACATGTCGTTCAGAGCAATGTGCAAGAAAGTCTGCAACGCGAAGATGAACGAAGATGAAGGTACGTGCATTTCAGCATGAGCGAAGCATGAATGATGTCTTATCATATTTTATTCAATTGTATTTCCAGTGTGATTGAATGTATCGACATGTTGCTTCATGTAAGCTGCGTGTTACGTCGCACTTGGTTAATATTACAGTTTTTACAGATGTCCCTGTCGATCAACTGAGTCCGGCTAAAGCGAGACAAATACTCGATCGTGTCGACCTCTTGAGCAAGATTCGAGAGGAGATCCTGTCGCATCCGCATCTGGAGGAACGACTGTCGCTGTGTCAGCCGTCCGGAGACACCCCGGATTGGTGGCAGCTGGGGAAACACGACAAAGAACTGCTACTGGGAGCTGCGAAGCACGGTCTTGGACGTACCGACATAACTATATTGAACGATCCGGACTTTTCATTCCACAAATTACTTACAAGAGGTATATACGCGGGCACGCAGACTCCAAAAACAATGGACAAGTGCGAAAAAGCTATAAAGATCGAGAGCAGAGAAGATATCCTGAAATTCGATAAGGACGAGATACTCGTCAAATTGGAGAAAGGCGAAGGGACTCTGAAGATAGAAAAAGTTGGTGCGAAGAAAGATAAAGATCAAAGTGCCGCTGATAAGAAGTCCGAGAATAGCGAGTCGGAGAAAAGTCAAGTGGAGTTGACTATCGTGAAAGCGGAGGCTAAACCCGAGGAGAAATCTATTGGTAATTCGTTGACGATCACCACTGTCACGAAAAGCAGCAGTGCGACGTCGGACGTAGAAAACGTCAGTGTGAAGAGTGAGGAGAAGAACGAATTAGCGATAGAGCCAGTTAAATGCGAGAGCAGCAAAGCCAATCAGACCGGCACTAATAAGTCGACCGATGAGAAACCTGCGAAGGAAGCTAACCCGGAAAACACGGAGAGTTCTGCTGTTGCAGAAGTGGATATGGAAGAGAAGACTCAAGAGAAGGAAGCCAAGCAGGAAGCTGATTCCGTCGAGAAATCAGAGGCGGAATCGCAGGCACAAGACCCGATAACGGAAACAACCGAGAATAAGAATGATACGGACGCTAAAGAGAAAGAAAATGTCGAGAAGAATGCCGAGACTGTCGAGTCAGCTGCTGAGGACGATAACAAGAACGCAAAAACGGATAGTACACCCGCTAAGGAAGACGCTGAGACACGAGAAGTTAAGAGCACGGACGTTGCCAAAGAAAAGACAAAGGTGTGCCAGATCGAGGATAAGTGTAGTGTCCAAGCCGCGGAACTGAAGGCGATGTTTCCGGATCTGGAAGTGATACAACCATTGTCGCGATTGCCACAAATCGACACATTCGTTTTGCGAGACAAGACGATGGATTACATCAACGAACCTACGGTAGTGCAACTTTTGGCACACGGTTGCGGCAGCACATCGATAAAGTGGCCGAAGGTAAGTTAGCTTCTCTTCTTTTCGTGTCTAGTTTATGACAATTTCACAGACTTCATGATCTGTGAACAAGAAATTATCTGACATTTTTTGAAAACTTATCTATCTCGATGTTAGCGAAAGAATTAACTCTTAAGGAAGTCTCGCAGTCATGAAGCGTGTAGCACAATGTAAATATTTGACTTACGTAATTACATGCACCGGGTCTTCTCGTACTTTTATCATAGTAGTTTTGTCGTTTTCATTTTTCAGGAACACGCGATCGAGGCTCGTTTAATGCACATCGTGCACGCAATCGAGCATAAGGAATGGCCCGTGTCGGTAAACTTCAGCGCCGGTGAGGAATTGGAAGTCACTCCGAGTGAGAAGGAATGCTCAGAGGTGATAACGATCACCACGGATCATGGAGTGTCCAGATCTATGTCGAGTGGAAACAATATCTCCGCGTCAAAGAAACGCAAAAGACACATCGCCATTGACGTGGAAACCGAACGAGGTAATTATTAATTTGCCGCCAGGCAATCGGTTGTAGTATAATTATAATATTCAATTGTTATTAATTACACGTGTCACTATTAGTGATAACATTATGTATCTCATTATTACAGCCAAGCTTCACGCGCTCCTTAATAGCAGCCACTTGAGCACGCCGTCACCCGCGCCTCTCAGCAAACCAGTCGTACTTTCTGGCTCAACCACGTGGGAGATTAACGACGAATCTCAGTCGGAAGAATCGCGACGTTCCACACCGGTAGTCCAGCCACCTCCGGCGCACCAACCGACACGAACACCGAGTATACCTTTCGATTTGAAGTATACCGTTCCGGGAAAAACGACCGTCATACCTGGCACATCGAGTACTTTGACGCCCATCGATCTGTCTGCTGGGTAAGACAATTGGTGAAATATTGCAAGTAATATGTAATGTAAATATAATAGCTTGTACAATGTGTTATACAATGTATGTGTCAAATATATCATATTGTGAATGTCTTCAAGTGATTCAATGACTGTATTCATCTTTCAGGTATCCAAAGTCAAGTTCTGACAGTAACATTATAAAAGACATAAATAAAGACATTATGAATGAAGTACAAGACTTCTCTATGCCGAATAAGAATAAGCAAGTTAGTAGCAACAAAGGGAAACTGGACAGTATGCTGGACAAGCTCATGAAAAGGAAATCTTGTGTGAGTGATCTTTGTGGCTTACCCTTTCTCTTTTCAATATTACATTTTATATAATCTAAATATCGATCTTCCTTGTATTTACTTTTATCATCAATTTACTTCTATCAGCCAACGGAAGAACCGGTGATCGGAAAAGAGAAGAAACGCAGGAAGTTGGACGAAATAGTATTAGGGCTGAGCGCCGCGAAGGAGCAACAAAGTAGCCATTATCCTGAACATAGTAAGAAAAATACGATCACGCCTAACGTGACTGTGACTCCGACATCAGCGCCAATCGGGCTTCCCAATCCTCCCACGAGTACCCAGAAGCCATTCTCCATCACCGTTACGTCTATTCCATCATCACGTGCGTCGAGTTCCAACAACCCTGTTTTGCCGCCGCCGTCATTACATTCACACAAGGACAGCTTCTCCGCTCTACTAGCACAGGCGGAACAGACTCGAGAGCTGAAGAAACAACAACAGCAACAACAGCAGCAACAACAACAACAACAACAACAACAACAACAACAACATCAACAGCAGCAGCAGCAGCAGCAAGCCTTCAACTCGGCACATCCATCTTCTTCGAGCAGTCACAGAAAGAGTTACGATTCGTTGATTGCCGATATCAGTAAGGTTGCCGAGTATTCGTCCAAAATCGGTTCTTATTCGCACGAAGCGAAAGTAAACAAGTGGCTAGCGGATCAAACAGCTATGTCGGCGGAACAGTTGAGTGCGGAATATCTGAGTGCGCCCAGACGACGTAGACCACGCGTTGATCCATCTTTACTGGATTGGAAGAAGCTCACTGGTGAAGAGAACGTTGCAGTTATTAATCGATTAACGGGCAAGAAGGTACGTCAGTATGACTCTTATTAATTCTTTAGTCCGGCGCTATAGTGGTTTAGAAAAAGAAATACAAAAAGGGGAAGGAACAAGAAGAATCGTTTATGTTTACTTTTGCAAAATAAAGTTATATTGTGTCGAGTACTATCTGCTATCTTGCGGATTTTAAGCGCGATTATCGACTCTGTGTGAAGATCCTCTGCTCCTTTCAGGTAACCGGTAGCAAAGCACCCCAATTGAAGCGGCTTGGCCAATGGCTTATCGAGAACCCGATGTTCGACGTAGATCCCAAGTGGGCAGAATTGGTGAAGGAGCGTGGTAATCTACCGCATGATTTGCAGAAGAGATTACCGGGCAGCGACCGTGGTGGCGTGAACAAGGGCAAGAGTCCTGGCAGACCACCTATGATGCCGAGTCCTACGAGTGCTCAGCAGTCGGCAAATCCCGCTAATTTAGCGGCCACGTCGATGGCGTCAGGTTTAAACTTCCCGTCATTAGGCAATCTCAACAACTCGTTACTGTCAGGTCTGTCGCTCGGCAACTTCGACCCGAAGAACAATCCATTGTTGATGCCTTTCGGCGGCCTGCCGAATCTCGGCGCGTTGAGTGGCCTCGGCAATTTGGGCAATCTCAGTAACATGAGTCTGACGAATTCGCTCTTCGCCAATCTGGCCGGTCTCGGTTTACCGTCGTTGGCAGGCATGGAAGCGGCGTTAAGCGCAACTGCGGCTGCGGCATCGACTAGTGGTGCAGGCGCGGATGCGAGCAATCCATCTGTTAGTTCATCTGGCGGCGGAGGCAGTGGTGGCAAGAGTGGTGGAGCTGGTTCGTCTGGCATGGGCAACAGTGGCGGTAGCAAGTCACGCAGCAGCAAGCTGGATCAACCGAGCACGAGTGGCAAATCATCGGTGCCGTCGACTTCATCCGGCTCCTCATCGGGTCTACCAACCACTACACCTTTCCCATTCTTTTTCCCGAATCCCGGTCTCCTGTATACGCCGCTGGGCCTAGGTGGTCTGAATCCATTCTCTATGCAACCCGGTAGTGTTTCGTCGGCCTACGAGAGCCTCGCGCAATGCGGTCTCTTAAACCCACCGACTTCTTCCGCGACTGCTTCCGCGGTGCGCAAACCCGCCTCATCGACAAGTAGCTCGAGGCAGCGAGAAACCATGCCGGACGCTTCCTCGTCGTCGTCTTCCTCTTCCTCGTCGACGAAGCGAAAGGAGCCTGAAAAAAAATCATCTAGGTATTCAGTAGATCCAGCCATCGCTCTGCAACAGTACACGGATCTGGCGGCGTTGCACTGTGAAGATCGACGTCGTATCGATCAGCAGCAGCAGCAGCAACAGCAGCAGCAGCAGCAGCAACAACATGAAAAAAGAGAAACTGCGATTATGGAGCAAGCCGATCTGATGATAACGGATCTGTCTGAGAAAAAGATGGAACGTAAAAGCAAGGAGCAGGAGATGAAGGAGGCGCTCGAACATTTGAGCAGGACCAGTGCCGAGCTGGTGACGCGAAACCTCGATGACATGCCATCGCGAATAAATGATAAAAGGAACCGCGCCAATACGGACGTTAATCAAGTCTCCGAACAGCCGCAACAGCAATCGACACCGCTACCACTCGAGGTGACTCTAGAACCCGTTACGAAGAAGACGCGCAGCGAAGCTGCGGACATGAACGCAAAGTCCACGGCGAATAACGACACACCGACGATAGATATAGAACCCGTAACGAGATCGTTGCCGACGACACCAGCGAAAACCACGACGCATCCCTCGCAGGAGGATATTAGCAATATTACTTCGCCCATGGAGACGCCAACGAGCACGAGCAAAAAGGAGGCTAACGAGGCTATGGTGACGACAACAGCGGCAGGATCGTCCTCGTCGTCGTCGACGCCAGTCGTTGCGAACACCACGTCACCGTCCGCTCAATGTTCCATTGTAGCGGCTGCGAAGGCCGATGGCAATAAAACTGCCGCTGCCACGTCGTCGGAGGTGGAGGAGGACAGTAAAGGTGGTACCAAGGGGAAGAAGGCCCGTAGCGGCAAGCGGATGAACGTGGAGCCTCCTCCTGAACGCAAGAATCTACGGTCTAGTGCCGGTAGACAAGCACGAGCAGCCGCTGAGCGACAAGCACGTATGGAGGGTGAGATGCACTCTGCTTCTTCGGAGCAACAGCAGCAGCAACAAGAGGGACACACGGCCAGTGAGTGAGTTGTGGCCATGAGGGTTCGTCGAACCACCGTGGCAAAACGGCGATAATCTGTTCGACGAAGGAGCTGGGCGGGGGAAGAGATCCCGACGCTGCAGCAGCGTTGCTGTCCACGATTTTTTCTATTTCACTGATTCGACATTGCTCGCACAACGAAGATCTGGATGTAAGATAATTCCTTGTTCGCCGTTGGCGCTAAAACCGAAAACGGAAGCCATAAGAAGTGTGTATGTTAATTTCTGAACTGATCGTCGACGGAGCACAAGTGAAAGAGAAAACAGACATTGGTGGCATCACACTGCTCCCGTGGTTCCTCTTCGGTACTTGGTAGTGAATGTGATGTTTCACGTGTGTATACGTGAAGAGATAAACGGAACTCCTTTATCTTACGGGAGATGTACTGCGTATTATTCATTCGACGATGGAGTGTTTGAATGTATTTACCGAACGTTGCAAAAAAATAAAGAAATTTCTCAATATGAAGGCTGCGATAGTATTTTATCACTCGATAGTTTGCGTGGTAATTAATTTTTAATTACGTAATATGATACTGTATAAGAAAGGTATAGTTTTGTTAAATTTATTATCTGATACTATATATATATATATATATATATACATTCTCTCTCTCTCTCATTGGTTTTAACAAGAAAGAACTGTTTTATATATAAAAGAAGAAAACAATGCATTATAAAATTGTGTACTCGCTATTGCGCATAAAAGCAAGTAACACAAAGCAAGATATAATCGTAATGTAGAGAAAGTAACTATAATAATAACTTAATAAAAACAAACGGAATGTACATATACACATTATACTTAGAAAACATTAAGCAACAATGTACTTGGAAAATAAAATGTATATAACGCAATGTACTTTTAATTATATTAGGTGAAACAATAAACAGCTTTTTTTGTTGTTTGCAAATATCAAGGATGAGAACATTTAATTTCTCTATTAACCTGGATATAAAAAAAAAATAGTCCGAAATTTATATCCCATAAGCTTTAATCGAAGTCATTACATAAAAATCCTTATAATCTTATATAGTCTTATATAATTTGAAATAAGAATTCTTTTTTATGTATCAATTGGTTGTGGCACAATTCGCAGGTACGTTTTCCCAGAGGGCAATACCATGGTTTTTATATTGTTGTAGCAAGCTTTTGCTTCGTTTTCCGATACATCCGGTTGAATCATTACATCATCTCCTTTCTAAAATTTTAAATATATATATATATATATATATATATAAATAAGCGGATATTTATAACTTTCTTTTTGTTGATAAATCATAAATGTTTTGGTCATAATTCCAAAGTACATAAATAGATATTTTCAATGAGAAAAACTCAAGTTTCTGAAACATACCTTCCAATCAACAGGAGTTGCTACTTTGTATTTTTCTGTAAGCTGGAGTGATTCGATTACCCTTATTATTTCACTATAAATTAAGATATGATAATATATATAATGATAATACAGAAATGATAATATATATAATAATAGGATATATGTGAGGATAGAGAGATATATTGATTTTTACTCGAAATTGCGACCAGTAGTAGCTGGGTATAAAATTGATAGTCTCATCTTCTTGGCTGGATCAATTATAAATACTGCCCGTGCTGACATAGGTAATCCTTGACTATCCATCTCCATTGGATCCAACATTCCTAGTAATGTAGCTAGTTTTCTGGTTTGATCTTCTATTATTGGATACGGAAATTCCTGGTCTGTTATCTCGCCATAACTTTTTATATCCTAGAATTTTACATATATTTCTTCTAGTACTAATATATTCTAATGATACAAATATTTGTAATATTTGCACATACATAATAGGAAATATAAATCTTAATATTTTTGGAGTCATGTCTTATATCTATTTGTATGAAGAATTATTTGTTTTAAGCATACTTCTATCCATTTACGGTGGGAATCAACAGAATTGCAAGATAATGCAATAACTTTCACTCCCAATCTCTTAAATTCAGGCATCAATTTTGCAACTCGTGCTAATTCAGTTGTGCACACTGGTGTGAAGTCATTAGGGTGAGAAAATAAAATAGCCCACCTATTTTAGAAAAATATTATACGTGAAATATATATCTATGCTTGATAAATTTATAATGTACGAGTGACAAATAAGTACGATACATAAGACTAAATAAATGCAACAATAAAACTGCTACAAATATGTTGCTGTGAGATGTATCATAATATAATCATTAACATCTTATTTACATCAATATACAATAATACTATGTAATATAGGTTATAATAATAAGTAAAGTGTCTTACGAGTCGCCCACCCATTGATGAAACTTGATCGTGCCTATCTGCGTATCTGCTGTAAAGTCCGGAAATACTTCACCCAATAGAACCATTGTGTTATCGAAACTTCAACCTTATAAGATACAACTATCTTATAGTTTTGTTGACAAATATGAAGTTATAGAAGTAAAATTCTATCATAAGCATGAATGTTGACACTGGTTATAGGCGGTTATAGGTTGTAATACGTCACTGCAACGTCATTTCACGCATGCGTAGAGGGTTCGTGCAAAATAGTAATCTGGTCTTTCAGCTGTACTCTCGTCGGTGACTATTGGTCTGTTCTTTTCTTCTGCACCGCTGCACTGATGCAATAAGTTAAAGTGAGACAAATATATACTTGTCTCACTCGAACTTATTGCACTAGTGCAGCGGTGCAGAGGAAAAGAACAAACTTATGGCTGCGTTCCGATATTCACTGCCAGCACTGAAAATCTATAGTATATGTGATATAAACTATATATTGGGTGAAGTAAAAAGTTCTGAGCGTTTTTTCTCTTTATTTCGACGATGAAATTAACGAAGTTAGGATTATCGGATTTATATCAAATATGCGCCGTTTTGTTCGATAACTTTTGTCCATTTTGAAGGCAATTTCATAATTCCGCGATTGAAGAAGTCCTCGTCCCTATTGGTAAAAAACTTGACCAGCTCATTTTCACAAGCCTCTCTTGAGGCCAGCTTTGTACCACCAAGAAAATTTTGCAAATGCTTGAAAAGGTGATAATCGCTTGGAGCCAGGTCTGGACTATACGGCGGGTGCGATATAACCTCCCATCCAAGCTCTCGGAGCTTCTGGCGCGTCGTCAAAGATGTGTGCGGCCTGGCATTGCTTGATGGAACATAACACCCTTCCTATTGGCCAATTCTGGCCGCTTCTCGTCGATCACCTGCTTCAATCTGGTCAGTTGTTGACAGTGTAGGTCCGAATTGAGTGATTGGTCCGATGGGAGCAGCTCATAGTGGATGATTCCTTTCCAATCCCACCAAACACACAGTAAGACCTTCTTGGCCGTTAATCCGGGCTTGGCGATCGTTTGGACCGGCTCACCGCGCTTGGACCACGATCTTTTTCGCCTGTTGTTCTCGTATGTGACTCATTTTTCATCGTCAGTCACCGTCTGCTTCAAAAAGGGTCGATTTCGTTACGCTTCAGCAAAGAATCGCAGGCATGAATTCGGTCCAAAAGGTTCTTTTGCGTCAATTCGTGTGGCACCCATACATCGAGCTTCTTCTTGAGACCAGCCTTATGTAAATGGTTCGAAACGGTTTTCTGGCTAATCTTCAGTTCCTGGGCAATGGAATAAGTGCTCGCATGCCGGTCCGACTCGACGATTTCCATGATTTTATCGACATTTTCGACGATTGGCCTACCAGAGCGTGTCTCATCTTCGACGTCCATATTACCAGAGCGTGTCTCATCTTCGACGTCCATATTACCAGAACGGAATCGTTGGAACCACCGCTTTGCTGTTGCATTCGATACTGTATTGGGTCCATAAACAGCACAAATTTTTTTGGCCGCCTGCTCCGCTTTTTCCCTTTGGTCGTAGTGGTACTGAAGAATGTATTGAATTTTCTTTTTTTTACCTCCATTTTGGAACGCTCTAAAGCCAGCGGCACACGGTGCTTGTTTTCGTGCTGGATTGTTTGGTGGATGAAAATACTGCGTTCTGATTGGTGCATTTCCATCCATCCTCGGAAATGTACCAATCACAACGCAATATTTTCATCCAGCAAGCAATCCAGCACGAAAACAAGCACCGTGTGCCGCTGGCTTTACACACAACTGGCTTCACCAAACACAAAACTGTCAAAGAACTTTTTTTAAAGCGTTATGTCACCTTTAAGTCGCAGTATAGAATGACTAGATGCGACGTATACATCGTGAGATATGACCTCACTAAAGCCATCTAGCGGAAAACGCTCAAAACTTTTTACTTAACCCAATATTTTCCATACTAGCAGTGAATTTCGGAACGCAGCTTATTGGTCTGTTCCTTTTAGCTGCACTGCGGAACTGGTGCAATAAGTTAGAATGAGACAACTATATTTTTTCTTACTTTAACTTATTGCACCAGTTCAATAGTGCAGCTAAAAAGAACAGACCATATATCTTTCAGTTTAAAAAGATCTTCGAAAAGTTCACCTTAAGTTCATCTTCAGATGCTGTATAAATAATTTTATTGGTTACGAGATATCTGAAGGTGAACTTAAGGCGATCTTAAATATAAGACCCGACTATGAATATCGGCCTATATTTTGTTTCTGTTCTTTTTCTCATTTGAACATATTAAAGTTTCAGAAATGAAACGTGTGTCAAATAGTCAAACATGTCAACAAATAAGATGAAGACATGTTAAAAAGGGAAGAAAAAACATTAAAATATATCTGTTTTATTTTTAACGCAAACAGTGTAAGAGTACGTAAGCATAAGGCCGGTATTCATTGTCAGGTCTTATATTTAAGATCGTCTTAAGTTCACTTTTAGATACTCCGTAGCCAATGAAATAATTTGTACAGCATCTGAAGATGAACTTTAGACAGGCTTAAATATAAGATCCATCTATGAATACTAGCCTAAAGCCCGTATCAGACTACGGATTGGGATTGAGTATTAGAGTGAAATTTAACCAATCAGGGCTAAGTTTTATTATATTTGAGATTATTTTCTTTTTTCCAATTGGTCAAATTTCAATCCAATCTCAATCCCAATCCATAGTATGATACGGGCTAAAGTGTATACTATATAAACATAAGTCATAAAACATGAAAGAGATAAAGGGAAGTATAATATAGATTTTTTGAATGAGCAAACTCATGGCATCAGTTTATTGTAAAATATATATGTATATCTATAATTTATCATACTAACTGAGTGGACACATTATCACAGAAGACATAATATAATAATAAAATATATATAAAATATGTAGTAATAAGCAATTTATGTATAAAGGAATACACATTCTGGAACAAAACAAAAATGAGTATACTTTTTACTAGCAAAGAAGGCTGGATTTTATCTCATTTGCAATATCTTAACGATATTTATAAGAAAGTGCTAAATGACAATGGATTTTGTGCTCTAGAATTTAATAAGATGATATTCGAGATTAATTCACAATACTTGAGGCAAAATCAGATAGCACAAATTGCTCAAGATAGTATTATTTCATTACATGGTAAAAATAAAAGAAAAAAACGTTCAAACTTATTGCCACAAAAGGATTTGGAAGAAGTAAGTTTCAATGAAAAATATATATATTTAATTTAAATTTGAAATAAATTTTTCTAATATTCTTGATACATTACGAAACTTATTTTAGTTTTTATCTTAAATAAATTTTTTCTGGCAGGTTCATCATATTAAAGAAACCTTTAATACAATAATGTCTACTGCAAGATTAAAGGGATTTTTTGGTGAGAATATTTCTTCAGATAATAATGAAGCAGCACGCTTGGCTTCTAAGAAATTTTATCTGGATACTTATTGCCACAAGGATGAAAACTTGTTTGGATCTAATGACACAAATGATGCTATTATATCTGAGGCCCATGATAAAAAATATGTATTTCCAGAAAAATGCACATTTTATTGCTATGATGTAAGAGAAATAGAAAAGAAGATGGAGTTGAATAAACAATACGACTTTATATTACTGGATCCACCTTGGTGGAATAAGTCGATCAGGAGGAAAAAGATGAAGTACATTGAAGCTAGGTGATTTTGTATAATTTAATATAAACTGTTAAAAAAACAATCTTAAGTTAAAACAAAAATAATTAATTTTATATAATCATAAGTCTAACTTGTTCTTATTCTTTGTTTGTATTCTTGCAAAGAGATAAGTATATAATTGTTGATACATTAAATGCTTCATGAGAAATGATCAATATATTATTTGTTTTTAGTTACAAAATGATGTATAATGAAGAATTAGCCAAAATACCAGTAGGCAAACTATTGCATTCTAATGGTATCGTGGCTGTATGGTGTACCAATGCATCCAGCCATTTGAATAGTATTTCCAATGAGATGTTTCCATCTTGGGGTGTTACTTACAGAGCTAAATGGTATTGGATCAAAGTAAGTCATATCTTTTTAGTACAATATTTTAGTACTTATTTTAGTACATATTTTATAGTACAATTCTTGCTCATATATATGATAACTCAATATAGCCGGTATGAAATTACATGTCATTGCTTTTTTTGCAGGTAACACAAGCAGGAGATACAATATGTAATTTTAATTTGGCACCTGGAAAGCAACCTTATGAATTACTAATATTAGGATCTGCATTAAAAGAAGACAAGATGAATATTCCTGATGGCAAATTAGTAGTTAGTGTACCTAGTGCAGTCCATTCTCACAAGCCACCTGTAACAGGTGTGATGATTAAGTTGAATAAAAAGTATGTTATATTTGATATTTATAGCAGTATTTTAAAGTAAATCTATTTAAATTTTAAGAAATTATAAAGGAATATCTTCCAAGTGAGCCAAAGTGTTTAGAAATCTTTGCGAGATATTTGCTGCCTGAGTGGACAAGTTGGGGTCTGGAGATTTTAAAGTTTCAGCATTTGTCACTATATCAAATTCTGGACGAAAGTAAGAAGAAAGTTGAAAATGATACTGACAATAAAAAGAGAGACTGAGAGCAAAATATAAAACGTAAGAAACAGCCTGATACAAATCATAAATACATAAATTTTATAACGATATTACGATTCTTTATTACAAATTTCGTTTGTGTATAATCTGTTCAATACAATTCGTCGTTATGATATGTCGTTTAAATGTTCATTGATACCGTTCTTTAACAAAGTTCGATAACCATGTGGATTCATCGTTTGCCACCTCCAAAAGTCTTGACCTGCAATTGTTCATTAAAAATTATCATAATTATTGAGGACATACATATTCCTGATTGAAAATGTCACTTACACATTTGCTCGACGTTGTACTTTGTTGTCCATCCTAGTTCTTCCTTTGCCAGATCTGTATTAGCATACATAGATACTATGTCACCTTCTCTCCTTTCTTTTATGATGTATGGCACAGTAGTGCCAGTGATGTTCTCAAACGTCTTTATTAATTCCAATACAGATACACCCTTGCCGGTACCTAAGTTGTAAATCTTTAGCCTGAGATGCTCTTTATGCAAAGCGTTTAGTGCCGCCACGTGACCAGCCGCTAGATCCATAACGTGAATGTAATCACGAATACCTAACGGGAAGAACAAAGTAAAATTATATTATGCATAGATTAAACTTACATCTGTGTGCTTATTTGATATCAAATGCAATATAAACCTGTGCCATCTTTCGTAGGATAGTCTCCACCAAATATAATCAATTCCGGCTTGTGCCTCAAGGCAACTTGAGCAATATACGGCATCAGATTCGTAAATGGTTTTGTTGGATCTTCTCCGATTAATCCGCTACTGTGAGCACCTACCGGGTTGAAATACCTTAGGGATATAATGTTCCAACTCTGTCAAAAACACAAAAGGAGTTTTTAAGAGAGAAAAAAGAAAGAAGGTAGAGGAAATACGATACGCAACATTTTTACTTAATAATTAATCGTACAAATATAATACGTATATTTGATTTGCATGAATTCGAGATTTTTCGTGTACACACCTTTTCAGCTCTAGATATATCCTTTAGCATTTCCTCGATGAAGTACTTCGTACGGCCGTACACATTGGTGATATTACCGGTTTCGTGATTTTCCGTGATTGGCAGTTCTGTAGGCTCGCCGTACACCGTGCAAGAGCTACTGAATACTAATTGAAAACAGCCAGCCGCTTTCATCACCTGCCATAGGAGCGACAATGTGTTAGACTATGAGAAAGCTTCAAAGGCATTAGTATATCTCTCGTTTTTTTTTTTTTACCTCTAGCAGATTGATAGCACCGATTATGTTGTTCCGATAGTAATGAAGCGGAACTTGCATTGATTCACCGACTGCTTTGATAGCCGCGAAATGTATCACACAATCTATTTTGTGCTGAAAAGAGAAATTACTTGTTTTCAAGGTCAGCTGAATCAATCGTTGATTTGAGCGATTTTACGTTACGTACAAGAGAATAGTCAGAATTAGAGACGTTTAAGCAAATATATAGTTTGCAGGTATTTTAGAGATATGTGAAAAGCGATTTCGTCAATACCTTGTTAAAGATGGATTCGAGTTTTTCTCTGTCGAGCAGGTCGCAATTGTAGAACGTCACTTTCTTCCCTGTTATTTGCTCGACCCTCTTAAGCGCCGCGGATTCACCATCAATTTCTGTCACGCTGTTTGCAAAGTTGTCTATGGCTACCACGTCGTATCCGCACTCCAGAAGCTCGACGATGCAATGACTGCCGATGTAACCGGCGCCTCCGGTCACAAAGATGGTCCTCCAGTCTCCCGTCATCTTTCTCACAAGAATAATATTGACTTTTAACCGTCGGGTTTTTCCGCCAGACACTTTTCCGTTCTTTCTTTTTTACGTACAAACGTATATAAAAATCCTTATAAAATATTTATAATATATATCGATCGAAGTATACTTTTGGTGAGATAGCAAACAACCATTGAAGGGCCGGACTTATCTATAGAGAAACACCACACTTGCAAGCGGATAAACGCAGCTGCTTGGGGCATTCACCTTCCTTCAGGTGAGTAAAGAGTTCAAGGTCACCGAAACACGTGGTAATTCATTAGCAGCGCGAACGCAGTGTTGTATTTGTACCGTTTGACGAAAATACGAAGGAACGACGCGCACACGGTAAGTAATATCTGCTCGTACATAAAATTGTCTTGTATCTCTTCTACAGCGAGCAATTAGAATTTGATTGATTAAATTTTAAATGTCTCGGAAACTCGCACTTTCGAGTGTTGCATATATTTGTGTCTACATCACATACAATGCGTATAACTGGAAGTTTTTTTAATTTATCAAAGTCACGAGCGAATTTTATTGCAAATCATCATTTAACGATATTTGAAGATATATGATCTAACTTAAGTATTATCATAATTAATTAATCTCCGATTTCGTTCGTTCTTGCAACGTTCGGGTGATTTTTCAAACGAGACTTGTGAGTCTCTTTCTCAGTCAGACCTTGACTTTTAAATTGAGGAATTGTTAGGCGTCCTTGGGGTCGATTTTTCACTCAAGTCACGAGAGATTGTTCGCGCGAAGAACCTGTCTATTACTCACGTCTGAATGATCAGACCGACGCGTCGCTCCTGGAATTTTTCGTCAATGTACATACTATCTTTAATATTTCATTCGTTACGCAGAGTCAGTAGAGGTTTACACGGGACCTCTTATAAGGAAGTTGAGCAATATAATGGAAAAATTATTACCTCGACCCAAGGTTCAAATGCTAGATAATTGAGCGGAACGCAACGATTTCAATCCGAAGGACTCCGGAGAACTTTCGCGCGATGACTGAGCCTCTGTCTTGAATAGTAGCCGTGGAGGAACGAAAGACTTTATCGTGGGACGCGAGACATCCCCTCCTCTACAATGCCCCCGTATACATCGTCGTACCGGTATACGCATACTATGCCCTTCCTTCCAGTTCTGCTTCGCTTCGTTATATGATTCTCATCTAAAGAGTTCCTTCTTCACCTTTCACACAAACCTGCCGCTTATGCCGTGAACGAGATCACACGAAGCGAGCTTCGCTACCAAGTTACGTCGGCCGCATTCGCCACTTACAACACTATCCGATTTGTAAGAAAGCGACTCATCGTCGGCCTCGACGTTGAGCAATCGCTTGTCTAGCTGCAGGAACCTGTTTCGAGGAGACTAATAACGTAATCGCGCGAAAAAGGAGAAAGACGAGGAGCCGGGAAGCATCCTCCGCTCGTCTTGAGAAATGTGCTCCGATTTTCGATTTCGACGGGTTACATGTACGGCACGGCGCGAAGCTTTGTGCGCACGAGGGCAGTCTACGGTTAAAAAGAAAATCAGATCAATTGTGCGTGATTTTTTTTAGTAGCATGTGCACTTGTGCACATTACTATACTATACTGAAAGTATTGATTTAGCGAGCAATTGCGACAATTTACATTCCTGTGAGATTTAAAATATAATTAACGTTAAGTTCGCGTAATTTCAGGGCATGTATTCATTTGTCGACATAAACATGAATAGAACGTCAAATGAATCTTTGTATTCTCATTGCTTTTAACGAAGATACAATGGAGAAATGCCTTTTTGTTCATTGAGATCATGAGGACTGTACTGGAATCCAAACCACTGTCCGAAATTGACAGAATATTATCGCATAGATGCTGTTCATTGCTTACATTTGCTGAATAGTGGACGTTATAAGGAGAGCATCGATCCACAACAGAAAATACCAAATGTATCGCGATGTTGAAGGAAAGAAAAAAAAGTTGCGTCGAATTCTCTCGCTGCATATTTACTGTGTCGATAATACTTGTATCAATTTGTGCAATAATTCCTTTTGCTCAGTATCCAAGTAAGGATATAATTCGCTCTCCAGGTCTAATACTGCTTGATAATCATGAGACTGACATGCTAGCACCAAGGACTGTAGTAATAATAATTCATCCTCACTCATATTGAGACCTACAATGTGAAGTTGAAAATATAAGACAGAAAATAAACCATTTCGGAATAGTACTGTATTATACCATACCGTTGTTTACATTTTCTTCTATCCATGCATATTTTTCAAGAACTTGAGCAAGGGAAGGTGTTAGTCTCTGTGGCGATGGTTGAAGAATGAGTAACAGCAACACTCGTGTCACTTCACACCTATAATTTTAACATATATTAAAGATACATTTTTCTCACTATTACACAAGTTATTATAATATACAATATAATGGAATTAAAATATATACTTGTGCAAGATAGCATTATAGTTTCCCCTAGCACCAGCCACGACATAAGCTTCCACAAATTCTACAAATTCGTTTACTATTTGTAGTGCAGTTACATAATCTCCTATATATGGGATAAAATTGTTGTGTAAAACGTTGAATACTAAATATGATATAAAATGGCTGTACAGATATAAGTATATTGTTCATAACACATGATGAGAATGAAATAAAAACCAACCTTGTCTTATGTAGAATGACACCAGGGTGTTGATAGCCTTAGATGTAGGGAAAATATCAATTGCTTTACGTAGCTGTTGAACACCAGCAGGACTTGGACCCAATGCTAATGCTAACTCTACTGATAAACCTGCCGATATTGTATTAAAACCTGGTTGATTATTGCATCTGACTATGGAGTGACTAAAACAACTTACAGCAGCCTAGAACATATGAAAAATCACTTTAGGTCTTTCTTTTCATTTGGTTTTTATTATAAAAATATTATATTTACACATATATATAAACCTGTATGTTTTCTTGGCCTATAGAAGAACATCCTATATCATTGTCTTTTTTTTCAGCTGTGAGAAATTGTCTTCCTGCTTTTATTAAGAGATTTATTTCAGAAGACATATTCTCTAATGTACCTTGACATCTAGCAGCTGCCAGCCAACACAATCCTGCATATTGCCATAATTCCTTTTGTTCACATTCAGTAGCTAAAGCACCTTCAAATAAATATATCTATATTATGTGCTGGATACTTATAATTAAAATAAATATGGCATTATATTAGCCATATTTTATATTCGTATATAAAGTAAAATATATATCATACATATATTACTGTAAATCAAATACTTACTAAATTGTTCACATGCTTCTGCAACGTTTGGTTTCCTCAAAAATCGTCTAAAAGATTAATATAAATAAAATATAATACTTTCTAATCAATATTGATAAAGGTTTCTAATTATTATTAAGAAAAATGTTTTTACTTTTTTAATTTATTCGAGATATTGTGATATCTCGTCAAAAAATCTACTGGCTCTCCTATTCCTTGGCTTTGATTAATATGTGCCATATTTTAATTAACAATCTAAAGATTAAAGAAAGGTAGAGAGAGAGAGAGAGACAGAGAAAAACAAGTAAAATGCATATGACATTCACACATACAGGGATTACAGCAGATCTACAGATGGTCTGCTTGACCCCTCTCCTTCTTCTCTCTGGTTGCACTGCTGAATTGGTGCGATAAAAGTTACAGGTACAAGAGGAGCATCTCGAGGTGTGAAATGCTTGAATAAGATTTGTCATTGTTATTTTGTATTTTTCTTCTTCATTTTAGTCAAAACTGAAACCATAGAGCAACAATTTTTATAAATTCAGCTGAGATTCAAATCAACTTAGCTAAGACTCAAATCATCATGAGATCTAGGTTAGGTTAAATCAATTTATCCGAGACTCGAATCATTATTTACCGACCTTGTTCATTTTAGCCGAGACTCGAACTACTGGGCTCCAGCACCGACGAGACGCTAACAAAGACCATTGGTCTGTTCTTTTCTCAGTTTTCGGACTTTAGTATCAGGAACACATGGTAACCGAAGAGCTATTCCGGACTTCTGGCGGGAATCTAAAAATTTCTCATGTTCTCAGTTTTTAGACTTTTGTATCCGGAACACATGATGACTGAAGAGGTATTCCGAACTTCTGGCGGGAATCTAGAAATTTCTCATTTTCTCAGTTTTCGGACTTTTGCATCAGGAATATATGATAACTGAAGAGGTATCCTGAATAAATTTAATCAAAAACATGGTCGTCGTTCGCGGCCACGTTGTTTTGCAAGATTGCAATATTGCAGAAACGTTGCGAATCTTGCGAAATGTTGCTGCAATCTTGCAGCAAAGTAAAAATGTCCGCTTGCAGCAATATTGCAAAGAAATATTGCAGTAACATTGCAGTGTAACATTGCAGTAAAGATATTCAAAGATGACCTTTTGACCTTTGACCTTGAAATGATCTTTAGAGGTCAAAGGTCAACATGACTGAGAACATATCTGGACATTTTTTACGCTCTTTCGATTTCTGCTATCAAAGACACATGCTTCTATTTGAAAAAACGGGGTTGACCTTGAAGGTTACTTCTAGATTAAAGGTCACCATTGAATACCTTTTTTATTTCCTACAACTTTCGAAGTAGTTTTTCACGATAACCAATATTTCAAGAGTTACCCGGCCGTACCGGAACATTCTACATGTGTATATATATATATATATATAAAGCATTATTGCATATAAATTATATTATAAATATTGCTGCAATGTTACACTGTAATGTTATTGCAATATTTCTTTGCAATATTGCTGCAAGCGGACATTTTACCTTTGCTGCAAGATTGCAGCAACATTTCGCAACGTTTCTGCAATGTTGCAATCTTGCAAAACAACGTTGCTGTGTTGTATGGGAGTGTATATTGTAAATGTAATTTTACATCTTTTTGATTTTGCAACACACACACGCATGCGCGCGCGCAATATAAAAAGAAAGATATATTTTTCTTTATCATTGTACATATTTATAATATTATATGTGACACGTCTGTTCAGGAAAGAAACTTGCATGAGGAGAGGCAATGAAAAGTTTATTGATCGTTTGCAGTGGTTTCTGGACGTAATGATGCATACATTGTATTGCAATTTCAAATCCTCATTTCTAGATAACATTTTTACGCGAATATGTAATAGCAAACGCCGGAATACTCATATATTACTTTAGAATGAGTACGTCTGCGTCGCGTTTAAACATATAAAGGACTTTTATTAAACACATCGATATTTTTCTCTTACAGTCAACATTTTATGTACATTCTTATTTGTTGATCCAGAACAATCTGGTATAAATTAACACAAACGGTTAAATAAATAAATAAATAAATAAATATTGGTAAAATATATCGGGCTGTAACAATAATGACAATATCACAAGATCGGTTTCTCTTGAAGTCTTTGCTTCAGAGGAATGAAAATTCATGGATTAAGTGTACGATACAAAGAGGCACGCACTTTCTCTAGCCACAGTGAATATTTGTATAGCATCTATGAATCTTTCTTTTTTAGTGTCACATCTTCAGCATCTTCTCCTTTGAAGCTTGCGCTATTATCTGTTTTGCGTTAAACGGTAAGCAAGCAATTAGAAAATAAGTAGTAAGAGAAGAAGGTGAAATAGAGCGCGCGACTAAAAAAGGAATAGAGCTTGTTTATCATTTTCTTCCACCAGACAAGTCCCCAGTCTTTCATAATTAGCGAGTTACACTGTAACATGGGGATTGAAACGTATATTGCAATTTATTTGCAAGCGATACCCGTAAATCTGTCGCTAAACTACTCGATAGTATTCGATATCAATGAAGTGTTCTGGAAATGTATCTAACAATAAGTGTACATTATATCTTTTAGTGCATCTCGATAACATTTCAGTCTGTATAACAATTGTAACTTGCATATCATAGTTCATCGGGAATCTCATCGATTGATCGCCTAAGGAAAATTCGTGATCGATAATTCGCGTTGAAAATTAGGATCGAAATTCATCGTACTTCGTTGCGCGTGCTTTAAGTGTTCTCAATGTCACCGTGTGTAATTGATTGGTGTTCTGTTGTGAACGCATCAAATTGCTTCGCTTTCTGTTTTTAAGCAATTCGAGATATAACGTATGTTTGCAACAAGTATTTGTAAGAAAAGTAGATAAATAGATTTGCCGAGGTCGCCATTTCCACGGCGATGAACAGAACGGCTGAACGCTTTCAGCATTTCTTATTATCGATTTGATCGATTTGGGAAGGAAGGAACGAATACGTGCGAATTAAAAATATGTACATAAATATAAATCCCCACACATACACACACACACACACACGCACGCACATAACACATGCCACGCGGTTGTGGAGTTAAATGCGAAATAATAAGGATGTTTTGAAAATTTTTCGGAAACGATTAGCACGCGCGAATCATTTGTGATCCGAGATCCGAGGAGCGCTCTATCGATTTATGCCTATTTCGACGGGACTATCTATGAGCTTGTTTCTTGTTCGTTAATTTTTGCAGTCGCGCCTTCAGTCCGTGAGGACTCAGCTTCACTCTCACAACATCGGGCTTACTCTCGAGCTTTCTACGGACTTCCTCCAGCCGCTCTTTGCATATTCGCTGCTGCTCCTTTTTCCAGATTTCCTGTAAAGAAAGAAGGACAGAGATCCGCGATCTGTAACTAGTTCGGATTTTCTTGTTCTGCGATTCTTCACGTTACTTTGAACTATTTACCTTAAAGTCTCGGCAGAAACCGAGCCACAGATTGAAAAAATCGTGCGGCTCCGCGGTCTCCATGGTGGCACCTTTGGGGATGAACTGATAGAATCGCATGACGCTCTTGAACTTGTTCTTAGCCTCCAGCAGCTGTTCCTTGCCGCTCTTCAAATCGGCGTTCGCTCTCGTCATGAATGAGTCCACCTTCTCCTTGAAGATCTTGGACGTGGCTGGGTCCGCTTTCACGACCGTGTCGCATTTCTGTGCGCACGCTAAACAGATTGATTTTATATAAGATATCTGTACACAAACTGTCCGCGCCAATCACTCACCGTGCAGCTCCTTCTCCAATCGATCGAGCTCCTTGGCTATTTCCTCAAACTTGATCGCGGAAGCAGCCTCCACGTCGGCCGGCTCGGGCACTGGTAAAGGTAGCGGCTCGTCGAAATTGTGCTCTTTCTCTTGGGACAACTTTGCTCGCACGACGTAATGTAACAGGGTGACGCCTTGCGCGTTGGACTTGACATCCTTCAATTTACCGAGGATCTCCAGGCCGAAGCCGTCTGCCTGGCCGCGCATCATATTACCGCCGTTCATGTAATTGCCCAAGGTCAATATAATGGCCAACACTTTCTTCAAGGACTCTGATTTGATCAGGAACTCGCAGGTCGTTTGCACATTGTTCAGCTTGTACGAGACTGACGAGATCGCGTCTTGAAAGTCTGACTGCAGCATTAGGCAGGCTATTCTCTCGGAGAAGTGCTTGATGCCGGATAACCGTTTGAGGAAAAGTTCCGGCTGATCGAGGGGAATATCAGGATTCATCTCCTCGTGAGCCGCGATCTCCGCTATTTCCTTCTCCGTCGGTTTCTACGGATTGAAAAGCGATTTACAGACACCAAGATACATCTTCGATGATGAATATTATTATTTACTAACGATTTCGTAGATCTGCTGTAACGCTTCGAGGCTGATCACGCTCGTGTCCAAGTTGTAGGCCGCGTTCTCGATCTCGCTGAAGTCGATGTGCAAACTCTTCTCCAGAATCCCTACCATTTTCGAGCGCTTTGAGTCCAATATCTTCGCTGGTTGTACTTTGGATTTCTTAGGCGTCTCGTCGTCGTTTTTCTTGCTCAGATTCTTCTGTCTCACTTGCCGCGAAAATAGATCTGCGAATTCTCTCATATTTATCTCTTCCTCAGCGAGTTCTAACCACAGAGGCGACTGAAAAGACAGTCGAGATCGAAACGAAAATTATATATAGTTATCAAACACTCGAAGAGCTTTCACCATCAGCAGGGTCAATTTCCACTTACCTGTTGTGGCGATGATTCAGCAGCATCTACGGAATCTGGGCTACTCGCAGTTACGGGCACTAAAATCCTCGTCCAGTAAAGCGGCTTCATAGGCACGTCAGGATTTAAAGGCTGCTTTCTCATAACTACGAAAGCGAGGGACTGTGTTAGGCGGTACGAATATCAGAATCCCACTAGGGGAGAGTCACAAGGGGGTATACTCTCGATTATTCGGAGTTACAGCGGCCGGTTCGATCGATAAACTCGTGAGTAATCCTCAAGATATCACGATGCGCAGAGGCACGAGCGAAAATTATCATGTCGTGTGTTAATCGAGAGTACACGTGTACGTTGGAAGCTTGGAAACTCACTGGCTCTGCTCGGCGGATTCCAGCCACCGACCGGTGGAGCGGGTAAAGGACAGGGACCAGGTGTCATGGGCGGCGGTGGAGGTGGACCCATGGCTGATGTCCCAAAGGGCGGCGGTGGTGGAGGTATATTACTCGGCACAGATGCGATATCTGACGGTGCTGATGGAACAGGCGGGCTTTGCATCGCTCCAAGTAACGGCGGCGGTGGTGGTGGTGGTGGTGGCGGCGGTGGTGGCGGCGAAAGCATCTCGCCACCGATAGTAGTCCTCGTGAATGACAACGTTGAAGAACAAGTAGGAGGAGGAGGAGGAGGAGCAGGAGGAGGTGGCGGTGGTGGAATCCCGCACGTGTTCAGCATTGCTGTGGACGACGGCGGGATCGCGCTCATAGTGGTGGATACAGGCTGCGGCAGAGGAGGTGGTGGAGGCGGCGGCGGCGGTGGAGATGATGACGGGAAAGGCATGCCGCTAGCGTGTGCTAACGTAGACGGACACGGGGGTGGAGGTGGTGGCACCGCTTTTATGATACTCTCCAGAGAAGGCAGCGGAAGTGTCGCGCCCGTGGCACTTTGCACGTACAGTGACGGAGGGGGAGGTGGTGGTGCCGGTGGAGAAGAAAGCATCGTGTTTGTATTTGGTATCGGCGTGGGTGGTGGCGGAGGAGGCGGTGGGAAGAATGTACTAGCGGTATTTTGCATCAGCATCGATGAGGATGGTAGCGGCGGCGGCGGCGGTGGCGGCGGTGGCGGTGGCGGCGGTGGCGGCGGTGAAGGTGGCGGAGGTATCCTATTGGAAATGTTGGGTAACGTCGACGAGATCGTCTTCTCGGTAGTTGGTATCGCCGATCCCGTTGTCCGTACAAACGGCGACGGCGAGGGCGAGGGCGATGGCGGAGGCGGAGGCGGAGGCGGCGGAATGAAGGATTTCTCCAACGCAGTTGATATCGTGGTTAATGTAGATTTGCTCTTTGAGATCGCTTCCAGAGGTGAGGGTGGTTGCAACGAGTCAATAAAGTCATCGTTGCGCGTCTTGTTTGCGCAGGAGAGCGCGAGAGTCGCTTTGCCCTCGGAATCCGTGACGTCTCTCTTCGTCGATGACGACGACCTTCGAACGTTACCGATGTTCAGATTGTGCACTTCACTGACGTGTCCGTCGACCGGCGACGAATTTCTAGGGAGTGAAGTTTGAGTAGACTGGCATCTGGTGCTTATCTCCCCTTTCGATGGCACCTCGCGCAGTCGTTTGATCTCATCTTTCAGTTTCTTCACCTCCTCCTCACAGAACCCGTGACAAGTTTGACTCGACCGAGTACGAGCTGGAAGCAGTCCGTCTGTCAGCGAACGCGCGTCTACCCGATTCATCTGAACAAGAGAAGATGTTTCACGTGTGTGAGCGATTGCGACGGTTGTATACCCTGACCGTTGCGAAATTAATATTACAGATGAGAGATTAATATTACACTTTACCGTGGATAAGTCATCGTGTTTCATACTTTGGCCCGACCCCGTAGAAGTCACACGAGGTTGTTGCTCTGAAAGTCCCATTAATGTAATTAGTCAATATCAACACGAAACAGGAAATAATATCGATAATATATGCCAAGTATCGCGCCAAGTAATTTCATATCGGTAAGGCGAAGCTGCGTCATTATTTTGTCCGCACGTACAAAGTGTTCGGCCGTGCTATCATTTATCTGCACAATCTTTGATCGATGCGCGGTCGATGCAATTTTTCCTCGATGAAAACCGTCGAAGAGCCGATTTATTGACTTGAGAAATTACATAAGGACAGGGAATACAGAGAGGTGGTCGCTCCAAATCCAGCCGCTTGTTTATGGGAAGCGCGCTACTTTTTAGCGATGAAATTTAAACTCGAATATCACATAATTTGAATGTGACCGCAAACGCGTCTCCGACTTTTATCTCGACTTTAGTACGACTGGCTCCGTGGCTCTGATTTATTACTATTGTCAGCAGTGTCTCATGACACTATTTATCGACGACACCTGTGCCTTCGCCAAGTTAGAATTCGCGCTAATTAATGATGTTTATTGCGCGAGCAAGATAAATTTTCATCGCCGTGTCGCTCTTATCTCACGTTTACTCCTGAGATGAGCGATTCTTGTAGATAATACCTCACCTCTCCTCCGGTCATATTATCGCGCGATCTTTGTAGAGTGTTCCGCAGAGAGGTATACAAAGTGATATCAATCACACACGAGATATATAATTAACTCTGATCTCGACACAGTCACGGTAACGCGAAAATGAAACCTACTCTTTGAGGAAGAAGGCCACTGCGACACCGTCAGTATCATTTCCGCCGTTTGTCGATCGCACTCGAAGAGATCGATGACCGGCTCTCCGAATCTCCTCGTGATATGACTAGCTTCCTGTACATAAACACGCGCCCCGTCTCGTCTTTCTCCCTCGTGGTCACCCCTGAATTTCAGCGGTCGAGCCGGTCACCGAACACTTCACTTCTCGCGATACAATGTCGCGGACTCCTGCGCGGGTGTCTATTTCGCCGCGATGCTTCGCGAAGAACTGGCTGCTCATCTCGTTCCCAGGCAACGACGAGGAAGGCACGACGTTCCGAACATAAATCCGCGAACGCCCCGTTGATAACACTTATCAAACAAACGCGTATGACGTCGATCATTCGCGCTAACCTCGATTGTACGATGATGATACGGATTATTTGGCCGTTCAAAAACATCGACGACGCGGCTTCGGAGGAAGCAGTTTATCTTGATTCACCCGTTCTCAACGGATTACTTAGCAGCGATTGCGCGCGATTGGTATCTATCGGTGTCTTGAGGCGGCTCGCGATTTTTCCCTCGCGGGAGCGAGGATGCGTGGGAAATCTCACGTCGTAAATTATGTCATCGTGCGCGAGAAACGAACGACCGCGCGTGTTTACCGTCCTCCTGTTGTAACTTTATCGCGCGTCTTTTCTTCCGTATCGCGAGATAAGACATCCACTTTAGGTCGCGATAGATGAATCTGCCGTTCTTGCGCGATGATTTCTAGGTCGTACGCTGACCTATCTCCCTCACACGGAGACGTCTTATTCCACGTAAGTCATCTTTATTATTACGAATAGATGAGAGGGTAGAGGAGGAGTTGTGCTTTTCCAAGTCCCGCTTAAACAACGAAACTTCCCAAATCGCGATATCGCGATATCCTGTGAGAGTGTTGATTTGAGAAGCGGAATCCTTACAGCGTCTCGCATAGCTAAAACTGGTGAATAAATTGGGAAAAGAAGAAACGGTCTTGCCGAGATGGTCGATAAGTAAGTGAAGCGTCGATCTTCGAATTTAGAAGAGGGGAATCATTACGCGGGGAAAGGTTGTAACACACTCTTCCAAGGTAAGGTGACAAGATTCAAATAACACGAGGAGTAGAACTGGGCGATTTTTCTGGTTCCGAGATGGTCACTTCCCACCTTACCTTCGTATTCTTTGTAACGAATCATCTTCGGAGGAACGATATTCTTGAGCGCCTTCTTCTTGGTAGATCGATTGAGAGTTAAACTGGCCACTCTTCTCAATACGATACCTTCGCTCACGGGAGACTCGGTTATGCTGTGTCGTCTTCGAAGAACGCTGTCCGCTTCCGTCGTCGTCGGACTCAATGTGTTTGTGTTCTCGTTCAGTGCTATGTCCAAAGATCCACGTTCGTTAATAAGCACTCCAAGCTGTTGGAGCTGTTAATTCGCGTAGTAGGAGAAAGGTTGTCGAGAAATTTGATTGCTTTATCATTTCTTCGAAATGACACTTCAAGAGGCAGAGCCCATTACGAGATAACAATTAAGCAGACCCATTAGACGTACATAGACGTACGCGTAAAACTGTCACAAGCACGAATCAAGACGAAGATCAAGACTTTCTCTGCTCTTTTGGTCCTTTTGACGCCGAGGAGATACAGGAGGACGACCTCTCTGAGGAGGTGGAGAAAGTCCGGAGGAAAAGTGAAAATTTTCAAAATCTCCAACAAAATGAAGAGGTCGATGAGATGGTACTCACTTATTCGCGGACTCAACGTCGAGAGATGAATCTTCTTGTGCCTCGAGATCGTGAAGGACGATTTCTCCTCTTTGTTGCAGGTCTTCTCGGGAGCTGGTTTCTTCTCGGCTAGTGATCTTGCCGCTTCCACCGTCGGGACCGTCGTGGCGACAGGGATGGAGGCGAGCTCTTCGGGATCCGTAAACACACTGTCGCTCGATGACTCCTGGCTGGGTGGCGTCGGCATCTCAGTGACGACCAGACCCTTGTTGGCCAGACGCCACGAGTCGGTCACCAGCAACGGCGGCAGCTGTTGGGTCTGCGGCGTCGTCGGGGTCTGCGCCGGTGTCGTCGTCGTCGGCGTCGTGATGCTTGGGCGGTAAGTCTCCGTCATGCTTGCACTGGGTTTCGTCACGGCCGCCGCGGTGTCATCGCGATACTCATCTTTCTGCGTGTCCTAATTACAACAAAGTGGCGTGAGTGAGTTGCGCGCGATTAGCGAGTCAGAGGTCGATACGAAAAGTGCCGTGGAAAGCGAGACAGCCGCTTAGTTCTCGCTTCTTTTCATCATCCCATACACGATTGACGATGTTCCCGACGAGCATGAGCTTCGTTAAATCATGGCTCGACACCATGACACAAGGCGCGAGAGACGGAATGATACTGCGTACCTGAGATAACACGATCTTCGGGGGCTGCGGTGCCTGTCGCTTGGCGTGTCCGGGCGGCTGCACCTTCTCGAAGCTGATCCTGATGGTGTCGCGAGATCCATCGCGCCCATCGGTCGCTCTGGGCGCCTGGTCCCTTCTGCTGTTATCCTTCTTCCGGTCCTCGGCTGCCGCATCGAGCTCTCCCGTGGACGTTGACGCCGGCGATGCCGGGGTCTCCTTCCTCTTCTGCTTCTTCTTGCCGTCGCTCTGCAGATTACCCATCGCGCCAGGCGGTAGTTGCGGGTGGCCCAGGTGGTTCAAATTGCTCCAGGAGTAGAGCAGTCGGATGTTGTTGACCCAGACGTGGAGGAAGTCGGACAGCTTTGATCGAGGCGGCCGCGCCTGGGCCGCGGCTGCGCCTTGACCGTGGCGGGCGTACATCCGTGGTCGATAATCGAGGGGAGCTGCGGTACCTGCGGCGATTTCGGCGCCGACGTCCGAAAGCCGGCCGGTCGCCGCTGCGAAAGCAAACACTTGGCAAAACGAGAGTTTCGCGACTCTAGCTAATTTACTAAGCGTGATCGCGCAGACGGCTCGGCGACTCCGCCGCCGACTTGACACAACTTGACGTGACAACTTTCCGCTTAGTACCGCTTAGTACAAGTACTTGTCTCGTCTTGTACAAAACGTCAAGCAGAGTCGTCAAACTTGACGCAGAGCAGCCGCAGAGAATTGTCGTATCCTCGGGTGCACGAGGGGACGTGGGTCCAATCGACGGAACGCAGGAGTGAAGAAGCGTCAAGGGTTAGGGTTACATTCGATCGGCGTTTCCACAAACGACGTAAGTGCTTTTTACGTAACATCGATGATCTCGCAGGTAATGCTCGTTCCGAGAGATAGATCGAGAGAGAGAGAGAGAGAGAGAGAGAGAGTAAAATCCTCGAGTATACACCGCGTTGCGCCGTCCAATGCTAAATCATGCGGATCCTGCCGGTTGATGTCGCAAACGCGCCGCACTCAAAGTGCGGAAGGGCGTGAGAATGGGCAATGGGAATGAATGGAGGCGTCGTAGCTGTTTTTTCCAGTTAATCATACGTTGACGTTGACTCGACAGCATGAACGCTTCTCGGTTATGAACGGTAACAATATTAATAACCCACCTTATGTCACACGGGCACAATGCCGCACAACGCCGGCGTCCGCGGTATCGTTGCGCACGTTGGACGCAACTGAATATGCCTGAATATACCGAAGTATCGATTTGTTATCACTAGGACACGTATACACCTCGATGTCATTGGCAACTCTAGGCCTCTCCTTCTTTCACGGTAAGGAAAAAACGAAAGTGAAAATTCTCTCTCTCTCTCTCTCTCTCTCTCTCTCTCTCTCTCTCTCGCTCATCTACATCTCCGATAAACGGGGAGTAGCGAGAATCGCGCGAAAAATCGACAAGGGACCCACGATTCCCATAATCGCGCGCGCGATTCGTTTCTTAATTGCGCGATCACAGCGTCTCGAATACGGCCCACTTTCCCGCGCGGAATGACCTCATGTCGTTTACGCCGGCGTGCAAAAGCATAATACGGAACACCAATACGCAGCATTCATCTCGTGCTTAATAACAAGCGTGACATTCTTGTTGCATTTCACTCTCGCGCCTTTGCATCACTGTCGCGCACTTTCGCACTCCTCTCTCACTTGGCGAAGTTGCGCGTCTCGTCGAGAGTAATTCATTCGGTCAGCCCCGCACCTCGCTAGCAGCACCGCGAATACACGTGTGATTTTCTCGGAAAATGCACGCGCGACGTCTTCGACCCGCCTCAGACATCACGCGATTGTGACTGTCGAGAATAGCGCGATCCATCGCGCCACGTGACACGTCGATCACGTAAGCAGAATGCGGTATCATCGTGCTGCCTATTCGCGTGTTGTCTCCTCTTATATTATGTTTCTGAGAATCAATCTCGAAGGATACTTCAAAGGCGGGAAATATCACAGACATCGGGAATCGTCGCGCTACAGACGACTTTGCTTGAGAATCGCGAAGCACCCGCTATCGCGATAAACCACGCTAAACCACGATAAGCGCGAGAACGTTTGAGAACATTTCCCACCGTTACTCATACTTTTGCGACACTCGTTACAACGTTTCAACGTTCGAGCCGCGCGGTTCCCATTTTGCATCGGCAAAAGCAATGAAGCATGAAAGCTCCTTCCTCCTCGTTGAAGTTTCAAACGACTTGAGAGACTTGAGCGTTTGGATAATCTGAAAAGCAGTAACCGTAACGTACCGTACCGGGACGCGATCCGTCGCGCGCGGTTACTCGCCGGTTCGGCTGGGATTTTATCTACCGCCATTACATTATAATAACCGACGTTTGCGATTCTCTCGACTTGCGCGAGAGGAGACGCGACGCGTTATGACGGAACATTAGCTGCGTAACATCATTGCCGTCGCAACGAGTTAGTTAGAATCACCGTCGCGGATTCGCCAAGGAGATTATGCGAGAGCGTACTTGCTTGCTCTCTCACACACACACACACACACACACGGTGTCTCATAATAACATCGGATGCACAGAGGATGTAATTTGCTCGCGACACACAAAGGAGCGTTGCACGCGCGACGCGGAAACGAGCGCCGTTAGTACAACATTCCTCTTACCTGGTGCTTTCTCGCGTTTCGCCACCGCCGACAGGCATATTATAAGTTGCACCGTACGCTGCGAGCGTGCCACTGAAAACTCGCATTTCACCGATTATTGATTGTCCCCGCCGGCGACGTCCCCCGCGCATTTTTCATCGGCCGCTCCGCGCCGGTCGCGACACTGTGAAATATCGCCTCGCAGTTTCCCTGGAAAACGCAGCTACCCCGTGCACGGGGTAAAAAGTCCACACGAGCGTTTTATCGAACACACACGGTGGGAGGAAACCCCGACGACGACGATGACGACAACGACGACGACGACGACGACGGCGACATCGAGGGCTCGAAGTTCGCGCCGCGTCGAGCTCTCGAGATCGATGTCTCGAAGGGACGATTGATATCGCCGCGTCGTTTCTCGATTGTTTCTCTTCCTCGCGCGACACGATTCGCCCGGGCGGCAAACTCGAAAATCTTGATTTGAAGTTGCGACTGCGGGCAGCGTAGCGGAAATGTTCGCATTTAATGCTTCATTGAACCTCGCGATTTTAACTCCGCGATATGTGCCGAGAGTAGTCTCTCTCTCTCTCTCTCTCCCTCTCTCTTTCTCTCCTACTTCGCACTCGTGACTCGTGAGAAGAATCGTAAATGCAAAATAGTGGCTTCATCGTTTATTTTATATTGCAACATAAAATTTGTACAAATAATAATTCATCGTAATATTATAACTATAATGGGTAATAATTAATACACACATACATACATATATGTATATACACATAAGTATAATATAAGTATACATGTACAAATACATATATATATATATATACATGTATGTACGAATTTCGTGGTGGTGCACGCGACGCGCACGTGCGCGCGACGCGGATAATGTACATACGCGCTAATTAATATTGCGAGCAGCCGCGCACAGGCGCGCGGCACGTGCTGCATACTAGATTACCGCGAAAGTTCGGCGATTTTTGCGAAAATAATCGCATAGAGAAAAAACCGGCGAGACCCCCGTGAGGATCCAATATCGTCGTCTAGCCGGCATCCCGGCGTTCTGTGTGTAGGCATTCGTTTCTTTTTTTCTGCTCGACTTTCCTTCCCCTGTTCGTTCTCCCGGACATGTATATTAATATTTTTATATATATATATATTTATATATATATATATTTATATATTTATATTCATTTATACTCATAGAGAGTGTGTTTGTGTGTGTGTGTGTGTGTGTGCGTGTGTGTGTGTATGTGTGTGTGTGCGTGCGTGCGTGTGTGTGTGTGTGTGTGTGTGTGTGGACGACTCTAGAATGATAAATCGGTCGTCTTTCTCGTTTAGTCAAGGGGGACTGCGCTATTTAACCGTTCATCGGAGAAACTTATATTCCCGTCTTGTATTTACATCTACTTACGATGAGCGACGTTATTCGAGGATAAACTCTACAACTTAGCTGCTCGTCTCTTTGTTGTTATGATTACTTCGTTACGCGTTTTATAACGTAACATTTTCGTTTCTTTTCTGCCTTTTTTCTTTTTTTTTCTTTTTTTTTAACATGATACGCACGTACACATTCATTCAGCCACGTGCATTCATTTGCGCAACAGCGTGCCCACGTTTTTTTCCGATAAAGTTGGGAGCGTATCAAATGATCGCGATTGCAAGCTGCTATTCACGAGCTTGCGCTGCAAATCAGTCGTGAAAGAAGCTTAAATGATAATATACGACGACATTCGACGTCACGATAAAGCATTTGGAAAAAATTTTGGTATTTTTATTAAATCTTTATCAGGCAGGAAAAGGAAGAAGGCCGACATTCACACATTCGACTTGTGTCGCGATTACCGTGCGAGCACCTGCGTGATGACTTGCAATTATGACCACTCGAGGTGCGTTCTTAATTTTAATTATTAGAAAAAAAAAAAAAAAATAAAAAAACACGTGCGCAAACCGTAGTGCAACTGTCACTTTTTTCACTCATTCCCTCTGTATCGACTCGCTTTATGCATATGTACACAAATTCAGCAAGTAAATCTCGCTCTCTTCGCGCGTAAGATAGCGAAAATCGATCGAGCACGGTCTTGTTGGCGTTCTCTTGAAATTTATTAATTCTACACATACCATACATATTTAACGTACACGTATCCGCTATGATTTCGTTGTCCAAAAATATGTCGACTACTTTTTCTTCTGTTTTCGCCCGTCCGTTTGCTCTCTCTCCTTTCTTTTTATTTTTTCGCCATATTTCGCAGTCCACCTCTTTCCCCGTCGTTATACATCGCCGCGGCTAGAATACTCGCGGTTTCTAAACACTGAACACACGCGTCACATTTAGCTTCAGTCACGCGTTCAACTTTCGCTCTATGAAAGACATGGAAGTAGGAGATTTTCATATCGGTTTCCTTCTTTTTTTATACTTCGGTACCGGTGAATCGTCTCACGCTGAAGAGCGCATTCACCGGCTATAAGGCTGGAATATAGCAAGGGGGAAGCAAAAAAGGGATACTTTTCTGCAAAAGAGTCTAGCGGTGAAGGAAGGAAGAAAATCGAACCAAAAGAGAATCAAGAGTAGAAAGATGACGGAAGAAAAATTAGGCGGAAAAACAGAGAGAGAGAGAGAGAGAGAGAGAGAGAGAGAGAGAGAGAGAGAGAGAGAGAGAGAGAGAGAGAGAGAGAGAGAGAGAGAGAGAGAGAGAGAGAGAGAGAGAGAAAGATAGAGCTCGTCACCTATAAAACACATCTTGATGAGAAATTGAACAATCGATAAAATATTTCTTTCTTCTAATATATTTACCACAATTCGCGGTCATAATTATAATATATATAATGGTTCAACAATGGAAGAGGAGAAACATTGTGTTACGGGGAAGGAGAATCGGGAATTAATAGACCACCGTTTCTCACATTCTCGATAAGTACAACCATATTTCAACTAGCGAGAAGTAATCAGCGAAGAAGAAGATTATACGTCCAACAAGACTCGTTACGATCGCGCGTTGTACGTGCAGCACGATATCGTTCGGTGGATATACTTAAAAAGTATTTGTGTTCCTAATTGCGTCTACACGTCGTGATACACGAGACTAATGGCCACACGGAGAGCCGCGATCGCGGCGTACGTACGATCCGCACACGCGGCGGCACCGTAAATGCGAACGATCGAGATGCGATCGTCGGTCGCGACGTCTCTCCGAGATTACATTACGAACAAATGAGATCACAAACGACGTGCGAACGAACGCGCGCTCGCCACCGCGGACGCGAAAATACTGACGCGGAACAGCGGATTTACGGCCGAGAGATGGATTTTCTTCCTCGATTGGCCGTATGGCGAAACTCTTGCAACGCAACGGAAGATGCAACTCTGTCGCGATATTGCATAATATAATAATAATATTAATAATATTAATAATAATAATAATAATAATAATAATAATAATAATAATAATAATAAGTATAGTAATAAGTATAAGTAGAATATAAAAGTGCAGTAGAATACAATTTGATCAGCGCCAACTGTCTCTCGCGCACTTGGTCGTTATATTTTCGCGTCCGTTGCGAGCGGAAAAAGCACCACTAAGCCGACGCTCGATCAACGGGACAAAGGTAAAAAGAAAACAAAAAAAAAAGAAGATAAAATAAAAAATAAAAAGACAATGGGAGAAGTAAATGGGAGTAAAATTCAACAAAAGGGCGCCGCGTGCAATAATCTCTTTATACGTCGCGTATACAACTACGAAACGAAGCAACGCGCGGTACTCGAGTCAACATAAAAGATTTCTATACATTTAGAACGTTATGTCTATCGTTAGTTGGAAATATCGCGGGCTAAAACAGCGAAGTTCGTTGTCGCTGACATTTCTTCTTTCTCTTCTTCTTCTTTGTTCTTTTTTCGATTCGACAGAGCGTCGGTAGGCTCGCCAAAGTCGTGAACGGCGAAAGTCGAATACAATCGTTGTTCGCGCGGCGGGTGGCGGGCCCCTCGGAAAATCCAACGATTGAACGACCCTTGTATTTTCCGAGCTGATCCTCCATCCGCGTATTCTCGTCGTCACTGTGGAACGCCAATATACGAATATTCCAAAAAGAATCGTCATTGTAGCATCATAACGTCGCGCGTAATTTACGTCGTTAAGTACTTTAGCAGAGGGCTTCTTCTCTCTCCGCGACTATTTACATTGCACAACGAATGTGCTAGATCTACTATCTTCCAAAAAAAAAAGAGAAAAAAAAAGAACGAAAAAATCTCCGAGTGGCCAGGGAACGTATACGAGAGCAGCCGAAGCATCCCTTGGACGTTTCTCTCGATCTTTTTCACATTATCTTGGATTCCGTCGCGAGACGGAAACGTCAAAACGACGCTGTGTGCGTCTCGCCGTGCCCAGCCCGGACGGCACTCGTGACAACCTCTGCGTCGATCGTGCTCGTTCTCCGCAACAGAGTGCATCTTGCTTATTAATACTACCTACGTCTAATACACATACTTACAAGACCGGCGACGTTAATCACTTTCGGTCAATATACACGTTCATTTGCAGAGTGAACGGTTTGCAGACGTCTTTTCCGATAAAGTTACACACAATAATACATCGAATGGCTGCGATTATAAAGCACTGCTAACGTTGCTTGCGTTGCTAATAGTTCGGCATCCATGATGAGGAGCCGAAGTGATGGTACAACGACAGATTCAGCAAAAAATATCAGTATTCTCCTCTGTTATACTTTTATCCATTAAAATACAATAAAGGGAATCACTATATTTACGTCGCATACACTTGGCTTCAATGCCGTGTGTTCGAATACTTTCTTTTCTTTTTCCGATGCAGTCTGGAAGAACGCAGCCGGCCCATTTGAGCTGCGTTATTCAATGAGAGAACTTGATTAATTCCTCAAAGTTGAGTCCTCTCATGGAACCATCGGCTGCGCTTTGAACTGTATCGAAAAAAAAAAAAAAAAAAAAAGAAAAATGTCCAGACATTTTGAAACCGAACAGACTGTGTTTTTCGATTTCTCTCATCTTGATTACCACGCAAGCCCATGAGTAGTGACTTTAAAAAAAAATCGCGACTACTCGATGCGCTTCTTAACTTTAGTGGAGAAAACTTGTGCAAATCGTTGTGCAAATGAATGCACATAATACCTCGCGCGGTTCCATGGGCGGGAAAACGCCGATTGCTTGCTTGTCATATGAGGAGACGGCGTCGTCCACGCACGCACGTACGCACGCACGCCCGCACGCACCACACGCATACGCACACACATACACGCGCACACATACACACAATGTGGTGTATATAAAAGTATAAAATGCATCAAATCTGGAGTCATCGTATCTCCGGCGTCGTCGGATGCCGTTTGGACGTGACCCGACGACTTTTACTACGCGCCATTGACTCGCAAGACTTCGTCGACTTTTCTGAAATACCCTTCCGCGCTTATTCGAAACGTACATCATTTTTTGCGTGAGCCGCCGGAAATTGAAGTGTCCCCGGTGCGTTAACACTGTATTTTACAACAGTGACAACGCTCGCGGATACGGGGTCTTACGAGAGAAGAGAGAGAGAGAGAGAGAGAGGACCTATATCGAGCGCATCCCTTGCGAATGCGGTCGATGGAAATGAACGTGATTATATATAAAATACAAGTAAATGCGAATAAATTAGTCGCGTTATTCGTCGGTGAAATTCATTAGCGTGACACATCACACGTAGAAAATTTCGTGCCATTTTACAAGGCTGATGTATAACAGTCGTTAACGCGTTAAATCCAGCGTGGCAGTTGGTCGTCTCGAAAGCGACGGTATTAAATATCGATATAATTGTCGGATTTAAAGCGATAACAACATTTAATTAGTCTTGAACGCGACTCAAGTTTCGACCCGATTCGGAGCAATTCGGAGATTCGTGCAGCAAGATCTTCTCTCGAACATTTTGAACAAACAATCGACATTAAAGTAAACATATATTTACCCAAGAAAATCATAAGGAAAAAATTAAAAAGGGAAGACGAGAACAAAACCGTATGATCTTTCCCTACGTAATTAAATATCAAATGGGCGAGCAAAAACGACATCTCGCGCAAGGCATCGTTCACGACAGCTGGTAATTCTCTCGGGAGAGACCGTATCAACGATGGATATGCGTTCATTCACCGGCGCGTACGCACGCGCACGCGCACGCGTACACGCACACGCACACGCACACACACACATACACACACACACACATACTTTGATATCACTGCCTGGAATCATTGCACTCGAGTGGTACAGTAGTCACTTTCACAACTGTTCCGACAGAATGATCACTCTGAGTGTCTGGACACTGTCGTTGTCAAGAAGTTTGTTGGACCCTTTGAACGATACCTTACCCTCCTCGAGACCCTCGACTGCCGTATGCTCGCATCCTTCCGCTTCGGCCCTCTCTTCTCCTGGTAGACCATCGTCTTCCTGTCCCGTGCTTCCTTCCGCGAGCGAATCCCGAGACATCTTAATTGGATCGGTCGGCACATTGACCGCAGAAGCGCATGCTGCTGAATGTTCGAGGCTCTCTCTCGAGCATCTCATTTGCGGTTGTCCTCGCATAATCGGGCTTTCCATCGTCGTCGTCGTCGTCGTCGTCGTCGTTGTCATCGTCGTCGTCGTCGTCGTCGTCGCCGCCGCCGCCGCCGTTGTCGTTACCGTCATTGTAGCCGTCGTCGTCGTCGTCGTCGTGGTCGTCATTATCAACGATGACGTTAACGCGGCACCGTGCAGATTCATGGTGGTGAAGTTAGCGGGAGTGTATTTGGCGGTGAATTCCGGCGGGGATCTCTGGTTTCGTAGTCGGGCGGCGAATGAATCTGGGTCCGCGCAACGGCTCGTTAACAAGGACGATCCTCTCGAGGGATCGTTTCGAGGACGGTGCAGGGAAGGCCCGGGCGAGAAAGACGATAAATGCGGTAGCCTCTCCATGGCTTTCGTAGAAACGTTGAACTGTGTCCGCGGACTGCCGGTAGGCACCTGAACGTCCGTAGAATGGCTTCTCGTGCCAACCTCGTCCAGACAGGTTGGTCTCTCCCAGGACGATGGTTGCTCCAACGAACGACACGCTCCGTCGAATACGCGATTCACGTCGACGTTCACCTTGAAGGTTTTACCTCGCGGTACCACCTCCTCGGTCTCTCCATCGTGAAATGTACTCGTTATCGTCGTCGCTGTCGTCGTCGTCGTCGTCGTCGTCGTCGTCGTCATCGCCGTCGCCGTCGTTGTCGTTGTCGTCACAGCCACTGCGTCTGGCTCGTGCGAGACACCAGCGTTGTTGCCGCAGTCGTCCTCCAGCTGGTCGGCAGCCTCTGGCACCGCTTCCAAAAGTCCCGAACGATCGAGTCGTAGGGACGCGATGGTGCGCGCGGCCACGTCCTCTGCGCCTGCGAACACACGAGAGCGCGGACATATCGTCGTGTCGGTCTCGGCAATCTCCAGCAATCCAGACTTGCCGATTCTTCGGACCGTTACCGGGGCCGAAACACCGTCCAGGTCGCGATCGTACGATGTCAGCTCGTGACGACTCGTCGCGTAATAATCGTCCACGGGTAACAACGGCGCGTCGACATCGTAAAGCGACTTGCGATGCGCGAAGTGATGCGACGACGACGACGACGACGACGACGATGATAATGACGACGACGACGGCGGCGGCAGCGGCGGCGGCGGCGGCAGTGGTGGTGGCGGCGGCGGCGGCGGTAGCGAGTGCATCGAAAGACGCGAAGTCACGGTCGACGGTGACGCGGGCGGCCTCGTCGGCAGCGGCGCAACGGACAGATTCTCAAGGACGATCTCCATACGATGATGATGCCGATGACGATGATAATGGTGTTGCTGGTGCTGCGGCGTCATCGTATGACAAACGGGGGCCTGCTGCTATAGCCAAGTAGTGCGCGTGTTTCCGGCTCGTGAGCCGGTAGGTAGGTCTCAAACGATTATCTCCCTGATGATTCTACGACCGCGGCTATTGGGCGTGGAGTAGCCTGACTCCAGGCTTTCGTCGTACGACAGGCTGACCTGTTGCGGTGGCTTAGTGTCCTCGTCGTAATTTTCCTGGTACGGTAATCCGGACACGTCGTAAGGTGAGTCTGTCGAACACACAACGGACGATTAGTATGATAATGCTAGGTCCCGGCAACTTGTGCGACGGGGGAGGAGGATACGTGGGCGGTTCAGCAGCGAGAGAATTATTACTTGGGCGAACGAATAGATCACGGAGAATCGTGAGGCTGCACGGAAAGGACAAAAGGACAAAGTGCAAAGTCGAATGAACCCAACTCTGGCCGAAGAAAATGCGTCGTCTCGCGATCGAAGAATCACCTGGAGCTGAATTTAGCCCGTGTAAAGTGGAAAATCTGTTTCCTCCGACCGACATTCGGTCATCCAATCTGACCAGTCTTCTTTCTCCGTGGTAGCGCAATAAAATCAGGTATAAAAGAGAGAAAAAAAAATGCGAAGATGAAGAGGATAAAGAGGACGAAGCGCGAAAGGGCGAGAACGCTGGCGCCAAAAGCTCATCCTCAAAATTCCTGCGGATTCTCGCCAGAGTCGGCCAGAAAGGAACAATGGAACAGGACGGGGGCAAGGTATACATACAGCCAGGTATATTCCGCGGAAACGAGCCTCTTCGCGAGGGTAGGGAACAAGAGCAACCCTGGCGGGAGCGGCACGCGCGCGAGGAAGATCGATGTAACGTACGAGATATAATCTATAACGTTGCAGCAGCCTGGCACGCACGGTGGTAATATAGGGGACTGTCATTAGAAGGCCAGGCTGCTCCGGACGGACAAGGGAGTCACGTGAAACGATCGTAAGGCCAACACTGACCGACGTGTTTCTGAGACTTGACGACGGTGGCGAAGGGCTCCGTGCAGAACTGCTGCCGGCTCAGATTATGGCTCTCCCTGTAATCCTCCCGCTGCGGCAGATAATGAGGGTGCGTGGGGTAATCGGACTCCGTTGTGCCGTAGCCGGTGAGATCGTAAGGCTGGCTGACGCCGTTCGCTGCCGCCGACTTCATTTGCCATATGGAGTCCTGCGAGTTCACGGAACCGCCGTTGTTGGAGTTGGAGTAACTGTTGTCCATGTAGCCCATGTTCACGCCTACGGGTGGAAAAAGAAAATGAAGAAGAAAGAGGCCGCGGTGCGCACGTGGACTGCCGCGCGAGCGCGCGAGAGAACTGTTCCGCCCGGAGAATGCATCTTTTACCGTTGATATTGTGATTTGGCTGGTGATAACCGTAGCCCGGTTGCGAGTACGCGGGAGTCTTGGAATCCTCCATAGCCAGAGCATGGTCCAAGCTGTGCTCCAGAGCTTTGTTCTCGGCGTAATACGGCGGTGGTGGTTGTGTTTGTTGGCCGTTGCCCGCCACGAGGCTCGGTCGGACGCTGCAGCACAAAGTAAACGAGGTAAGTTTCAACTTCAAGTGCCCGTCCGTATCCGCGAGCGCGATACGTGTCGCTCGATTCAAGCGCGCGCAATGTCTCACAGCGCGCGATAACTCTCGACGAGGTGGACTTACGTGTTCGAGTCCATCTCGTAATCCTTCGCTTTCGTCGCGTGTTTCCGCCGGCATCGGCAGAACAGCAGCAGCAAGGCCGCAAATAGCAGGAAAACCGCTCCGCTCACTATCAACGCGATCAGAGTCGGCATCGTGAGAGCGCCGGATTGCGCGATGTAAGACGGCCCGACTGCGAACAGGAACGAAAGAGATTGGGGTTTGCGAACTGGCGAAAAACAGCCAGCGACGACGAAAATATCGTCCGAAATATCGATCCATCTCTCGGAGTCTCTTAAACTGACGTCCGAGAGACTTCTTACTTCAAGAGCAAGTGTTGCTTTAGGAACTATGAGCAAGATTATAACACAGGGAAATCACGTCGCAACAATTCACGTCCGATGACGAAACGTTCGTCGGATGAACGTTGTTGTTACTTTCCAGAAAATATCGGCTTATTAATTATTCGAGACTTTTGCTGATCTGACTTGTAAGCTGCGGAAAAAGGAAAATGTCAAGCAAGCACACTGTCCATAAGCGAAATTGGATTAATTTGCATTCCAATTTGCGATTTCTAAGAAAAAAGAAAAAAAAAAATCGCGCAGCGATGCATTTTCTATTTTTGTCCTTTCTTTTTTTTTTTTTTTTTCTACGGACGCTGAAGAGGTGTACGGAAAAGGAAGAAGAAAAGAATAAAAGTCAAAGGAACAGCAGACAGCATAGAGCGCTCCGGAAACGGCGCGCGTCGACCTAGTCGGTAATTGTAACGCCGCCGATCGATCTTACTCCCGGCTTGGGACTACGTAAGCAATATTACTTTGCTCGACAAGGTGCGCACATTGAGTCACACACACAGGGGTCAGAACTTACTTTCAGCCTCCGCGTACTCGCCGCACTTCTGCCGGTCGGCTTTGAGGCAGAGCCGAACTTGCAGCCGAGGCTCGGTGTCGGGCGCCTCGGGATCGTCCAATATTCCCTCCCTTTGAGTAGGCGCGCTCCCGAGAACCTCGAGAGGCCACTCGTCGACGATACGCCACGCGATGTCCGCGCCTCCGTCGAATTTCTCGATGGACGCCACCAGAGCCAAGCACGTGGCACCCACGTTGATGGCGAGGGTGCTGCTCTCGGGATCGTAGCTCACCCTCAACGGCGTGGGTATCTTGGCGACCGCGGTGGTCGCGGTCACCTCCTCGGAATAGTCGGAGTGATTCTTCGTGTTGTAGACCTTCACCTTGAAGGTGTAGGTCTGATGTTGCTCGAGATTCGTCACGTTGCACGGGTTCGACTGGCGACAGTCGAGCTCGAGCCATTGACCGGCTGGCCCCCGCGGTGGCGCGCAATCCGGCGCGACTATCTCGTCGCCGCCGGCGACTCTTCTGTACGAGACGAAGTACTTGGTGATGGGTAGACCGCCGTCGAAGCCCAATTCCCACAGTAAGGCGACATGCGTGGGCCCGATGTCCATGGCAGTGATGTTGGTTGGTCTATCCGGCGCGCCCTTCGGCTGCAGCCTGATGTGAGACGTGACGCTGCCTTGAGCGTTCACGACGCGGCAGTTGTAGTCGCCGTAATCGGACTCGCGAATGTTGTTTATCCTGAGGTAGGACATGTAGACGTCGTAATTGTCGTTTGTGGACGAGATCTCGTAGTGGCCGTCGCTCGAGGAGCCTTGGAGGGTCGCGGCGTTGTTACCGTAGCTCCACTGGAACTCGGGCTTCGGCCACGCCTGGACCTTGCAGACCACCTCGGCGTTCTCCCGCAGATTGTAGGCCACCTTACCGTGCTGATGGAGTATTATCGGCTCGTGCTCCACCTTGAGCATCATCGTGGACTCGACTTTCTTCACCTCGTTCACGAAGACGCAGGTGTACTTGCCGCGATCGCCCGCCACGATCTCGTCGGTCTGCGGACGAGCGTGACCCAAAAAGCTCAGCGTGGAATTTACGGTTATTACGCTACCGTGGCCCTCCGACGCCGTCGTAATTACTTTGTAGAGCCTCTCGTCGGCCGTTAATTCTTGATCGTCCTTCAGCCAGCGCACGCTAGGCCGTGGTTTGCCCTGCGCTACGCAGGATACCTGGAACGACGACTCGCCGACTCTGCGATAAAGCGCAGAGGAGAAGACGTTACATTATTAGGAGCTTACCCGCGCGAGGAAGATAAATCTTATTCTAGCCGCTATTCGCGAGGAGGCTTTATTCCACAGACACGGCAAGAGCAAGAACCGAGAGAGGGTGGTGGTGAAGAACTCTCGCTTCTTCGCCAAGGGGCAGTGAGAGAATTGACGAATTGACTGTGTTACTATTACGACACGGAACAACTTGCAACAAGATATTATAAAATCACGGTATTATAAAACGATATTGATGAGAGAGAGAGAGAGAGAGAGAGAGAGAGAGAGAGAGAGGGAGAGAGAGGGAGAGAGAGAGAGAGAGAAAACGATACGAAGCGAGCGAAAGTAGCTTGTAGAAATTTACTTTTCGAAGAACATTTGATATAATCTGGTTATTTCTCGAATACAGCAGCTCTGCCAGCTGCTGGCCGGACGGACTTGTCTATACTCACTTCCTCGTGATGTGGGGCTGCAGCTTGGTGAGTATCTTTGGCGGTTGGTGAACAGTGAGATTGACGGACGCAGCCTCGCCTATGCCGATCTCGTTGATCGCGTAGCACTTGTAAGTGCCCTCGCTGCCGAGGTGCACCGAGTCGATCTCGTACCTCGAGGAGCCGGCCGGTGTCGGTATCAAGACCGTGCCGCCGTCGCCCTCCTTCCACCATTTGTATTGCGGCTCCGGGTAACCGGCCGGGTTGGCCATGCACGCGAGAGTGACCCGCGAGCCCTCGATGGCGACCGGCGAGTCCGGCGTCACCCTGGCCGGGCCGGGCTTGTGTCGCACTCGCACGGTCACGCTGGCGGAGGCCGTGTGATTCCTGCGCTCCCCGCCGGTGGGGTAGATCGTGTTGACAGCGCGGCACGTGTAGTTGCCGGTGTGATCCGCCGTGACCCGGCTCAGTCGCAGGATCAGGCCCGACTGCCGAAACTCCGGTCGGCCCTCGCGCAGCCACTCGATCACCGACGGCTGCGGATTCGCGGACACGTTGCAGTGTACGGTCACGCTGTCCTCCACGTCGGTCACCCTGACCGGGTCGCCCTCGATCGACACCGTGGGCGGGTAGAGCACGTCCAGAAACAGGGACGCCTCGCCGCGCTCGCTCAGATTGTTGTCCGCCTGACACGTGTACCTGCCGGCGTCCTGTAGCGTGACCTTCGATATCAAGTGCTGGAAGTTGGTGTTGGTGAAGGTGCCGTCTCGTGTCCAACGCACGCTCGTGACCGGCGGCTTCGAGTCCACGTGGCACATCATGATCGCGGTGCCGTTCACCTCGACCTTCATCGGGTTCTCCGGGCCGACGGTGACGCGGGGGAAGTACTCGACGTCGAGCGTCACCGACGCTTCCAGCATTTCACCCTGCTCCATCGCCCGGTTCCACACCAAGCAGCGGAAAGTCGCTCTGTCGTCCTCCTGCGTCGGCTGCATCAGCAGCGTCTTGCCGATGTGCAGGATCGTGTTGTTGTTGCCGCGGTACCATCTCACCTCCGGCTCGGGACTGCCGCCGTACGTGTTGCACTGCAGCTCGAGCCGCTTACCCTCGATTACGCGCGACGTCGACAGCGATATCGACGGCGGACCCGGCCGCCGCAGCACCGTCAGTATGATGAACTTGCGGTACAGATCGTCGCCGGTGCTGGTCACCTTCATCCGGCACTCGTACTTGCCGTTGTCGCGCTCGTACGACACGTTCTTGATCTGCAGGTCGTAGCGACCCTGCGACAGGTTCATGAACACCTTGTAGTTCGGCGACAACGCACGGTCGTCGATCGCCGCGTTGTCGATGTTGTGTTTCGTGCGGACGAGCCAGTAGCACGTGACGTTCTGCCACGGCGACGGGAATCGGCACTGCAGCTGCAGCTTCGTGCCCTCGTGCGTGTCTATCTCCTGGGTCTCCTCGGACGCCTCGTCCGCGGCTCTCACCAGGGCTGAAGCAGAAAGAGAACAGAACAGAGTTGAAGACGCCGTGATCTGACGGGAGACGAGTATAAAAACGCGACACGTTGCCGCCCTTGCGAACAAAGAAATAAGTCCCCCCCCCGCACGTTGTTCAGCCACACATTGTGTGTCTACTTGAGCGCTTTAATATGCGTATTAGGTATTCCAAGTATCTTGTTATTCCCGCCGATGTCGAGTGGTGACCAGTAGTCAGTCAGTGACAACGCGCGATCGAACCCGCTTCGTGGCGTCACGGTGACCCGATAACCCGATGACCCTACGGGGAAGAAATCGACCGCGAGAGGAACGACGCTCGATGGCCAACAATCGATCGGCTTCTCTCTCCCACCGCCTCCCCCCCCCTCTCTCTCTCTCTCTCTCTCTCTCTCACTCACTCACTCTTTCTCTCTCCCCATCTTTTTCGTCCGGCTCTTATATACTTTTGCCGCGCGGCGTACACGCGTTTTCCATTAAGCCGGGAATAAATTCGCGGCGCGCAGTGCGTCGCGCGGCGAGGTAAGCTGCGTGGGCGAGAGCGATAATGCGATACAAATTACCTGTCGGGAGTCAACCTAGTTTTAGGTTCAGCGACTCCGCGCGCGCACCGCCGCGCCAGGGCCTGCCTCTCTCTCTCTCTCCCTCCGTTTCGCAGCCTTCTGCACAATTAACGCCAAGCTGCTGCCGGCGCCTCGCGCGCACCGTCTCGCACACCGTTGACAATGCCGATTGTCGCGCGGCGAGAGCAACGCGCGCGCGCGCGCGTTCCTAGCGTGATTAACGCAAGTGGGGAATAATACGTCGGCATTTAGCGAGGCGAAAGGCGTCGGACGTTGGCGCCCCCGTGTTCGCGCATTTACGAAATAATGAACACGCGAAAACGCGCTGTTCGTTGCCGGTTCTCTCTCGCACACAGGCTTGCCGCCGTAGCGTGAATTCCTGTCTTTACGCGGAAGCAGCAGCAACAGCGCGCGGTACCGTTAGAGAGACGGCAGTGTCCAGAACGCGACGACTCGCGGAGGATGGTTTACCCTTGCTTTCTCGTCGTCGTCGTCGTCGTAAACTCTGTCCAATTAAAGCGCCGCCAACGACGCCGATTTAAGTTATAAACAATTAATTTCGGAGAAAGAGACGAAGAGCAAAACCCGAGGAAATTATACGAACCCCGAGTAAATAAATCGTATTGCGTGACTCGGGCGGGCGCTTCGTATTATAATGGTGGGGGCGATCATTTTTCATGTCTTTATGTAAATGTTAGGTAAAATTGTTGTGCTTGCTTCGATAATAAAACCATACCATACTAAACTCGTACGGGTTCTCGTGTCTCTATTTTTTTTTGTGAGAAATTCGGTGCACCTCTCTCGTAAAAATATTTGCTACGGACAAGTCTACTGTACATAGGAACGACCAATCCGCGCACATACGTTTCGATATACTTGCTACGTTTCGCGTGCAAAAGTCACGGTGAACGATGTGACGGTCATAAATGCGTGGCGTTTCGAAAGCGGATAATCGGGAAGGGAGCAATTCTCTCTTCGCAAGTGTGTATTTAAACGTACGTTCGCGTTGCAGCACATCTGCTGCTTTGTCTTAATGTAACACGTGCTTCGCGAGCACAATTCTCGCTCGCGGATTACAATTCGATCGGTAGCGTCGTTAAAGGGAATGTACAAAAATAAAAAAATACTACATCACGTTCTAACGTTATTTTTACGTCTCGCTACGAACGCTGCAAACAACATGTCATTCCCGCCCACTTCTGCGTCGTATCGCAGCGCAGCGCGGCGTTCGTTTAGCAGATGTAGAAAAAAATTTCGCACGAATTTTATATAATTTTTCATGTAAATCAACAGATGTGCCCATAGAGAGAGGTACAGTTTTAATTAAAAATTATAATTTCGTGATCGAGAATGGGAATATTGACGTGGGGTAAAAGAAGGAGCGTTGCGCCAAAAATAATTTGTCCTGCTTTCAGTTATAATTATCTCGACCGACAGAAGAATCATTTCATTGAACATTTCTCGATACTTCAAATCGCTCTCGACTCTTCAAATCAAATTGCGTCATTCCCTGCACGAGCCGACATTCAGCATTTTATAAAGAGATCGTTTCTAAATTAGTCGACGATTTTGTAATTGGGCGCGCGCGCAGCGCGCAATGTATTTTCAATATGTTTTTGCATTAACGACGCGGAGGGAGAAAGACAGAAGATCTAAAGTGTAATTCCCGTGCGTCATCTCCATAGAGAGCCTCGTTATTATAAAGATCGATTTCCGCGCGGCACGGCCGGGGCATCGTGGCATTTCACTATCGCAGCGCAACATCGAATGTCGACACAAATCACCACGAAAATCGAATATCACAGTGCGCGGTGACGTTGAAAACTAATAGTTCCGCACTGTCGTGACCACGAATGTCGCAATATTTATCATCGGCCCTCGCCACTGCTTAACGCTAACCAAAGTTAAGCAAACTTTGGCTTCTACGCTCACGAGTTTATGATGACGCGATTATGATGCGACTTAAAAAAAGGAAAAAAAAAAAGGGAGCAAAGAGGGGAGAGGGAGAAAAGACAAAAACAAAATATTCAAAGTCAAAGAACGGGCGGCGGCGGCGGCGGGTGAGGCGCAAATGTAGTCTGTTCGACTGCAGACCCGCAGAGACTCGTAGCGGCGCTCAACAATGAAGCTCATGACGTATGCGTGTAGCAGAGCACAGCGTACGCCGCGCGCGCGCGTCACGGTTCCGTATATTCAAATAAGGGAGACCCTATGAACCAGTTGCGTTCGTCTGCACGTCGCCGCGCGCGCTGTCGGATCTAGCTTGCCTCGCCATTCAGAGGCCGGGATTCTCACAGATCTGCCGTGAACAAGCGGTGTGCCCCGCACGCGGTGTGCTGATGATACATGGGCGGCATTAGGCGAGAGGAAAAAAGACGGAAATATTCATTTTTCCGGAAAATGGAAAAATAACGAGACTTGATCGAAATGTGGCGACCTATCGATGACTTTTTAATGAAGCGGCCGATACGTCCAGATCAGGGATATCCAAACGCCCGACAAATTTCTCGAAAAAATCCACCTCGGCGTGTGCTCGCTCGCTCGCTCGATCGATCGATTGGTCGGCTCGATGCTCGAGAGACTCGAAGAAGCGGGACTTCGCATCCCGTCTGTTAAGTACCGTTTGTGAACTATCATACACAACACATGCGCGCACCGCGTGCTATTGGTCACGAGGCGCTATCGAATGGTCGCGGAGCGGCCAGGTTTTTCGCGGCGAACGTAACTCCTCATTGGGTCGCGTAACGGTAAAGCCACCGCTCGGTCAACGCTATTGAGGTACGTCCTCCTCTTCCGCTGCGAGAGCCATTTTGTTCGAAAATGTCGGCGAGAACGGTTCTCCCAGTCTCACTCACGGCTCTCTTTCGTACTCTCTGTCGTACTTGTACTCGCGCGCGCGCGCGCGCGCGAGACAGGTTTATCTCGCTCCTTCCCGATTTATCCGAGTCTACGACTCGTTTGATTGTTCGTCCGTCCGTTCGTTCGTTCGTTCATTCATTCATCTGTCCGTCCCATCCGATCGTTCGTATTCGTCCAATTCGACGAATCCGCCGCCGGCGTATATCCATTCGTTGCAATGCGCATTGTCCTATTATTTTCCTCGAGCAATCTTCATCCGCTCCGTTTCGACGGGACATTTCTTCCTTGGCCCTTTTACCAGCTGACGTCCGCGACCAGCTCGGCCCGGCCGAGCGGTGATGCCGATTCCCGATTCGCGGCTCGGCCCGAGAACATCCCATTACGATATTAACATTTCTGCGCGCGAATAAGTCCCAGCGGCTCGCGATTTTGGCAACGACGACGCGGTGGTGATCGAAGGGAAATCTCGCAAGACGGCCGAGTGCGTACCAAAGTGGTACGCGATTAAAAAGAACAGATTCTCTCCGCAGTCTCTTCGAGCCTTCACCGAGAATCTATAGAAACCTATCGGAATCTATCGAATCACACTAATTAAAGCATAAATGAAAGATGTGTGTGCACGAATGCGCTCACGAATGAGCGACAAAATTGATTGGAAAAGCATTGACGCGCACGGAAATTTGAACAGCTGAAATTACGCGAGAGAACGCGATCGGAGAGATTATTATTTATTATATTTTATTAGGTTGAACATGCGAGCTTGCGCTTTTCTCTCGCACCGTTCCACGCCGACGCTTTGCCAAGTTGTTCGACAAATTTCGTCTCTGCGAGATCGTCGCGTATCCAGCTTCTCTTTAAGCGTCCCGTCAATCACAATCGTTGCTGCAATTTGTAATAAAGCGCCTTCTCAGAGCGAGCGGGCGAGAGAGAGAGAGAGAGAGAGAGAGAGAGAGAGAGAGAGAGCAAGAGAGAATTTAAACCGTTATACTGCTTTGCTCAACGAGTGAATTATACTGCCTTGCAAAATCAACTTTCCTCGCTAGGTTATTTCGCTCTGTTCTACATTTCCATCAAAGGGACTCTTACTTTTGCTTAAATCCATTTCTAAGCGAGTTTCGCCGAGTCGAAAGCACGCTCGGCTCTGTTCGCAACGCCGCCGCGCCGTTTGCGTGCGCGCTGTGCATTGCGTGAGCGATTTTTTTCGTCTGCGCGCGCGATACGAGATACGGTCGTTTAGTCGTCAAAAACGGCACATTAATCTTTACCGTGCCGCGGATCGGCGCGCCTAACGAGCGGGGGCACAATTCCACGGTGACGCGCGCACGGAGATATCGCGTAAAATCGCGGCATTTTTCATATCCTTCATTGTCAATCGCCCATAATCCCCGCGGTATCGTATTCCTACATCTGCGCGTAACGCAACGAGATAGGACGTAGTTAATTCGAGCAAGTTCTGCTCTTACGTCACGATTATGCGTATCATGCGGAGAGAAAGAGAGGGAGGGGGAGGAAGGGAGAGAGAGAGAGAGAGAGAGAGAGAGAGAACGAGGGTGGGTAAAATCTGTCCTCCGATG